GTCCCCCCCCCCCCCCCCCCCCCCCCCCACCCCCCCCCCCCCCCCCCCCCCCCCCCCGCCCCCCCCCCCCCCCCCCCCCCCCGGTATACTACAATATTGTACGCTTATATTGACAAAATTGAGATCAAGGAGGGCAATAATGGTGACGCCCAACTCCTTATCCCCCCCGGCTATGTAGAATATTAACTCTAGAAGTGCAAAAATCCTTCTACGCATTCGCCTCATGCCCATCATGAATGTTGTTTGACTGTGCCCCGCTTCAGTTTGCTATAAATTCGCAATTTTCCTCTTGATGACCTATACCCTTTCCTCGAAGGGGAGTTCATATCCACCATCATTTGGGTGCTTACGAATGCTATTAAATATATAAAATATAAAATCCAAGGTGGATATTTTATTAAATTATTTACTATATACCTATGTTATAACTACGTGGATATTAGATTGAAGTCTTACACTTAAATCTAGACTCTGCATATATCTTGCCACTTCTTTCAAAATACATCGTTTAAGCCGTTGCACTGCCGTCACAATGGCTGGGAACCAGAGAAATGCCAATATCAATGGACCACATGGTGCTCACAGACCTCATGTCCCCATTGTTCCCGTTGGTCCAGGCAGTCGCCCGGTCCATCTACAACTCTCCCCCGTGCAGCCACTGTCAGGCCCCTCGCGAGCCGGGCTACCGGTGGATATGGCCAGGGGGCCATCCGTAGAGATATCGGACGTTAGCCGTGATCTCAAAACAACGAACGACATGAGAGAGGATCTCACAGATTACGCCATCTTCCGGTTCGAGAAAATGACGACGCAAAACCAATACGACGACGAAGGCAGTCCACAGATACCTACGTGGGATAGGGCGATAAGAACTCGAGTTCCTGGCATGTCACCCAGGGAAATCGTTCGAGAAATACAACATCTAAATAGGAATACACGTAACTTGACCGAGAAGCTGAAGTCCTTGAGCCCCGTGCTACAGCGTCAGATAGACAAGGCACAAGAACATCTCGCTTTACAGAATCCCGATCCGATTAACTACCACTGGGTTCTCGCCCAACTAGACCATCAACTGAGAGAGATCGCCCCTTACGTCGTAGTCGCTAGCGGAAGTCGTTCGACGCCCCGGAGACACCATGGTTCGAACAGGAGACGATCTCAAGGGCGAACTAGTAGGTATGAGAGAAAATCGTACGAGAGGATCTCACTGCGAGCTTACTTCAAACGTATGCCCAGACCGAACGTTGATATTGCCATGCTCTGGGAAGCGAAGAACTCGCAGAATAACCAGGTCGTCCGCCCACATTCACAACCTCACCAGCACCCACACCAACAGTCACACCCCCATCAGCAGCCGCAACTGCAGTTTAATAACCCTAGCTTAGACCTGCGAGCACAGAGGCCGGGTGCTGTACCCTCGAGGACTGGCACGCCATTTAGACCGGATGCCGGTCGTGACCCGCCGCCTGTTGCACTACACTCGAATAAAACCGGGATGTTTAACGCAGCTAACCCCGTCAACAGCGCCACGGTTAGGGGTAGAGACATAGGTAGAGATATAGGTAGAGGCAGAGTAAAGAAGTCGACTAGGGATCGCAGTGACCGCGACGCTATCGAGAGCGACTCGGATTGCTCCAACGATCTATCAATGGACCGATCGGTTGATAGTCAGACGACTCCTGACACATCCGCGCCCGGATCACCATACAACGGTATGAGTCATGCCCGAGGTCGTGGCGGAGATCGAATACCGACTAGAAATAAGAGCGTAAGGCACGATAGCAATATTCACGATCGGCGTTCCCCAAGGAGGCAGCAATACTTCGACGCCGAGGCTAAGCCAAGAGCACAGCCTGAGATCGCGCCAAGGCCTCCTCGCCCGCCTCTACCGCCGCCACAAATGATAGATATCGATAAGATCAAAGACGAAGCTTACTTAGCGGGTATGCGTCATGGGCGAGAGGGGGCGCGAATTTTCCAGGAACGAGCATATCGCGAAAGCAAACGCACACAACCCAAACCACATATAATCCTAGAGACTCGGTCACCAGCCCCTGCTTATAGAAGGCGCACATCTAGTTCCAACCCCGAAAGGTTTCGTCCTGGAAGAGGCCTTGACGATGAGATAGGTAGTTTCGATCGATTATCGCTTGATGAAGAAGACGGTTATGGGTCCGCAATCCGTCGCGTCGACGCTCGTCAACGAAGGGAATTCGAATATCTCTTGCACCAAGGATCGGTCTTGGAAGACGACCCTTTTGACCGTGATAGACCGTCGTACTCAAGACATGGTAGTACACGATATCGAAAGTCTTACGCGATGGATGGCTCCGAAAGCGATCTTAGTCTGCCAGAAAGGGGCAAGAAATGGTTCCGTAATTGAGCCATATCTACCTACTTTTGCGTTGCTGCGATTCCATTTCTAGAATAGGGACCTAGGTGTAAGGAATGTAGCAATCCATAGTGTTCGAAATAAGGTTCAGTGATAAATTGTCTAAGGTGAAATGTTGAACTGGGACCTATCTGTTATTGTATAATGTTTGTACTACCCTAAATAATGTTTCGTTGAGTTATATACCAAATGATATGTACCAACTAGGTACCTACATACGCATATGATAGGTATATATTTAGCGTTGGTATTGTATTGATGTATACAGAATATACCCAATTGATGTACGATTACGTGGTAGAGGTACTTACTAAGGTGAAAAGGAAAAAACATTGAACTTGGCAATCTATTCTAGTTAAGAATATTATACTTGACGTAATAGTGAATTACGTTTGGGTCTATAGGTACCTATAAAATACCTGATCTGGTGTGGATGAGCGATTTCATTGTCCGTAGTGACGATATAGTGGCGGGGTTTTTGACCTGCTTTTTTTTTTTTTTTTAAGTATCTGTGGATGGAGGGGCAACTGAAGTTGCGTCCGGACCCCCACCTTACCTACCTAGATCATAGGTCCTAGGTACCTATACAGGTCGCAGGCCTTTTTATTGTTCAATTAGTGGGGCGTAAGTGTTAAGCAACAACTTGACTATCGAAGTATCATCATACGACCATGGGCAAGAAACAATACTTGTTAAAGAAGTTTCTGCTTAGCAGATATACCTCCACTTAAAGAACAATAAAAAGGCCTGCGACCTGTATGTAGTACATACATATGTACATAGGTAAGTATGATTTCCCCTTACTAGATCCCGTCAAACAGCCGTTTTCGATTTGCATCAACACTGCTAAGCTTCTCCTCCTTCTCCCCGAGTTATTTTCTTATTCTTCTCTTCACCACTTAACCTATTTATCCCATTCAAACCCGAATAGAATTATCCCATCCCTCATTAAGCTTTGGCTATTATTATCCTTCTGTCTACATTTATAGCTATATCTATTGCCCAACATGGCGCGCAAGTTCTTTGTCGGCGGCAACTTTAAGATGTATGGCCCATTGTACTCTGCCCATATGCTCGTGCTACCGCAGCTCGACGGCGCTTGGCATTAGAGGCTAATCTGCCATTGCTGGTTTGTTTAGGAACGGAACCATCTCGTCCGTCACAGAAATTGTCGAGAACTTAAATAAAGCTCAGCTAGACCCCAACACTGGTGAGCCTCTTCATATCTCTCCCTCTTACACTGCTCTCTCCCCCCCTTCTCTCTCTCTCTCTCTCTCTCTCTCTCTCTTACCGTACCTACCCCAACAACAAGAACGTAGCTTTGCTCACATCTGCTTCATATTATTAGAGACTGTCATAGCCCCACCGGCTCTCTACCTCCTCCTCGTTCGTGAACACGCCAAAAAGGATATCGGCGTTGCCGCGCAGAATGTATTTGATAAGCCTAACGGCGCTTTCACGGGCGAGATATCTGTCTCCCAGTTGAAGGACAGTGACATCAACTGGGTCATTCTCGGCCACTCCGAACGGCGGACCATCCTAGCCGAGAGCGATCAGGTTGTTGCTTCAAAGACAAAATATGCTACCGAGAATGGTGTTAGTGTTATCTGGTGCTGCGGCGAGTCCTTGGAGCAACGGGAGGCTGGCAAGACCCTTGAAGTTATCGCTTCCCAGCTCGCCGCTCTGAAGGCCCAGATCTCGGACTGGAGCAAGATTGTCATTGCCTACGAGCCTATCTGGGCTATTGGCACCGGCAAGGTTGCTACTACCCAGCAGGCTCAGGAGGTCCACGCCTCCATCCGGGCTTGGCTGGTCAAGAATGTTAACGAGGCTGTTGCCGACCAGACAAGAATCTTATACGGCGGCAGTGTCAGTGAGAAGAACTGCAAGGACCTGAGCAAGGAGAAGGATATCGACGGCTTCCTCGTCGGCGGTGCTAGTCTTAAGCCTGCATGTGAGTATTCCACCATCGCTGTTATCGATCAGCTTCGTGCCGTTGAACTGGGCTGATAAACCATATAGTCGTGGACATCATCAACAGCAAGTTGTCGTGAATGGGATGAGCTAGAGAAATCGGCGATTAGTCACGATCAGCGACAAAGTCAGGATGATGCCTAAGTCTGAACGTGAGCCATAAAACCAAGGTAATGGTCTTATTTGCTCACTTGCTTGCTATACCAATTCGAAAATGTCACGAGTTAAAAAGAATATTGAGACTTGAAATATGCTCGTTATTAGGGGATCGGCGAATATAGAATTGTCTCGTGATCGTTCGTAAAAAGGCTGTTTTCGGCTCAAGATCTTGGCCTCGTGGTGTTGTGCATCTTCAACCGTGTTATACATTTTGCTCGTAGTTGTACAAAGTTGCTAGTTATCCCCTGAAACACCTAGGGATTATCTTATACTGGCATGCCGTTGCCATGGTAAGGACTCCATACTCCTCTCACACTCTCATTGATACTCGTGATTGGTTTGTTGACCTTCTTAATCTTCTCCCCGCTTGCATCTCGTAATAATTCCACCTTCTTTAGTATTTGGAGCGGGTCCATATTTTTGACACATACGGATTTTTGCTTTCCATTAATGTAGTGGCCGATAAGTACGGGGTGTTTATGCGGCCGAGGAGCTACAGTGAATTCGATCTGGGGGTGAGAGGAAGCGAACTTCGACAGTTGTGATTTAATGAAAGAGCTTTATGAAGACTATGATTAATATTGTACTTTTTAGGAGGGGGGGGGGGGGGGGGTAGGCGTTGAATAGCCCTGTTTTCTTACTTCATTCCTCTGGAGCTTCCGGAATGGTCGCAATAATGGACGTCTATCTTCTTGCATTGCAAAATGAAGGCACCGATGCCGTTCTGATATTGATTGTTCGTTAGTCCATTTCCGCTTTATGATACGAAAAACTGCAAAGGCGTAATTGGTGATTTACCTGTCCAACGGAGACCTTCTCTAATGCCCTGATTGTCATTTTGTTGCGCCTGAGATTTGGTGACAATACTAGGTAGGTAGTAATTGCTATTTTAGAGGATGGAAGAATCAAATTGTATTTCTATGTATGTTGTCACTGGCCGGTTATAAGCCGGTTAAATGATACTAGGTATGTACCTAGCACTAGTACCTACGGATGTACCTTGCCTAGGTAGGTACATAGTTACCTATGTAAGTACTACGTACTAAACTGTTCCACAGTTGTACCTACTGTAAATCTGTACCTAGGTACTTTTTACTGGGTCAAATCATTAAAGATTGGATGGAGTAGGAGCATTCATGGGAAAGCTTTCAAGCAATTTCCTCGACTCTCTTCTTCTCCCAAACCCCCAAATCGAAATCCGACGCGAAACATTATCGCCCTTCTTTTTCTTTCATCTACCTAATCTATCAATGAGATTTCCCCCCCTACACTGTCTACCTTCGAGTCGTTCTCTGTTTCACCGTTAATCTTACATCTACCCATCCAAGCTCACTAACTTTTTTTTTATTGTAATAAAATCTTTCTCTTGCATCCCTTCTACAGAACCAATACGCGAGCATGACGGACAAACTGCCACCAAATCTCCTCGCGCTCTTCGCGCCACGACCACCTCTGCGATGGGTACCTGCGCCCGACTTCCCTCCCGAGCAGCGAAAAACTCATGTGATCACTGGCCTTTCTGGATATCTTCCGGTTCTCTATGCCTACAAGGACAACGATGGATATCGACCCACCGAGAGCTGGCTGCAGATGCGCGACAGGAAGAAGCTGGAGAAGAAGGTCCAACAAGAAAATATATTAACTGAAGGCCCAGTACACTGTTCGTGATCCATCATCACATTTCGTCATTTTGTTTAAATTTATTCTTTCTTGAAATGAAACCCCTCCCCCAAAACAGAACAATAAAAAAGGAAATTTGGTGTTAACATTTCTCTGATAGATAAACCTAATGACGACCCTAACATACGCGGTGATCCTTTCAAGACCTTGATTGTCGCTCGTCTTAGCTATGATGCCAACGAACATGACCTCGAGAAGGAATTCGGGCGCTTTGGCCCCGTCGAACGCGTATGTGATACTTACATTTCTCCCGTGTTACATTTCACGCTAACATTGTTATTTTCTCTAGATCCGTATCATTACTGATACCCATGCAAGCGAAAAGCCGAACAAGAAGAAGAAGCCCCATCGAGGATATGCTTTTGTTGTTTTTGAACGTGAGAAAGACATGAGAGGTAATGCTGCCATTGATTTTTTCCCAGAATATCCATCTCGAACCCTAGGATCTGCTTCGCCCATGTCTTTCATACGAGATTTGGCCCTCAAGCATGCCGATCTCTTCCCCTTCCCCTTCTATTCCCCTTCTTCCCCCCTTTTTTCTATCGAGATGAGGTATGAAATAATTGGTAAGGCTTTACTAACAAACGCGCGTTGATGCGCACGTGTGACTAGCTGCTTTGGATGGTTGCGACGGTATCCGCATTAGGGACCGTCGAATTAAGGTCGACGTTGAAAGAGGCCGAACAGTTAAGGGCTGGAAGCCTCGCCGGTTTGGTGGTGGTCTAGGTGGTCGAGGATACTCGAAGGCAGCACCTCCCCAGCCCAGAGGGCCTGGATTTGGAGGTGGTTTTGGTGGACGGGACGGTTTCCGGGGAGGTTTCCAAGGACGTGGAAGAGGAGGATTCATGGGTGGTCGCGATCGCGGCTTCCGAGGCGGAGGCGCTGGTGGTGGCGCTAGTGGAGATTTCGGCCCTGGTCGTGACCGTGGCTTCGGTCCTCAGAACGGCTACAACCCGCCGCCTAACGCCCCAGCCGGTCCCAATTGGGGTGGTCGTCGTGGGTTCAGTGGAGGAGACCGTGATCGCAATGGACTAGGGGGTGGGTATGACTCGCGCAACGGCAGTCGCTCATATGATGATAGATCAGGCGGACATCGCGACGGAGGTAGATTCGGTGATCGCGATCGTCGGAGCGGCGCCAACTTCGAACCGGTTCGTGGCGGACGAGAGCCTCGGGACTTTGATAGGTCGAGAGAGGACGAGAGTCGAAAGCGGGGCTACGAAGGGACCTACGAAGATCCGCGCAAGCTACGACGATACTAAGCCGGCTTCCTTATCGAGGCAAGAGTCGCTTTGTCTTGGTGGGTATCTTCTGTCTTCCATGCTTCTACACATTCGTCACTACCCTGACTTTTCCTTCTACCTTTCGACACCAAGGGTAAGCAAGGGTAAGATCGTTTGAAAGTTACTGGATGAACAACAGCTACTCCCAGACTACCCGACGATCAACCAAAAGGTAAACCGGACGCGAATACATTGAGCAACCTTGATAAGACTGGAATTTACTTTCCTTCTCATAGTTTTGGTTGACATCCGACGCCCGATTATCTTCCGGATCGCCGTTACCACCCCTATCACTACAAGAGGAGAGGTAATGCTGTTTCTCTCTTTTTAATGCCCTTACATGTACTCTATAATGACCGTAGGGAATAATCGCGAGGTCTAGCTATGTCGTATGCAATAAAAGGCGAACTATTTTTTTTTTTCTCCCAAGGTAAAGTCGGAGGTAAGAGATTACGAAAAAACAAAACCTACTGACCGGGAAGTTTTTGTCACGGGAGGGGGCATCGGGTGAAGAAAAAAGAAAAAGGCAACGAGTTAATGAGCTTTGGCATGTAGTACAGCAGCACATAGTTCTTGCTTGATATATTCACAAGCAGTGATGAATTGTAAGATATGTAATCGATAGAGAAAGAGAGAGAAAGCTACCTGGTAGTACCGCAGCCGTCATTGGTACCTAGTGCAATGTAGGCAGTGACAATTATCTACCTACCCGTAAGGCTCACATACTGCATCTTGATGGAATAGTAAAACTCTAATCATATATACCGGTCCCTATTTTGCCTCCACCGAACGCCAGCAACCAATGGTATCACCGTAAATGCACACATACGAGTTATATACGGGAGGGAGAAATAGTAAGAGTGGAGTGTTGACTACCACTATTAGGTTCCTTCCTGATCGACTCCCTCATTGTCCTCGACGTTGCCCGTAACCCCTAGATCTACTGGGGTGACTTTGGTGGTGGCCGCGCTCCAATAAGCGAGGACCTTGATCTTGAATTCGCTCAAACAGACGCTGAATAGCTTGAGTAGCCTCGTCTGCTGCGAGTCTAGGACATCGCCTTCACGGCAAACGACATACCCGCCAGATTCCTGAGGGCCTTCGGGTCCCTCCTCAAGGACGACGCGGCCCTTAATCATACGGACGGGCACGCCGAGCCGGCGCAACTCAGGCTCGAGGGTGTGGCCAATGGGCACGTCGTATTCCGCGGGCACCTCACCGCCGGTGGCATAGATGGTGCCGTACGGAACGATGAAGTCGCGCGGGGCGGTGGCGCCGGCGCGGGCGAAGTCGATCTTGTCCTGAGATAAGGTTTCCAGGTATGGGAGGAGTTGGTCAGGTGTGCGGTTTGTGAAAATAAGGCCGACAGTACCGCGCAGATAGGGGGTTAGGTGGTAGATATTGTCTGCGTAACTATCCTCGGGACTGTGGCCCAAGGCGCGTGCCATAAGTTTGGTCTTGCCGAAAAAAAGTCTAGCGATGTTAGGTCATAAGATCTAAGAATTGAGATATACGACAGATGATATATGTTATAGGTATAGAAAGACATACCGACTATCGGATAATTCTTGCCTCACGCCCTTGAGGTAGGTGTTGCGCATGTTGTCGACACTGAAGACGAAACAGTGCTGGTAGTCGGGGATGCATTTTCGGATGTTCTCGAATAGACGGTCTTTGTCTTCACGCGTCTTCTTGTTGACCTGCGTCATATAGACAACCTTAGATCGTTTAGACTTTGGCATTGTGATTTGATTTTGTTGTTTGTTCAAGTTTATAATGGGTTGTAAGTAATAGTAGGCTTGTAACTGAAGTGGGAGTTTCTATGGGCGACTTGAACTTTTTTTTCTTCTTTGAAAGATAAATGATTAAAACTCCAATCGATTAGCGGATAGTCTTGTCTTTTCCCCGCTAGAGCTTGGGACAAGGGCACCCCGGTCTACCACATACTATGTACATATATTAGACTTTAATCTTAGCCAATCACTTACTAGAACCAGAAGTAGTGATTCCGGACCCAAGGAAAACCCGGATGGTTTTTATCGATAACTAAAAATACATATGTACATAGTTCCTAACCTTAGGATCTATGAAGCTTCATTAGAAAGTCAATCTTGACTTGCTATTCGTACTTATACAAACTTTCCGATTTTTTCTTAAAAAAAAACTCTTCTTGTGTCAATCCAACGTCTCTGTGAAAGCATCAAGAATATGGACGGGTAAGTCTTCCTTTGATCGGGATAGCCTCTTTGAGAAATTTTCAAGAGAACGTTTAATCTAACCTAAATTTGTAGATTGACGGCAGTCGAGACGCGCGAGCTGGAGCAGCGTATGCAAAAGCAGCAGATGAAGGTCTTCTTTGGTGTATGTCAAGATGATTTTACTCTACGAGCCACCTCAAAGTGTCTTGTAATCGATAATATATTATATATCTATTTCTTGCCAGTCTACTAACGAAAGACGGGCAGCTCTTCAGCAACTTGGTTGACCACTGCTTCATGTCATGCGTCGACGACTTCACCACAAAATCATTAACGGGCCGCGAGTCCGGCTGCGTAACTCGTTGCGTCCAGAAGCACATGGCCTTGTCACAGCGCCTGAGCGAACGCTTCCAAGAATATAATGCTCAGATGACTCAACAACAGCAGCAACAGGGTGGTTTCCGATAGATTGGCGATCTTGGTGGGGAGAGGTATCTTTCTTTCAGGGGTTCCTATACACTAGGCGTCCGGAAATCCAGTGGCTGGATTGGAGATATGTCTGATCGGAACCAGCTACACGTATATGTAAAAAGAGAGAGAAAACTCTAACAGGCATTGGGTTAAGACTATTTCAGCAGCAACCACTTGAGTGCCATATTATCAATAGGCACGGGATTAAAGGTTATGATATAGCTTCACTGTAACAGTAGGAACTCTACGGGAAACGACGGATCTCGGAGTAAAAAAAAGAGGTGGGAGGACAAGAAAGAGAAATCAACCGGAAACCGAACGGCAAATGTTACCATTTCAACTCCTTGTATCATGGGCATTTTCCTTCTTCCATGGTACTATCGTATTATAATTTGGCGGTGATGTCGTACATCACCTTTGCAAATCAGTTTCATTATGTCACTGGAAAAAATCACTATGCGAGACACCGCTATGGATTCAAGCTTTGGAGGCTTTGTAGTGTATAAATTGGCCATTGCTACCAACGGGTCATTGCCTAGAGGCCGAGGATTATCATTGCCCGCCTGTATCCCCAATGCTGTACTCATTCTAAACCTTCACCGAGCACAAGTCGTACAAGTTCTAACTGCTCGATTACCTTCTCCTCGAGCTTATTCTCAAGCCCGTTAGTTCTGTTTCGGCCAGAGGATGGCATGCTCCTCCATTCCGCTTCTCGCGGCCCCAACGTCACCAGCCTCTCCCTCAAAAGCTTACGACGGTCTATCCAGAACTCGACGCTCTCTACCAATCCTGCCGAGTCCCATTCAACAGCAGGGACGTCCCTCGCATTATTCGCACGTAAAGTTCCTAGTACACGTGTCATGAGAGCAAGCGAGTGTATCTCGGACACCGACAAAAGTGTTATGTAATCGCGGTCATTGCGATCTCGTCTTCGACTGTCGTCGGGAGGTTCGAATCGGTCAACGCTGGATTGCATGAGATTTGGAAATTGGTTGAGCACGTATGCGACCTCCGAGGCGATCGTAGTGCCTAAGGCTGCCAGGATGTTGAGCAGTAAAGGAACAATGCCTTTCGCCCATATGCTGTAGCAGCGTTGAAGGCCAACGGAGTCAGCAAAAGGCTTCACGTTTGATCGGCGCAAGTAAGTCGCCAAGTTAGCCGACGTGATGTGATTGAGTAGGCCATCACAAGCTAGTTGCTCTGCTACTAGAGGAAGCGTGGATAGCTCAAGTAGAAAAATGAGGGACAATTCACCATATATGGGATCACCCTGGTCAGCTAACTTATCTGCCCACGAGTACAGCGACACAGCGGCTTGTACGGCATCATGGGTGGCCAGGATATTTAGGATCTGTGTCTGGTTCTGATCCATGCCCGGGAGGCAAAGGCAAGCCTGTAGGATAGCGTTGATAAGAGCGACGTCACCCGGTAAAATGGAGGGCTGTGAATCGTGGACTAATGAAACCAGGGTTCGAAATCCTCTAGCAACGACGATATCAATTATGCTCAAGGCAGTCTGAGAGACTGTAGCGGCGGATAGGCCATTCCCGAGCTTCTCAGGCCCTACACTTGCCAGTGCTCGGACCTGGGCTCGCAACGTAACGTAAAGCAGCTTTAGAAGCATTCGATGGAGCGAAATATTCTCTGGCGAGTATGGTTCTTGAACACTGCTGACCGTTGCCCATATTGCTGTTAGGAGCTGAGAAATATCGCCAGGCGATGGGGCGCTATCGACGACTCTCTGGACCAACATGAGCGCCAGATTGACTCGCGATTCTGCAAGCCGTTCGAATACTTGGTCGTGGCCCTGCGTATCTTCGTTCGCCTCTAGGCATTGTTGAGCAACCTGTAAAGAGTGCTTCTTCAAGGTGCCATTACTCGGCAAACAAGTGCTAAGTTCGAGCAATAGAAATTCCCAGGCATGATATAGAGACTGTTTATATGTTAGGTATAAATCACTTCGAGGTGGACGTCTGGGGAACTCACGATTTGAGCGTCGACTAATGATAGATTGATATTAGCCTTCTCCATCTCACTTCTGAATCCATTATTCCGGGGGCCGATCCAACCTGGATCAAATCCAAGCATGCTGTCTGCAAAATCTATGGCATAGTAGAAACCAGCCCCCAGAGACCGGGGTCCAAGCAAAGTTCGCTTGAAGTTATCGAGGGTATAGCCGGCATACTGGTTGCTAAAATTCCGAGAGAAATTAACATGTAGACCTCTGTTGTAGCTAGAGACTGCAACACCATCCCGTAGATAATAATCCAAGTCCCGCGTCAGGTCGCTAGCGAATGTGCTCCCTTGTCCTATCTGTCGAAGATGGAAGAGCTGCATGGCGAAAACCTCGGCAACATATGCGGCGATACGAGCGTCGTTACAGGCTTGCAATGCATTGGTTTTAGAAACGATAGAAGAAGGTTTCAATTCGCGGACGAAGCTCCGGAGCTCGGTGAGAAAACCAGTGTTCTTCTGCATGGTAAAGATGGTCCATGGCCAGAAGTTTTGTGCCGAGGTGATAAAATCTAAAATCGAGAGTACCTCAGACTCCTCGATTTTAGATATAGACGCAAGCCGATCGAGAGCGGAAGTGAGAACCGAACTGGACGATGCTTCTGTCGGTTTACTGTTACCATTCTTAGCATCACGAGGAGTCTTTCCCGTGAGAAGACAGTTCGCCATCCACTGTTGCCTGTTTCTAACAATGGTAGAGAAGAATCGCCATATTGCGTTAACTTCCTGGGCTTGGTTGAAAGGTCTATCTAACGTTGACAAGAGTTGAAGGAATGAACGAGACGTCTGTGGACCAAGGTATCCCAGTAGCGAAGGTGGCTCTCCGGTGCTTTTACCAGCGCTGATCACTAATGCTTCTAGCAGTTCAATAGCTGGTCCCTTGAAAGCGTCATGACAGGCGCAAACACGGGCAACAAAGGGCGTTATCTTAAACAACTGGTGCTCGACTGTAGTGGAAGGCTGGTCGAAATAGTTTGCTATTCTTACCAAGCTTCTCGTAAGCCCCAGTACGGCCTCGGTTTGGGCACGAAAAGCCTCCGTCTTGTTGGCATAGACCGTACAGCCAAAGGGCTGGGTTGCAGCCACCAGCGTTATCAGAAGCGGTTGGATACGGAGACTTCCGGCTGACGGCGCCAGAAAACTATCAATTACATATTTGGCTGCTGGCTCCAGAGCTGACATTAAGAACGTCTTTCCCTTCACATCGTCCATGTTGAACGTGTAGAAGATGACTTTGTCCATGATAGGCACTACGTCGCGCACGAGGAGTATTCGATCTAAGTGGGATGAAAACCTCCACGTAGACGAATTTTCTAACACGTCCATGGCTGTGCGGGCAATTGCCAGGGAAATCTGGGTGACTATCTTGTCCGAAACGCCAAGCCAGATATCGTAGCTTTGTTTTTGCCGGGTATTTATCTTTACGTTCGTTTTACGCCGTACTGAGCTGCTCATAGCGCTGTCGACGAGACTGGAAAAGAGGCGCATAGAAGACACGAGTAGCTGGAATCGAACGCCCGACAAGTCGAGATTTCCAACCAGTCTGGCCAGTCGCCCCCCCTGACCTTGGCTACCTAGAATGGTACACCGCGACATGTATGACCAAACTCGGCCAGGGCATATCGGTAGGACGGCGTGTAAAAATTGTAGACAAGCTACAAGAGCGGCTAGCCCCTCGTCATCCGGGTCGCCATCTAGAAGCATGTCTAGAGTGTCACAGACAACTGATATGATGTCTTTAGTCCGCGATAGTGCTCGGCTAGCTTCTCCTACGATAGCCAACGCGGTCTCTGGTATCTCAGAAGCCTTTTCATCCGAGCTCGCAGTCCTGAGGCATTCTATGCGTATCAACGTTGCGAGCAACGATATCACCTCTGCAACCTCGTCTATAGCGAGTGCTCCAAGCGCCAGGTTATACTTCTTCGGGGCGATATTGGCATCTAGTCTCTTCCCAAGTAGGGCCAGGGCGGAGTGCTCATATTCTACTTGCACAATTTTCCCCTCGTCTACAATAAAGCGGCCATACGTGCCCGCAGGCACGACGAATGGGTCGTCTTCCGTCGCTAATTGTCTCCGGTTTAAGACAGTCGAAATAAGGGGAAAGTCATCAAAAAAACGAATTGCGTTGGAGTTGTCCTCCTCATCGGTGAGGTGGTATTCATTGAAATCTTCTGGCAAGACAAATGTGAGGGTGGGTGTTTTTTGTAGTAAGCGAAGGATGAGCTCATGGTTACTCTCTTCGGTGAAGTGAGCGGAGCAGTAAAGTGTGCGGCACAATGTGAGGAAGGGCATGAACTCGTACGGGAAACGGTTCAGCGCCTGGTGAAAATAACTTTCGACAATGATGTCGTCATGTAAGGCCAAGTTACGTATGTCGTGTTCCGCAGGGGCATTATTTGGTTGCCCGAGATCCCAGTAGCCTTGACCCCCAGACAGTATTGATAGCAGGGAATGGACTGGTTCCGCCTTATATCCTACAAAAGGATAAGTGACCTTAAGCAGGTCTAGAAACGCGACCCTCATACGCGAGCCAACCGAAGTAGGAAATATGGCGCCGCTAGATGTGCCGAGATGCGACGACATCGCAGCAATGACATCGTAGGCATGTCCTTTATCTATAACCACCTTTGCAAGTATTTCAATTCGTTTCAAGTCGCGATCGAAGTTCTTATTAATGAGAAAATCGTCATATCTCCGCTTATCAATGGTGGTGATGCTCCCAGCAGAGTTCCTTCTCCCTGCCGTTGGAATCATCTGCGTAGCTGAATCGTAGTTTTCAACCGCTTTCTCATTCTGGATAGCATCACGCCTCTCAGCTCGTTCTTGGTAAGATGAGAACATAGCGTGGACCACCGGGACCCAAGCAAACAACACTGGGATAGCGTAGAATGAACCTAAGCTAACCGCGTTATCCAGGACATCGTGAATAATTTCAAGGACATTCGAAGAGGCGAGGTATTCGTCGTCTGTGTTCAACTCTACCTCCCCTTCGAAGAACGCCATCATCCTCGGCAAATTGAGGATAGATAAGGAGATGATGCATGTGAGGCATTGCAATGGAACCGCTAACTCTGATATATGTTCTGGCATCTACATACCATATTAGCAAAAGCAGAGGATCTGGCGTGTGCTGTATGTAAATAACTCACCGCTTGAAGCTCGTTCAAGAAGCCAAATGCACCGACTAAAGAAAACCATTGCTGTGCCACCTGAACCGATACGAAGTTATCGCTTGACAAATCCAGTAGCTGAAAGACCACGACCATCCGATGAAGAGCCTCGGTAAGCCATGTCTGGACCCATCGCCAACCGAGCTCGTCTGTCAGAAGGCTCTTGTCCTCCACTGTCGCATCGATCCCAGCTTGCGAGCGCGATATTGAGTCTGGTATTAGATTTAAGTACTGAGTCACTAGCGCGTGGAATGTTTTGGTAGGCGTGTCACCGGGAGATTTCTGTGGCTGCTTAGGAGACATGCCATACGCCTCCAGATAGGATTTCCGGATCATCCTCGATGCGTCGGTTGTAGGAGAGGCAGGCAGGTGTTCCTGCAATATCAACGTGAATATGTAGTCATTCGTAGCAGCGTAGTAACGGCATTCGTCAAGGTAAGTCTGGAATATGCGCTGCTTTCTACTCTCCGGTTTCTCAAAGTTTGCTTGTATTTCATCCGCGTCGATGGTGCCCCCGATATTGAACCCGGGAAGAATATTGGTTGTTTGCGCATTTGCAGCACCAGCTGCCTCTCGCAGATTTGCGACATCTTGATTTGAAATTGGGCCTAGGAGCTGATTCCGGGGGCGCGATTGGAACTCAACGACAACGACCCGAAGAGCAGCGATCTCGTTTATACGAGCATTCTTACTTAACCAAAGAGCATCCTCTTTAACGACGTTGATATCGTACTTCTCGTTCGAGGTAGGAGTTACTTGAATAGCAGCCGTTTTCTTGACGAAGCTTGCATGGTGAGTATTCTTGTCGCTTGGGGGATCGAAAGCAGAGCCAGGTTTGGTGAAGAAGGATTGGACCAGGGGATCGGTGAGATAATCGATGACAGCACGACTACTCTGTCGATGGCCAGAAGGGTCTGTCAATGCTGAAGCTATGATCTTCCATGATCTGAAGCGAGCAAGAAGAGTAACCAAGATGATTAGTTATGAGAGTCCTTTAGATCTTATTACCAAGTTATCAATTATTATTATGGTACTTACAGAATAACATTCTCGCCTTTCAGGCACGGTTCCAATGGAGGTAGGTAATGGTCGTCGGATAGTGGTTCTGCCATTGCTGCAGCTATCAGCAGACAATGCGCAGTTGATTGTGCATCGAATTCATGTGAAGTGGTAGGAATGAGAAGAAGAGGAGGAATAATAAGAGAAAGAAGTTGTTATCTTTGGTTGCGACGCGCTTCAATATTTGCAAGAATGTTGAAACCCGCGAATTTACAACGTTGCCAAAGCTTAAATGCTTAATGCTGATATGGGTGTAACGGCCTGATAACTTTATTGGAACAAGAGAAAAAAAAGGTTCAGCGCCAACCTTGCCTAACAGCTGGAGCTCTAAATCTTGCACCTGCAGGTACAATGCCTAGTCAGAGTCTAACCATTTAGAGATTAGCGTGCTGTGATCCATCTATAGGCCTGTACCGAGTACCTATCTACTTAGTACCTACTAGGTACTGGGCATTTAAGTACTTCATAATGTACGCATCAGCAGGCGCAAGCCACCCATTACTATCGATAAGATTTTAGCCTCAGCCTTACATGGAGGGGTGTAGGTGTACCGGTACAAAGGTAGAGGTCAATAGGATGACTCCGATTCCCGGAAATAATGAAATATTATCACATTTGTGTAACTACTAGTAGTAATCACTAACCATTGGAAAAAGGGAGGTGCCAATGGAAAAAACAAGATCATCTTCAATTGTATGATCTGCTGTTCTCATCTTAAATCCACCTCTTATCTTGTCAGATCGGCATATTGGTCTAATAAAACGAAGCGCATCCACGTTTATTCATTCTATAAGATCAAAATTCTCCAGTCTCCAGTTTCCAGTCCACAATCTCCAATCCCCATCCCGGCTAGATCTATTCATCCATCTGTAGAGAAAGAAGCTTCAAAGGAAGAAGAGAGGGGAAAACCGAAGAAGAAGAAGAAAGAAGAGAGAAGAGAGAAGGATAAATAAACAGATCATGGCTTCGTCTCTGGACATCATTGACCACTCTCCTCACCATCCCGATCCGTCACCTCCCATCCCTACGGCCTCAAATCTGATCCTCATAGACAACTACGACTCTTTTACCTGGAATGTATATCAATATCTTGTCCTCGAAGGTGCTACCGTTACCGTATACCGGAACGATCAGATCACCCTCGAGGAATTGATCACCAAGAGACCTACTCAGCTTGTTGTCAGCCCCGGCCCCGGACATCCCATAAGTGACTCTGGCATAAGCCGGGATGCCATCAAACACTTTGCAGGAAGGATTCCCATATTCGGCGTCTGCATGGGCCAGTAAGTCAACAACTCTCCTTGCAGCTGTCTGCACGTAGTATACCCACTACTTAACCTATGTAATTGTGTACAGACAATGCATTTTCGATGTGTACGGAGGTGATGTGAGGTTTGCCGGGGAGATCCTCCACGGCAAGACCTCGCCACTAGCCCACGACTCCAAGGGGGTCTATGCGGGTATGGCTCAAGGTCTTCCCGTCACCAGGTACCATTCGCTTGCGGGTACACACGTCACTCTACCAGAATGCCTCGAGGTAACTTCCTGGATACCTAAAGACGACGGCTCAAAAGGAGTCATAATGGGAGTGCGGCACAAAGAGTACACGGTTGAGGGTGTCCAATTCCACCCCGAGAGCATCCTATCAGCTGATGGGCGAGTCATGATTAAAAACTTCCTACATATGCAAGGAGGTACCTGGGCCGACAACGAACGGCTACGTAAGGAGTCACAGGCTGACAGCATCGCAAATCAAAGTGTCGAAAAGTCATCTTTGCCGTCAGATCCAAAGAAGAGCAATATCCTACAGCAAATATACACACGACGAAGAGAAGCAGTGGCTGTTCAGAAGGAGATTCCGTCGCTACGCCCACGAGATCTTGAGGCCGCACACGAACTCAACACCGCCCCTCCCCAAATTCCGTTTGTCGATCGAATACGACAGAGTCCGTTCGACGTCTCGCTCATGGCTGAGATCAAACGGGGCTCACCCTCGAAAGGCATCTTCGCCCTCGACATTGACGCACCATCGCAGGCAAAAAAATACGCTCTCGCTGGAGCCAGCGTCATATCCGTTCTCACGGAACCAGACTGGTTCAAAGGCAGCATCGAGGATCTTCGCGCTGTAAGGCGAGTGCTAGACAGTATGCCCAACCGGCCAGCGGTGCTCCGGAAGGACTTCATATTCGAAGAGTATCAGATCCTAGAAGCGCGACTTGCGGGCGCGGATTCAGTACTCCTCATTGTAAAGATGTTAGACGAAGAACTTCTCCTGCGCCTATACAAGTACTCTCTATCTCTCGGGATGGAGCCACTTGTAGAAGTCCAGAATACGGAGGAGATGGCGACCGCGGTTAAACTTGGTTCTAAGGTTATCGGGGTTAACAACCGCAACCTCGAGTCATTCGAGGTCGACCTCAGCACCACCAGCAGACTACGTAGCCTGGTTCCTAAGGAAACCATCATATGCGCGCTTAGCGGTATTAACACTCACGATGATGTTCTTGCCAATCATAAGGATGGCGTTAACGCTATTTTGGTGGGCGAGGCCATTATGCGTGCACCGGACGCCTCGCAATTCATCCAACAACTCTGCGCAGGCCAAACCTCTGCCCAACAAAAATCTCTACACGGGCCTTTGTTTGTCAAGATCTGCGGTACTCGCACGCCCGAGGCCGCTCTCGCTGCCGCGGAGGCAGGTGCAGACCTAATTGGCATGATCCTCGTGCCAGACCGCAAACGCTCCGTCAGTGACGATGCCGCGAAAGCTATCTCCAAAGCAGTCCACGACTTCTCGCGGCCTGCCCCCGTCGCCCCGGCCGCCATCCCTAAGAACGCAGCGAGCGACTTCTTCGCCTCGGCACCCCTTAAGCTTACGTCCCCCAATCATACGCGCCCACTCCTAGTCGGCGTATTCCAGAACCAGCCGCTTGACGAAATTATTGAGTTGCAAAAGCGTTATAGCCTCGATGTCGTGCAACTGCACGGCCACGAACCCGTCGAGTGGGCGCGCGTTATACCCGTACCTATACTGAGGCGTTTTACTCCAGGCGAGCCGGGTATCGGCGTCCGGGGCTACCATACTGTACCCCTATTTGACCCAGGGTCCGGGTCGGGCCAACTACTGGACACCGTTGACGTGAAGGCTGCGCTGAAGCGGGACAGGGAGTTGCGAATTATTCTAGCGGGCGGTTTGGACCCGGAGAATGTCGTTGGGGTGATCAAGGCTGTAGGCCTGGACGGCGCCAGGATTCTAGGTGTTGATGTGAGCAGCGGCGTCGAAGGAGCCGATGGAGAGCAGAGTCTAGAGCGGATACGAGAGTTTGTAAAGACGGCAAAAGCTATCAGATAGAACTTTTATAAATATCACGGCGGTGGAAAGCGAGAGGGGCCGGTCTTGAGTTAGAATCAATGTCATTTAACGGCTTACGCACTTGGTATACCTAACCTTATCGCGCCGTGGCTCTTGGCAAGGTGCACATATCCCAATGACAGAAATGAGCGATTCCCGATTCTCTTTGGCATACCAGCCCCATACAGAACTCATGATATAAATCCACACCAATTAGCTATCCACTATGACTCGTAGACGTAGAGCCCAACTCGAGTAGCTAGAAAGATGCATCCTGGTAAGCATGTATATGCTTAAAGACCCCATGGATTACGGTGCCGATGTCTCCCTGTCGACTTCTTGCGAGCATCCTCCAAAGTTGTCTTAAAGTCACGATAAAGTGATTTGACAATTTTCTCTTCGCGCCAGCCGTCGATGATTTTATTGGCAAGCTTGAGACGTTTCCCGCCCCTCATACGCTCCCGCTCTTCAAGTTTGTCCGCGTTCATCCACCCTTCTAGTTGTAGCCGTTCTTCTACCCATTCCTTCAGTGCATGTTTCCAGTGAATCAAGCTATGCGCCGTTTCGGCATTGGTACAGCATACGATGCCAACGTGCCACTTCTTCGTTACGGCAGGCAAGGCCATGCCCTGAGAATCAATAGACCCATTGTCGCTCGTATCGCCCTCGTTCTCATCCGAATCTGACTCTATTTCACTTAGTGTGTCTTTGTAGTAAGGATGGCCTGAGAAAGTGATCACCCGGGTAGGCTGACGGTCGCCTCGACCACAGGCTTCACAAACATCATAAAGGCGTCTCTCGGCGGGTCCCATCGGAAGAGACAAGACATTCGGTCTGACTTTCAACGCTCGATGAAATTCAGGCCTCCAAGCCGACGACGCGAATTTGGACGACGCGAGACCTTGGACCTCATCGTTGAGTTTACGCCAGGCATTTGCGTAAACTGGGTCGTTCCGATCGAATGCAGGGTCAATTCGATTGCGGACAAGCCACTCGATGACATAAGGAAATTGCTCTTTAAGAGGCCTATGTGCTTGAGCCGTAAACTCGAGGGGGATATCGAGCGTAGCAGGTGCTCCAAAAGGAGCATCATCATCATCGACGACAAAATCGTCAAGGTCGCCGTCATCTTCTTCGTCCTCGCTTCCCTTTGGGCTATCTTTCATATGTTTCTTAGTTGATTTGCGGATTTGAATAGGCGCCTCAACTTGCTCCTTGTCTGATTCTTCTTCGTCATCAAACTCTTTGAGGACACCAAATTCGTCCTCTGAGTCACTATCATATATACCGCGTTTCTCTTCTTCAGAGTCTTCCGATGATGTGACTCTATCGATCTTCTCTCCAGCTCGTCGACGGCGAAGAAGTTCTATTTTCTTTTGTTTCTCCGTGCGATGGCCTTTAAGCGGAGGACGTTTAGTAGAGGAAGAAGCACTCGATGCTGACTTCTTGATTCGGTCAGGGATCACTTGTGAAGTCTTACTCCTTTTGGCGGGCGAGGTGGCCTCGTCACTAGAATCTTCTAGTTCAATAAACTTTGGACGTGCACGTTTCCTCGTGCTAGGTGGTATTATAGGCTCATCATCATCGTCATCGTCATCGCCATCGTCACCGTGGTCGATGTCGTGGTCGTCATTACCATTATAAGCAATAGTAGCATCCTCGGCCTTAAAGCCTGTTTGACGAAGCATGGTTGAAATCGACTGAGATGACTCCGGAAACGCATCTTCCTCTTCTTCAAATTCACCGACAGAATCATTAGCAGAGTCAGTGTTGATGGTGGGGTGTTTGAAACCCCGAGATTTTGTCATGAAACCAGCTTTGGGCAATGTCATTGACGACAGTGGCGACTTTTGGGAGGAGCCTATTCAATTGTGAGCATGATGATGACCAGGATGTTGGTTAAATGCAGATGATTTTTGAAACGTATTGATTATAGTAGGTGAACTGATTTGTTATAACAGCATGACACGGATGTGTCTTAATTATGAAAAGCGCTGAGATTCACATCGGATAAATACCTAGATAGGTACCTATCAAAAAAGAAACTCAGAGACAAGAAGAAGAAGAAGAAGCTAACCTACCTGAACGGCTCGGGGCGAGAGTTGCTTGTTGTGATGATGCACGACTTGAGCTGCCGCTCGCAGCCACACTTTTAGTGAAGCGTACGTTAGCGGGCGACGCTCTATTCGGAGACTCGAAAACGTCGATAGGCTCGAACGTGAGTCGAGTCTGATGCTGTTTCTTCTTGCGAGGCATGACTACCATCAAAAACACTATGTGCGATCAGGTAATAATAGGCGGTGCTAGTCCTATGTGTGTCAGTGTATTGTTAATGGTGTCTCAATTATTAAATGTGATGGATGTGAAGAAATAGATAACGAGTGGGGTTTGAAAAGGAACACCGATAGAAAGTTGTTAGAAAGAGGCGGGGTAAATACATTCCACTTTACCAGCTCTACGTAGTTGCCCGATATCCATTGATGTAATTGCCTTCAGTTGAGACGAGAACGCGTCAAAATAAAAGCATAGTGCCGATGATTTTCGCGAAATCACGTGGTCACCTACCTACTACTAGTAGGTACATAGGTACCTAGTAGGTAGATACGTAGGCAGGTGGTACTACTTCCTGTTAATTAGGTACTACATATGTAGGTAACGCTTCAACCTTGAAGTTGACTTACTACCTAGTAGGTACCTAGACTTATACCGTCATACACCATGCCCTAAAAGAAGTATAGTTACATATGTACCTAGTTACGCTATCGAATATACATATACACATTCACAAATTTTACCAATAATTTAGATAGGTTGGCTCTATACTAGCGGCTGGACACTCTCTGCCACCACTTCTATTGGCAATTTCAGAACTGCGTTTTGGGAGGATCGGGGTTGTATTCGTCGTGAAGTGTTTTGCGGGGGACATAAATGCCATGACTATGGGAGATTGGTGCTTGATCCTTCCTTAGACTATCTAATCGTCTCTTCTCTCTCTCTTCTCGTCATCATTATCATTCGCCTCTCCTCTGTGAATCCCTCACGAGAGCTCGTATTTCCAAGCCTTTCGCCCCGGGAGAAGAGCATTCGCTCGACACATCCGCTACGTAGGGGAGCGTGGTGACATTATAATTGTAGGCCACCATGATAAAACGGGTAGTTTGAACCACCACAGACGGAATAGGCCTCACCCATCACGAGGATGTGGTAGCCTCCTCCTTCTTCTCCTCCGTCTTAGATTCCTCTTCTTCACCCTCCTCCTCTGCCTTAGCCTGAGCAAACTGAGCCTCGTTATCTTTCTGGGCCTTGAGCCATGCTTCCTTAAATAGCTGAGCATCTGAGGAGGGCGTTAATCTCTCTGACTTACACAGCCGGGGAATAAGGGATCGTGACTTACTCTCTGCGTTGGCTACGCGGACAGAAACGGTGATAGCCTCGGGCTCGCCCTCGCTGACATCGGCGCCTACATTCCAGAGCCAGGCCCGGTCGCTAGTAGACATAGGAGCGATCGTCATGTCGGGGGTAACTACGTATCAGCAAAGATTAGTTCGTACCCGCCACCTTGAAGGTCTCTTAGAGATCTTTATAAAAACATACTATAGTGGTTGGCGCAGACCTTGAGGGTCTTGTCTCGTCGCATGACCAAGCGAATCTTGCCGTTCTCCTTATGTTTCAATAGGCGGAGAGGACCAGTACCACGCTCTTTCCATTCACCTTTTCCTTCGGCGTCTTGGGTGAATTTAAACATCTTGCACCGCATGTTAAAAACTTCCTCTTCAGATTCCTCGTGAGTCACAGTCTTGATCTTTTCGGTGAGCTTATGGACAGGCTCGAAGTGGACATCTTCCGACTCAGGAGGATCCTCCTGTACGGATAAATTTGATCAGCTCCTATCTTATTATGATGATCGAGAAGAAGAGGGGGGGTTAGGATACGTATGGACGCACCTCTTCATCACCCTTAGCAGCAGCAGCCGCCTCTCGCTGGGCCTTGGCGCTACCAGAAACATCGCCACGATCCTCGTCCTCGTCCTTCTTTTCCTTCTTTGCGCCGCCGCCAAACATGGAGAAGACGGATGAGGAGGTAAGAGGCTTGCCCTCGGTGGCCTCGGCAGGCTTAGGCTCGGTATTCTCGGTAGAGCTCATGTTGTGATACTGCTTAAAGGAGATGTGAGAAGAATGCTATAAGAAATTTGTTGTTTTTTAAATCCCAACAAGCGACGGTGGAAGATGAAATGGGGGGATGAAAGCGCTAACGTGTAGCCCAGGGTTAGGCAGTATTATCTGGGAAAAGTGCCGATAAGTTTAGATAAATCAGTGTGCAACGTAACTACTACCAAGTAAGTAAGCTACGCAAGACAAACAAGCGTGGATGTGTGGACAGGAACTTGACCAACATTAGGATAGATGTAAAGAGAGAAAGAGAAAAAATGCATTCGCAAATGCCACCCCACCGCCACAATAAATCCCCAAGACTTGGTGACTCCAAACACGACGTGGATAGTGAATATGGTACCTACGTTATATACCCAGATCTAGAACGATGCAGGTAATTTGATGCAAATGGGAGTATGCAGGTAGATAATGTGTAAAACTGCACGTACCGAACTTTTTGAATGTACGAAAGGGGACAAGAAGATTGGGTAGAAGTATGTAGTATTAGGTTGAAATTATTGCGAAAAGTTGCGGATTGTGGTTGTGATAGTTCCCAAGTCAAATAACAAACCAAACGAGGGGGTGGGGGGATTGAATTAGCAGAATTGCCCCTCGCCCCTCCTCTTGCTCTCTAGGTATCCAGGTACCCATGTACTCTACTTAGCTGTTTTCTTTTTGCAATTTAATTTAATACCTACCTAGTACTAGGTAATAGCACATGCATCCCATAAAAATGCGGGTCAATAGCGATTGAAGTAGTTGATGAAGGTAGATATATGTAGATAGGTACATATCCATGCATGTAGCGACATCGAAATTAATGACATGTACTGTACCCATAAACAAGTAGTAGAAGCCAATGCCTGACTCGCCAGAAATCGTGATTTTCCAAGTCGGGCACCAAGCAACCCCACCTACCTATTCCGACTTAGCAGGAGTATCTGTTTACCAACTGGCATATGCTATAAAATGGGTATGTGGCAGCTGCAAGCTAGTCTACACCACTATGCGGCTCCTGTCTGACATTCTATACATCCACGTGACTGTTATACGATAGTGGTCTTGGTGTAATAATAAAACTACCTACTTCGTACAATAGACGGCTTACATACATATAGTAGGTACCTAGGCAGTCAGACATTAAACAAATATCGCGTGCCATTATAAAACAAAAGGTACAAGACATGAAGGCAATGCATTATCTGAGACTTAGTCGTCGGTTATCTACCTACGGACCCTCGAGACTTAGTCTGGACATCTGATTACTAAGAAGTCAACGCAATAGCCCTCGGATAAGTTACCCCTACGCTCTTGAGCGCAACCACACCCCGCCATGATGCTGAATGCGGTTGGACATGAGAACACCCATTTAGTGTATTGCGCCTAACCCTGATTCCCGAGCAAGACTCGAACGAGAAAGAGAAAAAAAAGGAGAAAACAGAAAAGTCCTATCGTATCCCTGTCGCTCATCCTTTCATGCATGCGTTGCTGGGGAGCCGAGGATAAAAAGAGAAAGAAGTGGTGATTTGGCGAGATAACTGCCTGTCTGCAGTGATATCAGGATGCGAGGGACCAAGGCAAAAGGGGAAAGACGAGCAAAGACCATTATATCACTAAATCCCAACGCCATCCTTAAGTTTATTCTGGTTGACCTTATGATGTAAAGTGCACATAAGTGGAGAGGGGTCAGTTCTGGAATTGCCCCATACCCTTACGCCAGAAAGAACCTCTCGTTTCGTGGCGCTCGTGCTTTCGCCGGGTCCGTATCAGTTTTTTTAATTGTTCAGCTCTCTCTTGCTTAACCGTTTTAGCATCAGCAACTCTCTTTCCTAGATAAATCTCTGCCTTGGATAGATAGCGTTGGTACTCTTCAGTTCTTCCTCGTATCCGCAACCACCAGAGTTTAGATCTAAGCTGCGCGGAGAGGTACCGTAAAGCAAGCTCGTCACGTAGGTCCTGGGCCTCTCGTACCAATTGCAACTGCGCTTGGTGTTGGCGTTGCGCGATATTGTCAGCGTTGAACGGTAGCTTGATCGGGGTAGTGATCTGGGCTGTAATTTGTGACGGGAGGCTGAGGATGGCGTTGCCAACATCTCTAAGTCCTTGTAGTAGGGAGTCAGAGACGGACGATGTCTGAATGCAGACCTGTTTCGACACGACGTCTAGAGCCGGAATGTAGGTCTCTTCAACCCACGCCGTTGTCTCATTGACGGTATCAACTAATTTTTGTGCGAATCCCTTAACCAACTGCTTGCCAGCATCCAAGGCACCTATGAATTTATTCCGGCCAAAGTCGACGCGGAACGTCTCCTGTATCTTTGGTTTCCATGTCGTCGCAATAGATACCGCTAAGACATCGTGTGCCTCCTCCAGGGGTACTTCGATCAAGAAACCTTCCTCTACAGACGATACCTTTGTCGGAATATCGTAAAGACCTCGGCTGACCGCGATCAATATAGCATCCCTCGAGAGCCAAGTAGACTTCAAGCCCCGTGGAATGTTCACCATAATCTCATTACGGTCATATAGCTCTACCGAGCAGATTGGTTGTTGCTCAGATTGCTTGGGGATGCCTGTCTGTGCCTTGTCCTTTCCGAATGGCACGAACATAAGACTATTTGGCGAACTGCCACCGGTCTGCAAAGCCTTCTGCGTTTGTGCTAGTGCTAAAGTGGGTGGGACCACGGAGGTAGTCACGGAGTTCCCGGTGTGAGAGGGAACTGCTGCAGAGGAGACCGCCGCCACCGGAACTGTAGATAGAACTCTTGGAGTGTGTGGGCTAAATAAGAAGTACTTGCCGGTGATAGCGAGGCTATAGAGAATAGCAAGACCAGATAAGGCCACCAGAACACGTCGGTTTCTTCGAACATGTCTAAGCGTCAAATGATATGTGTCATAACCCTGGTACAGCGGCTTATTCTTCCCTGAAGATGACAGAATATGCTTGACATTCTCGCCCAACTCGGCATCTTGAATTGGAAACTTCTCAGTCGACGGGACTTCCCGGATCTCATCCTGGTCTGCCTGCAGTAGGCGAGAGAGGGCCGGGAAGCCATGCTGAGAGAAGTCTGTAGGGTTCTCGAGGCTCTGATTCACAAGGGTCTCAACATCGGCATCCTCGTCATCAGCATCTCCAGTAAATTCGACGACGGTGCTACTAATCGTGCTGATGATAGGTGCGTCGTGCAGCGCAGTAGCTTCCTCCTCATCCTCCTCGTCTTCATCGGAAGAATCGGTGTCGGCGTCGTTAGTGTCGACGTCGGTGCCGGTATCAGTGCCACCCAAGCTCTGGACATCATCGGGTCTTTGATAATCGAGAGAGCTGGCGGTTGACTCGGCTTGGCTCTCTCCGTCGGTACCGATAACATCGTAGCCTAGCTCGGCGAGGCTAGGCTCGTCGTCTGGTATATTTTCTGGTTGCATAATGTCTGGAGAACTGGAGGAAACCCAGTTGGTGAGCTTCCGGTTACCTAGTGGTCGGGGAAACCGGAGATACGGGACGGAATTGGAGATATGGTCGAGGCTGTCTGGTTTGCTCGACTCGACTGCGATAGGGTGAGCGGCACGGTCGGTATATGGGGGAGGTGGAACAGCAGTCGGTATATCGGTAGGTGTTAAGGGTTGGGGCTGTTCCATTACGTGGTAAAAATGAAATGCTCTTTGCCAGATCACGTCATACCTCGAGCTTACCGTGAAAGGTTGGTAAACCAGCCGAGGATGACAAGATTCAAGTAGGCTAGAGGCAGACACAAATAGAATATGATGCGAGGCTTGATGGAAGTTGGTCTGGCGCGAATGTCCGTCCTAAGCAAACGAACGGTGATGTCTTAGGTGAATGGTGGGGAGGGGGGAGGGGGTGAGTCGAGACGTCCAAGTTGCGTATAACAGACGAACAGAGGTCGAGACTAGCCAGATGTCTAGACAAACAGAGAGATAGCAAGTGTTAGCTAGCTGGCTTCGTGGGTTCTCGACAGATCTCAAGAGATGTTCCAGAGTCTTCCTTACTCGATAAATAAAACAAAGGGGATGATAAAGTGTAAAAGGTAGGTGATAGATGGTAGGTGGATGGTAGGTAGATGGCAGGTAGATGGTAAATGGCAAGTGGAATTCAAGTATCCAAGAGGGATAAAGGTTCCAAGATTGTGCGTGTGTGGTAGGATGTTATGCAGACAGTGTGCAGGTAGGCAAATCTAACAAGTTAGGTGAGATGGAGGAGAATAGTACCTAGGCAGGCAGACCGGGCGATCTGGACGAGGCAAGCAAGACTAGATATGCAATACGCACACTGTTCCTTTCGTCGGCGACAGGCTGGCGTTGCCTTATAATGATATGGCTAATGGAAGATGAGGAAGATGTGGGATTGTTTGGATTTCGGGTTATCGATGCGATAAGCAGGTAAGTATAAAATTGGTTGGACGATAGACAGCGACAGTTGCCTGTGAAATGAAGAACGGAGAATGGGTTGAATGGTGGGTGGTGGGTAGTCTGAGTATATGATTATGTATGAGGTGTTGCGGTAGAGCGCAGCTGCCTTACAACATTAAACATTGATACTTTATGTACACTGACTTTCTCTGACCTATCTTACGTGCTAGATATGGCAGCGCGCGCAGATATGTACCTACCTAAGTAGGTACGTATGGAGGGGGCGGGGTAGGTATATGGAGGTATATCCATGGATATTATTAAAGGTACCGCACTAATAAACTCCTAGTGGAATGGTCCCAAGGACGCAATCTTTCGTACTTGGAAAATACATAGGTATGTTATGTATCCATGGATGTGCCTAACGCAGTCTTAAACGCATAATTGCCTTTACGTTCGAATAATGCTCATCAATATCTACTATAATAATTATTAGAAGTATAGAAATTAGATTTAATTCGGATTACTTTTATCATCGCACATCTCCAGGCGGATATCAAAAAGATTGCGTGTGTCTTGTCTCTACCTAGATCAGCAGGTATGGGAATGTGGGATATGGAGAACAAGGTACCCAGTATTACGGTCAGGTGGAGATATCTAGTCTAGATAGGTACTTCGTAGTGGGGGCGAGCTATCTTGTTAGGTAGTACCTAGCTAACAACCTGCTGGGTATGTGCATACTAATCTAGTACTCTATAAAACATATATACCACGTACATATTGCTATGAAAGAACCGCGACCGACAAGGTTACTGAACGATTGATAATACCATTATCAATTTGTGATATCTGACATACTATAATATTTATGTTGTTCGATGTTAAGATATCTCCGTATCGATTAAGCATATTCCCAACTCGATCGAATGAAGAATCCATGGAGAAAAGAGGCTTCTTAAATGCATATGTGTGTATGTAGATACCTGTTGATAGTAAGCTTAAAGTAGAGGTTACCTAGAGGCTACACTTTCGAATTGTCCAGGTGCCTAGTATATTCCAAGTCATAATCAGGATAGAAACTACGCATGATTTCGTTACCATTACCCATATAGATATATTAGGCATTAATACATATATTTCAAGTCGGTCGGAAGCCAGCGGAAACCAACGGAACATCTACGTAACACGCGTCCTTTAGGTACGGTACTAGGTATTAGATTTTATACAGTACATACCTTAGGTAGGTAGGTAGGTAGGTAGGTACTACATAGGTAGGTAGGTATGTATATTAGAGAAAAGGATTAGAAGAGACGGTTATGGACAATAGTTACATCATGGTTCCATAATAGAAATTGGTAGCACCTAAATATAACACAATAAGCCTTTAAAACGCTAAGACAATCAGTGAAGGAAACACATGCATATCAGGATATTCGTGGATGTACCATAGTTAGTAATATTAAGTTACAGAATAGTACTATTAGAACTCCTAAACATCTACTACCAACCAAAAGCATTTGGTCAAGAAACCAAGGCATGAGATATATGTTCAGCTAATGAAGCTGCTTCAGACCGAATCTATGCCACCCGCCCGTCCAATACTCCTGCACCCTTGTAACGCCAACGGGATATCATATAGAAGCATCGGCTCCAGAACCCTCACCCTACTAAGCATAACGACATCAGTCGTCCACTTCTCATTAATTCCATCATTACTATCGTTGCCACAGCTATCATTTCTGCCATCCACATTCTCGAAATCTTATAGAAATTGGGGAGCCGTGTCTGATTTAATAGCTCTGTGCGGGACCACCAACTAAATGGCCACGCAACAATGAGCGACCAGGTAGTAAGGGTAGAGCTATGTTGCCCCTAGGCGTGGAAGAGCAGGATCTCAGAAGAGTCGATTTTTCGTATGTGCCCATAGCAGGTAATATGACATAATCTCGATATATGGGTACCTAACTTCCAAACCAGCCAGGGTTGGTAGTGAAGCAATCAGTAGTACGTATTATACCTGAGATTCAAACACGACGAAAGCCAATTCGGGCTCGCAAGACTCAGCCGAATGGGATTTAGATGATGCTATGCTTCTTGAAAATCCTCTCTAGTGACTCGCTGTCGAAGTCCTCGTCATCAGGTATCATATCAATGATACCAGTCAAGTTTGCGAATAAGTCGCCCTGGTTTCTGTATGCTAAAACCGTAGGTACAGCGGCATTATCAAATTCGATATCCTCGTAATGGACTTTGACAAAATGAACCTCGGGATGGGCAGTAACAAGTGGTCGTAAGGCTGATCCGATGAGACCCGATACTTCGCACTATCATCCGATTAACATATAGTTTTCATTAGACATTACGCGCAGCAGAGATTGACTGACCTCGTGATCATAAACGAATACGACAACAACCGTCTCCCTCCCCACTTTCTCGATGGCGTCCAAGTATCCTAGCGCGTCGACGGTATCTAAGCGCCCAAACATCCTTAGACTTGGGCTTGTTCTCCTGTTGCGTATGTTGTTCTTCGCGTCCCTCTCAAGCTCTTGCCTTCGCGATTCTCTCCATTGTTGTAGAAAGGCATCCTCGTCCTCGTCCTCTTCACTTTCACCACTTTGCGAACCTGTAGTCCGAGGTGTCTGGCCTCTCCCGAATACAGATTGCCGAGCGGCGCGAACCCTATTCCGCCACTTGCTTTGACGAGCCTGTTCGTAGGCGCGGGCGTCGGCGATGACGCCCTTCACACCAGTACTACGACCCGAGTCGAAACTAGCCGGAGGCAACTTCACGTCGCCTGTCAGGGTAGGGACACGCATTGCGGCTTCTATCTGGGCGTTGCGATGTCGATCCTCTTCGTCTTCGATATCGTCGCCGTCACTGTGTTCGGTCTCTCTCCGAATATCTTCTCGGTCCTCTGGATGTACCCGCGATCCTTTCTCAGTGTTTTTGTTAAGGAAGTCTTCGAACTCTTCCTGTGCCGGAGTTGGATTGTTGTTTACGTTTGCAGAAGTAGATGACATATTGGGTCAATTAGGAAGAGGGAAGGGGGAATGATGGTTGATATATGCGGACAGCTAAGTCGGTGTAGGCGACGGATTGGGATTGGGGGAACGTGGCCGCGTAGCGCGTAGGGCTTTGGGCGGTGATAGGAGGGAGGAAGAGAAGCCTAGGCTGGTAATGCGGTGCAGCGGTCCAATGTTTGCAAGGAAGGGATGGGATGAGGGTCTGGGTTTGGGTTTGAGTTTGGGGGGTTTCGGTTGGAATGCAAGGAATAAAATAAAAATAAAATAAAAATAAAAAATAATGAGTAATTATAAAGGAATGTTTCTGGAACAATTCCTAAATGGACTAATGGGCTAGATGATGGAAAGAAAGGAGCACATCAGGGCCGTCATCAATACGGAGGAAGGGCTGTGGTATGCGTCAGGATGTTTCAGACACCGGGAAACAAAGATCGGTTAGGATTAGTTGAGATTAGTTAGGCTTGATTAGGTTTAGTGAGGCTAGCAAGCTCGTTAGAGAATATGCGAAGGTCCACTTAACCACAAGCTGACAAGTTTTACGCATGTACTGTAGTATATATATGTAGGTATTATCTACAGGTTTTTCTTGTTACCCCAGCTAGCAGGTTATATGGAACGTCCTCGGTCCTTTCTAACGATATACATACATACTAATACTATATATTCCTTACCTTTCCAAAACAATATCCGGATATACCCGTAAAAAGAATCATTATTACAAGGAAATTAAGAGCTTTAAAGAATATAATAATAATGATAATGATAAATTGAAAAGATAATCACAGAAGTGTAAAAAGCTGGTTACCTATTCAAGTGATTCGATATAACATTGAAGAGCATGCACTACAGTACTTAGATACATATATGTAACACAATCCACTGGGTTGGGATCGCACAGTTACGGCATTGGGGCATTGCGCGGTCTCTAATGCGAGACCCTTGACAGGGTTTAAAAACGTGGAAGGGGACAGGGGGGTGAGAAACCCATTTCCAACTAATCTCTTTATCACCTACATGTACACATGGCATTATCATTAGCCACGACTAAACGGTTGAAATACTACTTCGTGTAATTGCTAATATTATAGTTAAAGCAAATGGGGGGGGGGGGGGGGAAACCACCTAATAATGAACTAAAAAAAAGAAGTGGAGGAAAAGCTGTTACCATAAATCTGGACCCAATTATAGATCGGATTCGGAGGAAAAAATCACGAATTTTACCTTTTTCGATCAAAGATATTACCTTCGAGGATTTAGCTACCAAAAAAAAAAAAAAAACTTTATGTTGTTTCGATATTTGGCTATGTCAAATACGATTAGCGAGCCAGCAAATGTTTTAAGGGGGTTAGTTAAACGTCGCATGATAAAAATGAAAACACATGAATATATTATACCATCGATTCTACCGACGTCATACGGTGTACACAATAATAATATATACCTAGGTAATATTTTGCGACTTTCCTTTTATATAAACGCCTAGTTCAGAAAAATAGGCTTATTTCTCATCACTAGGTACATTATCACGACAAATCGAACATAATAACTGTCACGCGTTCGCAGAACTCTTCTAGAACCGTAATTAGATCCAAGATGGAGCCTGCATAAGAGCCTGCCTGGCCTAAAAATAGCCATAGACTCCAATTTCGATCGCTTCGGCGTAGCCGACATCATACACTAGGCATAACATATCCATCACCAACTAATACGAGACTAGCCTCAGAGTAATCCTCACATTCGGCTTGAAGGGGCACTTTTATCCCTAAGTATTCTTGTTGTCACAAGGCGGAACTAAAAGGGCATAGAAACAACGGCGTTGTTATATGAGGAGCTCCAACCTACTCTACATACTCTGTTCTAGGGATTACAACCAACACGCCAACCTATAATCTCCCATGAACTTTCACGGACTCCAACGAATTAAGCTCCGATCCTGCTAAAGCATTAGTCACTAGTCCTCTGATAGACTAGACTTCCGGCATTCTTGTCAAGGAAATTGAACAATGATATTGATAATAAATACATGTTCTATTATCCAAACTTGGGTATGTTTGTTCGTATTCAGTATTATACAATACCTAGTGACTTAAACATTAGATAATAAAGCATAGAGATTCGATGTAATAGTTAAATCCTAGAGTGATATAAATATTGTTGAGGTTAATGTACGCGCTTAATCTCATTGGAAATTGGATATCAACGGGCAAATATCCGAATAAGGATATAAGGATACGATGCGAAGTTAGACTGAAGAGGAAGAGGTACACACGAATGGAAACATCTTCAAGGACTTTACAAACCGACGACATAATATACGAACTGTCCTGGCTTGAGTTACGTGATCGAGAAGAATATTATAGCTCCTCTAGTGATTGATTGTGTTGTAGTCCATACTTCTGAGCAGTCTCATCTTCCTTCTCGCTATTTACGCCAGCGATGGCTCCTAAAACACACAAGAAAGAAACAACGCACACGCAGTATGAGTGTATGATCTATAATTATCGTGCTGAATCGAAACATTGATAATACGCATGTGTTAAAAGTCTGGTCTGGACCTAGAGGAAGACTAGTAACTAGAGAGTAGTTTAAAGCTGCTCGCGCAATAACGTACAATATATTTTAATTCAGTTTCCCTATTCACCACCAAATCTATAGATATATACCTAGGTATATAACCGAATCAACAGCCAACAGCTAAACGGTAAGTGACTCTCGAGTAGGACTTTTGAGTCTTAGAAGAAATATAAAGGAGACTTTCATGTTTAAGAGAGCTATAAAATAACGTAACGTGAAACAATAATATTCAGCAGATGATGTGTTTGCAAGTTGGGTCGTGCTAGAACCTCTTTGGGCACATTACCGGCTAACTCGAGACTGGTCACTCGGGTATTATCATCCTAGGGGTGAAAATGAGAAAGATATAGATAAATATCGATAATCTCGGAAGGGTCACCATCAGATGCCTCACCCAACTGAATATACTGTTCAACAGGTTAAGCCCTCTACCCAAAGCTTGTAAATTATACGAACCGTTACCCAATAGATGCGTGGAATAACAAGAAAGGGTTTTCTTTCCATCAACCTCTCCTGAGTTGTCTTGGCAACTATAAAACCAAATTCGTCACGAAAAGCAAGATAATATGGCAGATGACCTAGTAGTTTGAATGGTTTCAGCGTTCAATATGACATGACTATGGTACAGATAGCAAGTGAAGGGCCGGTGTGACGCCGGATGCGAATGTGTTTCCTCCTGCCCCTACTTCAACTGCACCCAGCCGACTTGACCCCTCCATTGATGTTCGGAGGTACACGCCGACACAAGGGACAATCTCTAGGAAACACCTGCGGGGATGACCGGCCATCACCAAGGCCTAAAAGTTAGGGCTAATCTCTCCTCCCCGCCAGACTGAAAAAAGTAGGCCACCATCCTCAAGTGATTTTGCTCTTTATCCACAAAGAATATCAATCAATAGCTCTACTCCATCGTAGAGATCAGGGGGCGGTAAATAAAGGTAGCAAAAGGAATCAAGTAGACGCGCAATAGTTGTTTTTTCCGGGTGAAAAGCCTTTTCGTATCAACATGCCCCCCTATGAAGGGAGAAGACTGCATCCGTGTATCAAGTTGCCGTAATTTTTGAACTAAACCACAAGGAAGCAAAGGCCGATTAAAAGAAAACCCATCAATTAGATTCCATCTTTGTCCTACAGGACACGGAGAACCCCAACTCCCACACCTCGAGGGGTAGAGACTAGACTAAGCTGTGTGTTCAGCAGCGGTAGCGTCATCGTTGTCGTCGTCGGAATCCGATGCAGTATACTAACTGAGTAACCGATAGATGGAAGACAGGCATAGAAACAGGATATTATTCTGGTATCGAAGGGCGGACAAGACCGGGGGAACTATACACTCCTCTGGCTCCTTGGTCGGCGGCAGCAAACAGTCGTCGGGTGGGAATCAAGTATAACGTAGGCCAGTAAGGAAAATAGGTGCTGAGAAAGGCTGTCGTGACTTCGTCCTAACAGCACCAAATCTCGACGATTCAAAAAGTGCGTATCAGGTAGAAATTAGTTTCGAATATTCATTCGATGAAAGATGACAATGACACCGACGATTCGGGTAACGATAGTCGGTATATGTGTTGGAGTAGACCTTCGTCTACATCTAGTATGCCCAGATTTTAAGCTGCAGTTGGTCAGCACAATCGAATCCAGGCTACAGTTTTGACAGTGAAGACTTACCACCGAGTCCCAGGAACCTGTGCACAAACTGATGCCATCGTTGCTAACGCCCAAACAGCTAACACGGTTCTCATGGCCTACGAGGGATCCAACTTTTTCTCCTCTCGTAACATCCCATACCTGTCAAGTATTAGTCGATTCGGTTCGACTTGAAGGGGCTAGAACAATCATACCTTGCACTCAAAATCGTCATATCCAGCAAATAGCAGGCGACCCGACACAGAAGTGGCCACAGATGTGATACCACATAAAATGGATTCCGACTATGCCTCAATATCAGTATCCAGCGCATCGAACTTTCACCAAATTATCTACTTACGCCGTAAAGATTGAGCTCTCTATCTGCTCGAATGTCAAATAGCCTACACGTCGCGTCATCGGAACCGGTCACGAAAGAATGCCCATCTGGGAAAAACTGGATGGCGTTAATATCTGACTCGTGGCCGGCGAAGGTCTGCACAGCCTTGCCGGCACGGATATCCCAAAGTTTCGCAAAGGCATCGCAGGCGCCAGATATGAAGGTATTCTGGTTAGTAGGGTTTAAGCTGATGCTCATGACATCGCCAAGATGGTCGGCGAACTCCATAACTTTAGTACCAGTCTCGATATCCCACTTCATGCATGTCATGTCACCCGACGAGGTGAGGATACTCCGATCATTGATGAATCGACAGCAGGATAGATAACCAGCATGGCCAGATAATTCGCGGGCGACGCGTGTTGGCCCGTCTCGGTTTTGGTTGAGGTTATAAATAGAACAGATATTATCCAGACCACCGCAAGCGACATAGTTACCGCTCGGGGCGTAAGCGCAGGTCATGACCCAAGACGATCTCAGAGGGATGGCGTGGACTTTGTTCGTCGTATAGGCATCCCAAATAATCAATTTCCCATCTTGTGAAGCCGATACCAGGTGCCTTCGGTCAGTTGACCAGTGCATGGCATAGATCTTTGCCAGATGTCCCTTGAGCGTCCTCTTCGTCTTCATTAATTGATTCCTGGGGATTGATTCATGAGATTGCTGCGCAACGGCGCGGACTGGAGGCGACAGATTCAAACGTTAGAACGACACAGACACTTGAGCAGATAGAAAGACAATCAATTGATAGAGCGTATATGTGACTTAACTTACGAGTAGTGTCGGCCAGCTCATCCTTCTTTCGCTTAATCCTATCTTTTAAGTTCTCAGCCTCGCGTCGCGCTTGTTGAATGCGCGCCTGCATGGCCTCGGGCGACACATCGTTCGGCCGTTGGGAGTCCATGGCGGCGATGGAAGTGTGTCAGCGAGAGGTCCGAGGAGCAGCGGGAGAATTGGATGGGCGATGATGGACGACGGGCGTCGTCAAGCGGTGTGGACGGTGTTGATTTTGGATTCGCGAATGGTGGAGAGGACACCGAAGGGGTAAAAAAGAGAGAGAAAGGTGTGAGGTTGGCTCAACTCGGGGTAAGGGTGAGGAGGGAAGAAGGAGAATACAAGCTCCAGGGGGGCCTTGCTGGGGGCGTGCTCTGACCAGCGGCCAATACCTAGTATTAAGATGGATTACAGAGTAAGAAAAAAACGAAATAAAATAAAATAAAGCCCCAGCTAGGCCAGACTCGGAGAGAATTTGGAGATGAATAGAAAGCGCACGTAGGGGGAAAATAGAAGACGGGTTTATTGTCAGAGCGCGATGATGGAAAAGTGCGGAGATTAGAATAGGAAAAGTCAGCTTAATGAACAATTAACTGCCCCCAAAGCTGGCTAGTTAGCAACGGTAATGGTGGTGGTCGTGGTGGTAATAGTAGTGGTATTGGTAGTGGAAGTGTGAGGTGGGAAAAGGAAGACTCTAACAGGATGTCAGAATTGAAATAATAATAACTAAGACAAGAGAAACTAGAGGGAAGCTGGCACTGACCTTGGCCTGGAAGGAGTAAGTACCTTGTAGCTAATGGAGCGAGGTACTGCGTAGCGAGAAGAAATAATTGAAGGCAAGTGCATATGAGCTGGGTTCATTGCCCAGTGGTACATATTAGGTATGTACATGTGTACATCCATCCATCCAACTACCTAGTACCTAGTAAGATTATTGGTATATCCCCCTTAAGCACTCATTCTACATAAAGAAAACCTCCTACTTAACAGGGCTACATTGCCAAGAAATTTAACGAAGCTTAAGCTTAAGTGGCGGGAGAACACAGTATCGAATTACAGTGTTTCCAGTGCTTCCTACAGTACCTATGCTTCCTATGTAATAAATATCCTTACGTACGTACACTTTCACGACAACTAATAAATCGAAAGGCGCCATTTCATACATCATAATAGAAACGATTAATGAATGAGATCCATAGGTTGGGTTTTCTTAAATATTTATGTTTAATTCTACTTCAGCGGCACAGTTAATAAAGTTTAACAACTAAAGCTAACTGCCATAATATTATGTAACCAGGAAGATAACATACTTATCTATTAAACAAAACTTTTATAAGTTGGGTATATTTTACTATTTACCTAAGTAGTGGAACTGAAAGGCAAGGAAACAACGACATTATTGCGAGAAAAGCTCCAAACTATTCTCATTAAGGAAAACGCGGTATACATCCATACAGATGAGGCTCTTTGATTGTTCTGTACAGCGTACATAGAATGAGTCTTCAGGGATTAAATAATTATTTAACCCGCAACTGATCCCCTATTCTAATACACATCTACTGCAATACAGCGTATTATAAATAAGTATATTAGCTATTTGATGTATGCGATTAATAATATGCATACCCCTACATAAAAGGGGACGGCCATTATTATTAACAGGTCTCCACCGCTACGAACAGGAACTATGCCTTGTTAGGATCTTAGGATGCAGATAGAACCAGAATTAACCCTGAGTAGTATCCCAACCGCGTTAGCCTTATTCCTCATTAATAACATGGAAGACGCTCTCAATCCTTGCCTGCTATTATATGTTTGCAAGGTACATGTACTGGACTCGCAAGCTTCGGACCTAAATGATGAACCCTCTCTCTCAATTTCTTACTTAGCTCCTCTTCCACGATTGTGCAGCGCAACATAGTAACGAGGCTCCTATTAAAGAGCCTGACATGTGTAAAATGCGAGGATCAATTAAAGAAAGCTCGGACTTTGGTAAAATGGCTATTACTAAGTAGATATTTACGTACAATACCTACCTACCTAGTAGGTAGGTATGTAGTAGGTATTGTGTATATACGCTGTAAATGTTATGTTTTGATCGACCGGGAAGATCTGACTACTAGTACTAGGTATGTAATTATGCAGATAGAACTTCTAGAAGATTTGTTATAGTTGAGAGCCGGTAGGAAAGCTGCTAGGTGGCATGGTACAGTAGGTACTACCTAATAGGTACCTACATAGGTAGGTATATTCCAGCTGGTTACAGAGTACTATGTACAATACATTCAGTAGGTTCCTAGTAGGTACTTTGCCTGGTGCCTACCTACATATGTAGCACCATACCGTTCCTTAACTAATCGTAAAATATTATTAATAAACCGCATGTTGTGGAAGGTGATAGCTTCGATAAAAAATCGATATTCTTAGTTTTATGGACGCTATCATAGTACTTGACATAATTACAGTATTACTCCTACATCCATATGTAATTATGTAACTACTCTGTAGAATTGCATATACTACTAGTTGCATATATGTACCTGTGGACGTGTTCCTAGGTACTCAGTGATATGTACATATGTATGTATAAAACTTTTAAGCAAATAAATCTAGGTACCTACCTACTTGGTACATATAGAAAACTATGTGCCTAAGCTTCAAGGTTATACCTAGTACCTAGTAAAGTGAAAGTCTACTAATGTATGCAGGTATCAGATAGGTACCCACCTACCTACCTAGTACATATATAGCTCTTGATTCTAACATGAAATGTTCATATCAAAACCACCTAGATATTCTTGTATTCCTATTCTTATTGTTAACGATACTGCCTAGACAAACACATGGCCGCCCAGCCTTTCAACTTGAGATCACTTGATAAACGGCTAGCATGTATTCTTCGACCCTTGACAAGACCATGACACCGGAACTTGGATTGGACTTTAAATCCATGCCTAAAATTGAGGTAACTATATCGACGTTGCGATTTATGACATGTCTATCTCATCCTTCGATAGATAGGTATTGACTCTACAAACAACTGAGATCGGTGGCGGTTTGTGCTTACTCGCATACTATTTGAACTCTGTCGTTTCACTTCACCATACTGCTATGCTGACTTATTTCTACCGAGACTGACAGCTCCACGCGCATCTGTCCGGAAGCATCAGCCGACAATGTCTGCACGAAATCTGGGAAATGAAGAAGGCGGCTAGGAAAACCGATCTTGAAGACCCGTTACTCGTGATGCCACCGGGTAGACACGACTATGACCTTAAAACGTAAGACGCTCCTCCATTTGACGATGAAAAAAAAAAAATAGAATCTTGTTGCATTTTAATACTTATACGCAAGTGGGGTTTGAAATATAAAAAGGGGGGGAAGAAAAAAAGCTGAGATTGTAACTTCACAGCTTCTTCCCGTTGTTTTCCTCGTACATTTACAACCTCATCGACGATGTTTCATCCTTGGAACATTCCACCAAATCTGTAATTAGAGATTTCGCACACGATGGAGTTGTGTACCTCGAGCTGAGGACGACACCACGAGCGATGCCTACCGCTGGTCTAGACAAGGCGGGTTATGTTGACACTGTGCTGCGAGCGATTGAAGATGCGCGGGCGGATACGCCAACGTTACACACGCGCCTCATCCTATCCATTGATCGGCGCAATAGCCTCGACGAAGCAGGCGAGGCTGTCGCGCTGGCGAAACTCTTCCGAGACCGAGGTGTCGTAGCTGTCGATCTCTGCGGCGATCCAACCAAGGGGGACGTCTCCCTGTTTACTCCAGTCATCGAGGAAGCGCGGGCGGCCGGGCTGAAGATTACGATACACTTTGCTGAGGCCGAGGCCAGTGCTAGCGAGGCAGAGCTGAACACGATCATGAGCTGGATGCCAGATCGCCTTGGCCATGTCATACACGTCTCGGAGGCTATTAAGCGACAAATTGCGGAGCGAGGGGGCATTGGGCTGGAGTTGTGCCTCAGCTGCAATGTTCACGCGAAGATGATTGTCGGCAGCTTCGAGGCCCATCACTTCGGGGGTTGGTGGCGTGTCGATGGCCCTATCGTCGTTCCGTGTGTAAGTTGAAGCGCAAAGGCTCGTCTATTTTCGTATGAGCACTAGACTCACGAGATATTAGACTGATGATGTGGGCATCTTCGGTAGTCCGTTGTCAAATGAATGGAGGCTAATTCAGCACCATTTCCGTCTACAGCGAGAAGAAATTCTAGGGTTAGCTAAAAAAGGTATTGGCGCCATATTCGCGGGAGATGGCGAGAGGGAAAGGTTAAGGCGGTTAATGTGGTGAGGTTATAGGCGTCCTTGTTATAAGGGATATGATGAGATATGCATATCCCTTCTCATGTTAGCTACATCTTGATATTTCGTATGTTTTCGAATCCCCTAACTGATCTAAGGAGTAGCCTAGTCAACTTCACTCTCAGATTAACATAAGGAATATCTATTGCTAATGGAGCACCAAAGTACGACTCTTCATATTTCCTCGTAACCTCACAACATACGACCCTAGTCGTGCGTTGCTGCCCATTCTTTGAACCAATCTAAAGCCTCGGGATTTGCCACGCTGGCATTTGTTTTGATGCTGATACCGGATAGGATGTGCTTGACTGCGACCTCGATCCTGATAAGTCATTAGTTAGAACTCAAGAGACTCAGGTAGTGTAGACGTACTTTTTCCCGTTTCCTGTTTTGGGAATCCCTGCTCCGCACTCCTCTATGACACCAGGAACATGCCTTGGACTTAATTCCTTCCGAATCGCAGTGATAATTTTCTCACGAAGTTCTAGGGAGAATTTTCTCCCCTCAGCCATGAGGATGAACAAGCAAACGGTCTCGTCGCGATCCGTTTCCCGTCTCCGGCCAACACACACCGCATCTTCGACCTCATTTCCGAAGAACTTCGTTAACACATTATATATCTCAGCACTGCCAAATCTTACACCAGCTGGCTTGAGGACGCCATCACTACGCCCTAGCATGGTCAAACCGCCCGTATTTGTGTCGATCCGTATAAAGTCGCCGTGATGCCAAATGCCTTCGAAACGCTCAAAATAGCTAGCACGATATCGTGCTTTGCCATCAGGCCCCCAAAATGTCAGGGGCTGACAAGGGAATGGCTTGTTACACACCAATTCTCCATCTTCACCCGGAGTTGGAGTACCGCTAACGGAGTCTACGACGCTAATAGCCATCCCGAGGCCTGCACATTGTATCTCGCCGACATGAACAGGAAGCAACGGACATGGAGCACCAAACAAAGAAATTATGTCAGTGCCACCAGTAATAGAAGCTAAGTTGACATGAGCAGGAAATGCTTCATAAACAAAAGAGAAGGTTGAGGGTGGCAAAGGTGAGGCTGTAGAGTATATTGCTTGTAAGTGGGAAAGATCAAGTAACTGAGCAGGATATATGCCGTTGGATTCTAATGTAGTGAGATATGCAGCCGAGGTACCGAAGTGGGTTACTCGCTGCGAGGAGAGGAGTTTGGGTAGTGAAAGGTACCCATGTGGTTTGAAAGGTGAACCGGAGTATAGGATCAGAGTGGTACCGCAAGCAAGAGCCGAAATACTCCAATGCCACATCATCCAGGATGTAGTGGTATAGTAGAGCATCCTCGAAGTTGAATCCATCGAGCAGTGAAGAAGGTGTTCTTTTTTATGTTGAATTAGCGTGCCTAATGCCGTGTGGACGATCGCCTTCGGAAGGCCGGTCGTCCCACTAGAGTATAGGACGTATAAGGGATGAGATGGCGGGAGTTGCTCGAATCTTAGGGGATTGTCGTTACCGCTACACCATGTTAATTTAGGTCTGTTTGTATAAACGTCTCAAACTTTTAGGGGATACCTTTTTAAAAAGATTTCATAGTCTTCAGCCATAACCCCTTTCGCGCCCAAGGCTTCTAAGCCTAGACTAGAATCTCGGATGTTACTTATCACGACAACAAGTTCTAGGCCTTTAGACTTAAGTTCATCGACAATTTTTGAAGTCTTGTCCGTGCTAGACCACGATTTGCCATTGTAGATGGTGCCGTTATCCGCAAAGAGGACTTTGGGTTCAATTTGGATCAATCTATCTAGTACGGAACTCACACCATTATCCGGGCTTATTCCTGTCCAGACGGCTCCAATCGCGGCTGCTGATAGCATTGCGATGAGAGCCTGCGCGTGATTGGAGACAAACCCAGCAACTACGTCGTTAGGCTTTAAGCCGGCGGCCCTGAGGGCATTAGAACATTGGCGAACGGCCTCTCGCAATTCGGCCCATGTCGTCGACACGAGTTGCCCTTCAATTTCAGTGACCGTCATAATAGCAACGGAGGACTCTACAACGTTTGCTTTGGCCGGGAACAGGAGATTCTCCGCGAAATTCAAGCGGGCCCCCGAGAAGAAGTCCGGCCTAGGGAACATGGGGACATCACCTGGCAGGACCTAGATATGAGTGGCATGTTAGCCGGGATTGCACACATACAGCTTAGAAGTTGTGAATGATATGAGATCAATATACAAATAGCTAAGAATACGTACGTAGGAGTAAGACTTGGACGCTTTGATGCCACAAAACTGCCATATTTCTCCCCAGAAGTCCGAAATGTTCTCGGTAGACCATTTATATAAGTCTGGATAGTCCTTGATGTTAATGCTATACTTAGATCTTACATGCTCTAGAAATTTGTACATTTGAGTTGAGGAAGGATTCGGATGCTTCCACAACTCAACTAAAGCAGGTTTGTGATCAGTAGTCATTGCGAATACACAGATCTTGGTTTCTGCGTCGGCGTCTTTTTGTTTGGATGGGGATGTTTTTGTGTTATGGATATTAGATGGAAATCAACGGAAGTAAATGAGCGAATGTCTGACCAAGATTAAATGTTCAGTGTGGATGAATGCTATGTATTTAGTTGAGGGTTATTGTTGAGCTGACGATGGTTAATTGTTAATGTAAATGCATGTGCCCATTTTTGTCCCGAGAGACTAACTATGTAGCTATCTAAACGTACATACCTAATACATGTAGATAATCATTATACTCAGTACTATTTAAAATAAACATTAAATAAAAAACGTTCGAAAATTAAGTAATCTTAACCATAACTAACTTATAAACCGGCATTATAAATAATATTATTTTTTTTAATATAAATATTAACTTAATATTAATATTAAAATGCTTAAAATAAACTTACACATAAGTTATATATATTATATATATTCCCGTAGTTTTATCGGAAATAAGCTTTCATTCGATACTTAAGTACATACATACGGTATACATACATATATGTAAATAAAACTGGGACATTAATACATATACATATATACATGGCATTAATGAGTGTACCTCTATTTAATACGTGCATATATGTACGAAGTACTTATTCCTTAAATCATTTTATGAAGACGAATGGATCAATCGATCCTTCAAATACCGGCTGTCATAATTATGTACGCCGTAACATGGTCATAAAACCAATTCGAAGCCCCCCGCCAAGGGTTAATGGCGTGGTTCAAAATGAGGGAGCCCTCGGAAGTAATTTCGCGACTGGCGCCATTTTCTATTGCCTTGCAATGCGTGTATTCCGTATTCGAGATGAACATTAAGTCTTCGAAGAGTCACATGAATTCTTATTTGAGAAGTATCATCTTTAAATAGCTTTGATGCGGACTTGGATAACAGTCACGAATAGTTAAGCAAGTTAGTGATGAGGAATGGTGTAGATGCAGCTTGCCGACACGGGGCGTTGATAAAACGCGAGATACCTATGAACATTTGAGAACATAGCACTAGGTACCTAGTAGTATTTTGCAGCCCCATAATTTGGACAGTGTGGAGCACGGATCGCTCGGAAAGAGGAAAAAAAAAGTATGTACATACCTAGTTTTGACGGAAAGTGCAGGCTGACTGGCTGATAAGAGTGAATGAAGTTTTGGCATTGTCAGTTTATAACCGTACGTTATTAAGGGGCAAGACGGAGTTAGTCCACCTATTTCTTTATCAATGCTGTCCTATTGGCCTTTAAGGTTCCACTTAAATGTCCTTAAGCGCCTTAAAACTCTTGTGTGACACCGTGGCTTGGACGGTTCCAGAAGCTAATGTACAGTATTGTAAATTTCATGTTATCATTATGTAATATGTACGAAGGTATAGTACATGGTCATTTAGATCCACCTCTAGAAACTCTTTCCCATCAATGGGATTGCTAATTTTCATTTTATCTCTTCTCACTCCGCTTCTCCTTTTCAACATCGTGCACCTCTCTTCCTTGTCAGCTTCGGAAAGGTGTTGCTGGTGTCGAGGGCAGTTGTCGACGCTGTGTTGCTATCGACGGGAATTCCCTTTTCCCTTGACCACGCTCTTTGGTTTTCTCGATATCAGCCACCGGCCAATTGAACCTCCCTCATTTGAGCTCAGCAGCTTAAGGTATTACATAGCTTTGAGCTTCCCTGGCCGGTTCATCCGTGGACCGATTGACAAGACACAACAAACAGCTTAGAGGATATTTGGGGTTTTGGGGGATCGGCAAGGTGAGTTTGTTCTTCGTTCAATTCCTTAAAATATTATTGTGTATACAGGATGCATTTCTACTTTATTGTTCATACGAATTCATCGGTCCTTCATTGTCTGTCTACTTCAATGGTGCCATAATTTCCATGTTTTTATAGTTGGTTAGGAAACATCGAAACTACACTGCGCCTTCAATCCTTTTACACATAACTCTTCTTATCTTACCAGAGTCAGAACTGCCAGCTCTGGTTTCAACTTTCCTCTTTCCATTTCATATCCAATTCCTCAACACAAAAATCGCTCCTATCATGTTCTCCATTTTCTAATTGCCTATCCCTAAAAACTATTGACGGCCATGCTTTCTTCCGTGTTGAATACCAGCTCTCCGAATAAAATATCCCAATAACCTTATGATCGTTCATTAACATTGGTCCAGATTCGCGAAATACCCAACCTCAGATCTTAGCGCTCGGTGAATTTCGCTCTCCTAAGACCGCCACAATATATAGACTTCCATTACCGATTTCCGTTACCTATAGAAATGCCACGACGTATCTCGATCCCTTTTACCAATTCTACAAGCATGCCGCACGCCGAGAGGTCCGGCGAGAGGAGACCCTCGCAATCCAGAGGGAACCGCCTCAGCTCGTTCTTTTCCCCTTCTACGAAGACCAACCAGCCTACCGCTCAACAAGCCTTAATGGCCATGCAAAACAATTCCACTCCTTCTGTCACCACTCCTAATTTGTCACTACCATCTATTTCCCTCTCTACGGCCACTGGTGGTGAACCTCGCGACGATGAGCCGCCCACTACCCTATTTCAGCCACCCGACTCAACCGAGATTTCACGCCAGAAGCGATTTGATGCTCAGTTCGGGCCACTAGTTCATCCAAGCCACCGCTACGTTAGCAAACATCAGGGAGAACCTTTGGAGGCCCCTGTAATTGATGAGCCGCCCTACTATTATGTCCTGACCACCTATATCAGCTACCTACTACTTCTTGCTCTCGGTCACATAAGAGACTTCTTCGGAAAGAGATTTAGTAAAAAAGCAACTTACAAGACAATTCGCGCGAACGACGGCTACGCTCCTTTGAATGACGATTTCGACAACTTTTACACAAGGAGACTTAAAATGCGCATTGACGATTGTTTCGCAAGAACAAGCACTGGCGTTCCGGGTCGCTACATTAACCTCTTGAACCGTGTCTCATATGACTTCAATGAGTCATACAAGTATATTGGTGGAACAACGGAGACTTTGAACATGAGCTCGTACAACTACCTCGGATTTGCACAATCCGAGGGTCCTTGCGCTAATGCTGTCGAGGAATGCGTCAAGAGATACGGTCTCAGTTTCTGTAGTCCGCGCGCTGATTCAGGCACTTCGGATCTTGTCTGCGAAGTCGAGAAAGAGGTTGCATCCTTCGTCGGAAAACCTGCTGCTATGGTCTTTTCGATGGGGTTCGTTACAAATGCCAGCTCCTTCCCAGCTCTTGTCTCCAAAGGTTGCCTGATCCTTTCTGACGAGCTGAATCATGCCTCAATCCGACTTGGTGCCCGTCTTTCTGGTGCTGTCATTCGTTCATTTAGGCATAACGATATGGTCGATCTAGAGAAACGGTTGCGCGAAGCCATCGCCCAGGGCCAGCCTCGAACCCACCGTCCTTGGAAAAAGATCCTAGTCGCCATTGAAGGATTGTACTCAATGGAAGGTACTATGTGCGATTTACCCGGTGTCCTAGCCCTCAAGGATAGGTATAAGTTCGCTCTATACGTCGATGAAGCCCACAGCATTGGAGCTCTTGGAGTCAAGGGCCGCGGCGTTTGTGATTACTTTGGTATTGATCCTAGCAGGGTAGATATCCTGATGGGCACTTTGACAAAATCCTTTGGTGCCAATGGCGGTTATGTTGCAGCTGATAAGCATATTATCGACAAACTTCGGAGTTCAAATGCTGCTACCATGTTGGGTGAATCACCGACTCCTGCTGTCCTGATGCAAATTATGGCATCGTTAAAGATCATCTCCGGCGAGCTTGTCCCTGGTCAAGGTGAAGAACGGCTGCAGCGCATTGCTTTCAACTCTCGGTATCTTCGTCTCGGCCTGAAGCGTCTCGGTTTGATCGTTTATGGCCACGATGATTCACCTATCATCCCCGTCGCCTTGTACAACCCAGCTAAGATATCTGCCTTCAGCCATGAAATGCTCAAGCGTAACATATCGGTTGTCGTCGTCGGATACCCCGCAACCCCTTTGATCAGCTCCCGTGCCCGATTCTGTGTCTCAGCCGCCCACAACAAAGATGACATGGACCGTCTCTTAGCTGCCTGTGATGAAGTCGGAGATATTCTGCAACTCAAGTTCTCCACAGGTGTCGCAGGAGGTTTGAAGCCTCTACCGGAAGGTGTTGCACCGGAGGATGAAAAGGTGTGGCGTAAGACTAGCGGGTTAGAGAGCGTTATCGAGCCACCGCGATGGTCGCTCGAAGAGGTCATCGCTCGCGGCGCAGAAGATGCCAAAGCCAGGTTACGGTAGACCATCTAATCTAGCGCTCCGCGATCGGCGGATGTGAATAGCTCATACCAAGGCGGTTTTATCAAGGTACGGGAATACATCATCTGTCAAACTAGGGCGCCTCGGAGTTGTGTTGGTAATAGACGGCCTCGTGCCGGTAATGGAATTGGAGGAGTTTTGCCCGCACTCGCTTTACAGATAAACCTTGGTTCACTTCTTCACACCGGCTGGTATGTCAAAAGGACGAGCGAGGCGCAACGACTTCTATAGTAAGATACCCCGACGCTGTACTTATTGTATTGCCGGCCTTGTCAATTGGCCTTGGGTCTTTGATATGACCCTCAGCCTGTCTCTCGTAGACAAGGCCTTAATCATGTTCAAGTAGGAATACAAATACGTTCGCTACCATATGCCTTGTAGTTGATATGTGTACTCAGTGCCACCAATTAACAGATGATATAAGTTTATGTAGATTGCAAGAAAACCTTGCTTCACCCAGGAGTTCGCGTGTTAGTGTTGCAATGTACGTTCTAAAAATTTCGCGTTTTTCCCTTCTCTAAATAGGAGCCTTGATTATTTACCAATACATAATTAGCCCATGTGCATTCAAAGTTACAAGCACTACTCGTATGCATTTGCCGTCATCTGTCTTCAAGTTTTTAAAAACTTCATCTGTCAATATTATCTCTACCTAGGCTCGATGTATTTTTGAATTATGGGGATTTATATGCTATGATATTAAGCCTGGTGATTTACCAACCAAGGTAAAATTCCCTTTTACATAGGTATCTTTATATAAGGTCATTTATATGAAGTGTATACCATGTAATACGATACATACAGTACTAGGTACATAGTATTAACAATGGCCGAAGTTGATAAATGATGAAATATGCAAGCCGCTATACCGGTAGAAGCGAATGTAACACCGGGCTGACCCAGACGTTGTAATGTCCGATTGGTTTCTCGTAAAGCGAATGACTGGCGACCTTGTGTAGGTAGATAGGTAGGTTCACGGTATGTAGCCAACCGCGAAGCTCATTTACTAGGTATACGTAACTACATGTGGTATGTGTCCTAGATACATATATAATATATACTATTATACTAATGAGATAAATGGGGTTGAAGAAAATGTGTGTTTGTCATAGACTACCAAAAAATTGCGGACCCGGAGAGGTTCACCGATTTGATTTTGAAGAGAGACGCCTGTCCGCTTGTCTGCGCACCTGCACCTGCACCTACGCAGGACAAAGCGAGGAGGGTACTACTAGTAAGGTAGGTAGCGGCTACAGTGTACTCAACTGGACCCGCAGAGATACATGAGCGGTAGCATCATAAAGGCCTGGCAGTTTATGTACAGCTTGCCTTGGGGCTGTGTACCCCCTTTTTATGCTGTGCAGTTTCAATTTGGAAGGGCAGGGACGGACAGGGACGGGTACATACTATATAGGTAGTGCAACTGACCAATAGGACCAATGGATATGCATCGCTAGGGGATCGCTAGGGAAATCGCTATGAGCCAGTAAGGAACATCCCATCAGGAACAGACTTTCGAAGGTAAGGTCCCAGTTCATGTTTGAATTGAATGCGAAGCGGGTCCCACCTGCACCTGGGCAGTGGTAAAGCGCTGCTAAATTTCTATGTATGTGGTCTTCAACCTTCTGGGTGCTGGGTTCTAGGCTCTTTTAATTTTTTGCAACATTCAGGGCTCAATTCAATCGTTAGCACCCAAATTCCAATCCAAACAATAACAACCACCCAACTACAATTGCGACTGCGATATTAACCTCTGACTGTTTGTTTCTCCGAAATCACACGCTCGCTCATTTCCTCCATCTAGCGTTTCCGTCTATCGAACTTCCCGTTTTTGCTCCTTGTCGTCTTCCTAAACCGGCTTCCGATTTTACGTGCACACTTACTATTCCCGATAACCGGTGATCTAATCGGCGTGGAGTTCCCTAGAGTTATCCTACGAGGAGAGTGCGTCAGGGGGAGCTAGCTATCGAGAATTAGGCCGTCGTTGGCCTACGTTCTTGGGCATCCGTCTTTGAACAATTCCATCGAAAGGAAGGAGAGAAAAAAAATAAAAAAGGAGGGGTGAAAGAGAAGGAGAGGCACCGAAACCGATAGTGGAAGAAGCAAGAAGAAAAAGAAAAAGATAATTCTAAAACACAGGGAACAATATAACCTAAGCAACGCCACAGTCTCAAATTTATTCTTACCTGAGATTGAACGGGGCCTTCGCTCTACCTCTAGCAAAGCCGACGATGAACTTCGACTCCGGCACCGCATACGCGGAATCAGACGCCGACGACGAATACGAAAGGAGTGTTCATACTAGCTCTCCAGTACTTGCCACCGATTCTGAAATATCCCCAACCGACTCCGAGGGTCGTTCCTCTACCGAGCACACGCCTACTACCTACGGTCATCGCAGTAGTGCCGACAGATTGCCTGAGACTATAATATCTGAATGGGATGCCGATGAATGTGCAGATTTCATCGCGAGTATAGGGTTGCAGCAGTACTCAGATCGGTTCATCGGTGTGTTTTTACAGTTGCAGTTGTTATCGTCATGATCATCATTCTAACTTGAGGCCCTCCCCTTGTCCTAGAGAACGAGATCGTCGGCGAAGCTTTAGTGGCTCTGCTGCACGATGACCTCAAAGCTATGGGGGTAGCCAGTGTCGGCCATCGCTTGACAATACTTAAGAGTGTCTATGATGTGAAAAAAGCACAGGATGTTCCCATAGAAAGCGATCACTATGTGCCACTATGTACGTTTATCTAGTTCCTCCCGGCTTTTCCTTTGCAATGCGCCTTTCATGTTGCTGTCGATTAACCCGCCTACCATTTCCCCTCAACACAGCTGCCGACGCCGAAGCTCAATATGCCACCGCGACCCTGAAAGATATTAAGCACCTGGTCGAGCAACTTCGCCTCCGAGATGAGAGGATGGGTTTCTTAGAACAAGACCTACGACGCATGACCGAGGACTTCAGACGTCTTCGCGAAGATATGCTGCCGGCTTTGCGCCTCGCTAAGGACGCGCAGCAACCCCTGCCTCACCTATCCAACAATCAAGGCAGCTACGGCTATGAGACCTCAACAGTTTCCCCTCCAGCTCCTACTCCTTCGTCAGATCAATCTTCCAATGGGCTGAAGCGACAATACTCTACCAAGAAAATCGTCCTTGGTACGAATCCCAAGAGCACATCCCCAACTCATCTGCAGACTACTCATGAGCGGCCTTCGGTAGAACAAACCCTAGACCCTGCGAATGCCGCCGAAAGAGCCGTCATGTCATCCTCGCATCTAGCCGCCATGAACGGTTCCGGCCAGGCCACGTCGCCTGGCTACTCTCCGAACATACCCTCGCCTACCTCACCCCCAACTTTGGGCAGCGCCACCCTAGCCTCTCGTTCTTATCGATCTGACGACCGACAAACACCGTCCGGTCGTACGACATTCTCGGAGAGCGAACACGGGTACGGCTCTAAGCCTATCGCACCACGGCGGATGCAAACTCCTGTCCCCGAGACGCCGGGCTCTAACTCAGCTTCGGTGGAGATCTTTAAGTCGTTCAGGGTCAGTATGGATGATCCTTGCTACAAGGTTCTCCCCGCGGCCCTGAAGAAATATCAGATCAACGCTCCGTGGGATCAGTATGCGCTTTACATCGTCTATGGCGATCAAGAACGATGTTTGGGTTTGCACGAGAAACCATTGATCCTTTTTAAGCAATTGGACAAGGAAGGGAAGAAGCCTATGTTCATGCTACGGAAAACAAACACAGCACAAGCCGATGCCGAAACTCCCGGTAGCGCTGGCTTGGTCCCCGGGAACGCGAGAGGGGTTAGTTATGATCCGCCCGGTGGGATTATATGATTCCAGCGCGCGTTCTGTCTGGTTACGTATTCCTCACATACTAAACTCACGTTTCCAAACTATCATAAACAAGTAAGACACCTAGCAAAAAGGAATGGGCCACCCATGCCATGATTCTTTGCTTCGGTGAAGGCGCTGGGATATAACTGTATAGCATGTGCGCGCTGCTATTTCTCTCTCACTTACTAGTTAGACCAGCATTATCGTTCTTCGTCACCAAAAAAGTAAGTTCCTGTTATGACTTTGCGAATGACGCGTTCGGACCAACCTCCCGAAGCGCCTTCAGAGCAGGATTCAAGAGGTGACAGTTGCTTTGGGTCTGGTACAGATGGTGTGTTGGGACGATTACGACGAGAGACTTTCTAGCTCTATTCAAAACGTGTTGCTGCAGCATTTTATGACATAAACGAGTTCGATCTTGGAATCCTATTGTCTGTATCACAGTGATTCGTGAGAGGTTATGGATGGCGCTATGGGTTTGATCGTGTGAGAAAATGCTACTCCAAACCTATCGCCAGATGCACCAGATGTAGTGGCCCACAAGTTCATATCTAGAGCAATGGTTTTCGTTGCTATAGTAAATATCCCTACCACCTATCGGTCTTGGTGTCAGGTAGTATATCTAAACCACGAGACTCCATCAGCAAGCTTTCTTTCTAGCATTTTCTGCTCTGCCGTCAACTCCCCCGTTGCTTGTCTTGTGATAGCATCGCGCCTGGCATTTTCTCCACGACACCAAATAGTCATACATAGCGTCATGATAAAGGCAAGCCTGTAACAAGAATACGAGTTAGATACCACGCGGTGGTACGAGGAGGTGTTTCAGCAGACTGACCCGACGAATCCGATCAACATGCTATGGCCAGCGATGTAACGCGGCGCATCCCTCTCCAGGTAGACATACGAGGCGATGATTCCCCCGCAATTGCCTCCCATTACCTGCATAGCAATTCCAGTTGCGCGCTTGAGGCTACCCCCGATATTACTGCCGTTCCACGCGAGACCGAGTGGTATCTGGGGGTAGATTCCTATATTTAACTCCCAGGTGAGGTCAACTCCTGTTTCATGTCACTTGCACGTTGGTTATCTGACTGGGTATAACATACCTATGGCGGCAAAGATCGTTCCCGTATATTGGATGATTGGGTTCATGCTCGCGGCTAGCATCGCAAGTCCCAGCATAGCGATGAGCTGGAAGCCCAGCAAGAAAACGCCGCGCTGGCGACACCTGTCTGCCAACCAGCTACCAGCAATGGAGAAAAGGCAGGCGAGGACATAAGGCGGGGCACTCATGAGCTGCGCATTGTTGGCTGAGAAGCCCATATTCTTGACGATAGTAGGCAGAAAGAGTGAGAAAGAGTAAACGGGACAGAAGCCACCCATGCAGATTAACATGTGGATGTAGATCTTCCAATCCAGAAGTGCCTGCCAGATGTATCTGACGTCGAAGTCGTCTGTGAGAGAGCCCGAGTCCGCCGCGAGACGTCTCTCAACTTCGTGGCGCTCGATCGGAGTCAGGAAACGCGCACTGATATACATATGTGTGAGTAACGTTTTTCCTTTTTCCACTTTTTCCTCTTCCTCTTCCTCTTCCTCTTCTTCTTCTTCTTCTTCTTCTTCTAGTAGTCTCGTTTAATTCTGCGATGGAGGCATATGGTAATTCTCACCTTGCGGGGTAACCGTGAATAGCCCAGTACGCTAGGAATGAGACGATAATGCTTGCGAGACCCTCGATTATAAAAATCCAGGACCACGCGGAGAGCCCGCCGGCGCCACTCATCTCGGCGATGCCGCGCGCTAATATGCCTCCGAAAGCGCCGGCAAGGGTTGCAGATGAGAAAATGACAGCCATACGCACGCCACACTCGTTCCTAGGATACCACTGCGTGATGTAGAAGTTGATACCGGGAAAGAATCCACCTTCGAAGGCTCCAAGAAGTGCCCGCGTAGCCATAAGCCCCTGATAGTTCGCCACGAAGCCTTGTGCGATAATGCAAACAGACCAGGCGAACATGATAAATGATAACCACGTGGATGGTTCTATGTGCTTTAAACATAAGGCTTGTTAGCAATTAGGATACTGCATCATCGACACATGGGAAGTCCAGACTTGGGGTGATGAATATAAAAGTCGGAATCGTCCGTCCACGGTAATCTAACCTTTATCATGAGGTTGCTAGGGATTTCCGCTATTATATAGAACGGGAATAGGATGGCGAGACAGTCATTATACTGCAGGCCGATGAGGTGAAGATCTGACTCTAAGTTGTCTAGCCGGGCATTTCCGATATTCGCACGATCGAGGAAGCAAAGCCTGGTATCATGATGTTATCAGCAAGGAAACGAGTGTCCTATCTATCCGTACTGCCCCTATTAGGAAATATATAATTAACTAACAGGCAGATCAGACACATGATGGGGAGGATGTGAATGTCGATTTTCCTCAGCAGCCGCTTCGTCGCCTTCATATCAAACTCTTGGGCTTCCGTAACGCGCACAGATACGAATCTCGACGATGCTTCCGTTTCAGCCTCGCCGCCCGTGGTCTTCTCGGCAGTCGATGATATCTCTCCATCTTTTCTCTCCATTGCGCCGGGATTCCCGGTACTAAGTTGTAGGATTGGTTGGAATGTAGAGAGGTTTCTAAGAAAGAATACCCGAATACCTAAGCTGTAGATGAAGGACGCGGTGACTTTATAGTTTAGTACGCACACATACATATATATATATGTGTGTGTGTGTGTGTGTGAGTGTGTGTATCCGATATCCATGGATATTATCCCCACAACCCTTGCGGCTCTTCAAGGTTTGCGTATTACACGTGTGGACCGGAAAACGTCAGGATATCCTATATCCACGCATGATATCTACTATCTATAGGACCGATATAGGCTTTCATGCATTATTGTTTTCACCGAGTCCAACGCGTTACCATGTGCTTGTGACACAGCGGCACGGTGACATATCCGGTTTTTTCTATACGCCAACGATGTCTTCCACTCCATCTATACTTCGCTCGTCACAAGCTTGCTAGGTCCTACAGCTAGAAAAGTCGAGGGCGAGTTAGCGCAGCCACATGTGCGTGTAGCATAATCTTTATCACCCACTGTTTAAACTAATGACATTAGAAAAGGGCCTCTGTGTCCCATGGTTCCTGTGGGTATCCGATCTACTGGCGGCTGGCGGAATCGAGAGTCCCTTGTTGTCCTTTAGGAACCCTGAGGGGTTTCCAACTCTCTTTTCATTAACACTGTTTAAGAGGAGCTTCATCTCTTCCTCGTAAATAGATTTAGGTAGACAATTTGAAGATCTATTAACTGCTCCGTGCGAGATAACTTTGAAGAAGAGAAGAAAGGATTTCAAGTCTGAATGTTCCAATGTTCATATACTTAGGTACCTAGTTCCCTTCTATACCTACCTGTGTAACACATCCATGATACGTATACGTACCTACATACCTACCTAGTATGTACATACCTATGTACGTACCTAGTAGTAGGTGCAATGCATCATTACTTAGTAGGGGTAAGCTTATTCCATATGATCGAATATTTACGAAGGCAGGAAGGTTACCTTCGTACAAAATAATCACTCTTATATTCACGTGATTCAAACCCCAAACTATTCTCAAATCTAAATCTATCTTCTTTCATAATCACGTGCTCCCAAAAGGAAAAGGGTTAATCCGTGTCAAGACCCACACTCTTCCACATTAGCGCCTTGAGCGGTATCAAGATTATCCGAGATGGCTCCTAGAACCAGGAAGAGCTGCGCGCTTGAGGTATGTATCGCGCTTGCCACATCTTTCCAACATTGAACCTTTGATAAGTGTATAACATCTAACTTCTAACTTCTAATACTCTAGCAATTACGATCGCAATCAGAATTGCAATCGGAAAAGATGCATGTCGAAGTGGGTTATTTATTTAAATTTAGGAAATATCCTCCCTATCCTCCCTATCCCCCCTACCATTAGAGAGATATCTATCGATTTTTTGACACTCAATGTTTTGAGGGAATACTGACGCGATTATGAAACTCAAGCGCAGCGTCAAGCTCGTCACCGAGCAGCATAACATGTGAGTCGCAACACCTTCAATTTGCTTCAATTCACTCCTACATGTACGGGTATTGTCTCCCTTCATAATTGCTAACTTACTGTGCCCAACCAGCCCGAAGCCTTCTCCGATGCCCGAATTCCCGATGAAGGAATGGTCCGTGAAGATATACGTACTTGACCAGGCTGGCAACGATCACCCCGCCAACTGCTTCACCAAGGTTACCTACAACCTCCATCCTTCTTTTGAGGATAAGACGCACCAGAGTAAGCACTAATTATTTGCGCTTGCGCTTGCGTGCGCGAGCTAATTTTACAATTTGAACCTTCGAGATTGACTATGGTGTAGCATTCGTGGATCCTCCCTTTACTTGCGCTAATGAGGGATGGGGCGAGTTCGAGATGTCCATCGACTTATTCACCACCGAGAAGGGCGGTAAGACCACCATTTACCACGACTTGAACTTCCAGTCTCCTCGCTACGAGGTCGTCCAGTCGGTCACCTTTAAGAATCCTTCTCAGGCTCTCCTGTCTATTCTCCGAGAGACCGGTCCAATTCCCAACGACGATGATTCCAAAGCCGCCGCCAAGTCTCGCAAGACAAACGATCTAAAAAAGAAGAAGGCTGCTTGCGACTTTGAGAAGATGGCTGATGGCCTTACGAAGCTGAACGAGGATGACCTGCTTCATGTGATCCAGATGATCCACGATCACGGTACAGAGGATACCTACACGAAGAATGACATCGAGAACGGCGAATTCACCGTGGACTTGTTGACCCTTCCAGACAGCCTAGCCAAGATGATTTGGGACTTTCTAGTAAGCGCGCGCATTATAAAGTTTGTTTCCCTTAACTTTTTAATGTATGACTAATTTTATATAGGTTGAAATCAAGACAATTTCTTAGAGACTAATCCTAGATCTTGACGGCTGGCGTTCGTATGGACCGGGAATAGTCTCTTAGTCATCTCTTTTTTTCTTCTCCTCTTCGTCTTCTCAGAAATAGGTTGCATTGCATTGGCATCGGCGTTGGAGGTTTAGGCAAGGCACCTCTTTTTAAGTGTCAGGCAGGTGGCAATGGTGACATTGGCGTATGGTTGCGTTTAAACGCCCCACGCGGTAGATACCCTGCAGTCAGTCTCCCGACAAATGCTATTGATGTTTTAAAGAGAACAACATTTTGCAATATCGCGAATCTGTACAATGTGATATATCTTCGGTAGGCATTGTGGTACGTACTAGGTATGCGTTCGAAGCTTACCAAGGTGAACAACCGACTTATTTACAAGTCAATACCTACTAGGTACGCGTGATTCGAGGGCTCTGCCATGTCTGCATGTGTTTATGTAGCTATTTCTAAAGGAGGCAGACCGATTGGTTGGTTTGCTGTATACAAGTTTCACCAATCAGAGATCTCAAACTTACTTACATTGGTTAACATGGACAGTACCTCATAGGCAGTGCTTTACAACCTTTTTATTTAATACATACATACATACATACCTAGTAGTCCATATAAGGATATATATTGACGTATAAGGATTAGAGTTACATAATAGGTGTTAGGTACCTTATACTTATTACATGTACATACTTCAATATGGATGCAGTCGTACCTATCGGGTATGTACCTATGTATTAAGCCTCACGCGTCCTGTTGAGCTGAAATGACATCACAATCCACGGGCGAGGCTAAAAGAGGATCGTCACCTAGCATCTACGGATGAGTCCTCTATATTTAGTGGGTCTTGCGGAGAGAGCGGAGAGGATGGGGGAGGTGCCACAAACCTACTAGGTAGGTACATAGCAGGTCAGGGGACTGGCAGATTCTCCTCGTTTCTGCTCGTTCAAGGTGAGCCTGGATAGAGCCTAGGTGAAAGTGAGGTAATAGGTAGGTAATGAGAACATACTTAGATACCTCGCAAATAGGTATCATTCTGTTCCCACCGAGCCACACAAGGCATTTCCATTAGTGATAATTAAGAAAACTTTATATAGAATTACCACTTTTGGTACATAATTCGGTATGTAGGTGGCTGGGCTACATATGTAGGTTGTACATTTAAATTCGGTCTATATTATACATGTATGTACCTACCTACGTACATACTAGGTACCTACCTACCTAGGTAGTAGTAGGTAGGGTATACACATACTAGGTATGTATGTATAGTGGTAGAGCACCTTTACTGACTTCACCGACTCCAGATGTCTTGATCAATCCATGAATGTAATTTTAGCGTCTACCTATATATTTACTTAGTGGATAGTAGCAAGTACTACCTACCTAGGATACCCCTCGGTATTTGGTACTTAATTATATAGGTGTCGCGCGGGATATGGGTATCTCCTTCCCAATGTCGACCTGAGAAGTACGAGTGTGGCTTTAACAGAAACCCCCGTGGTTTCCATTGGTAGGAATACTATTTAATTTCTACCTACTGCTTAGGTCCGAGAAGGAAAATAGGAAAAAGTAAAGATCTTAAACAATCCATACTTCCCAATTTCACATCTCACTTACATTAATCCTACAGTTAAATCCTACATTATCCCACTCTGCGCTATCATTTCATTGGCAACAGAACAATTCCGATATCTAATTCTCTCACCACCCCCCCTGGACTACGGGTGGACTGAGTGGACCGCGGGTACCTCCCAAGGTTCCAAGGTTATCATCCGCTCCAATGATACTGATACTGGTTGCATAGACATTCACCCGTATCCCCGAAGGGGATACTGCGCTTTGACTAGCAAAATGGGCAAGAGTTGCAATTTAGCCCGAGGTACTTCCGACATAGTAGGGTTTCCATATAGATTCTATGTACTCTCTTTTAGATACGTATTCTGTATAGGTACATATATTACTAGCTTTATTTTCGTAAGCCTAAAGATGTAATTAAAGATCATGACTTTATGCAAATATAACCTATCGGGTAATATTCGGATCGTCTTGCAATTCTTGCCCATTTTGCTAATCAAAGCGCAGTATCCCCTTCGGGGATACGGGTGAATGTCTATGCAACCAGTATCAGTAACGCCTACAATTCTTAGATCCTATTGTTCTCTTGTCTGATTACAAACTAAAATCGGCTGCCTAGTCACCAATAGGCTACGGCTTATCGGGGCAAAGAGTCAAATCTGAGAACGCCTCGTTAAAAATTCACTCTAATATTTTATCTTACGAATTATATTTCTCTTATTTGTGGCGCCCATCTCTGTCATCACCTAGACTTAGACTGCCTAGGTGGCCAGCCCATCTTACCGATTCTACCCTTCTACCAACTACAGCGTACGACCAAGGCCGCGACCACCTGACCCGCGATAATTTAACCTTGCCTATAGCTTCCATAGTAACATCTTGTGCGTACTGTATACATACTGTCTTACATACAGTATCAGCATCGATCTTCATCTCAGCTGTCTCGGCCTCTGAACCCCGCAAGTCCGAGGAAAACCCACTTCACTCGTCCACCGACCTGTCTAAAGTACCTAGGGATCCGGTTATTATTCCAGCCTCTCCCAATTGATCGATTCGATTTGTCCCACTCCGTCGGAACCCTAACTGCCTTTTCCTTTTCTTTTCGCCTCGTCGTCGTATAAGACCTCGAAATCCCGTCGTAAGCCGAGCAGCGGTCGGCGCGCGCCGGGTGTTTCGCCTTCTGTTGATGCGTGTGCAGGAAGTCATAGCTCGAGTCAGAGCTGGCGCTGGATCTGGAGCGAGCCGACCAGAAGCATAGTACCACTAAATCAGACCATGTCTCAATATGAGAATCCCGCCGCACCCGATGGCAATATGTCATCGACCATCCAGCAGTCTCGCCAATCTCTCCCCGCAAATACGACGAACTCCCATTCCCTCTCTCATTCGCAGCCTCAGCAGCAACAATCCCAATCTTCACAACACAAACGCGTATACCAGGCTTGCATCCCATGTCGGAGGAGAAAGGTGCGATGCGACTTGGGAAGCGTAGATGACCCTCATGAACCCCCTTGTGTGCGCTGTCGTCGCGAGAGCAAAGAGTGTTTTTTTAGTGCCACGCGACGTAAGCGTAAGAACGATGATGATATCGACGAACCAGAGGACGATTACACCTTACGTAACGCACGAAAGCGGCCTCACTCCGAAGACACACCTCCATTTGTTGAGAAGAAACCCTACAGCAGCGTGCCGCTGACTCCAGGTGGTTCGACTGGAAGGACACAACCCTTACGACGGCCTAACGCCGATCATGAAGACGGAAGGAAGGGCAGTAGAGGGGCAAGCTACGCGGACGTTGGCGAAGATTCGAATGCCCAATTAGAGAATCTCGAAGCGCAGAGTGTCATGAGAAAGGAGGTCTATGGGCCCCATGATGCCCTGGACTTGCTGTACAAGGCTGCCACCGATAGGTCCGTCAGTCCGTCTCGTCTGACTGGCATGGTCCGAAGCGAACGAATTACTGATTATACTACCAGTCCACATGACTTAAACAGGCGTCATGAAAGCATCGCCTCTGTCGTCCAACCATCGCCCGTGTCTGTTCCTGGTCGTAAGACGCCGCGAGACCACAGCTCGAATTTTAACGGTCGCCCAGCTGGTCGCGCGGCGTCTAAGTCGGTGGATCTAATCGACCCGCTGCTGCAGTCATCGGCTAAGAATGATGAAGTGGCCGATATGGAGCGTCGATTAAATGTGGAAAGCGAAGCCGGATATCATGAAGCGCTTGAAGCTTGGTCGAGATTCAGATTTGTTAGAGCTGGATGGTTTACGAAAGAGGAAGCCGTAAAGTACATAGTATAGTAAGTTGGTTGTGGCAATCTGGTTTTCCTTCGCTAACCTATACTCTAGCTACTACGAGTATCTATCCCCTATGACTCCCATCTCACCTCCGACCTTTCGCGGCCCATCCTCTCATATCACTTTACTGACTGAGGAACCAATCTTGACTGTTACGCTATTAACTATCGCTTCGAGGTATTATCGCATACGAACCACAGGCGGGCACTGCAGGTCCCACGCAATCCACGAAGAGCTATGGAGATACCTTAGAAGGATGATTGAAAGGTGTCTATGGGGACAGGAGGCCTTCGGTGGCGGTTTCTGCGGGTCCGGGGCCGACGAGTCGCAGACTTCTAGCACGGCGCCATGGCGGGGACTGAGGAAAGGGAGTCTACGTACTCTTGGTACAATAGAGTCGTTGATGATCTTAACCGAGTGGCATCCCCGCGCCCTCCACTTCCCACCTGACGAGGCAATCGACGAACTCATGCTACCCTCTCGTGGTGTACCACACCCAGATCTTGGTGACGACGACAGCACTCAGCGTCTCGGTGGGAACGTCGGAGGCCGAAGGATTGAGAGCTGGCTTGAACCTGCGTGGAGAAGCGACCGCATGTGTTGGATGTTACTTAGCAATGCATTGGGACTCGCTTATGAATTAGGTGTTTTCGATGATATCGATGAGCTACTTGCGGCCAATGCCATCACACGACCAGAGTATGAGGATGAGGCGTATCGTCTCCGTGCGACACGGATCAAGCGTCTGTTGTTGGTTTACCTGACACAGCTGGCGGGCCGTCTTGGGTGGACTAATATGGTCCCAGAGAGCATCCGGAAAACCGACCCAGCACTCACTGGAAGACGTCCGATCTCTAACGAGGGGAATACGCCAGGAACTAGCCAATCTGTCATCTCTACTGCTTTTAGCTATGTGCCTAACGTCGAGCTGGACGACCAGATCATACACTGCTGGGTAGGAGTAAGCGATGCGATGCAACTGGGCAACGAGAGGCTCTTTCGATCCCGTAAACATACTACGGAACTCATACAAAGTGGAAATTACACCAGAGCGCTCAAGGAATTCCAGCCGATCTTGAAGAACTGGTGGAGAGAGTTCCAGCGCTTCGACATGCCCGAGAACATCCGTCATATATTGGCCATCGAATATGAGTATGTTCGCATATACGTCAACTCCTTGGCTTTGCAGGCAGTCGTTGAACGCTGCACAGTCAACGCCGGAGCGTCCACCAATGCTGCGCACGGGAATAGTGTAGCTGTTGGAAACCCACAATTATCACCCCAAACGCAGAATTATCTTGGCAACTTGCCTCTCGGCCATCTGGGTGGCTTCGGTCATGAAGATCAGGAATATGTCAAGGAAGTGGTAGAGGGATGTAGAAACCTTCTACGGACAGTTGTCGAGGGTCTATTAAAGGAAGGTTACCTCAAACACGCCCCTGTGCGAACCTACTTCCGCATCATCAGTGGAGCCATGTTCTTGCTCAAGACATTCGCACTAGGTGCTCCAAAATCGGACGTAGAAGTGAGTATCGGTCTTTTGGATCGCACCGTAGACGCGTTACGAAACTGCGTCGTCGACGATATCCACCTGGGTACTAGATTCGGTGATTTGCTTGAGTCTCTGACAACCCGCCTCCGAGACCGTTTCAAGTACGCACCAGCAACGTCTAACGAAAGTAAAAGTCCTCATACGAACGGCGAGAGCAAGATCATGATCACGAATGGGCATGGTCATATTCAAGCCAATGGCATCGAGAATGGATATCTAAGCCATACTAAGTTTAGAGACGAGCTTAGTGTTCCTAGTATGTCTTTCTCGTATTAAAGAAAACGGGATTTTGCACCCGTTTCTTTCCTGAAGATGAGCTAATAGATTCCATAGAACGTTCCTCCACACCATCCGGAAATGTATCGGCGACGCCTTTCGACCTAACTACGGGTAATTTCCCTTACCCGGCTGGGTCCGCTTCGGTATTTGGACCTACCACGCCAGCTCTTAGTGGCAACGTTGTAGACACGTCTAACATGAACGAAAACATCTTCGAAGCGGGCGGCGACTGGACGGCAGATGATCAGATGTGGTACCTCCCGCCTGGCCCAGGCTTGTTCCAGAATATGGGAGAAAATTCCAACGTGACAATGACAGACCAGGGAGTCAATGTAGGAGGTGTAGACTTGCTTGAATTTATGGCTATGGACCACCCTGCATTCAATGGTCCGATGGATGGCTCAGGATACTAGATCTATCCCGCCCAGCCGAACCATGGAATAAGTTCCAATTGTCGAGGACGATGTCACAGTGGCAATTTGTTCTAACTCTGTTGCTTTAGTTGGGAGATTGCCCGGCGCGGTTCGGTATCAGGCGATGTTTTTGCGACTCCAGCCTGGCTTTTATTTCTTTTTTCTTCTTCTTTCTCACTTCTCCTATCCTTTATCTAGTTTGCTTTCTTTCATCGTATTCGTTAGGTGGCGGCGTTATACCCTTCAGACTTGAGTTGAGGTTTTGATGTATTCAAAACACGAGCCCCTGTCTCGCGACGCCTTTCTTTTCTCGCTTGTTGCTCGTTCCAGAAGATATACGGGAAAGGATGTGATGGACTAGAAACGGCGAAAGGAAAGATACCCTCAAGAGGCTCAAGCTGCATTGATTTTCACATGCTGTCCTGCATTCAGATTGCTTTTCTCCCCCCCTCCCCAATGTTCGAACTCTTCCATTTGCGACTGCTAAATAGGTGAAGAGATCAAGGTATATGTGTATGGTCATCTAGTGTTATTTTTGGGGAAATATGGGATACAATGGCATTGCGGGCGGGACAAAAGCTGTCGGGCAAGAGCCTCGCGGCTTACCTGGCATGATTTAACGAATCACGAGATGACGTTTCTGCGAGATGTCGAGGAGATACCTCAAATTTGACTAATATCAAGTAGCAAATGTTAAGAGAAGTATTAAGTCAACTGTCGGTACATTGCTTATACACAGCTGTCGAGCAGGGTCCTGCGAAAGACCAATTAAATGCGCAAAAGATTAAAGTGGTATTTTTCTCGTTTCATAAGATCAAACTACCTATTTATATTATACGGGTAATACTAGGTACTGCGGTGTCAGGCCGAATATTTGACACCTCGAGTAGGTACCCGTGGGGCGCGCTAGACAGCACACCATACTAAAATAGGTGCTAGTCCGTACAAGGGTTTCAAAAGGTACATTGATCACTTTTTGCTACTTTTATTTACAGCACTTTCAACGTGTAACATAATAGGTTTTTAAACTGATTTTATTATATTAAAATAAATAGTAAAAAATAAAATAATTATTTTAACCGATATAAATATTTTAGGTCTTTTATATAGTAAGTTTTTATATAATGTATATATATATATAAGACATTTTATAACTATCGAAAGATAATATAATGTTTAAGTACTGAAAAATCTTAGGAATAGCCTCATTATTACTGTTGTTACTGAAAAGCGTCGAAAATATTACTGTCCCTACTTAATCTGAAGCTAAACCCTAACAGTGTCAAAAGGTGGGTTAGACAGGGATTCGGCGCTAGTGCTGAACTTAGAAAGGTGGCAAAACTTCCCCCTAACACCATAGTAGCATGGCATGGCATGGCATTCACGACGTTCGGCCAACCAATTGGATCCTGCAACGAAGGCCGATTACTTTCGAAATATATGGAGCAATTCCTAGAATATCGCTGATACCACCCCAAAGCACCCAGCCACGATCTCGTGAAGAGATATACTATGTAGGATATCCGTGGATATATATAGATACTACATAGGTAAGCAGCGTAACTTGGGGTCCGGACGCATATGGTTAGATATGGCTCGATCCTAAACTAGATTCGGCTAGGAGTTATACGCATGTATATATGTATGCATTAGGGGCCAATTCACCCAAGGTTAGACGTTGCCGACATGATTAACAATGAATTTCCTATATGAGAATATGAGAACTGGGACATGGGAACGGACATCGTGAAAGAAGTTCAATATAGATAAAGTGGCCGCGGCTTGTAGAATCTTGATAGTTGAGTACCTAGGTATATTGCTCGCAGATAGATTTGCTGGCGTTCGCTTTTACAGCCCATCCGCGATGAACGTCACCCAATACGACCTTGAGCTGGGTCCGTCTTATTCTACATACTTTGATACATTCCGTTCACGCCACTAGGTAATTTCGACATACCCAGGTACGGATCCTTCAAACCATGGATACCCTATTTCCCCGTTACTGACATTTCGTAGACCTTTTGCTTCTCTTACCACTGTTAAATATGCCCTTTTCTTTCCCTTTACCTGGCAGCTAGCCTTTCTTCGTCAAGATGAGCGAATCACTCGCGGTCGTACAGAGCCCATCAGAAACATTGACGACCTCAGTTACAACCCCAACAGTCCCGACAACGACGACGCCGTCGATCTCGGTTCTCACGCTCACAGTGAAGCCTCTGACAACGACGTTCACTCCGCCGTCATCATGTGGGGATATGCACCTCACCCAGTTATCTTCTCCAGGCTATCAGCTCTGGTTGAACGAGCCCCAGCCAGTACCTGGCTCTAAGTTTGGGGATTGCTACCCATCTGGTTTCATAGACGGGTATACAAGCGGTCAGTACAGAAGACTGGGTACGATGAGCTTTACGTAGGGATACAGCGTGCTAACATATGTATAAACAGTATGTTCAAGATTTTCCTCGTGTTGTCCAATACGTCCATGACACTATCATCTACTACTTATGCTAAGATTAGCACGAGCTTCATTCATATACGATGAAACGAAGATATCTGTGAAACGATTATTAACAGATGCTAGGTATTCAACTCGTCGAGCTCTTTGGCCCCGTTGTTCTCTCCTCTCGTCTGTCCCGAAGGTTGGACCGTAGCAAAGACTTGGACGAATGGATATATTGCTTGCTGCGCTTAGTAAGTGATACTCCGTATTTTGGTGATAAGATGCAGTAGTTCCATCATATGACATGAAAGACGAAGGCCGTGTGAGATGCTACGAGCTACCTTAAGTACCTACATCATTTTGAGGCGAAGTCTAACCGTCATGATAGTGGCTTTTTTCTCCACACCCCAGATACGACGGTAGACCCTGATCGGCCCGCGTACGGTGGTACTTGTTACAGTAATTTCCAGGTTGGCCAGACCGTCAAAGTGACTGGATACAATAGCGCAAGTGTCACGGCTACGGCCGAATGGGTAGCTTCTGCGACGAATGACCAAGCTTATGCACACCCTATCGATGGATTCCAAGCAGGATCAGATGGTAACGTGAGTTCTCACCGGTTCTTACCTATGACGGGGTGTTTTCTCCTTTCTTTTTCACATTATGAACATTTACTAAAGGTGGAATCTACATAGTCACCCTCCACAAGACTCTCTGGGGTAACCATTGCGGGCATCGTAGTTGGTAGCGTGGTAGGTATGATTATCATATTGCTCGCCTTGTTATTTCCACTCCAAAGATACCGTCGAAAGAAAACTCAGCAGCAGCCAAATGATTTCCATCAGTTCCAACAGTTCCAACAGTTCCAACAACAGGCGAACCAGCAATGGCAATTGTCCAAGGAACTACAATCGCCAAATGATTCTGCGGGTGGAACACTTTATGATGTGAGTCCTCATTCGTACGCAAATGACCAGCGGTACGAACTAGGCGTCCAGGAAACTCACGAATTAGACTCGGGGTTCGTGGGACGAGAACTCGAAGGTGGGAAAAAACCGAGGCGCGAAGCAAATAGGGCTGGGCGGTGAAACTAGGTGAGATAGGTACCTAGTATGGCATATGGATTCAAGATGGTAAACTGTATATGGGGTCTATGAGGTTATCTAGGTACCTATATATAATATACAGATATGGTCTCTGGTGAGGGTATATGTGCCCTATATATATCCAAGGCTTTAAAACGATGTTATAAACCAAAACCTTTCCAGTCCAGTTAGGTACATACATGCCTAGGTAGGTAGGTATGTATAAGTAGGTAGTATCCACAAAATTCCTAGCTCCAGTCGCGAACTGAGAGACGATTTAAGTCTTGCGGTTATTAATTAATAAAATTCTTCATGTGAAAAATTTTCATAGCGGGGATAACTCAGCTGGGAGGTTAGTAGAAAAGTCTTTTCAAATCAAATCAAATCAAATCATTTGCTAACGTTCGAGTAGAGTGTCAGACTGAAGATAGAAACTTCAATCATGAGATCTGAAAGTCGTGTGTTCGATCCACACTCACCGCATCCGTTCCTTTTTGTTCCTCCTTTAAAATTAGTCGATACTAAATATGTTATTCTTCCTGTTGCTAAATATTATGTGACCAAAGAAGCAAGATACCATAGTAGGTAGTTATGTTGATATATAGTGGCTGTAAGATCTAACTAGGGCTTAAATATTCGTGTTCGTGGTGCTATATGAGAAAGGGATATGAGATGAATATCAATTACCAACCTAGTGGACAGGCTAAGAAATTGTAAAAATATAGGTACAAAGTATCATTATCAAATGTTCCTGTTTCCATGGCTACCGCTTTGTGGTTAACTACCTATGTTAAGAAATAGGTAAGTAGCTTTATGGTAAACCGTAATACCGTTGAACGGAAAGAAGAATGAGAGACGGGGGAATGGAATCAGAGGTCTGGGTTAGGAGCGTATTTCCAACAATATGACACCAAATCTATGGCTTCCAACCACCTATCCTTGTCCGAAAGAACCCAGTGGGGTCCACACTCTGAGAAACCGAGTGCGCAAAAGCCCTATTCTCAGGACGAAGTCTAGCGAAGTAATCCTGCTGATGGAACCCGTAATTCATGAAGATTGGGAGATAGATGTCTGGCAACGTCCCATCTTGCTGCCACCCCAGGACACGCTCACGTATTCCGCCATACTATCACGTGGTGAAGTTAGTAACTGCTTCGTTCTACCTTCTTAGGGGGTGATTCTGGGCCGTAAGGTTCCCAAGCATGACGATCTATTATCATGTGATGATTTCATATGTAAATGTACACAAGGTTAAAGGTAAGGAGTGGAAAATATTAGGGAATAGGCATGAACTCACTGTTTTCTGTAGCGTCTGATCCATCTTGTCGTAGTCACTTTGTGGTATAAAGCTGTAATTCAGCTCGAGGATCAGGCGGTTGGCCGAATCGTCGGCGTCGATTAAATCAGGGCTACGTTCCTTCGCCGCCTCTGCGATTCGTTTGGGAAATGGCTGGTAAGCAATCGAGGCGACTATCCCAAGTTCAAGAAGAGTGGTGTCGGTGATATTTCTCCAGTGGTCATGAATTCCTCCCATCACCTTTTCGCTGTCTTCCGCAGAGGGCATTGGGATTGTCTCAGTTCCGATCTGGACAACAGATCCTTTGACGATGACCCAATTACTCTTTGCCATGAGATTGGCGTATGTTTGGACCTTTGTGGTATCAAGTAGAGGCCCGACGTCGGTAAAGTTCTTAAAGGTCGCTTCGGGGACTACCTCCCCATCATAGAAAAGGAAGAGAATCCAAGTGTCGATGAGATCTAAGTTGCCACGTTCAGCTGTCACGATAACGGCCGCCTTGTCGTCTTCGTTGTACTCGGTGAAGTCTCGGACAGCCTTAAGCAGCTTGGTGTCCGTCTCAGGAGTGCGAAGGAAGACTAGATTGCCACCAAAAATATTGGCCTGGCGATATGTTTGAAGGACGTACGTGGTTACGATGCCAAAGTTATTGCCGCCTCCCTTGAGGGCCTTGAACAGATCCGCGTTTTGGGTGGCGGACGCAGTTGCAATGGTACCGTTGGCAAGGACAATCTCGTATTCTAGTACCGACGAAGCGGCCCAGCCATATTGCGCTGACATGTACGAGAGGCCACCGCCGAGGACCAAACCGCCGACACCGGTGTTCCCAATGCGGCCGCCAACAAAGGTCCAGCCGGTTCCCTGTAGCGCCGCGGAAATGCTATCTAGCCGTTGTCCGGGTCCGACTCTAGCTACTCCCGTTTCGCTGTCTAGAATAACCTGCTTCATGTTCTGGGTCGAGATAAGGGGGCCGCCCCGGACACTGGACCAGCCATTATTGGGGTTGTGCCCTCCAGATTTGATAGCGAAGTTCTCCGTATTGTTGTTGAGAATCTTCACAATAGCAGAAACCTCGTCAGCATCTTTAGGGAATATAATACAGGATGGCTTCAAGGCGGAACAAGAAGTTGACCAATAGTCGCTTTGCTCCGACAGATATGACAGATCAAAGGGGTCGGTAACCTCAATGTTAGAAATTTTCTTAAGGGTAGAACAAGTATCAGCAAGAACTCGTCCTGATAGGACAACGGTTGAGGCAATAAGCCCCCAGGTAGAGATCATCTTGTCTTCGTCGTCCGATGTCGTCCAATGTCGTCCAGGGTCGTCTCGAGTCGTCTAGCCAACACCGAATGAGTGAGGGGCTCCCGTCCAGCCCCTTCTCTCGTGGCCTACATTACCCCTTGATATATAGAAAACATATCCCGGCGTAAAGCTAAGGAGTCAGGCTTGGTAGCCCACTTAGAGGTGTAGCCAGAATGGTTTCTCGTGGGGAACCAAGCTTAAGCATGACATATCACACACCCACACCCCAGATTTTCTTATAGGTACATACCTGAGGATTCTTTGACATGGATGGTATAACGCCACCCGAGGTTCTCCAGGGGTTGAGAGTAATGAGAAATCGAGACTTGTCCCTCGACACGTTCATCTGGACTGCTAGACTGCTAGACTGCATCCCGGATGTACCCGTACTGCCGAGCCAATGATTAAGCAAAGGCTTGGGTCATGGATCACCGGGCTTCCGGAAGCGTGGACCGTCAGATTAGGAAATGGAACACTTGCTGCCCGGTTCCCGGGGCATGACCGTGTGTGTATGGGGTGAAGAGGGAAAAATGGATAAAATTCGAAGTCATATTTTGTGGGCTTCAACAGCGCTAGAGCCTAGAGTTGAGAAGGAATACGGCTGAGGCGGGTTGATATGGTACTATAAATCGATAGATTTATCACTGAATATAACCGGCCTTAGTACAACAAATGATTGACGAGCGCGTCCGTCTTTGCACATCGCGCAGGGTAGGTATTCGTTCTAGCCATGATGCCAAGATCGAGGCTTATGGATCCAAGATTTCAGCCCTCTCAGGCGTTGTCTTAATATCGGCGATCACGTACCCGCGGGAACGGCCTAGTGATCGGGAAGGACGCACGTTAGGTACCCCAAGCAGCCCAAGGTAGGTTCTAGGTAGGTATAACAGAACCTGTAACATACTACTAGGTACCTATGTAGGTACTAGATACATATGTACCTCAATAGGTATCCATCAATTGTAGCTGCCGTTGCTTCCCTAGCGTTCGGCATACAGCTGTCACGCACGCACGGCAGGCATCTCAAGCGCTACGGTAGACTTGGAGGTATCAACGTTGCACTGCAGCGTCGTCCCTTGCCCCTCGCTCCTCGCTTGCGCACTTTTCACCGTAAACTGACGACGGCTGAAGCGGAACAAATATGTAGACAGAGCCGCCACGACGGTCTGCAACTTTGCAGGAATATGGGATCAGGATAGGTATCTACCTAGGTAAGTACCCGAGATTTAGGTAAGCACCAATTACATGGATGCATAATCCTTCCTGCATCTCGGCTGCTCCTACGTATTTGCTACTTAATAGAATCTTTCTTTGTAAGCACCTACCAACCTAGTAAGTACTTACCTAGTATCAACTTTATAATCGAACATTCAAGTTATAATATTATATTATATTTTACTTTTTATATGCTATCATCAAGTATATATAATGAAGAAATATAACATCGTTAATCACGAGAGCTAAAACACGCGGACGTCGAACCTAGAAGCTCTTTTAAGATCGCTCTCTAAGATCTACGAGATCCCGTCGGGATATAGCGACTGTTAAGGAATAGGGGGGTACCTATCGATACAATACAAAATAGGTACCCAGCTGCCTAGTAAGTACCTAGGTATCTAGGGAATAATAATAAGCTGACCACGCCAACGTATGTATATGTATATGCATAGGTACATACCTAGTACCAATTCAGAACCCCGCAGACCCGACAGCCCAACTAATCTCGAATCCCTGCTCTTGGAGGTCCAGCCCACCAGCCCGTTCTGCCTGCTATCAGTCATTCGACCATACATGGCCATGCATTCCGCCTCCTAGATCTTAGATACTCGCCCGAGGTAGCATTGTCCCCCACTTTTCCTTTTCCCCTTGTCGCTTACGCACTACACGATCTACTTTGAATAAGGAAAAGAAGGAAGAAGACGTTTGAGAACGTCTTTCTCTGGCTCGCCTAAACATCCTCTATTGCAGCTTGAAATTACGAAGTTTTAAAAGAGAAGGATCATGCGACTTACCGAGACCTCTATATGCGACCATGATATAACCCTTTGCCTTATCACATTACGATGCTTGCTCATGCCCCCCCAGGTCACGTCTCGCTAAAGTGCTTTTCGACCCCGAAAAGGATTCTCTGATGATGATTAATAATAATAATAATTAGCATCTCGCTAGAAGAGGAATTAACTAAAAGCACAATGACATCATTGTCAGCATACATTGTCAGTACCTATTCCCCGAGACTGTTTGTTATAGGGACGTTGTTGTGTTACTTTGCATAGTCCTATGTCACCCATAAGCACGACATCGTCTGATCCGAAAGACCTCTTGGCGTGGATATGCTTAACCTAACCGCATACTCGGCCCGTGAGACATCAAATGGGAGAAGGGAAAATGGGAAATTAGAGATGGGAAATCGGAAATTATCAAAACAGTTTAAAGAGAAATCCGAGCAACGTAACATTAATTCGAAATATCCCGTACCTACTAGTAGTCGTGTGATGAGTAATAACTGCACTTGCTTTTGGTCTTTGAACGGGTTTACCGCAAATGGTGTAGAAGGGTACCTACTGGGCATGCATACATCTCAATTCTTGAGAGGTAATCTACCTCCCATTTCTCTTCTGTTTTCTTGGGAAGGTGGAAATAGATATCTATAAACTAAATAAAACCCATTAGTTCGAAGTAACAATATATCCTTATGCCAATTGGGAAAAGATTGTATGGAATAATCATCATCTGGCGTGGGGCCTATGAAGAGTTGATCGTTGAAAGAGTCGTCTCCGAAGAGCGACGTTGGAATTAAATCCAAAAAAGACCATACATGTTTCTTTTCCCTTAAAATGTAAAGAATCCTTTCGAAGATATATGGATTATATAATATGAGCAGATCGTGGTATCTCCGCTTAGTAGGTGAACAATGCTCGAGAGAAACAAAAAAAGGGGGGGGCATCTTTTTCAACCCAATGAGCCCCAAATAGGCTATCGCTTATAATATGTTCCATCCGTGTATGCAATCACCCAATGCCCATTCTCCTGAAACACATTCATCATAATTCAGCTTACAGATGTCTCCTCCAGCCCCGATAAAAGAGGAAGATGCAACCACGTTCATTCATTACATTGCAATAACCTCATGAATTAATTGCACGGCCACATTTCCCACAATGTAGCCTTTGCTTTCCACCTACTTTCTTTGCTCTAAAATCTCGACTACCACATGACGGGCATTGCATATCCTCGCCGTCCTCGCTCGTGAGTTCCGAGCTTAATCGACTGGCGTAGGACTCAGGTCGAGGAGGGATAGGGACAGGCGGCGCTAGATGGTTCTCGTCCTTCTCGCGGGATAGTATCACTCCAGCCGGCATGCTCTTTCGTCGCGTATGCTTATCCGCTTTTCCGTTTGTCCCGGCTTCTTCTGTACCTGTTGCTAGGCTCATTCTCCGATTATCCTCGACCGCTGTCGCATCCGGGACCAACGCGGCGCTCTGGGAGCGATGATGCGCCGAATCCGATCCAGGGCTGGACCCGTTCCCTCGCAGCGGGCTGATGTTTCGCCATTTATTTAGGTTCCAAAATGAATAACTCGCGCCGGCTGGATCCAGGCGCAGCTCGTCCTCCTCTTCATCTACCGGCCTAAACGAAAAGCTCGGGGCTGGCGGGACGGAAACTTCCCGCAATCCTACACGATCGTTGGCCCTATTAACTTGCACGCTAGAGGTAGGACTGGTTGGGACATTGATAGTCGCTGCGTTCGCGTTCGCGTAAGGCCGTCTTCTTGCTCCTGAAGCTTGATTTATTGGCGTGCGAGATGCCTTACTCGGTGACAGGGACCGCTCGCTACGTGCTGGCGTTGAGATGGTTATTGATACCGGCCTGCCAGCATGTCCTTCTACACCGTGCCGCCACGTATTTATCCTTTCCGAATTGGCTTGGAATATGCCCTGTATTCCCGGGGGTGGTTGCGTAAGCGAGCCACGGCGAGAATGTGGATCTCGGCTGCCGGCGCTGAAGCGTGTGGCGATGCTGCCACTTCGACCTAACAGACTATCCCTTCCAAGCTTCCTGGAGAATGTTGAACCGGTTTCCCAGTTATCGTGACGGCGTTTACTGAAAGCACAATCTTGGCGAAAGACCTTGATTAAACCGGAGTGGTCAGTCGTCACAACGATGTTACCATCGAAATGAGCGGAACGCGCAATAAATCCAGGAGACTCATCGGGCTTTTTGACCTTGTTTGAACTTTCGGACTGCGTATCTTGAGACTCGGTGACCTGGTTCACCGTAGATTCCTCCTTGCTACGCAATGTTATCGGCGGTGGATTGCATAATGTGAATATAGGGTCGCCGGAAGCCTGTAGCAATTGTCGTACTGCCGTAGGGGCGAAGATGGCCCCGGTCACGATACCCGAATGTGCCTCAAAATATTCGTAAGGCTTCTTTTCCTTGTTTTCGGCAAGCCTCGAACTGGTTGACCATATGAATGCCCTCTTGTCTTCGCTTCCGCATATAATGTAATTGCCGTCGTCATTAAACGTAGCCCTGATCTGGCTACACGTATTTTCGTGGCCTTTGAGCTTCAATTCAAGGTTCTTGTCTCCCATATTATAGATCCTGATGCGAGAATCGTTCGACGTGACAAGAACCTTAACCACACCATCGGGAGCTTCCGGTGGGAATCTCATCGTCTCAATGCCAGTAATCTTGCTTCCTTTGGCGTTCTTACCCCTTGACGACCGTACGTGGATCTGCGTATGATATTTAAGGCCCTCAGTCTCATAAAACATACAAAACCCATTCAAACATCCCGCTATTGCGGTTCTACCATCGGGGGAAAAAGCCACGGCCGTAATAAAATCAGACAGCTGGCTCGAGTAAGCGACGGCTTTGTCGGGAATACTCCATAGGCGTAAGTATGAGTCGAGGGAACCGGCGAGGAAAAAACGGTCATCACGAGGGTGAAAGGCGATAGATGTGACGAAGTCCTTGTGTTTGAACGTGCAAAGGCATTCCTGTCTACTGATATGCCATAGACGGACAGTCTTATCCATCGATGAAGAAAGGAGAAAATTATTCTTGCTCCAGCTGAGATCAAGAATGTCGCCGGTGTGACCGACAAACTCGCGAATCGGTTTCGTGCGAAAGACTGGCGCGCTGAGGCGCTCCTCTTTATCACTTGCCGCGTTCTCCTCCTCCTCCACCTTCCGGTCTTCTTCTGTGGCCATCACGGCCCATATGCGTACGACCCTATCTCGACCCCCTGTAGCCAGGTACCTACCATCTTTACTGAACTCGACGGCCCAGATGGGGCCACCCAAGTCTGGTTCGTCTTTACCGGGTTCCTCCGTTGCGGCAGCTCCATTCGCGGTCTTGGTTTTATCATCTTGATTTGGCGGCTGCGTCCCTACTAGCTCCTGCGCGAGAAACATGCGGTTGAACTCCTTGATTTTCTTGTTGTGCGCTCGAACCCTGATATACCGTGGTGGCTCCTTGTGATGAGGGATGTAGCCCCCAGCACCGATGGCAGAAGAGAAGGCTACGGCATTCGCGCCTTCGGTCCTTAATTCGCTAATTTCGGATTCATCGTCATGGATGCCGCCCTCCTTCTTCTTTCCACCGATCATGCTGAGGCGACTAAGGAACCCTCCCTTCCTATTAAGCCACGATCGTTAGTATGGCACCCTAGCACTTTTTGATTCAAGCTATTCTTAGGCAGACACACCTCCTGTCCCTTGGTAGATCAGGTTGAGGTGCTACTTGCTTGGCAGGTAGATCGGAGGAAGGACGGGGTAGCCCTTCATTCGCAGCAGGGCTGTCTGGCCGTCCGGTATTGCGAAATCTCGAGGCGATGGAGCGGTCGGTATTCGTTCTCACGAAGATATGCTAGAGTTGGTATTGAGGTTAGGCTTGACCATTAGTAGGCCTGGCAGACAAGCAAGACGTACATGAGATAGGGGGTCGAGCGCGGACGAAGATGCGACTTGCGGCCCAGGCCGGGCTGCAGCATCCAATTCCTTCTTCTCTTTCACATCTTTCCCGGCCGTATCCTTGCGCGAAAGTTTTACGACACCTTTCTTCCCGGTACCTAGAATACTGGTGCCTGGTGAAGAAGTTAAGATAAGCTGTCAGCGAGACGGGCTTAGACATAGAGGGGCGCAAATCATTTACAAAAGAGAACAAGACGTAACGTAACGGGAGAGGATCGGGATGTAGACAATCAATGACTAATAACCATACTTGGGCCATCAGAAGAAGTCGGGGACCGTCCGAGATCACGAAGCGGCTCCGAGCCATTTTGATTTATCTTCGCATTCGCATGGGTAGCGGATAGGTCGTCTAGATGAGGACGAGCGACCTCGGTGGCCGGTGAAGAGGTCGACATCTTCCATTATCTAACTTTGACCAGGGATCATCTGGTATGAATGAGTTGGATAGCAACAGTAACAGTAATAGAGGGAGTGGTAGTGATGGTGATGGTGATAGCGACAGTAGTAGTTGAGCAACAATACAATCTCGTCTCTCGTCGCGTACGGAGCTATCATGCGGCTAGAAGTGCGCGGTCGGCGATTTTTGGTTTATGACGCGTGCCCAGTTGGTATTCGCAACTCCGTCACATCCGAGGTTCAAAGGATACGCCTAAGATCTTATTTACTTAATCGCGAATTAAAAAGGAATCAGGATTTTTCAAGTATACGAAAACGGAAATGGTGCCCATCTCTGCTGTAGAAGTTCAAAAGTTGGGTATTTCTTGATTGAGATATAATATTTATTGATATATGTAAGATAGATCAAGAGATACTAGGGTACGAGTACGAGATCGAGCAATAATATGCGTCGAGCGTGTAAGATGAATATGTGGTATGGGATTCCGCAGGTGGCGCGACTTGAATTGACTTTCCAAGTCTTCCTCTAATAAGTTAAAGATATGTACTTACATATATGTACCTAGTAGTTATGGATACTTGTAACGTTGAACATTACTACAGCGTTTGACAAAACGGAAACGGTACGTGAAACGGGTCTACAAGCAATAGTATTATATAATACATGATACTTACATGTACCTACTAGGTAGTATCTAGTATTACCCATTATGTACCTAGTATTACATACATATGTACCTAGAATCTGCTTTACAGTATTTTGCCTTTGCCTTTGCACTCTACAATAAACGGACGGATCCATAGATCCATTTGCAAGTTCCAAAGAGAAACCGGCGCATAATGATGTAATCTCCACTTTTATAGATTCATGCAGGTCATCCCGGTACGTCATTTCAAGGTCATGGTTTGTTCGCTCTGCCTACCAGCATATTCTAACCAATTTAGAAATCTCTCTGGCAGCGAACCATAGCTAGGATCTCCCGAGGTCATTTTTAGATCTACATACCTAGGTAGGTAGGTACGGAATCTCCATATATCTAGGTACCTACATATGTAAGTAATGAAGTATAAATTACATACAATGATATGTAGCTTCAACCAATATCCTTTTGAACTACGTAAGTATGTAGGTACATACCTGGGGAGGTAGGTATAGGTTACCTCGTCTAATAAATTATAGGGCGGGTGCAAATTCACATTGATCAAGTTTAAAGGTGGACGAATTGATTCGGGATGCATCCAGATCGAACTTTATATTACCATATTCTCCTGAACTTCAGCCTGCCCATCGGCGCCAGCCTCATCCCCATCCTCGTCTAGATCCAGCATAGGGTATGTGAGTATAGCGGCTATTCCACCCAAAGCATCTAGTCGTTGTCCGCTTTCGTGATCACTGCTCAGTATTCGCGCCTCTCCTCCATCCTCTTTGACCTTATCAACCATGGCGACGTATCTTTTCCTCGTCCCAATGTCCTGGCTTCGGAAGAGAGAGTTATTAATCAACAAGATACCCCCTCCTCTACCGACGGCCCCCTCTCTAATTGCCTTCTCCACAGGTGCCGTGCCGTACCAAGCGCGACCGTCGTCTTTCCGCAATTTGTCGAAGAATTCGTCCATGAACCTCGTCTCCTTAGAGAATTTCATATCCTTCATCGTTGCGGTGACTTCGTTGCTCTTGAGGATCTCGTTTAGACTATGCAGGTGCCCGGAGCTTGAATGAACCACCGTCGCCCCCTTAGCTATAGCCATCATTGCCTTGTCGGTTCTCCTGGCACCCTCGTCTGATATATACTTCTTGAAATCGCCAGCGACAAACCCCGGGCTGGCCAACAGCAATGGTCGGGGTATCGAGAAATCTATGCTGCGAACCAAGGTGCCCAAAGTCTTCTCGAAGAAGCGCTTCATACCCGAATCTTGTTCGGAGCTACTCGACCGTTTCTTAGGTATCGCGCTCTCCACTCTTTGTTTAAGTATGGTACGGTATTCGGTAATCAGGCAGATATTTGCGATGCCTTCCTGCATGACGACAGCAGCTACCGCACCCTCTTTGTCCTGTTTTAGGGCATCCGAAAGTGTCTCTCTTGCCACCGAGTCCCATCCATATTTCTTCCATAGGGTGAATGACCGGTTAAGCTCGAGGTCGAGGGTATGGTATTGTCCGAGGCTGACAAAGCTATTCTCGACAATGACGGTGCCTGATACATGTAGTTGCGAGGAGCCTGGATCGAAGAAGGTGGAAGTGACACGGATGGTAAGATCGGTGTGTACCCTCTCTGACATGGTGCTGCCGGTCTTGGTCTCGGTCGTAACTTTTCGGATCGCGTGGGCCTTGACGACATCTTCGGGGCTTATTAGATTATTTGCGTGCCACTTCACATTTAATGTTAGATCTACAGTTGCGGGCAGCTTATGTATACTCTATAATTACCATATCTTCTGGCTCAATGGGGAGTAAAGTTACGTTGCCTTCGCCTATCTCGTCGAGGCGCTGGGACGCTTTCGACCCGATCAGCTGCATGTTGAAAGAGGTTAGATAATGTGTCGCGAAACGAGATAAAATCGACCAGGCCGTAACTTGGGAACAATAGAATATTAGATGCGACGTGGTTTAGCAATATATTCGTAGTGCGTAATTACCCTTTCGAAATAATATTGAGGTCTACGATTATGAGGTACGCTGTAGATGGCCTAAAATCATTTAACTAGGGAATGATTGAATGCTTGAAATGCCCCTCGACCCCGCCATAGAGGTACAATACTTAAGTACCTCCTACCTTGCCACCCTGTCACATCGAAGTTCCGCGGGTAGGGCATAACTTCGAAAATGATTGATTGTTAAAGCTCTCGAGGGCTATGTACCTACTACCTAATTACCTAGTACCAACGTCCCTAGGTACCTAGTGACGTTAGTTGGGGTACATTTATACCTCTTTGAAGGAAGGACTTACCATATAGATACTACCTAGGTAGTACTAAGTACTAAGTAGGTATCTAGTGTAACCTCAATAACTCCGTCGAAGCAACCGTATACCTACCTACCTACCTACTAGGTAGTAGGGTAGTAGCTATGTAGGTGCCTAGTAGGTACTTCATAGGTAATGGAAGAACCCTCTCCTTCTTATGAGATATTTCCAATGGCCAAACCGGAGATAGTCAACAAACGCCGACTAAAGACTGCTGCTTGATAATCATTACGGCAGTTGCTCACTACATACTACTAGTATAAAGGGCATTCATTGTTCCTTGCCAGTAAGTATAACAGGAGATGAAAATGTGCTGATCTTCCCAGCCTTTCGAATCTTTCCAACTCACCTTTACATTCATCCACGCTTTTCTAACCTCCAACTAACCGACTTTTCTCTTTGATAGAACCGTAAAGATGGCAACCTACAATATCAATTCTACATTCAAGCTGAACAGCGGCTACGAAATACCTCGACTGGGCTTTGGGGTAAGCATTCCATTCCACACCATTTATCTATCAATTATCATTGACATTGACATTGACCTATTCTAGGTATACCAAACGTGAGTTGAGTATATTGATTCACCTAGGTAGTTATTTTGGGTCCTAGACGATTGAATCTAACTACCGGCTCACAGTCCGCCAGATGCAACCGAGAAAGCCGTGATAGAAGCATTCGGCGCTGGTTACCGTCACGTCGACTCGGCTGCTGCATATCGCAATGAGGCTGGATGCGGCAGCGCCATACGAGTCAGCAAGCTGCCGCGCTCCGAGATATACTTTACCTCTAAGATTCCCCACGGCGGCATGAGTTATGCTGGTGCCAAAGCACAAATAGAAACGACCTTAAAAACTTCCGGTCTTGATTATATTGACCTCATGTTAATTCATTCTCCCTATGGCGGCTCCGCTACGCGAAAAGAGGTATGGAAGGCACTCGTAGAGGCTGTCGAAGAGGGCAAGAGTATGTGTATACAAAATCTTATTCCGTCACGTTAACCTGCCCCCTTCCAAGGGCAACCTGCTCTCTCGGAGTATTTCAATTGTTTCAGCGAGCGACTGTAACTGATAACGAGCAGTTCGATCTATCGGCGTCAGTAACTACGGCGTCCACCATCTTGACGAGCTAGAAAAGCATATTGCGGAACTTGAGGCCGAGCGAGGTGGCAAGGGCAAGGGCGGAATCATCTCGGTTAACCAATGTGAGGTTCACCCATGGTGTCCTCGCAATGATATTGCCGAATGGTGTGCTAAGCGAAACATTGCCTTTGAGGCCTACGCCCCCGTTGTACGGGGAGAGAGATTCGGTGAAAAGTCTCTGGTCAATCTTGCCTCGAAATACAGCAAGACCGAGGCTCAGATCCTGCTTCGGTGGAGCTTACAGAAAGGCTACGTTCCACTTCCAAAGAGCGTCACGCCTTCGAGGATCGAGGAGAATGCTGCTATCTACGACTTTGAACTCTCAAAAGAAGATATGGACACGCTAGAGTTTGACGAGTATTCGCCCGTGTGTTGGGATCCTGTCAAGAGTGGTCTAGACAACTAAGAATGGGGATATGAAAATCACGTGGAAGCATTCTAGCGGTGCGGAGCGGCGGTGCCAAATCTAAGAAACAAAATACCTCAGTCTTCGAGATGGGCCTGTTCATTATTTCCGTAATTCATGTGTCATTCTTATGACATTCAAAGGGCAAGGCGAATTGCCACATGGAAGATACAATCTTCTACTCCGCATCTCCTAGACACATCGTCCCAATATACCCTCCCAGGACTTCAAAGGCACACCTGACTGTTTCGGTTTGTCTGGAGCGCCCTTCGCGTAGTTAGTCGAGACCCAAGACTCGATCTCTAATCCTTGAGGCATCACCCACTCTAGTTCCCTCCCGGAAAAGTTAAGAACAACGAGCCAGCGGCCGCCTTTGATGCTCGTACGAACATAAGCAAAGACCTCCTGATCATCGGGGTAGAGCTCTTGGAAGCCCCCATACACGAATACGTCAGCGTGATCTTTCCTCTGTTTCAACGCTCCCTGCCAGAATTGCCAGACTGAAAGGTCGGTTTGGTTGTCAGCCTTTAGCTGAGCCTCAACATTCACCGTCTGGTAGTCATCCATCACTCTCATCCATGGCTTCGTGCCCGGGTCGCAAAAGCCGGCATTTTCCCCGGCGGTCCATTGCATCGGGGTTCGAGCATGGTCGCGCGCCTTCATGTCGATAATTTTACGGCCAAAGGCCAATTTTTCTTTGTCGTTTGCATATAGCTGCTCGCACTTCTTCCAGTAATTGATGGTCTCGATATCTTTGAACTCGGAGATGTCCCAGGTTTTAGGAGCATTGCGAATCCCAATTTCTTCTCCCTGGTAGACGAAAAGCGTACCTCCGAGAGTAGTCTGCATAAGCGCGAGAAGCTTAGCTCCCTTTTCGCGCCATTCGTCGCTGTCGTCAGTGTATCGTGAGACGGATCTCGGGTTGTCGTGGTTCTCGATAAACACCGAGTTCCATCCATTATCGCGGATCATGACACGTTGCCATTTTGTGATGATCGACTTCATCTCTTTAATATCCCATGGCTTGAGGGCCATCCTAACATCCGGCTTGTCGATATCAACCAGATCGAAAATGAAGATCATCCTCAACTCCTCGGAGTCAGCACCGACGCTTCGCAGAATTTCCTTCTCGTCGCTGACCCCAGGCATTTCACCAACAGTAATCGTATCGTATTTACTCAACACCTCTCGGTACATCTCTCGTAGGTAGTCGTGTAATTTCGGTCCGTTGACGAAATACTTCACCCCGGGCTGATATCTATGGCCAGGACCAAGTACGATATCGGCGTCGGGATAATTTGGCTCTTTAGAGATCAGGTTGATAACATCCATCCGGAACCCACTTGCTCCTCGTTTCACTGTCGTGGAGAGGCGTTAGCAATCTACGATACTAAACTACTGTAACACAAACAGGAGGGGAAAGGAAACACGAGACGCACTCCAAAAATGCATCACTTCCCAGACCGCTGCTCGGACTTCGGGGTTCTCCCAGTTGAGGTCAGGCTGTTCTGGCGTGAAAAGACTGAGGTAGAACTCTCCAGTCTTTTCATCATACGTCCACGCCGAATTGGCTTCCCCTAGGATCTGCGCCCAGTTGTTAGGCGGCTCCGGCACACCGTCTTGACCGATGCTCTTCGGCTTTTTCCAAATGTACCAATTGCGCTTAGGGCTTTCGCGGCTTGCGCGGCTCTCGAGGAACCACGGGTGCTCGTTGCTAGTGTGGTTCACCACTAAATCCATCATAAGCTTCATGTCGCGTTTCTTAAGCTCGGCGATTAATTCGTCTACATCCTCTAGGGATCCATATCGCTCGTCAATCTGCTTGTAGTCGGCAATGTCGTAGCCCATATCAGCCTGTGGCGACTTGAGGATTGGCGAAGACCAAACTACGTCGATACCTAAAGACTTTAGGTAGTCGAGCCGCGACGTGATGCCCTTGATAGTGCCCCATCCCGAAGTGACACCAGACTTTTTTGTTCCAAATGGAAAACGTTAATGAGAAGCTAGAAATATGGTGTATAGATTTTTCGCCCACCTGGCACTGGAAGCTTGCCGGATAAATTTGGTAGACCACTAAGAAACCAGTCTATCAGTCTCTGTCATCTCCCTCATCTCTGTCATAGGGGCCCTCAGAGTTGATTCAACACACCGGCTTCTTTCCACCACTTGGGTGTCGAGTAGGATGAATCTGTCACGGCCATTTCCATATTGAATTAAATTTCGAACATTTCAATCGCGATACGTTGCCACCTTCTCATTATCTTCCTGTTGGGAGCGGTCTAATCTTTAATCTAACTTGAATTGGGCATCGATGCTTTCCCCCCATCGAGTCCACCAAGTGACGTCGAGTTGCATTTGAGGTTAAGATTTACGTTCTGTCACAGCTACCTACTCAACAAGGTTATTGGATGCTGGTATGTGTGTCAACGGTTGGTTGCAGCTGTCTAGTAGTTATACATTTATTGGTCTAGTTGGAGATAACTAGTAAGTACCCCTTTTTAAAGCACACGTGCTAATAAATCTGCATAATGCCTCCTATTGTCATACGAGTTGGGATACCTACATACCTAGTACATAAGATGATAAGTACATCCATGGATGCATATGCATCTCCGCAACAAGCAAGAAACATAGGTAGGTAGTAGGAATGTATATTAACAATAAAACGTAGCCTCTCAAGTGATCCTAAAATGTGCAATATTTATTAGTCTACCTACTCTCCTTACCTCCCCCCTCGGTTTAGTGCTGATGAATGAATTTAGACATACAGGATGCTGGACATAATCCCACGAGCTGGTAATACTTAATCGCGTCGTCACTTGAGTATGTAGTAAGAACACGATGTTTATATAGGTACATGGCTATAATTGCTAATAAAATTAACGAGTCCGAGTACGATAAGCTGCCATAAATCATAACAACCTTAAGTTGGATCTCTTTCCGCACTCGGCCGGATCAAAGCACATATTGCTGTATCGACGCGACGGGGATCGGAAGGTGATCGAACATTAACAACTTCAGCTCGCTTAACCTGAGGAGACCCATGATATTCCGGGGTTTTGGTGGACCGATCGTAGGTAGGTACCTAGTAAGTGCGGTATTTTGATGTAAGTTGCCGATCATTGGTTAGTTTGGGATGCCTGGAATTCTCTGTTCTTTTGTTGGGTTTTATAAGGTACATGTTCCGAATAGGTACCAATGGAACATCATATAATGATAGATCATAATCTGTTCACTCGCCATTTACTAGGCTGCTAGGTATCTAGTCGCCAGCGGTCGACCAACTGCGGAATTCGCACCATCCAGATTCCGCTCACATCCCTAGTATCTGATGATGACCTAAGAAGTTTATTTTGAGAATCGAGACGACCCCGTGCAACTAAAAATAAGTCTTATTTTCACGTAAGCAGCTTTGCGGCTCCAAATTCGTAGGATTTGGCCGTAGACAACGTTGGGAAAAGCTTGGCATATGTTGATCCCCATACTTCAGGGGTAGAACTTGGGGGCGGAAGAGCTGTCCTAACCCTTTATAGAATGAGCACCGACTCTGGGGTGTACTTGAGTGTGGCAATAGTAGACGGTAGAACTGCATCACCTGCTATGTACCTCCTCCATAATTGACCTAGGTAGTTGATCGAGACAGCATTGAGATTTGGCACCTGTACCTAAGATGCGAACCATGGTAGATGACATAGGGATACAAGGTTGATATGGTGTGATGAATCTATCAAGAGCCTAGAGGCCATGCTGACTGGTTGGCGAGGATGATAATGTGTTCTGAGGACGTCCCGGCGTCGACGCAGGATTTTCTGTCCATCGGGTCAGCAGAGTAGGTAATGATCGCGAATGTCCCGCTTAGCCCCTTGCCACGGGAAGTTGGGCTGGTTACCACTCTTTGCTACGGTACTTTGAGCCTCACAAGACGGCAGATTACAAAGGTCTCTCCTCTTCACCAACTTCTAGAACGCGAAGCCAAACTTGGTCCTCTTTTATCTCGTTGCTGAATAGTCGATCAATGTTATTCATCTTCTATCACTACCTACCCGATCCCTGGCTTTCCACACGGACATCTCTATTGGGCCTCAGCTCTAGGCAGTCGAGTGTCGGCAGATTCCAATGAACCGTCTCTTTACGACCATCGCCGGAGTGGCAACGGCTTTATCATTGTTAGGATTAGTTGATGGATCACCTAAAGCAGCACGAGTATGTACCTAACATTAAGATTTCATTTCTTTCCCCCTTCTGGTTTTCCTTGGGAGCGAAAACGTCATAGTTAAGTCGACTAGAGAGTTCCTGCTTCCGAAATATGCTTAAGATTCGTAGTATCTCTCCTACAGAAGGATTTTAATAACTCATGTTGTCGCAGTGGTCGAACAAGACCTTAGGACCAGACGGACCTTGGAACGCGGTAGAGGTATCATTGGGATCTGGCCAACAAGTGACGGCCTACGCAGGGAAGATGTGGGAGTCGTTTTTCCCCGGAGGAACTTATTGCGGAAATGTCACGGCCGATGGTCAGCCATGTTATGCACAAGAGGCTGGCGGCATATACAGCGAATTAACAGGTACCGGGCACAAGCCAAGTATCCTCATAGCCGGCGGTAGCTCCTTGACACCTAACCAGGTTTCTAACGGAAGTGATGGACTACGGTGGGCCGACTCGTTCTTCCTGGGAACCAATACGACCCCATGGGCCGACGATAAGGTGAACGATTTTGATATGGTTCTTCTGAGCGATAGTCAGTTTCGGTATCCCAACGGAAATAAATGCCCGATATTCGCAGGCTGTCTTAGTTTCGGCGCGGCACCTGGTAGTAAGTATGGCTCGGTACACAGCCGTTCTATTTATTTGTTTAAGAAGGGGCTCATAGCTAATGCGCAACTATTAGTGGTTAACCAGACATTCCAGGTAAACGCAGGTACAGCTGCGGGTGCCGTCAATGTTAGTCTATTAGCTGGGACCTTGTATGAAGAGAACGCAATCGACTCTCAAACTTTCGGGATGCACATCGGGTCTGCTGCTCCCCAACCGGTTCCAGGCTCGCTTTGGTTCGGAGGATACGACCGAAATAGAGCTGTAAACGATATGTTGGCTATCCCCATCGCCGACCCCTATCTCGTATTCACAGATGCTCCTCTCGTGGACATATCCATCAATGTCGTCAAAGGGGGGTCGCCATTCCCCTGGAGTTACAAGGGGGGGCTGTTGGCATCAGGGAACTCTTCGATAGGGGATCGACTACCCCTTGCTATCGATCCCTGCTTTCCGTACATCAATCTACCAAAGAGTACATGTGATGCTATTGCGGCCGAGATCCCAGTGACGTATAACGAGGGGTTGGGGTTATATCTCTGGGATACTGAGTCTCCGGATTACGGTCGCGTAGTGCGGTCTCCCTCCGTCTTGTCGTTTACCTTCATGGACCCCAACAATAACTCGCGGAGGGTGAACATCTCGGTACCGTTCATGCACCTAAACTTGACACTCGATAAGCCGATCGTCGACAAACCGACCTCCTATTTCCCCTGCAATGCGGTATCAAATGGGAACTATGCTCTCGGGCGTGCTTTTCTGCAGGATGCTTTCTTTGGAGCAAATCTGAAGACGGCTTTCTACTTCATATCGCAGGCACCTGGACCAAGTGTCAACGGACAGAGCGTGACGATCATGGACGATCAGTGTCGAACACTCTTGACTAGTAATAATAACTGGGAAACATCCTGGGACGGGTACTGGACGCCGCTTCCGGAACCAGCAGACGATGCGACGAACGGATCATCAGAGCACATGTCTAGAACAGGCGTCATCGCTGGCTCGACCGTCGGTGGCGTGGCGGGTTTCACGATACTCGCATTGATCGGCATCATTGTACGGAGATACCGCGTGTATGGTAAGGGCTTCTCGATATGTGGTATACCCCTGATTAAGGATAAGCCAGCTGCGTACTATGGCACGAACGTCACCGAGGCATTAGGAGAGTCTCCGAAGTCGCCAGCTGAATATTGGCCACAGCAACATGCGCCCGTGCCAGAGCTACCGACGAACTCCGGCAACACATGGCAGATGCCAGCTCATGTTACGGACCAGGCAACAGAGATGGAGACGCCATATGTCGTTCACGAGATGCCTGCAGATTATTTAGGGGCAAATAGCCATCACTACCACACTCGCGAATAGTATAGATACCTATTGTGGTGGAACATACAGTACTTGGGCTTGCATGATACTAGCGAAGGAGGGTGTTTTTTTGGGTGTGTTTATTATTCATTAGATACCATTTTAGATGTCTTTTTCTTTTTGAGGGTGCATGTTATACGCCATGGATTCGGTATGTGAAAAAAGGGTTAGGAGGTATATGATATAGGACGAATAGAAGCATACGATGATATTTATATAGGATCTTTCTCATCGAGATATCGATATGACTGAAATCCTACATAGAGCGCTCCTGTAGCATTGTGATCTTCGGCCACATGCGTTCTAAGTTGTTATGCCTAGTACGTTTGAATGAGTACTAGGTATCTACCTCGGCAGGTAGGTCGTCGGTAGGTAATAAACATGGTAGTTCTGGAACTGAAGCGACGTACGATCACGTAAGATCATTCTCCGCGCACCTCCGTAGGAGCATCAGCCCCCAAAAGACTTTGCTCTTCATCTGCGAGGTTTTTCTTTTCCGTCGGGGGCTTGTTCTTCTGTAAGCTAACCCATATTGCAGATCCGATAATCAGGGCACTGCCGAAGAGGCTTTCAATAGGAGGTGTTGTTCCCCAGACAACTCGCTCGATAATCAGCGCAAAGACCATTTGTGTATACTATTTCTATGATTAGCCTACCAAGGACTTATTTATATCTAGGTACTAATATATTATGTAGTAATTATAACTTACGATGAGATTGGTGGCTCTCCCGGCTTTCTCTCTTTGTAACCCTTCGGTGAGGAGGAATTGTAGAAGGAACCCGGCGATACCGATCGATACTAATAAAGACCTGTGACAGTGTTAGTCACGCATCCCGTAGTATTGAGGCATGAAAGTGATAGCTTACCATTGAGCAGCATTCTCGGGAATTTCGAAATGTAAATCCGGAAGGGCCATGATAACAACGAACGAGACGACCGTCGCAAGACTAGCGAAATAGTTCACGCTTATGAGTGAGTGCGCGCGCTTTCCAATAATTCGAATAATGGAATATGCAGAGGCTGCACCGAACGTGCCAACGACAGCCAGGATAACAGCAAGCGAACGTTGAGCCGGCGTTGCGGGCACCTCGGGAACCATTCCTTTAGGTTGGTCTGCCATGAATAGTTGCGAGCTACCATCGTCGGACTCATTCTCGTTGTGGTGAGGAAAGAGAAACGCGGGTCTAGCTATGAAGAGTACACCAGCGAAAGCGATGCAGCCAGCTATGGCTTCTTTCACCGTGAACGGCTCCTATGATAAAGAGGTAGGTGATCAGCGAGGCCAAGATGAGTGAGAGGGACCTGGTCACCTGAGTTGCTTTATTGCACATACCCTTAGAACTATGAAACATACGATAGCTGTTGTTGTTGGGACGAGGAAAGTAATGACAGTGGAATCGGCTATATCCAAATAAGAGAGCGAATCTTGGTTATTAAAAAGTCAGCTTCGATCGTATCATATCTTCGGTGTACCTATCTTATGAGAAGCGAGTACCACTAGGTACCTATGCTAAAGAACCGAATGGGACTTACAATACAAGCAAAAAAGGCCGGTGAAGCCGGCGAGGCCTCGTAAAATTAAAAGTCCCCTGATATCTCGACGCCCGAGCGGAAAATCGGGAACTTTCTTATACCACATATATAAAGAACCCAGCACGGCGGTTGCAAACATGCGTACGAAGATAATCTGCAAGGCGTGGAACTTTTTCTCGAAACCCGTCTCAAGCAGGCGAGTGGCCATTGCCATCTGAAGTGCTATTAATAGGTATACAATATGGATTGCCAGGTTTAGTTGTAACTAGGTAGGTATTTTACGTACGAGAGATGCAAACACCTGAGCCAGGAATACGAAGAAGAGTCCGATGTTTCTTTCATAAAACGTTTTTAATTCCTGCCAAACAGTTCGATGCTCTTCATATTTTGGACTTATAGAATCATCGACCTGTTCACCGCCAAGAAGGCTGGCGGCATTGCTTTCAACTTCATCGCCTCCAGCTTGCGGTGGTCGGGCGTCGACATCGTGTTCTCTCGTAGAACCTTCTCTCTCGTTTATGGATCCGTAAGACATTATACTTGCTATCGAGGTAAGAAGGTAAGAAGAAAAGATCGGAAGACGAATTATCGTTCACTTTGTGCCATTTTAGCGCCATCTGACTAGTGATCGAATTGCTTTTTCTTTCCTTTTTCTTTTTCCTTTTCCTTTTCTTTCCGCCCCGGTCTCGGCTTCGGCTTCGGCTCCGCAGATCCACTACCCCGGACTTTTAGTTGGTCATGTTACCAAGATCATCATTCATGTTAGTAATTGTGTATTAGTTGATATTTTATGAATAAGTAAAATGTACTATATATTTAGGTATGATGATTTCATATCAACTGGTTACGACATATCGATTTTCTTCGTGGCGATGAAAATAAAAAATACCTGTGTATGTTAAAAAAAAATGAATAAAAACAAAACTCTGTTGGCTCCAAATAAGAGATGGGTATATTCTTCAAAACCACTGAAAACATGACAGTAGGCGCCTAAGTAATGTTTAAAAACATAACCAACCACCAACCCTTTTCGCTCTTCCAGTCCAACCTGCCTCATCCGGTTCGAAATCGTCCTTCGTATATACATCGGTAACCAAATCCATCTCGCTCGCCCGCTTAAATTTCGTTCTCTTGACCAATTTCCAAGTAACAAACATCAAGGCGAATAGGGGTAACTCGATATAGTAACTGACAAAATCGACAGCGCTGAATTTGGGACTGAAGCAGCTCCATCCCTGGATAAGGACGATAAAGCTATTGAGGACGATGGCGATGATCGGGCCTGCTGGGTAGGTCCAATTTTTAAAAGGCAGAAGATGCTCCTTGCCCTGGGCTTTCAATCCAGCCCGAAAACGCAACGAGGCGATACCGATGCTAATCCAGGACAGCTGGTTCGAGACGCCGACGAGATTCTGTAGCCAAGTCCATAGCTGTCCCGCCCCAATGAAGGATGCGCCGAAAAGCAATCCCGAGATGAATGATGTGAAAAGGACGGAAACCCAGGGTACCTGAAAACGTGTCAGGCGGCCGAATACTTTAGGCGCGTGGCCATTCACGGACAGTGTGTAGAGCAGCCTTGAACCAGCAAATAGAGCGTGATTCCCGGCTGAAACAACACTGGTCAAGATGACAGCGTTCACAAAAGAACCGGCCACCTTAGATCCGACCATCTGGAAAGCGATGGTGAAAGGGGAGGTACGTGTCTCCTTAGAGTTCAAACCCGGATAGTTGTAGGGCACATTGAGGCCGATCATGAGAGAAGATAATATATAAAAGAATAATATTCGCCAGAAGACGTTCTTGACGACTCGCGGTAGTTGACGCGCCGGGTCTTTCGTTTCGCCTGCCGTAATAGCGATTGATTCGGTTCCACCGTACGCGAAAGAAGCGGTCACAAATACGCTGGCGAAACCGCCGATGCCGCCTACGAAGGGAGCTCCAGGGAGGTACCAATTCCGTGCGCCGATATACTCATGCGACGTGTTCCCGCCCGCATTTACCGCAATGCTCAGGATTATGAAGATGACGATGGTGACCACCTTCAGGAGGCACAACCAGTACTCGACTTCGCCGTAGGCTCGTACGTTAATGATGTTGGCTAGAACGATTAGGAACCATATAATCAGCCCAAGCGCATACCACGGGAAGCTGTCAGTCCAATATTGGAAGACCAACTGTAGAGCAACTAGGTCTGCAGCGGTAGATACGGCGTCGTTAAACCAGTAGTTCCATGTAAGCGCAAACCCCCATGCGTCATCTACGTAACGCGCAGAGAAGGTGCAAAATGATCCGGCCACTTGAATCGTGATTAGAATGAACACATGAAATTCAAAAATTTAAGTCGGGATCGAATGGAACCGAACTTTCGAGCTTTCTCACCTGGAACAAACGCAGCCATCTCGCCTAGGCACAACATCGTGACAAACACGATTCCCCCGACGATAGCATAACATAGTAGCAACGATGCCGGACCACCGGTCGCCAGCGCTTTTCCAGTACCTAAAAACAGACCTGTCCCGATAGTGCCCCCGATGGCTATCATCTGGACTTGTCGCGGCGACAGCGACCTTCGCAGCTGGTCCTCGACCACGGGCGCGTGCTCCGCACTATTGAAGACCGGGGGCGAGACATTCTTCTCGGCGTCGACATCCATCTCTCGAGTTTGTTTAGTTACCTAGGTACTAGGTAATTAATTACCTTGGTCCTTGAGCTATCGCGGACTAATTCGTTAGCTACGAAACCCTTCTTCCCCTAATCAACAACGTAGGCCGTTTCTGCGAAAGAAGGTGACATTGGATATAAAGGAATTCGCCTACTGTATAAAGAAGCACGCCATTCCACGTGAGGATGATGTTTTGAGGCAAAGCAGCTCCCAAGAGGAGATACCTGGTCTTGGCCCGCCTAATTAGGAAGGATGTAAACGCTTACCGAGCCGTAAGCTGTATTGTTTGATTATTTGACTGAAATATTTTCACTTTTTTTTTCTTGCCTCTTATTTTTCTCTTAATCCATATAACCCCATCTTATTATTTTTCGGGTTTCAGGGATGTCTTAATTACTTTAGGAAAATAACGAGATGCTAAAAATGTAAGAATAGGTACCTAGCAAATCCATGAACATCCCGCCATTTGAATGATGACCTTGTTAGAAATGGATGATTTACTAACCACCATTCATCTTAAAAGCTATAAGGAACTAATGAAAATGTCTCTGTATGAATTGAACTGCCTATACCGAAAATAAGCATTATAATTATGAATATATTCCAATCAAGGATCCTTATATTATCTCGTTGTCGTTGAAAGGTTAACGGAAACTAGAAAACGTTGAATGGAAAAAGGAATTCCCCACTTAGAGGAGCAGACAATGTGGAGTCTCTATCTTCCGGTAAAGTACGTAATATATACCATTTTATCCAACTTTCTTTCATCAGCATCAGAGCAGCCCAATGAGCTCTCACAGTTTGAAGCTAAAAGAAATGGCCCTATGGCGCAACGGTAGCGCGTTCGACTCCAGATCGAAAGGTTATCCGTTCAAATCGGGTTGGGGTCATCAATTTTTTGTCTACTTTCGGTTTGCCGTCGATTCTTTTTCTTCTCGAGGGAGGGAATAATAATCATTGAAGTAATCATCACTTCCCCCATTGGATAAATTGCTTTTTTTTGTAAAATATATATATATATATAAAATATCGCAGTATGCAATTCTACGGCTACTGTAGACATCAGGTTCTAGGGGAGACGGCAGTGTGCAAAGAACTTATTTCCCAAGTAGTAAACGTTTAGACCCGAGAATGATCTAACTACCTAGGTAGTATTGCTATCATCGTAGCGTGGATATTCCCCAAGCCAACTCTTCTTTTTTTAACAACTCCTATACCAAGTGGCGCCCCTTATATCAAAGAACCCCAACACCTCGCGACATAAGCCTCTGTCATATTTGCTCCGCCAATCTCGAGTAACCATCAGGTACCGCATGTCTACAGGTCCTAACCCCCATTTCTCCTCATTTCCAACGAAAGACTACTTAGGGGTTGTTAGGATATGCAGGTAGATGTGGTTATCTTCAATATTTAACGTAAAAACGTCGAATCATAGACGGCTTTAGACCCTTGTCAAGATGCGAACCCGAGGATGGATTTACATACATGTATTCAAAAGACGGGGTCCTATTTCCCATGAATCCCGTAAACGACGGGTATGGGCCTGAATACGCTGAACTCTTGGCCGGTAGCAACCAGCGTTCCGGGGATTTGAGGATGCCAGTGCACCTCCTTCGCGTGCTCGGAAATGTGTTCGAAGAGTAGTTGAGGCGGCATGTCCTTAACTCCTGCCGTATCTTTGCTCTCCTCGTCGTCTAACTCCACGGAAAGATCCCAGAGGGTCACCTTATGGTCGCCCGCAGCAACGGCCACCATGCTGTCGTCCGTAGGATGCCATTCTATGCTTGTGATCTGCTCCTTGTGGTAGTTGAAGCTCGCGATCGGGCTAGGTTTTTGCGCGCCTCCCTTCCATTGTCGCAGATCCCATACTCCCCATACTCCGTCATCTGCGCCGGTCGCGAGTAGGTGCGTCGTCAATCTAGACCAAGACATGACGTTGACATCAGTGGAGCTAACCTGTACCGTGATGGCGGGTTTTCGGCTCTTGCTTCGCACGTCCCACACGCGGACTGTGCCATCGCTAGATGCGGAAGCAAATACTGACGCCTCTTGTGGGCTCCACTGAATCTCCTCCACGCTGCTGGTGTGGCCCTGGAACGCTCTCGTATCCGTAACCCAGCCGCCTCCGTCTGTTCGCGTCGTCGCATATATCAAGCCATCGTTGTCTCCAGTCAGAAGCTTGCCACCCGGAACCAGAGGCGACCAATCAAGCGCGTAACCCTCGGATTTATGAGCTCGGATTGTGGAGAGCGGCTTGTTCTGCTGCGGTGTGATGAGCATTCCGGGGTTGTCGAAAGATGCTAGATGAGGAGTAACGTCATGTATGAAGATGTCCGATGACTCTGTCATGGTCGCGGTGATGGTAGTAGGTGGTTTCGAAGGGTCTTGGGAGGGAATCTGGTGACTTCGGATTCGATTCGTAGTGGAGGTTAGCGGGATAGACTTTGACTCGAGGATAGGTTCGGCTTCTTCTTCGTCGTCGTCATCCTCCGACTCCGAATCTTCTTCTTCTTTTTGCATGCGACTCAAACCGCTAAACTTCATGATCATCAACTGGTTCTCCTTTTCGCGTTTGCTCTCGGCTTGAGTGCCTGCGACGGTGTACATGGTAGCTGGGTAGGCCTTTTCTCGTTTATCTCCAAGCCCGTCGCGAATTATGTCGAAAGATAGGCAAGGCCAAGGAGTGCTGAGATTGTGAAGCATCTCATACGTTCCCGTGTCGGGAGCAAGATGCTGACCAGCCTCAAGCTTATTACGGCCGACGATAAAAGTTCCATTTCCATTTCCATTATCGACATCCATAGCACCGGCTGCCCGTTCATCTGCCTCTCGCTCCGCATCGGGTCTACCATCAACTCCTGCCTCAAAAATCTCATCTTCACTCTCGAACTCATCCTCGAATTCGTCTTCAAAATCGCCCATTTCCTTGTCGTTGTCTACATCCATCGGTTCGGGACGATCACCTCCTTTGAGAGGGGTGATACCGTCGCCGGCCTCCGCCGTACGTTTGGACATCGTGTCAAAATCTTAGATTGGTATTATCTATTATAATACGTAGTGTACGGTTGAAGGGTGCGGTTTAGATAATTGACAGTTTAATCAATTGGCCAGTCATAACTGTATGCGAAGTACAAGAAAAAAAATTATAATTTTTTTCATTGCCCCTCTACCCCGCGATCTGTGGCTGTTGCATGGATGGGACAGGGATTATCCAGTTCAGAATCTCAGTGCCAACTCGTGTACCTGTACGAAAGCCCGATGCGGACCCCTGCGAATATGCATAAACTTATACACCAAATGTATACATCATGTACACCATAATAAATCATGAATAAATATTTCTATGCTAGAATAAAACTTCACTAATACGAAGTACAAGTAGGTACTACGTGGGTACCTAGTAATTGCTGACTTCATCCCATTTCCGTCTTACTGCAATCAACATCTGTTTTCACGTTACACGATACCTACCTATTTATCAATTGACTTTTCCACCCATCCATATCCATGGATTCAAGTTCTCTTCCCATCTCCTCTCTTTCCTCCCACCAAATCTATTTTAACCCATATTCAGTCCAAATCAGGTTTTAGCTACACCGCCATGACACGCGCTTTTCAGTTCGGTCTCGCTGTCGAGGCCTTTCTCAATATTGTCGGAGCCGTTCCATTTGTTCTATACCCGGAATGGTGCCTTTCATTTGCTGTCGCTAATCGTTCTGCTACCGGTGCCCCGGATGTACCTCCAAGCTCCGCCGTATTGTGGCAGATCTACGGCGTCCTCGTTCTCTCGCTTACAGTTCCACTCGTCTTGTGTATTCCGGACTCGAATGCAGTGGCAGATAAGCGCCGAATCGTCTTCCAGACTCTTATTGCCGGGGAAGTCTTAATTGAAGCCATCTTACTACGGCATATATCTCAGCCGGAGAAGAGTGGCTTCACTCTGACTTCGCTTTTACTCAGTGCTTTCTTCTTGCTACCTGCTCTGTTCTGGCATACCTTTGCAACATATGTCAAGCCCGATTTGATGAGCAGCGACCGTTTTCCTTCGGCCAAGCCAGCTAAGAAGACACGTTGATCTAATGACCCAAGCAGTACAAGGTACGTAACTCCGATGTTACTATAAAACTCGCCACGCATGTCGAAAATACATGTAAATGTTAAGGCCCTTACTATAACATACGTGATATCTACACGTATTGATCAAGACGGATAGCAGTCTTCCATACCCAAAACTTACCTATACATAAGAGTCGAGAACGTCTAGTTTTCCGAATCCCATTGGTCTGTGACTGCACCATGACTAGCATCTCCGACCAGCCTCGCATATTTTGCCAGAACGCCTCTCTTTACTTTTGATTGCGGGGCTTTCCAAGCCTTCTTCCTCTCCCTCAACTGTTCGTCGCTCACATTAGTTATATCGATCCGATTCGTTACGGCGTCGATCAGGATCGTATCTCCTTCTTTGACTAGAGCAATAGGACCACCTGTGGCCGCTTCTGGGCAAACGTGACCAACAATAAAGCCATGCGAAGCGCCGCTATATCTACCATCCGTGACGAGGGCGATGTTCTTGAGTCCGGCTCCCATGATTGCCGCCGATGCCCTCAATTGTTCCGGCATCCCGGGGCCTCCTTTTGGACCTTCGTACCGAACTATGAGCACCAAGTTCTCGTCTCGCGGGATCTCACCGCGAGATAATGCCTCGTCAAGCTCATGTTCCTTTTCAAACACCCGAGCCTTGCCAGTAAAGCTCAGCCCCTCCTTGCCTGTGATTTTAGCCACAGCACCTTCTGGTGCGAAATTGCCCCGTAGGATCCGGATATGACCTGTTTCTTTGATAGGATTTGAGAGAGGACGGATGATCTTTTGGTCAGGTGGCAGGCTGGGCCAGTCAGCGACATTTTCCGCGAGCGTGTGGCCCGTGACTGTCGGGATGTTGCCGTTGATCAGACCAGCCGCTATAAGCATCTTCAACACCGACGGCGTACCTCCAATCTTATATAGATCTTCCATTAGATATTTCCCGCTGGGTGCCAGGTCCGCTAGGAATGGCGTTTTGTTGCTAACTCGATCGACATCTTCCAAAGTCAGCGGCACTTCGGCCGTGTTAGCCATAGCCAGGAAATGCAACACGCCGTTAGTTGAGCCGCCCAAAATCATGGTTATGACCAGTGCGTTTTCGAATGATTCTCTCGTTATTAGATCACGAGGACGGATGTCTTTTTCCATCGTCGTTTTGATCACCTCGGCAGCGCGCTCGCACTCACGTGCTTTTTCTGGGGATAAGGCAGGATAGGACGACGATCCAGGGAGAGTCAATCCCATCGCTTCTATGGCCGTCGCCATCGTGTTAGCCGTGAACATACCACCGCATGCACCAGCTCCGGGGCAGGCATGACGCTCGATATCCAACATCACGTCGTTTGAAGTTCGACCTTCGGTGCCGGGATTTGTCTTGGCTTCGAGCCGACCATATGTCAAAGCTCCCGAGGCTTCATAGCAACTAGTTACGTTTATATCACGCTCTAAAAGTTTCGAATATCCCTTTCGGATCGACCCTCCATACTATAATTTTAATAAGCCGATGGACGCATCTCAATTGCGGATATAATCGTCTCGAGGCTACGAGGCTAGAGCTACATATACGAATAGGTGGAGAATTATCGGATTATTGACTTACAATCATGAGGAAAGGCCGATTATGGCGTGCTGCAGCCATTATCACCCCTGGCATGTTCTTGTCGCAACCAGGGATCGCAATGTTAGCGTCGTGATGCTGCGCACATGTCACGGTCTCAATGCTATCGGCAATAAGATCGCGAGTTTGGAGAGAGTATCTCATGCCTAGATCGCCAGCGCTTAGCATAATCATAGCGAAAAAAGGGGGTCACAGGTCAAACCTTCGCCGCCCATGGTGATAGCGTCCGATACACCTACGGCATTGTATTGCCATCCCAGCATCTTCTGCTTTTCTACCGCTCTCTTAACAATCTTTCCGAAGTCCAGGACTGTCATGATTAGCCTGTCTAGGATCTAAGACCCTTATCACTCTATACATGCTCACTCACGATGCGTGCTATAGCCGACAGTCATTAGCATTAGTCACAAACCGTGAGCAGTTGACTACTACAGATGTGTAGCAGACATGTGTCACTCACTTGCACTACGAATCAGGTGTCAGCGGCAATGAATATAGGATATAAGGCAGGCCCCAGTCCTCGTCCGAACACAAGCCCTCTGGTTTTGAAAAGTGTATAGGTCGGAAACATGGTCTCACAAGAATATGCTAGATGGGCAACGGCAGAAAACATACAGCATTTCCTTCCCACCAGACAGTTGCGATTCCAACATGAGGAGCATTCTTCATCATTTCTTCATTCGGAACCCCGGCACCGTACAACATGGCCTATTCAACGTGAGAAGACATATTTATTTAGCTTCGCATGATACAAACCTGAGCGCCTGGATAATCATGTTCTCTTGTGATGGTATGAGACCAACGATTTAACGGACCACCTGGGGGAAGGCATTTGAATTGGATATACTGTGGATCAGACTTGGGGTCCTGAAGGCACGGACTAATACCCGTCTTGGTTGCCGGAGTGTCGCTCATGTTGGATTCCTCGTAATGCCGTATTTTCGTAAGGTCTAAATTTAGTAAGAATTGTTATCCCAAGCTACAGCTTTGGAAAATAAAAATACGACAGACGATTTTATTATAAGGAAAATTTTCACATATATTACCTAGGGTATCGTATCTTGCTGCGGGGTACGGTAATAAGTAAAGAGCAAGTGGACAGGAAGTTTGTTCGGATCCAATCGAAGGGGGTGACGATCTCTACACTCGGAGGTTTAACGTAGCGACGATGTGTATTTTCGAGGAGACAGGCATTAACCCCGGATCCGGAGCGGGTTCGCTCGGTTAAGGAATTTTAAATGCGTGGGAGACGATTGGTTCACTCATCGTGACCGAATAGAAGTCTTAGTTTAGGACGCCTCCTAGATTCACTAACCCGCCTAGGCGAAACCATATCCACGTCTCTGCAAGCCGAGCGTCGGGGCTGACGTATAGTCAGTAGACGAGGGACGAGGGGAATGTGGAGTCTTGTTCTGCATGTACAAACTAACCGATCGGGTTCTGGGGTAAACTAGGTACCTAGGTAAACAAGTAATGGCACCAATGGGATATAAACGTCGGTTCCTCGCTGTCCAGATACGAAATCTACGGTCTCGGGGTATCATATTTACACGTAAATATATTCTTAGGCCGAATACCTAGATACCTACTCGGTAAGCTTATGGTAATGAAGACGACCTTCTAATCGCGAGTAGATAAAGAGTCATTCGATTCTCGTCAAGGAAGGTCACATATTCGCTTTGTATGTAGTATCAGATATCGCGAGGTGATTAGGTACCTAGGTAGGTATGTGGCCGTACGATGTCGTATTTCCAGATGTTTAAAAGGTGCGATTATAAAGAAGAAATACGACGCAACTATGTCGATTCGGCGTCCCCCTTCGTCTGCGAGGCTTCCCATTCTTGGAAACCACCAGGAAACTTGTCGACGAGCTCGCGCATACCCGAAATCAACCTAATATGGTGACTCAATACACTATCAATCGTAAATTGTTGTAGGACGAACTTACATATGCCGATAACTCGGGTCGTCCTTGTATAGTATGGAATCAAGGAGATTAACTCGACTACCATTCCATTTATATCAGAAGCCGTCGATAGGACAGAGGAGGTATTTAAGTAATACTCACATCGCATATAAGGCATTCCGATCGTCCCAATCTTCCTCGGGCCACGACTTAGGGAAGTGCTTATAATATTCTTCTCGGTAGGACTTGTTTATCTTATTCCACGGCTGTCGCCAAACACCGAGTTCATCTACTCTCATTCTTCTATTAGCTTTCCACTCTACATAAATAAGTGGTACAAACCATCCATGCTAGATGAACATCGAGGGATCTTACATTCATTATGAGCATAGAATGAAGCCGCATCGAAAATGATAGAAACGCCAGTTTCTGCGTCACTCCCCGTGTTGCCGTCCCATAGATCCCCATGGATGAGGCATGGTTGGATAGAGTGATTACCCATCTGCAATGGCCTGAGGAGCCGCGGTATGACCTTTTCGAAAAGAGGTACTAAGTTCGATATGACATCTGTATCGTCTCCCTATGCAAACGTCTCATAAGTATGCGGCAAGTAATGAAGAGCCAGTTACCAGTTTCACATCTTAATCCTCAGGGAGTCTAACGGAAACCTAGAAAAATAAAGCCGTAGTAGATAAATGACCAACTAACCCGAGTCTTCAGCTCAAGCTCAAAGAGGGACCATGTTGTCCTCGCAAAATACTCTTCCCAGAAGTGAGACCAGCCGTGGTCGACACGCACATTCCCGTGGAACGTCGGTACGTCAGACCCGAATTTCGCTTTCGCACCGCCGACGCTACTCTTACGGTGTAACTCCGCAATCTTTCCAGCAAGATCCACGGCAGCGGGGACGTCACCCGTCATGGGACGGAACTCGCACAGAAGGAAATGCACATCTGGCATCCCAACATACGTTCCCCATCCGATGGGCGCGGGCACGAGATCTGGCATGACGCTGCGGACCCTGGACATACACGCAAACTCGCTCGACATCATCTCCCTGCCTGTTTCTCCATACGTAGTCTGTATTATAATTAGTTATATATCCTACATTTCACAATAGTTTATGCTAAACTCTAAGTGCAATCACATGGGTGAGAGTATTTGTGGAAATTGCGAGAATACTGTCTATGAAAGGAACAACATCACCTTGAGGAAATACGCCTTGCGCGTCCCATTCTCCTCGACATCGAGACGGGCTGTACGGGTCCAGAAACTAGCACCATGGGCAGCGATCGTCAAGACTCGGGTCCCGTGGGGAAGATCTGTTATTCACGCGGCTATTAGAGTATGAAATCGTCTGAATGGCAGGGAAAAGAGTGCTCACTAGCAATGACCGCGGGATCTATAACGCGAATAGCTTCGATTGGGACCTTCACTTCTTGGGTGTTCTCGGTCCCTTGCTCTTCCGTATTTGCATCCATACTTGCCTGTATTGGAACCTTAGAATTTTGTGGCGGTAGTTTTGGGGAGGGGGAGAGCGAGGATTTAGGTGAGGAGACGCTAAGTTGTTAGTGTAGGTACCTTCAGACGGCTAACTTAGGTACTAAATTTCACAGTTTATATGCATGCAAATAAGGAGCGGACACGCTAAATCAATCCTTTAAAAAAAGATAGAATGGCATAAAAGTAATACTAAATTTTACACTTGACGATTGACAATTGATGTGTTATCTCATAAGATAGATATAAAGTAGGTATTGTTGAGATTTTCAATCGACTATGTCCCAAAAGTCGAGCTAAGCCACTGGGTATTGGTCAAGGTAGACAATTGTCTCGTAAGGAGAGTGATGATAATATTCACCCTTTTGCTTTAGATGAAGGCTCATCGGCAACTTAAGATCCCGTTAAAAAAGAATAAAGACATATGTTGCTCTTTCGAGCTGAAAAAATAGTAAAAAAATAATGTACAAAATTCCTCACCCAGAAACATAGGGTATTGTACTTGCGAGATCGTAAATCATGCAGACAGAGGAAAAGAAAAGGATAGATATCCATCCCGTCATACGTACATGTCTACCAAAATCGTATCTAGCGGCCGTTGCATACATCAACCCCCTTTTCCCTCATGCCGCCTTCTGCACCGTTCACCCTCGCTTAAATTTATCAAAAAACCTCCCTACTAGCCAAAGGATTGAAATTGAGATGTTTGGAGAACCACCAGCTATGCCGGGGGCTTTCCTATTCAAAAAGAAAAGTAGCCTTGAAACCCTACCCATACCCGGGAACTTATCAGAATACATATTCTGGTCACAAACCAACCCGATCCTTCCCTTATGCCTCCAAACCAAGTATGGAAATGGTCAAGAAATGGTTAAATCAGGGTTAGTCGTAGAAACGGCCACCGCATATTTCAAAATAGAATCGATATGTAAATGAGGATGAGCCCAAGAAGAAAAGAAAATCGCAGACGTATAAGGGCGCATTGTTGCAGGATTCGGACCAGTAAATATGTAGCTTGCCCCAAAACCAAAGTCAAGCTACGCTATTGACTAGAGTGACAAGCCTGAGCTGCAGTATTGGATCCAAAAAAGAACTCTGAGAATTATTTCTTTAAGCATTAGCAGTTACGCCGACGCTTCGCTCCTCTTCTAGCCGTCGAACCAATTCCCTTTCCTTCGGACTTCGTGGGTTGGCGTCGATACCAAGGATCGCACTAATACGGGTCTTATCATGCTTTTCGTATAAGTTCTCGCGATCATTGGGACTAGTGACAGGGGTAAGCGGAGTTTGTCCCCCCATCGCAAGGACGCTCGCCTTCCACGCCTGCTCTAGAACAATTGGACTGATTCCTGAGCCATATTCAGACGCGATAGACGCCCAAAATGATGATCGATGTGCGGCGTAGATAGACTGAAGTCTAGGGATGTCCACGTGAGCCGAAGGTGGCGGCAGTGAACAGTCTAGTCGAAGAATTGGCGTCTGGCCGATTGGCGAAGGTTGGGGGAAGGGAGATGGTGCCAGCGACCGAGTTGCGTCTGGGACCGAGACCGGCATCGAATAGCTGCACGAACCTACGGAACCAGTAGTCGGGAGAGCAATCGATGATGGCTTCGGCAGAATAGCGGGGAGTCGAGGAGAAACATTAGTACCTGTAATGATACTGGGAAGTTGTACCGAAGTCGTATAATTCGGGGAATCAGCGTCATGGCCACCGACACTCATAGGCGGAGAGTCATCGCGCGGGGAGGATTCCCGGACAGGCGACGGAACGGTAGCTGGCAAGATTGGCGAGTGTCCGGTAGAGGAACCCGAAGACACAGACGTAGTACGTTTACGGCGATTGCTTCCGTGGCTAAGCTGGTGATAGTGAAGACGGCATGCCAGCTCGGTCTTCTTCAAATGAGCAGCAATGTGCTTATATGGCATTTTTTGGAGACGAGTTTGGAGCAGATACACCTCCTATTTCGTTGCACTTATTAGTTTCTATAACAAGATTCGAACTGTGCCTCCCATATGCTCTTCCTTTCCTAGATGGAGTCGAGCATAGGCTAGACTTCTCGCTTACCTCATCCTCACTCCAGGCTCTTCCTCCACCAGTCGAGGCCGCAAGTTTCCTACTCTTGGTGATTCCATATTCGTGGCGGTCAAGAGCATCACTCGTGGGCGTGAATGGAACGCCAGAGGACGCGGCAAGTTGCATCGGCGGGGACATCATGTCGTATTGTTTTTATGAAAGATATACAGTTGTGAGAATAAGATGGCGCTATCTCAATGAATCGAAAGTTTGAAAAGGTTATGTTATAAATAGGCAGACCGCGCTGCTTCAGGAATCGAATTTGTATAAAGTCGTCGTGATAATAAATCGGAGAATCGTTCGTTTCGATATGGTTACGTCAAGAGTATTGATATCCCCAAGAGGTTGCCTATCGAATTCGTCCTTGCCAGGTTGGAGGTTAGATGAATAACCAGAAACGAAAACGAATCGAATAGATAGCAATAGAGCAGTCCAAATAACACTGACGACGAAAGTAATTATTCAAAAGAGTGTAAGCAGCCAAGCCAGTTGGACAATGAAAGAAAGTGGTCGCTAGCTGCGAAGAAAGGAAAGAAAGGAGGCTCGCAACAGCGTTGTCAGTGATACAGTGGTTGAACCTATACGGTGGTAAAGGAAGAACAAAACAGAAGAAGAGAAGTAAGAACAAGTGAGACGGAAGGCGGATAATAACGATAATGCATCTTCTGCATCATGATACTCGGCCGACACAACCCTGGACGAGCTAGGGTTGACGTTACCGGGGGGGTAGACACTACCACACCTCGCATACACCTCTTCGAATATAGCCCTGTAACATGAGCTTAATATGGGGGTATATGCGACGAGAACAGAAGCATAATCTTGGCTCGATGCGCTGGGCTGACTTCCTTTCGTATCGATCTAAAACGGCCAGACCCAGCCGATGAAAAAGTGAGTGGACGAAGTCGGCTTTGCTGTCCCGAAATTATATCGAGGACCGACGAAGCCGAGACGACGACCAGAGAGGGCCGATCCGCAAGCATACCAGCGGCACGCAGGTCAAGATCGTGCTGCGACTAGAAAAAGGCGATAGCTTCCGTAGGATTTTAAGAAGATAGCTATCAGACTAGGCAGGTAGGTACCTAGTAGGAATCAAGTCTTAAACTTCAGAGCCTTTTCGAGAACCATAGTTGCTGCATGACCGGTACCGAATGTAACACACGAGCCACTACGGTATAAAGTTGACAGACATATTAAAAGGTATCCAGATCTAGACGGCATGCACTTTTGTTTTCTTTCTTTGGTTCCATCGCATACCCATGTTCGTTTCGACGGTGGAATAAAAAAGAGCGGTATTGTCGAGCGCTCTCAAGTTACAGAGAAGAGGGGCTCTATCTCTCACTTGACCGTCCCCTCGACAGGCTAGCAGTACGGTAGCATATCCCGTAGCAGAGAATTCTATTCAGGTAACTGGCCGAACTATTCTCGATAATGTGTGGATGTCGGAGAATTAAGTAACAGAGCACGTTTAGCAAATAGTTTTGACGTTTACGATACGGATTTGAGATGCCTCTAGCATAACTAGAGCCGCTGGAAGTCGGCCTAGTAGACTTGATCAGTACTCAAGCCGAGGCTAACTAGGTACACTACACGTGGGCGCATACGTGCATAGGCGCGGAGGTATTGTGGTAGTATCGTAGTGGTAATAAGCTGTGGTGGCCTCGTGCAGTTTCGCGGTTTCGCGGTTTCGCGGCTTCGAGGTTTCGAGGTTTCGAGGTTTTGAAGAAGAAGAAGGGTCTGTGTCGTAAAATCGGTTTGACATCTGGTTGGTTTTGTATTGATCTTGCTTCACCGTGTTACAGAGACGCGCTTACTCACTTTACAGGGGTCCTGATTGGCTCTATCTGACTCGAATCGACTTAAATCGACCCCACCACGACGTAGTGCGTCTTTAACCCCCCTGCCCCATGGCTAGCATGGAACCTTAAAACCCCCTTCTTTTCCCCTTTCCGTTCAGCCTCTACATACCTAGTAGAGGCTCTGCTGCACTACTATGTATAGGTACTTTATTAGTCCCATGTCGCTACGCTCTTCTTCCAGCATTTCGCCCATGTCGCATCACGTACTTTTACACAGCTGGAACTTGCCGAATCGAGGGCGTCAAGCACTAGTACGACATAACCTATACCCCGTCTTAATCTCCCTTGTTTTGTTCCGTGCTTCCATGTTGTTTCTTTCTTGACGCCAGCCTAGACCTACTTCGACCTTGATACGTTTCTAAACTTTCTCGATTCTACATTTTCTAAACATCGCGGGAGAGAATTCGACTTGCCAAGTCACGGAGATCTCTGTCAATATGACGATTGCGATGCGATGGCAATGCGGGTAATAGTTCAGTCCAGATTAGGTGTATTGTTTGGTTTCGCCTGCATAAAACATCAGTGTCGCAGTGGTAATGATAATGGGCTTACTTTATCTAAGTACCTAATTACCTAGGTACCTATCCATTGGTTGATTCGTACTATACGATCCCGAGGCATACTAGGTACCTACAAGGTAGAGATCTCAATGCCTATTCTTGATGATTTGTGTCGACATCCTTTCACAAAACAGCACATCATTTCTAGATACTAGTGCTGGCTACACTAAAGTTCGCCTGGCACCCCTTCGGGGTGCTGCGCTTTAATTAGCAAAAATACCAGTAATTAGCAAAGTACCCCTATAGAAAACTTTCTATACGATTTACATATAAGAATACTTGCCAAGACTCCCATGTTAATAAAGTACTTATAATTAAGAGAGAATCTCTCGTAATGGAAAGTATTTTGCTAATACCTGGTCTTTTTGCTAATTAAAGCGCAGCACCCCCTAGGGGGTGCCAGGCGAACTTCAGTGTAGCCAGCACTAGTATTCCGATTTTGATAGTTCTTCATCACATGCCTTCTAGGTAGACACAACCAAAGAGTCTACCTAGGTGCTAATATCTACCTAGATACCAATATTCTCATTACTCCAGGTTATTATACACACCTAATTTTCATAAGTTGAAGCAAGAATTGGAGGCCGACGAGCCGGATCTTCAGCGCTTGGTAAACAGAGCGAGAGCGCATCCCTTGTCACTCTTCACCGTAACTCAACGCCTTCGAAACCTGCCAAGAGTGTACTATCAGCCCTGGCCAACCCGAGAACATCACGAATCCAGCACGTCCCATTTGATGTATTATCTGGGGTTCCAGCTGTCTAGTCAAAACGCCACCAAGTTACTAATATTTATCGTCAAATACCGATTTTCAAGGTTATCATGAACGTCGAACCCACGCCACGCTTAGATAACACACCCGAAACCCGAAGGCGCACAAGGCACATACTGAACCCCTCGAGAACGGACCTCGAGACCTAGCACTGCAACCTCAGCTTGTAGAATAAGCTTCATCAAGGATTCCGCCATAGTGGCACGCTACGTCAGTCCTAACCTAGAGCGGGTTAAAAGTTAACTTGCGACTTTGGTAGCTTCGAAAGTTGATCGGAATAACCATGCCCTAAACTGTCTTTAGGGATTTCTTTAAACTTCATGATGGTCGCCGGAAAGGAATAAGCGGCTGGATTGCTTCAAATTTTAGGATTGCTAGGATATAGGCGGCAGGCGAAACCATCATCCTACAACACGTATCTGGATTAGGTCTCTATTCGCGAGAAAGGATGATGCTCTTTAACGGATTATTATATCTTTGACATCTATAGAAACAATTAAGGGCTGTGTTAGCTCGTTGCCGGCAGTTCCTGATTGAACGTTTTGCCAACATCGGCGTACTGATTAGGTGAGTAGGGTGGCACCAAGAATCATCCACGGATACCATTCGAGTTAATTGCAGCTTTATTTCAACACTTTCACCAACAACTCCAAGAGATCAACTACATGGGAAATGCTTAACCTAAAAACAACCTTGGAAGTTATCATTTTAACTATCTAATTGGGGCGTCGATCTTGAAATTATGCCCAAAAAAATTGAAATCAACCATCTGTCTCGATTTTACTTTATGATCACCAGCTAATATTCTACCAGGCGCTAAAACCCGTTGTGGCTCAAGTAATCCAGGATTACAAGATACTGTAGGAGAATATCTAGTCCATCTGAAGACTCAAATGCCCCAACGATGTCAGGCTAGGTTAGATAGATACGGCCAAACAAGTTTATCTCAACAGGATCAACTTCCCTGATATGTCGATTGAGCATCAACTATGAGATAGCCGACAGGGATCACGTGTTTCGCAAAGACGGTCGATTCCAGCAACATCATTTCTTTACCTTTGGTTGATGCAAGACATCAATATTCTACATTTTACCATATCACCATGTTGTCCTATAAAATATTCCTAGGTGCTCGTGTCCCGAAAATACGGCGAAAAGTAGCAGCCTGCATTTAGGGTTGTTTCCCAAAGAGAGACTCTCAGGGGGGTTGAGCAGGGGACATATGCATGATACCGGCGTAAACAGATACCTACATAATACTACCTAGATATGTATGTATATAGACTGCTAGGTTGTGACCTAGGTAAGTGTCAACAATCCCCTTACCCATAGAATCGCAACTGACCGCATATCTTACACGATCCCTGCCCCCACACCATTATATTTTCATGCCCGCATACGTAATAGGTACATAGTAGACAGCTGGAGGTAGTCGTGGCCAGAGTCGCAATTCTCAAACGGTGTTCTGACAGCCTGTTACCTCCTTAGTTTCAATCACTTTGTCCTTTTGAAAAACACATAAACGCGTCGTGTTAGAAGTGGATCGTTGCGGCATGGCTTAGCCGCTGATCAAGCATTAAAGGAGACCAGATGACATGTGCTACCTTGAAGATGGCCCATGGAAGCTTGACAAACAGGCTCACAATGATGGGATGAATGACGAGACTAGCGATCAGCCTACGATGACCCGAGAAACGTCATTTTCTACCTACTAAGTGGTTTAGGTAGATCTCGGATCTACGGTCCGATAAATGCCCTTGGTCTCGTACACGTACTCACTTTTCTTCGAATCGCGTTGCGTCTCACTCCCTATTGCTCACCTAGTATCTATCTAGACTATCGATCGCAAGAGGTTATTATCTATGCATCTTGGATGTCTTGTTTCCTAACTATCGTGGAAATTTCGTGGCCCAGTTAGTTAATATTCGGTCCATCTCCCGAAGAAGCTCGTTTCCAATATTTTGGATACTCTAAACTAACGAAAGCCGACTAGGTGATACCTACGTCCGTTCGGCGCGCGGCCGAGCACGCGAGGGGCACGGGCGCCGCGTCCTATAGTCGCAGAGCCGCAATAACACCCCTTTTCGTGAGCTACTCCCACTTGCTCTCGGGGTGGGATCTACACTGCCCCTGAGTAAAGAGCTGAAAATTCGGCAAAATTCGATGATCGAGTATCACCCAGCCTTAACGGTCTACGAAGATATTTAAGAAATTTCAAACATATATGCAAGTAGCAAGATAAATCTTGGAGTCATAGACGATGTGCAGCTTCACCTGGATCTATCGATATGACCCGAGTGATCTGAGGTAATACTGTATGCCGTGTGTATGCAGTCGCCTTTCCGAGGCCAAGCTAGAAGTATATGGCTTGAGATGCTATATTGCATGCCATTTCCGCCTATCCCTGAGGAGATCTACCTGGGCAATCTGGATTAAGGTGACCTTGGTCATCTTAATGCCGAGAGAGTGCTATATTTGCAACTTCCTTCAAGTTGTACGAACTCACCTCGTTGTAAAGCTAGGGGAGTCCAATACATACTGTACTATATCGTTTCCATCGTTATATTTCGCTATAAGACAACCGTAAGAGAGAGTCAAATAGTAATTGTGTCCAAGTTATATCATTGTGTGATATCAATTAGCCACTTCCCCTATACAATACCAACAGCCTCATTGTTGTATTTAGGTACTCTCCAAGTCTACGAAGTAAATGGATTTCTCAAGACATGAACAACTAGGACGATAATAAATTTTAGAGAGCGGATACCCTAAGCGATATGGCTTCATTTCACTGATACTGGGTATGTATATAGCCGTTCAATATCATGATATACTATTTTCGTATACTGGGTAATATCGTTTCGTGCGCTTGGTGTTCGAGGCGACTACATCTGTAATTTACCTAGGTAGGTACCAAGGGAAAATACTGTGCTCCTACCTAAGAATACGAATGAGGGTATGACTACATCTGTACCACGGTTTCATGAACAACTATACTAGACAGAGTGTACCGTTATGGGGAGCCAGGACGAAAATGGATACCTAAATAATTATTGTAACACTTGTATTGACTTGAGCAGACTTGAGACGACAGGACAATACGATAGATATATTGTAGGCACGGCGTACACAGATTTGTATCCCCTCTCATTTTTGAGAATTGACTTTGGTGAGTTAATGTTGTCCCAGTTTCGTGATGCTAACTAGGTAGTTAGCATCATATCCATATAAGAGACGTCAGGGATGGTGTGTATCTTATCAACAGTCTTCGAATGAACTTGAAGGGGTGGAAATGGATTCGAGAAATAGTAGGATCCGTACTCTTTAAATGGGCAAGCAATAACAGACAGACATATTATCTTAAAATGGCCGCAAGGCTGCATTGCATTTGTGCTTCGTACCTGGATCATATAGGTACTTGCGGGACTATGAATTGAAGTATCGTGAGGACGTGTGTACTCCGTACTGCGGGGAGAAGTAGCAATACTTGGCTAGAATGCTAGAGTGCTACATACATACCTTGCCTTGCGATTTCTTGGCATCGTGACATACATAAATATACCTTCTAAGGTTCTTCCCGATTAGATATTAGCTCGTCCTGAGTTGCCTCATTTTTGGGTTTCGAGTGCTGAATCTACCTGGATAAAGGTAACTTTATTCCTCCAATGTTATGTACAAGAAAGAAAGTAATATCCAGATATTAAGTGAATTTAATATGTATAATCAACTATTGATCATGCATGTGCATAAGAGATTGACGAAGTTATGTACTTTTTTCCTGATACATCATGTACCTATTTCCTACGGTAAAAGTTTAAACTTTGTCTACTACCGCTAGGAGGTATCTAGCAGCCGACTAGGTAGGTATGAGTAGCCTATAAAGAATAAAGTTATCTAATACCTCTCTGTACATATATAAATTATAGGTACTAGGTAATGTTTCGTGCCCGTTTAGATACACATCCATACTTACCTACACGCAGTATGCCTAATATATAGTATTGCTAAACACTCGACGCGGATAGCTACATGTACATATTATCAACTTTCGACTTTGAATTAAGGTGAGACTTAGGTTACCAGTTACATTCTCGACCCACGCAATACCTTGCAAGGGGTTAGGTACAAGTCAATTGTTACCTGATGTCATTTATATAGCTATGTAAGGTCTCTTATTACCTGAACGTGGGTAAGAGTGTATATAAATATATGTAGTTAATACTTCTGTAGGTATAAAGTAGGTTATGTAAGTTTTTTATTCTTTCTAAGGTTATCATTGGATTTTATGATCTAAAATGGCCCCGGATACCTGCAGGTAGCAAGGAACTAATCGATAATTCCACAAACTGTGTACTATGTATTAGATTCTCAGATGAAAGTCCTAAGCTGTCACTCGAGTGAAAGGAGACAGGGAATTCCTATAAACTAGATATTATGCATACAAAGTGCAGAGTGCATACGTCTAAAACGAAGAAGTGCAATACTAGGTAAGCGTATCATCACGTGCATGACTATTTCAGAGCAAGTTGGAATAGGTATTAATGCGAAAATACTACATAGGTACCCGCGTATACTTCGAGTTGTTGGTAATCACTCTTTGGCTCGGAATTTGACCCACGATTAACCGAGTTAAGGGTTAAACCGGGTCGAGGTTGCCAAGAGATAAAACCCACAATAAACTAGTATTAGCGAATCAGAAATCATGAACATATTCAAGGGCCAGGCTGGCTCGAACATTAAAAAAGGTATGTACTTTTTACCGACCACAACTGCGTACCTCTGAATCTTTTACCTTTTTTCCACCTTTTTTTTCTAAGGTGCCAGTCGTCGAACCCACACCCCCAGGTCTAACTACCAGGTTGTGCACGAAAAATAAAAAAAAAGAATAGACACCAATCCCAAACATCGACCAGCCTAAGCTCAAGATACTTTTGTCGAAAGTACTCATCGAAAGTACATCCATAATTGTCAACAGTACCTACCTCTCGAGTCCTGGTCAAGTCTATGTAGGTTTCCTGCATTGCTGAGGTATACAGGAACCTGATCTTCTCAAAGTCACTTTTTATTTTATTCTATTTCAATTACGGAAGTACAATACATACACATTTGTTGTCGCGCTACTTACTGCGATCCTTGCATAAGAAGCGTCAATTGTAGAATTACAAGTTGACATCGCGACTGAAAGGCTACCGTTGCCATCCTCAATCGCATTTGAAGTGGGAAAGGGTCTTTTCCATTGAAAGGTATCGTCGCCTTCATTTTCTCTCTCTCTCTTACATACATCAATTTCATTTCGGTGGCAGACAATACGCCACATAAACAAGACTTTCATACCAGACACGAGTTAGGCGTCGTTGATCGGGTCAATTTCATCAATTTTACCAACACCATTTGTAAATCTTTCCAAATCGATCCGGGTCTATCTAAATGCCCTCGCACTCTGTTTTCTGCTTTAGGGAATATACAAACCATTTGCCGCGTATATGCGCAGAATCAAATTGACCTTTCAATCTCCACCAATTCTCCTACATAATCCAATATTCCTCTAATTCCTTTCTCAATTCCCCGCTTAAAAATGAGTTTATGAACCTTATGTACCCTGCCTACCCTAGGTAGGTTGAAGCATGCCCGATGTTCCAAGGTTGTACTGCAAGCGCGGCAGAACATCCCATAAACGTTTGAACTTTCCCACTCTTTGCCAGTCTGGAAACATTCTCAGTACCTCTGGGCTACCTCCTAGCGTTGCACGGGCCAACAACGGGGGCTGTGTGATGTCCGTGCGGGCGAAAGTAAAGGAAAAAGAACTGGGGCAGATGCAAAATTTTTGCAGGTACTACCTCGGGCGGCGTTCTCTCTACTTTCCCGCCATATTTTTCCCTTTTTCCACGGTTCAATGAAATCTGCACCCCCCCTCCCCCCATCCCCCATCCCGTCATCCACACAGTTTGTTCCCTCTACTTCTCTCTTTCTCGCTTCAAGGTACTCCGTACATTGGTATCCGTCGAAGCACGCTGGCAAGATACATTTCAATAGGTTCAATCCAGTTCCCCTGTCGGTATGTTACAATAACTTCAGAAGCATCCAAACCCCCAACCTTGAAGAATCATCTCACCTTATTTGAATTGAATCCCAAGGCGCGGTCATTCGAAATTGTTGCTGAACGGCATCGTCGGTGACCCGAATCTGCGCGCGCGCCGCGCAAATACACTCATAACACATTACACATTACACATAACGCCATACATACACACCAACATTCCTTCTATCAAGGTGGTAGATTGACCTAAACACTAAACCTTTCTAGTCAATTTTTATTATTATTTCTATTTCTCGCTTCTCTGCCCAAGGAATCGCGGGAAACAGAAATAAAAAAAGGTTGCCCATCCCGGCTACGGCTAGCGACATAAGTAGTATACCTGGTATACATACTTTGGTTGGTGGACTAGGTTACCTGGCTGCCTGGCTACCTTGGCTAACCTAGGCTACCTGCGCAGTACCAAGTGGGAAGACGCGTCTCTTGTATCCCTCGTACTCAACGTATCTTTCTTCAAACTCGAATCAATCCAGCTTCAGGTTACGAAGAACACAAACTAACTGTACGCGACCGAGCAGAAACCTCTAATTTTTGATTGCTCCTATTGCGTCGTTTCGCAGCAGGAGTAAAAATAAACAGAGTTCGAACGTTACGACTAAATTTATGCACCATTTGAAGAATTCTCATTCGCATACATCAGCTCCAGTAAGTGCGAGTACCCTCTACTTCTTGTTGTCGCGTTTTCCTGTTATTTTTTATTGCATGTGTATCGTTATTGTATTCCGGTATACCCTTTTCCCTTCGAGCATGAGCATGATCATTTTCTCCACCCACTCAAGGATATTCTATTCTCAATCCATCCATCGCATGCATCGTTGATGGGTTACTGGGTTTGCGCGACTATCCGACACGCGCGCGTTTGGCTAGTTTGGCCCGTCGCAATTTGTTCACATTAGTCGCAACTCATCAGCGAAACTGTTCACGATGTTGCTGGACGAGATGAGATGAGATAAGGCTCGTCGCCTCCGAAAAAAAAACATTACATTGTCAGCATCATTCATCACCCATATCATCACATAACCATCAACATCGGCATTAGCATTGGCATTGGCATTGGCATTATCATCAGTCATAAACCCGCAGTACACGTTGCCGACTAATAATGCCCTAAACACTCTCATCCAAAGATACATTGGATTTCGATCCTATGATATCTTGCCGCTTGCATTTCATCATGACCATTATTACCATCACTACCACCACCACCCATTACGCACTATATCACCTCTATCCACCATCAAATTATTGCGCTTCTTTGTCGCGCAGCCTTCCCATTTGTCCAATCTCTCTTTTGCTAAGCCAGTGATAAAATTTTCTTATCCCACCTCTACCGCCACCCGCCCAACTCCTCTTCTCCTTACTTCGCCTCCCCTGTTTCTTGCGCGTTCTTACGCCGAGCAAATTCTTATCCTCGAAATTTCCCTCCTGTACCTACCTCTCTCTGCCTTACATACGGTCTATTTCACTTTTTGTTCCTCCGTTTCTTTTTTGTTTTACTACTCAGTCCCATTTTATTCATCTCCCCCCCTTTTCCCAAAGTTTAATTTTGTCCATGCACTTTAACTCTCAAAGTTCTAGTTGTATCAGGAACAAGAGACTTTGGTATTATTGTAGCTGACGCTAGTTTACCTTTTTTCAGATCATGCAGCAATGGCAGGTCGGCCCTGTGCCGGGGGACTACCTCTACGCACCGAACTCCACTCAGCATCCGAACGATCCTATGCAGTAAGTACATCCATCCATCCCCTTTTTTTCTCTCCTCTCTACATCTAATGTTCCTACGTTCCCCATGTCACTACTCGTGTATCTACCTCCCCCCCATGTACTGTACCTAACCAATTCGTTTCCCGAGTACATTCATCTCTCCCCCATTTCCTCTCCGCCCCCCTTACCCCCCCTTCTCTCCCTCCCCCCGTCTACCCCAGATAGCTCGTACACATACATACTATGGACCTTGCTGTATAGAAGACATGGTCATATATGTACCAAATGTACACCTGCTGTCTCAATTATGGACCTGTCCCGCAAACATTTAGCCAGGTCGATCTGTCTAAGCTCCACCGCGAGTGGCGGGACCCCTCGTGATAGCTTCACCTGGTCTTTAATCTGCACAAGCACAAGCCTTGCCAAATTCTCTACCCTGCAGCTCGCCTGCTTTACCATCCTTGTCCTATCTCACTCTCTTGGTTGAACGATACTTGTGCCTTGGCCTTGCCAACCGCTGTTGATTTGGAACGTTTGGAACACCGAATGCTGTGCAGCCATGATTACATCGCATCCCGCTGTTGTCGCTTCCAGCAACATCACGCCTTATAGGCAAGCTAACACTGCACTCTGATACAGCTCAAATCACCCCTACCAAAACGAGATGTCACGGAGGAATGAGTTCGCAGGTTATACGCCACAACCCCCCAATCCCGGTGCCCAACCTCATCCCTCGCACCCCCAGCAGCATCACCAGCAGCTGCCTCAGCATCAACAACATCAAAACCAGCCGCATCAACAATCCCATGGTTCCCACTCTCAGCATCCGCACCACCAGCCGCATCAGCCGTCGCATCAGGCGCAACAGCACCATGCAACCCCGGTGCCTCCTCCGATGACCATACCACAACAACCCGTCGCAACTTCCCAGCAGTCGACACCTACCCCGGCTTCAACACCTGCTGCGCCCCGCGGTCGTAAGCGAGCCGCACCTGGACATCAGCAAGGCCACGGTCAAGCTCACCAACAGCCGCACGCGCCCACCACAAACCCGGCCACGCCCGTCCCTGCATCCACGACTGTCGCCGCCCCTACCGCAAATACTCCGGCTCCTGCGCCGGCTCCTCTTCCAGTCTCGGCTCCGCCGCCGATGCAGGTCACTCCCGTGGCTCCACCGGCCGTCCCGACCAAGGAGGAAGTCAGCACTCCGTCAGTCCCGCCCCCGGCCAAGAAGAGTCGAACGAACACGCCCTGGACCCCCGCCGAGGAATTACGACTTAAGCAAATGAGGGATAACGGTAACAGCTGGGCCGAGATTGCCAAGGTCAGTAATTCTTGACATTTGCTCGTCGGAGTCCACACTAACCCGAGTGATGATAGACATTCCCTACCAGAACCGAAGGTAGCGTAAAGAAGCATTGGTACAAGGTATGACTTTGTGCAATCCATTTTCCTATTTTACCGTGTTTTGTTCTCCGTTGCCAATGACCATTTAGGATATGCACTACGCCGAATTTGCCGAGGATGAAAGTCAGGCATTGCTCAGCGCCATCAAGGACTACGAGAACAATAAGTGGAAGACTATCGGACAGAAAGTCGGCAAGCCAGCAAAGGTTAGTGTCTTATTTTGGTCTCCTTACCGAACCCATATACGATCCCATGCTAACGAATATTGGTGACAGGCCTGCGAACAATACGCTAAAGAGCATTTCCCAGAATTGTTCTCTGCGCAAAAGGCACGTTAGAAAAGCACCAGGTGCACGGTGTTACATTTCGTTCTGAGTGTCCTACCTATCTCTCTGGCTTTGGTTACCACCCTTTTTTGCTTCGATCTGCTCATTCTTATTAGGTATTGTAAGAGAACAGGCTCTATGATGTTGTGTCGGGACGATCCCACTCGTCGGGAGGGGCGCGTCCCTAGCACACAACTTCGTAACCCCCGATCGCGTCAACGACGTGGGGTGGGAATGGATATCCGACCTTTGGTCATATCCCTCCCATCCCTATTTCCATATTTACTTTTGTTTCGGTATATTGAGACGGCAAGGAACGGGTCTTTCCTATCCAAAGCACGATTCCCCCACGGGAGAATGGTAGGGTTGTCAGATTAGGTTATTCGGGAGGGCAAAGAGAGTTGACTTCTATGCTTTGATGGGGGGATATTTCATTGAGTGGATCGTGGCAAGCAGGTTTCCGGGTCCCGAGATCCTTTATTCGAAGAAAACTCATAAAAATCCGGCTTTAATGTATGATGAAGGATCAACCAGATGCTCTTCTAGGTGGTTCGTAATGCAGAATTGCCGGAAGGTAAACCAACTCGGTCGTCTTGCACGATTGCTAAATTGCTAGCCCTAGATATTCTTAAAGCTAGCTAGCTCTTGTAAAAATATCAGCACGGTAAATCCTTAATATGATGTATTCATAATATCTTGCCTGGATAACTATCTTAGCGGAAGCTGATCAAATCCTGTAAGTATAACTACTTGGCTTTCATACCCGAATTTGGTAGCCTGGACACGTTTCAAGTTTAGCCTGGATAGTTTTCTACGTGCCATATTTTAGTCAAGTTACTTTCCTTCGATCTCTTATATAAATGCTCAAATTAACTCCTACTCACTCTCCTCCCCCCTCTTTATAAACAGCACTATTCACATAGGTCAGAAAGATATGGAAGTTGAAAGGTGATGGGCAGGCGAGATGACACAGCATGAAGATTGTCGTTGCGCGTGTATTAGATAGGTATCTATTTTACATATGTGGGATCGGAAACCCGATACTTCCATGGTTTCGTCGACGGGGGGCGAGATAACTCTAATAGGTATGCACAGATGATGACAACGTTGCCGCTGTTGGGAAACTTAACCTTGGGAGGTTGATTAGAAACGCGGGCGGAGGTAGTGTGTAAAGTAGCTCCGAGTCTGTGTTTCGCGCTGTCCATATAAGATCTTGTGCTCTTGTGGTGTGGCTAGTGAGGAAGGTTGCATGCCTTCGATAGGGGCTAGCAAGTGTATAAGGAGAAGCAAACTATTGTGAGAAGATAGAAAAGGGAGTGGCGGTGTGGAGCTTCAGACAGTGAGTATATCTATCTACATTTCTGTCCGCATGGCTGCTGTATTCTAGGGGAGCATGACAGTAGCAAGTAGCCGGCCGTGTATTGCGAGACGAAAGAGGAACACGTGCCAACAGACGGACGGGTACGCGCAAACATGGTTTGATATCCTCCCTCTGACCCCCAAGCCCCCAGCCGTTAGTGTTCTATATCTGCATGCGCGTTCCCGACGAAACTAGAGTGGGGGAACAGAGGCCGCATCGAACTCTATTTGAGATCGATATCCCTTTCACCCAGAGTCTAACCACCCCAGAATGACACGGTAGTGTGGGTAGTGGAAACAGCGATAAATACCTACCTATCCTAGACAGTAAAAGCGAAGGCCAAAGCTACCAAAGTGAAAGCGAAGGAGAAAAGGGGGCGCGAGTATGGCGACAACAACAACGTCATTCCGCAAGACGACGCTCTCGCACGCGCAGAAGACGGTCCTAGCGATGTCGCGCGCCCAGTACCTCGACGCCATCCGTGCCTCGCGGCCCGCTGACAAGCTGTACGTCGGCGTGTGCATCTTCCGCATGGACACGCACAGCTCCCGGCCCTCGGTCCTGCTGCTCCGCCGCTCGCGCACTACTGCCTCCGGTTCCGAGTCTTCTTCTTCTTCTTCTGCAGCTACTTCCGCTACAACCGTTACGACTGCTGCGTCGCCGGTATTCCGTCGGGAGACCCGGCGGAATCGACAGCTTGGGGACAACAGAGAACGCGGAATAAGGGGTGGGGCTGGGAATGGGAGCGGGAATAGGAATGCCAATGGGAATGGAATTGGGAGTGGGGTGTGGGAACTCCCGGGCGGCAAAGTAAGAGACTCCGACTTCTGCATCTCAGCGGCGGTGGCGCGGCGCGTGGTAGAACAGACGGGTTTACGCGTGGTGCGCGTGCTAGGCGCCCTCCAGGACGTCCGGCACGTCAGCGAGGTGCGGATCTTAGACTGGGACGACGACGGGATGGGGATCTTCACCAGCGAGCGCAGGGGTAGCGTCGACGGCGAGAGCAACGATAGCAGTACTGACCTCTCCATGTCCATCCTCGACGGCGCCACGCTTACCTCTGGCACGGGCACGGACTCCCCCAGCGGGAGCAGTAACGGTGGCTTCGGAGGGCGGAGTCTACGCCGCAGCGCGTCGAGACGCGAGCCTATCCATAACCCGCAGCTGGTGCTGCGCAGGGACTGTCTGCAGCTGAATTACGCGGTGCTGGTGCAGAGCCATGAGGATTTGGGGATTCGGTCTAGGGACCATGATGAGTTGGTCTGGGCGAGCTTTAGTAGGGCGGAGGCGCTGCCTATGCATGAGGAGCTGAGGACGGTGGTGCATCAGGGGTTGGCGTTTGCGGGGGAGTATTTGTTCTGATTTTTAGTGGTTGATAAGGGGGGAAAGGGTGAAGGGTGAATAAGGGGTCTGTTTCTTGAAAGTGTGATATTCAAACTGATGTGGCATAACGCCGGTTATATAGGAGAGCTGGTCTGAGACTGAGTTACCTGGGAATATGCTTGGAAGACTCGGTTGAAAGCATGAGATTGGTTGTTAAGTAGACCTCCCTTATGCCAACCTTTTCGTGTTGATTCTTAGACTCTAGTTATATACCTGGATAGGTATGTATAACGTTGCTCAACATCTTGAAGCATAGGGCTGAGAAGACGTCACCGGTGCCTCATCTAGTGTGGAACCATCTGTATTATTGAGCATCGCACTAGACCTCACCGGTGCTGTACGCGTAACCGGCTCTATTAGCGGATGATGTCGCAAAGTTCGTTCCCATCTCATTGGAAAACTTGGAGTGAATCCATTTATTAACCTTAACTGACAACATCAAACAGATCGGATCATCCCGTGGAAAGTCTGGGGTGCATGAAACACTGTGCCGCTACGTCTGATGTACAATTACGGTATTTATTTATCAACCGTCACCTGCGTGGTTCCATCCCTTGCAGTGAAGGCGTCGGCTTTCTTCGTTCCGTTCTGAGTAATATGATGTACCGTGGCGTTCCAAGGTGATGGGCTCATAGAATGAGAGAGCAATCATCTTGCTGCACTATGTACACCGAGTTTGGCGTGTCTCGATTAGATCGACATTTTGGCTCGGTGTGTAAAATCTTTAAAGGAACCATGTTGTGACACTATGTATAATGGCAATGGATGATTGGCTTTTCTCAGTCTTACAATTCCCTCTTACATTGTCGTGATTCCCTTTTGGTCGGGCATTGCAGGTCAGAGCCTGCCGCTTTGCTGACAATTTTATTGAAGATTCGGTAAGGAATGTGTGTAGTTGACGTCGCGCTTCTTATCAATATAGGTTATAAATAAACCGATCTTAGACATTGCGTACCGACTAGCAGGTAGCGAGTTGAATAGGTTGATAATTCCTTTGTCTACTATGTAGTACCTAGACATCGGTAATTTGGCATCTAGCAAACTGGTCTTTTTTTTTTTTTTGTGAAAAGACTCCGGATCTTGTAATAGTCTAATCAGGAACATCAGTATTGGCATATAGTAATAGCTGGTATATGATGTTGAATCTTTCAGAGCGATGAAAATAAGTGTTGTCTCGTGGTCCTCGGATATTAATTGTTAGTTCATCTCGAGATCTTCTAGTCGGTGATCATCTAAGAAAGAATACGAGATTTTGCACCTTGAAAAAAAAGAGATCCATGGCTGGGACAGTGTAAGTTGTATTATAAGGTATAGTAAGCACTGTACGACATAAACGATCCAATGACACGAGGTTGATAGGATCTCATGGTTACTCCATATCTCTGACGCCCGCAGTTGCGCCTGTCAATCCGAAGCTTTTTCTGGCAGGTTAGTGGCACAAACGGTAAGAACGGGGCGGAAGTTAATTGGCATTGACTAGCATTGACTAGCATCGACCCACTTAGCACTTTCTCTACCTAGCACTATTCCTAAGAGAGTAACTTTACCTGCTTGCCTCCATCGAATCTGCACTAAGCACTGAGCACTGAGCAGAATCCGCAGAATCCACATCCATAATCCCATGTAACCCTTTTCCTCCCAGTCTCCTTATCCGATGTCCCAAGCTGCCCAAGGTCTGGAGATGCCAGCCAAGTCTGGCTCATGTCGGCTCGGTTTTTGGCTCTCGAACCACCCAGTCTGCTGGGCAGTGGTAAGTGTTCGTATTCCCAGTTTGGTCTGATCTTCCCTTTCTTTCTCCTCTCTTTCTCTTATTCCTATCACCATCCGTTTTCTGCCCAATTTTTGGGAATTACTCTCGCTTTTCTGTTTTATGCATTTCTAGCGGGTGGCAGCTATTATCACATTATCACTTCTTTGACGTTATTTTACGTTTAGTGGTTGTTTCCAAGCTCCCTTGCCTTTGTCTAATTATCTACCTAATTAGTAGATAGTTAAGTCATAATTTCAGTCGTTATTTTGAGCCTCCTAAAAAAAAGGCTTCGCCTCGATCGCTCCGATTACTCTCGCTTGAAACACCCGAATACAGCACGACTAGCTTAGCTGCGTGAATAGCTGAAATAGCTGAAAGTGGTCCATGCTAAAGGGGAGTCACAGTTGTCCTTACTTGTATACATACATAATATAAGTTGGTCGACTTGTTGAGTCTTCTATTGTTCTTCCCCTTTGTGGGATTCATTTATACGCCTTCCTCGGCTTGGTACTTGATTAGGTTCCTTGCCAAATCGTAAGAAAGGAAGCGTCGGTTGCTGTGGACTGAGTCGACGATCAGATATCCACTACTAATCATACACATATTGTTTTTCGACTTCCTTCGCTTTACCCGCTTCGAGTGACGGGTGCTGTATTTATACCTACGCGCACGCGATCCGACCTGCGAACTCTTTTCAACTCCAGGACATATCCCGGATATAATAATACCTTAATTTTAGTCACAAGTTGTGCCTGCTTGGAAAAGCAGTAATTATCGCAAGATGCTCCGAACCATACCAGCCGTGGCCTTGGCCTTGCTGGGCGCGTCGACGACTGTCCTTGCCGACACCGCAGCTACATGCTCTCTAACCCAGAAATGCCCTAAGGAAACCCCGTGCTGTTCTCGTAAGTAACATATTTACCCATTTTATTTTTTTCGGTATATATATGTATATATAATCTAACATGAGACTACTATAGAATACGGTCAATGTGGTGTTGGCGCGTACTGCTTGGGTGGATGTGATCCGCGCATGTCCTTCTCTCTCGACTCGTGTGTTCCCGAGCCGGTATGCCAGGATCGAACATTGTCGATGGATAACACTAAGGGTATCGTTGACGTTGGAAAATATCTTGGCGATTCTAGCAAAGCAGACTGGGTTGCTCAAGGCACACCACTCGCCCACAGCGGTAATGTCCTTTTGACTATGCCAGAAAACTCCGTCGGAACCGTTCTCGCGTCAACCGTTTATATGTGGTACGGAAATGTGAAGGCCAAGATCAAGACCGGCAAGGATGCAGGTGTTGTCACGGCGTTCATTCTCCTTAGTGACGTGAAGGACGAAATTGACTTCGAGTGGGTTGGTACCGAGCTGGATATTGCCCAGACCAATTACTACTTCCAAGGCATACCTGACTGTAGGATCAATACCTATCCAAAACGCATACCGTGAGCTATCGTCACTAATTATGTTTGTAGATACACATTCAGCCAACATCACAGGCCTTTCGAATACCAACGATAATTTTCACGAGTACGAGATTCGGTGGACTCCGGATCAGATTCAGTGGTTGGTAGACGGTAAGGTTGGCCGAACGCAACTCAAGTCCAAGACGTGGAACTCTACCTCCAACCAATGGGACTTCCCTCAGACACCCGCCCGTGTTCAGCTTTCCATTTGGCCTGGTGGCTCTGATAAGAACGCCAAAGGTACTGTTGATTGGGCCGGTGGACCTATCGATTGGAACAGCGCCGATATCAAGAAGGACGGTTACTACTACGCTACCGTCGGCGAGGTTACTATGGAATGCTACAAGACCGATAAAGCGCCCGGTACAAACTCGGGCAAGAGTTACACCTTTAACAACGCGAAGGCGACTAATGATACCGTTGAGGATGGTGACTCGAATACGGTCTTGAAATCCCTATTGGGAACTGGCTTGGACATGGACAAGGACCTCCCGAGTTCGTCGAGCGCATCACAGAGTGGACAGGAAGTCATTCCCGGCCTAAGCGGTGGCGGCCCTGGTACTAATGGTCAGGCCGCTGGAGGAAGCAGCGGCTCTGACAGTGCTACTACTGCCGGTAGTGCTCCCAGTGCAGCTTGCACGGACGGCTTCCAACAAGTCTGCGGTTCCAGCGATGGTGGCAGCTCAAACCAAGGTGTGCGACAGGAACGCGTCCTCGGCGCGAGTGCATTTGCGGCTCTAATTGCCGTTGCTGCTATGATATGGGCATAAGCCATAACAATAGCAAGAGTGAACATACCACCTTTTTTTCGTGAACATATTCGATATGAGATTAAGGGTACTACTGAGGCTATTCTAATGGGTGAGGATCTATAGGATCCTTCGAACGACTCGGGTTTAATGATTCGCCGTTTCTGGGCCGGGGTTTTACTGGACTATATCACATGAGGAGGTAATGGCGCGATGCCGTCCAGTCCTTATTGCATATGAACTTTGCATACCGATGACGACTTAGTACCTGTTGGCTACTAAGGTGTCACAGTCTGCATGTGGTCGAGGGGTACCAAAAGCAGCTTGTATATAGGCGATGATGGAACTAGGAATTCAGACATTCAATCTGGCTTGCAACTATTTTGCTGTGTGAAAAGTGAAGTGCAATCATGCCATGACGTGACGTTTACTCGTGGAATATAAGTGTCCTGTGTCTTAATGATATAACAATACTAGGTATTCTAAGGATAGAATACTTAAAGCTCATAGCATACATACCACCCATGCCCGTGGCGACAGGCAACGCAATAATACCTGACCCGTGCTCATGAATGATATACATATGCATAATCCCAAAAATGGTTTTCTGCCGGTCGGGAGAATTTCGTGCTCTCGCGGCACAGCACCGAATCTTATGCGGGTCAGTTCTCGATCTCCGAGCTTGAACGATCGCGGGCTAAAGCCACGATGTTAATAGCCCAATTAAAATCGCAGTTGAGCAACTTAAGCTACAGCATTGAATTCCGACTGCCTAGTAGGATGTTCCCAAATGCATATTTGATAATTGATGTCGCCAATCAAGAGAAAGATTAACTGCGAGGCGGTTTGACTTAGCTTCCGTCCTTCATGACATAGCCACGACAACGATACCGTTTGTGGACTGGTGGATCCTAACGCCCGAATATTGCGCGAGGTTCGTGCCTCATTCTTGTTCGTCGCTATATTGCAAGATATTGGAATTCGTCCGTCTCGATTTTAGTAGCGAGAAACGCGCGGATTTTCTTATCAACTGTAAGTAACTTGGAAAGAAATAGGATTCTCTGCCTAGTGCCTGTAATGGATTGTCCGCGTAGAATGAAAATAAAAGGGTTCGGTTCCCTTGAGATGGGAACGAGAGTGTTCATCACCATCGTCAAGCATCCAAGTCTACTACTACTTATCTAAGTGCAGAATATATCATATCCAGTACTTACTTGTGCACATATACACATAAACAACACTACTACTTCTTCTCACAGTCGTATACACCTACCTACCCAGTAAATACTGAAATCAAAATGTCTTCATCAAACACCAACACCAAGAAGACCATCGCCTTCCTAGGCGCTTCAGGTGGTGTCGGCCTCGCAGCGCTGACCCGGGCCATGGCCGCGGGGCATACCTGCATCGCACTCTGTCGTACGCCGAGCAAGCTCACGGACCGGTTCCCAGAGGCGCAGTACCCGAACCTGAAAGTCGTACAAGGGAACGCGCACGACGTCGTCGCCGTGGCACGATGCCTGTTTTCGCCCTCCCCTTCTACCTCGAACTCGCCCGTCGCCAAGCCGGTCGACATGGTGATGTCTTCGATCGGCGGACAATTCCAGTTCGCGAAGATGACGATCGACGACCCGCACGTGTGCGAGAACGGGATGAAGACTCTTCTCTCGGCCATCGACAAAGTGCGACGGGACCACGCCGCGGCGCTGGGAGAAAAACAGTGGAGGCCGCGCATCATCGTCGTGAGTACGTGCGGCATCTCGAAGGCTGGCCGCGACTTCCCGCTTGCGACGCTGCCGATTTACAAGTTCATGCTGAAGGTCCCCCACGTCGATAAGCTGGCTATGGAGAGCTTGCTCACGGGCGCCGCGGCCGAGAAGGACTACTCTTACTCGATCGTGCGCCCTAGCTTGCTGACTGATCCTGCGGTCCCCGATAGGAAGATACGGGTTGGTGTTGATGAGAAGCCGGAGGTTGGGTACGGCATTTCGAGGGATGATACGGGGAGGTGGATTTTTGAGAATTTGTTGGGTATCGAGGGGGCGTATGAGAATAGGGTTGTTACGATTACTTGGTAGTTTCTGGTTTGCGGGTCGTGAGTTGTTTGTGAATTGTGAGGCTGATGAGGCTGATGATGGTGGTGATGAAGTAAGGAGTTAGTTGGGCTAGACCTTTGGCTTGGGACTTGAGGGGCAGTGTTGTGTTTGGGTCAAGGAATGAATGGCTATTACCTAACCGGTCCCGAGATTTTTCTTATTTGCTGGCGTCACTCAGCGCTTGTTTAGGAAGTACAGAGCACCGTACGACCATTTCTTTTTAGCCTCGCCCTCTATTCGCATAGATGAAATGTTTCAGACTTTTGTTAGCTTTATACATTTCTCATCCTTTAGGTCCTTACTTTTCATCTTTCTGAGAAGTTTGCGGCGTTTTCTAGGCGATTGGGTGTCAGAACCTCCACAAGACGCCCACATTTGGGAGGCCAAGGGAGCTATGGAGCATTGAGTCAGCGTAGGATTGAAACACAACCTATCAATAGCAAACTGACCTACTGATGTAATCTGCGCCTACTGGACGATCTTAGCCTTCACCATCAGCAGGACGGGGCTACTGCAGGGGAAACGGAGCTATTTTGGCAAACTACAAGTTACAGCCAGCCAACGATAGCAAACCAGAGGTTTACAGGTCTGTTTAGGTCGGAGAAGTCCCGAGAATAGCTGGTAACGTCCAGCCTCCCCGCACGTAAGGCGCAAAATGGCACTTATAAGTCTGATCTTAGGATTTCTCGGCCCCTTTGCCCCTGCTGAAGTTACACTTGAATTAGGTAGGTGCATAAACAGACAAAGGAATGGAACGTAAACTGCCTTCTAATGTAGGCAGATTACTTGTATGAGAATAAGTGCAAATTAAACCGAGGGCCTTCCTTCGTTCTATATCTATCATATTATCTAACATTGTATCTATCTGGCTTTGATTGAATACAGCATCTACCTATGTTATAATATTCGCCTCGTCCGACCTTGTTTCCTCATATTTCCCTCCTATGACTTTACCACTTTACCATTTCACTACTCCACAACTCTACATACAAGTGAACACTCCAAGGTGAGTAAGAATTGTTCCCTCTGCAAATAATGCATGACCGGTGATCAATATTCTAACAAGTACATGTGATAGACACGTTTACTGCCACTTTAGATCTTTTGTTTCTTATTAAAGGAAATAGGTCATATTAGAAACAATATCTTATTCACAATTGCCATTCAAGAGCCACACTTGGGAAAACTCACCAGGTTTCTTTGTTGTTTTCTTGTTATTTTCCATTCACATTGTCTTTCAATAAGGGGTCATCTTGTCCTTGACGGCAACTACGATTGACATTTATATCCTTCCTTTCGTATTTAAGGTCAAGGTAGTTGCTCGACGCCTACCGAAGTACCTACTTCCCCGATCAATCAACTTAAACAATCGTGCAAGCGCGACCTACCTACCTGTACAACCACGGAAGTATTTAGTCAATTTTATCGCAAAACTCCGAAAATGAATAAACTCGTCGCAACATTCCTCACTTTAACTGCCATGGCCTCCGCAACGCCAACGAAACGGAGTTGCAAAGCGCCCACGACAACTAAGCTTGTCATCGGCGCTCCTTTCCAGATCTTAACTGCCAATTTCGACGGCAAAAAATTCTCGATAACTGGCAACCACACTGAGGTCGGAGCTGCGCCTAGTTGGATTCTCAACAGAGACCCGAATACCTTCTATGCGGTGAACGAGAACTCCAATGATCTCAGCCTTTTCACTCTTGACACCAGTTTGAGCAAAATCAACCTTGCATCTAGCGTCAATGGCTCTTCTGGAGTCGTCTTCCTGGAATTTAACTCCGACAAGACGCGCATGATCGGTGCTGCCTATGGTAACGCTACGGTAGATGTCTGGGACGTCTCCGCCGCTGACCACACCCCCAAGCTCTTGAAGACTGTACCCGTCCCCGGTACGCCTAGTCCTGCACAGGGAGCCCACCACCCTCACCAAGCTCTACTAGACCCTACCGGACGCTTCTTCGTAATCAACAACCTGGGCGGAGACACCGTTCTCGTTCTCGATAGCAAGGACGATAAGTTCGAGTTTACGGGCAACGCCACTCTCCCCACCGGAACCGGCCCGCGCCATGGCGGTTTCATCACGAACGGCGATAAGCACTACTACACGCTAGTGAGCGAGCTGTCAAACAAGCTCTTCCTTTTCGAGCTGAAGTACACTGCCGACACTATCGTCTTTAACCAACTGCAGGTGCAGAGCACCTACGGCGGAGCGCCCCCGGCCAACGCTAGTTCCGCAGCCGCCGGTGAGCTTCAGGTAGCGGCTAACCAGCGCGACGTTTACGTGTCGAACCGAATCAGCGGTAACGAGACAGACAGCATCGCGCACTTCGTCTTCAACAAGAACGGCACGAGCCTCGACTGGGCCGAGACCATCTCCACTGGTGGTCTGCGACCTCGTATGTTCAGCCTCAGCACGGATAGGCAGCAGACCATGGCTTTCGTGGCTAACCAGGGCGGCGCTGCCGGGCTAGCTGCATTCAAGCGTTCTCCCGACTCTGGTAAGCTGGACCCGACGCCCGTTGCGACGATGCCTTATTCGACTCTGGTTGCGCCGGCACTGGCAGCGACGGACTTCATGGGACCTCAGTTTGTGCAACAGATTTGAGAATGATTTATTAGCACATACTGCCGGACGGGTTTATGTAAGAAAAAGCATTGATTGCATCGGCTGTGGCGTTTGGGTTTGATGATTAGCAGAGCGAATTACTTTTCAATTCTTGTACCTAGCCCTCAGAGGCATTTTCAATTGATCTTCTTTCATCTTTCTGACATTCTGATATGCGCTTGATGTGATCTATTATATGTGCTTATTAGATGATGTTTTTGGATAATATCGTGAACCAACCTCGAGGAAAGACTACTAAATTTTGTGTTATTAAGGCATAAAACGCTAAAACGCTATGTCCAGGGTTTAAATGTAAGCACAATATAGTAAACGGGCAGTTCTACGTGCTGATTGGCCTATCCATACTCTGTATACCTAAACGAGTCTTTCAACGCTCGCTAGCGGTCGCATGTGAACTTGTAACTTGTCCAATCCTCAATCACATGTTCATGATCAAATAATATAAATGAATGAAGATATGTCGAGGGCGATGAAATAAAGATCGATTACGTTGGCGTACGTGGATCGGACCGGATTACAAAGTTTTAGCATCATGATGTTCGCGGCTTGTCGTTTGAGGCAATCTCGGCAATCTGCAATGCAACCCTACCTGCCAGGAATTTTGACGACAGCGGCAAGACAAGTAAAGCACGGTGGAGACGAGCTGTAGGGAACTATTTCAATTTGATATAATGATCGATACCTATTAAGGACATTTTATAAAAACCTGCTAACCTGCATAATGTCCTGTTCTTACGAATTCTAAGCATAGGTACGAACTATCTAGGTACCTATACTCGAATCGAGATCAATATAATAGGTACTATCCCCGGATTGTCTCAGAGCTGTCTATTGATAACTTGTTTAGCAGTTCCACAAGACCGACTAGGTGCATCCTAGGGGTAACTTGGACGAATTAGAACATATGATGATAGCTTCGAGGATAGCTTGCCAAGCTGTTGGAGCTACGGTATCTACTTTTACGTCATAGACAACCGGATGCGGAAATTTGGAGAACTCCCAATTCTTCGTAAGATCCACACTCGAAGGCTTAGACACGTGTATGGAAAGCTAGAGGAGCTCGCGTGCCTTGATTATCTTCCAAGCAACCAAGACGAAGATACCTGTCAAGCTGTCAATGCATTCCATGCCCCTCTGTTTTTGTCTAAAGATATCTCCCACTGACAAGGTATGTAGAGAACTTGGCCAGATACCCGCAGACGGGAGATCTAACATACATCCCGTCCCGGGGGTACGACCTGTACGACCTGATATAGAATTCTTGTACAATGCACTCATGTGAGACAACTCGGTTCAGGCTGTTAGGTTGTCAATCGTGAGCGATTGAGTTCTTGATTGATCAATGCCCGGTTTCGCGCTCGTACTCTTGGTGTAAAGGGGATAGCTTTGATTATCCTTGAAGTTGATAGTCATTGAATTCCATGTTTGCTAGACGAATCTTGGATATTCCCATCGATCATGACAGGATGACGAATAGTTAATTACTAGGCAGTATATATCATCTTTCTAAGATTTGAATACTCAATAGTTTCTATAGACTCTTGAACTAATATGAAAGGAGAGAAAATACGTTCCACTGTTAATAGTTATTAGCTAATGCTAGTGGTTAGTTCAGCCCGTAGTAGCACCTGTCCGATAGTTTATGACGTACTAGACTGGCATGTACGGCCGGAGACTTCACGTCATTTTTACACCTAATGAACCAAGTTAAGACCTGGACTGGAGAAAGCACGGTCGGTCGCAGATGTACAAGCATACGAATATCTACTTGCTATTATTAGTATTCGGTGGTGATCTACCATGTACCTTTTCGTTCGTGATTGTCATTCCATGTCCACTCGTGGAAGCAGTGCAGTAGCTACCTCTCGGCCAACTGCATGCGCTCAGCCTCGAGATCATTCTTTCATTGAATCATTGCTACATCTGAGCTACGTCAATATATAACAATATCCTTTATCTTCGTCCCTTCCCCAACCTTTTAATTTTTTAAATTTTATTTTGGTCTCTGTTCTCCCTCCCTTCCCCCACTACCTAGGTGTTCCCCTAAAGAATGCTCCTGTACAGCATTGTCGCTATCTAATGAGAATTGTATCAATTATACGAACTAATACCCATCAATCCTAAAATATCCTCAATTGTGATACCCTAGTCTGCTTCCCTGCTTTGCGCCGCCGCATATTGAATATCCAACCGTTAATATCGAGATACCCAACCTAACATCGTCATGGCGAGCGTCAATAAACCAACAGACGTCAAGCAAAAGGAGGCAGATGTGAACCGCAAACTTCAGATATACGGCATCATCAATGCATTCCAGATTGGTAAAGTGCCATCTGTAAGTGTCGACCAACCTCATGTCAAGTCTTAACGTTAAATCTAGGCTAATCGAATAATGCAGAATGATCAAATCGATGTTGCATTGAATAGCTTCCTCGAATCGAGTGCGTTATCGAAGCCTTCAGAACGACTTTCCCCGGATGGACGGGAGCTCGTAGCAGATGTCAGGGAGGTGGTGACCCAGGCGAAGAAGTTACTTCTATCAAAGAATGAAGGTAATCTCCTCCAGGATTTTATTTGGCAAACTCAGCAGTTCGACCCGAAAGCTGTGAGCGTGCCTAACGCTCCTGTCGACAAGGATACTGTGAAGCAACATGGCGACAAAGCTCTCGAGGGGCTTCGGACTCTAGGAACCTTAATCATTACCAACGGCCAGTTCCGTAAGCTTCGTAAGTCAATTCTCATCACTCAGATTATGGTATTGGTTGGACTTACAATTTTTCAGTTAACGATGCCACCATACTGTTGCGCGATATTGCTGGTGATGCTGCTACCAATGCCGCAGGCAAAGTGAAACCTTCGAGCGACGACCTTGCCCAAATTGACCGACCTGCTGAGGACAATCTTTGGCATGAGGCCCCCGATTTCTCCAAGACAAATGTGAAGGCTCAGTTGCAGAGTGTCTATAAGAGCAAACCGGGACAAGACGCTCAAGAGGTTGTTGGCTCCGGTGCTCAAGCTGCTCGACAGGCTGATGGGTCCGCCGGCGATCGTCTCAATGCCGCACAAAATGCGACGAGTAGCGCTGCCGAACAGGCTAAGTCAAATGTTGACCCCGAGACCCGAGAATCTGTACAACAGGCATCTAAACAATACGGCGCTCGTACTAAGCAATATCTATCCAAGAAAATGCCAGAGGAGCGCCGCGATCAGACCATTTGGCGTCTAAAGGTATGAGTCAAGTGTCTTTTCATGGAAGCTAGTACTAACGCATGGTCAGAAAATGGTCGTTGAATGTCAGCAGCACCCTGACTACAACCAAGCTATTACCACAATACTTGATCTAGCCGAACAGTATGGTTCCCATAGCAAGAGCATCGTCGCTGGGGGTAGTGGAACTGTCAAGGAAACACGAACTCACCTTGCTGCTGCCGAAGCTGATTTGAAGGTTGGTACCACAGCTCTCTGGCTCGATAACAGTAAGCTAATGATGCAATAGACTTTGATTGAACGATTCGCCAACGGAACTTCCTCTGACGACCTTTGGTCTTCGATCAACACTATCTACGAGGATGCCGATAAGGATCCTGAATTGAAAGACTGGTTCAAGTCTATTGATTCATACATTCGCAAGTGTCTCCAGGAACAAGGTTATATCATGGAAGATGCTTCAAATGAAGAGTGGCGTCGTCTCTATGATCGAGGAAACTATCTTCTCCGTGAGAAGTACAGGAGCCATACCGACCGTATTGTTGATGAGATCAAGTTTTTGGGCAACCAATTTGACAAAGACCCCCAGAACAAGGCTTTCGCAGCTTCCCTGGAAAAGCTGTTTAATGACCTCGGAAATGACGAGCAAGGAAAGGCGACTTTCAAGCCTCACTTGGTGAAGGATCTAACTGAGGTCATCATCCCGGCTATCTTTGAAAAGGCTGCATACATCCCTATTCCCCGCATTGAGTATTCCGACTCCGAGATTGACGCTGTTGTGGAGAACCTTGTGTTGGAGAGCGATAACTTCATGCCTAATGTGCTCGAGATCGCCAGCGACAACTACTGGAGATTCGGGCGTAAGAAGATTGCTAGCAAGAACAAGAATTCTATCGATGTCAAGGTCATGGGCGTCCAGATGGACCTACGCGATGTCAGCTTCTACGTCAAACGCAAACAGGGCTTCCCCTCTATTACGGACTCTGGTGTTGCGAACATCAAAATGGGCGGCGATGGGTTCTGTTTCCGCTTGAAACTATCTACTGCAGACGAAAAAGACAAACAGCACCTCTTCAAGATTGACAAGGTCGATGTGGATGTCACGCACCTGCAGATCAAGCTCGTCAAGTCAAAGCATAAGCTCTTGTTTGGTCTTTTTAAGCCTGTCATGCTTAAGGTTCTCCGCCCAGTAATCCAGAAGACAGCCGAGAAGCAGCTTAAGGACCAATTCAACAAGTTCGACGAGTTGCTGTTCCAAATCAAGAAGGAGGCCGATCGTGCGCTTGACGAGGCCCGTGCCGACCCTGGGAATGCTCCCAACATCTATAACCGATACGTCAATGCTGCGCAGAAGCAGATTCTTCAGGGCAAGAAGAAGGCTGAGGCCGTAGCGGCCGATAAGAAGGTCAACTTAGCTGTTACTAAAGAGGACAGCATTTTCCCCAACATCCACCTTCCTGGTGGCATCAGCTCCAAGGCGACTGAGTACAGGGAACTCGCTCGTAAAGGCGAGCAGTGGGAGAGCCCCGTATTCTCCATCGGCGCTGCGTCCAAGAGCACCAACATCCCTGCTGCCCCTGAAGTCGTCCGCAAGTCGCACGCCGTCAACGGAAATACCGTCACTAACGGCAACCACACTAATGGGAACTACACTAATGGCAACTTCATCAATGGGCAAACCGTGAATGGCAAGCATGTATCTCCTAATGGGCCTGTCACCACGACTGGTCCTACTATTACGATCTAGGATGCGTAAATGGTCTATGAGGGGACTCCTTAAAGACATGCCAATGAGCCATGAAGGAAACTTGGAGGGAGGTAATATGGATGACGAAGGCGTGCGGGAGGTCCGATAATGGTTATACCCGAAGATACCCAGGGATTCAGAATGACTTCGCTTGGAAAAGCTACGATGAAGGTAGCACGATAGTGATGATACCTCTTATTATTGTTATTCTGTTTTGGTATATCCCCTTTCTTTTGTCGTCGAGGTATCGGATAGGTAGCAATATGCGTAATAATTGGGAATCGATAGAGTTGAAAAAAACAGCCTGGTCCTCAGACATGAGCAATATCTTATATGTTTGCTCAGATGGCGTGCTACGTGTTACGGTTACACAGTAAAGTCAATACTTAGAATTTTAGGTAAGATCTGAATGGACTTTCCGCTATACATAGCCTCGACCCTTACCTAATTCTTTTCTATATATTCGAGGGGATTATTGCGTTTAGTATTACGACTAGTCTATCGTACTTTGGCGCCTACACGCTTTGCGACACGGATATGATTAACACAGACGCATGAAACTCAGGAAACTTCATGTCACGTTGCTCTTGGGACCTGCAATGATTTTCTCATCTCCTATTTTTGTTATACCAGCTCAGTTTCCTCTAGTTTCGTCACCTTTCCTCCAGTCCGACCTCAGTCTACCGATGGTTCAATCTGCCGCTCCGCGAGAAGGATTCTTGTGTCGGTCTTATAGGTTAAAATGATCACATCAGTGAAATGAGGTCCTGGGTATTTCCACAAACTTGCTCGAAATGCAACCCATGCATCCCGCGACGCCTCCGGACTTTCCCCACCACGCCACCTTTCTTGGGCTTTGAGGACTTGGTAGCGAGCCTTGAGCGCGAGAACAGCAAAATCGATTCCGAGCGGGTTGCTCGACTTAGTCTTTGCAAGCCGAGCCTTCAGGCTGCTGGCCCAACTAGGCTTGTCGGCGTCGTCGACGGGCAGCGCGCCCGACATTAGAGCGCAAGGTACGCTGGAGAAGGTGTTAGTTGGTATCTTCGCGGAATCGACGGGGGGAGGAGGAGGAGGAGGATTACGCGCCTTCTTCGACTTCTGGCGCTGCTCACGGAGGAACGGCAACTCTCGGTTCTGCTCGATGCTTGCCACGACGCTCTGCATGTACTGGGCTTCATTCTTCATTTGTCCGATTAGTTGATGGAAGTCGTGCATCGCAGTGGACCAGAATCCGTGGCATGCTAGCTCTGCGTCGACCTTGCCGCTGTCGATGATCTTGGCCACTGGGTGTGAGATTGTGTGTTAGTATCTTCGGGAAAGCGGTTTATGGGGTGAATAATTCCCTCCTGAAGGTAGAGAGTCATCACTCCTAAGACGGCTGGGTAGGGAAAAAAAGGAACTCACACTGATAACACCAAACCTCCTCGCCAGTCTCTTCACAAGCACTCTGAATCTCCCACAAATCCTCACTTCGTCGCACTCTCCACGTCGCGTTCGTCAGAATCGCACTCGCGCGACCCAGGCTGGCAATCGCCTTCTCCGCGTCGAGAAGAGTCAGGAAGTGAACCGCGGTCGGGCCCGCGAGCTTGAAGCGCAGGTCCAAAAGCTCCTGGTCGTAATCGCGCGCCGCGTTGATGAAGGGGATGATATCGGGGTGGTGTCGGATGCCCTGGTAGTGAGGAGCTCGACCGACCATGTTGCCGTTGCGCTTGGAGTACGTGGCCGAGAGAGACTGGATGACGCGGCGCTGGCGGGGCGAGGCGTAGGTGTGTGTCTCGAGGTCGGTGGTGAGAGTGGGATGGGCGTCGGTGGTGAATGAGGAGGGAGCGGGTAGGAGAGGGAGCGGAAAGGAAGGGGTGCTGTCGTAGCGCTCGTGGCGGCTACGGGGGATAGGCGGGTTGATCATTTTGAATGATCGGGTGGTAAAGAGGGATGTTTTGGGTATGAAGGAATTGGGAAAGGGAATGTGAAAAAAGAAGAAGAAGAAGAAAGGTTTAGGGTGGACAGATGAACGTGTGGTGATAATAGGAAGTGAGAAAAGCTGTGCCTACCTCGATCTCGGTATACGTCTTTACTACGGGGCTGCCGGTTCCTTTGCGTCGATTCATCTTTTCTTGCTTACCGGTCGACGGTATTCACAGGTCGAGAACAAGGAGAAAACCTGATAAGAATCGTGTCAGGGATGACGGGAGTGTGTGATCGAGTCATTATTGCTGGTGACTTTTTTCTTGGCTATACGTACGAGGCATGTACAAACTGAGCAAGCAATCATCTGTCTGTTCGACGAGTAGGTATATTTCTATCCAGTCTAGAAAGGATTGAACATACAATGCCTAAGGTAAGTTAACCCCTGAGTATGTCAGGTACCTGGCACATATTCTCATGCCACAAGGCCAATAATTGTGCTACCACCCCCTATTGAACCCTTTGATGTTTCTGAGAATCGGAGCTATCTAGATTAGACTCGATCTGTAAATAAGACATATCCATAAGATTAGTTATAGTTAACGTGAAATCTGAAGACAGAAAATAGGGGCTCCTAGCAACTTGCTGAGAAGATACGCAAATTAGACTAACTAATATTGTTTGACTACGGTGAAAGGATAGTTGAAAAGGGGGACATACCAAATGACTCAAATCCCCAGAGAAATAATTAAATTCGCTGTGAAGATCGGAAAAAATTGGACAGCATCCAGAGAGCTCGATCATAATACTAGGCGGGCGGGCGAATTACCCTAGGAATAGTCTTCATACAGCTTCTATTCATAATCTTCGTAATTTCCTATGCTATAAGTATGGCTAGCGCCCCTATGCTCTATCATATCCCATTCACGTAGAATGGGGTTACATATCGATCCAGTCCGTTACTCATCAATACCCAATCACCCCCATGAAGCATTACCAAGCTGGATGCTGGATGCTATAATATCTCATAAAGGACGTCGTCTAGCCCCGCCTCCCCGTAGTCCGTTTCTTGCGATGCGGGCATTACTTGCTGCCCCTGCTTTTCCGATTCCTTCCGTTTTAGCAACTCCAACATCTCCTCGTATGAACTGCGAGAGTGGTTCTGACGTTGACGCTTTTCGGCTGGCTCTTCTGCCTTTTGACTCTGTGTACCCTTTACCGCTAAGCTTGACAACTGATTGATAGATCGAGGCTGAGACTGACTCTTTGGTTGGGTTGTTGGCCGAGGCGTTGAATCTCTTGGTCCCGATCCCGAGTCAGACGTGCATTTATCCATGGCACATCCTTCTTTGTCTTCTGGTATAAGCTGTGCCAATAACTTGCTCGAACGTTCATCTTCCGATCTTTGGAAATGTTGGAGCTCTTCTTGGGCCTTTTGTCGGGTTGAAGGTCCTTCCCACGAGGTTGTCTTGCTCCTCTCGATGACGTATTTGTAATGCGCTTCTCGACCGCTCGAGGCGAAGAATGGCCTGGGGTAGGATTGTGCTGCATCATTCTTGCTACGCAGTGTGTTGGCTGTTTCATTTCGATGACTTCGATCAGTTATGGGAAGCACTCTGTGTTCAGTTTTCTCCAAAAGTTTTACTCCATCTTTTATCTGGGAGTTTGACGATGTGACCTGTTTGTGTGCTGGAATTAAGCCGTTCGGATATCCAACGATTTCAGCTTGCTCTACGGGCAGCTGGGGTATAGTAGTTGTTGAATGCGTGTTAATATCACATCGGGTTACATTAAGTAAATATGAGCTAGGGTTACTAGCTATATTGATGGATTGAAGATTATGATTTCTCTGTTTGAATCCCGATGGTGACATAGTTTCGTCTCCGAGGTCTTTCATGTCTTGTGACGAGAGGACAAAATCTTGTGTAGAGAAAAAAGGCATATCGAAAGCTTCGGAATCCCCCGACATTTGAGTATCTGAAGCCAAAGGGTAGTTACTTGCATGAGCGGAAAAGACATTCTCCTGGATAGGTATTGATTTGGGTTTGCTGTTTTTAGCAATTGGTGTAAGGCGATTGAGATCTGGCGTATCTGATATTGAATGAGTAGACATAATTTTGCTAGGGGGCGAGCGACCCAGATACGTGGCTCTGGTTTGAGATGTGTCGTTGCTCATTCCAACGCAAAGTTTCGGTTCTTCGAAGAGCTCCCTTACTTCTTGAGAAGGACTCGGAAAAAAGTCGTCAAGATGGCCAAGCACGAACAATTGCGTACTGGTTGGTAGAAGCTCTTCGCGCATGTTCGGATGGATGTGGTCTTTCTGAGGTATGGGCTTAGGCTTAGCGATGGAGTAAGAATTAGGTGTATGGCTCTGCTTGGCTAAGAAAGGTGGTGTCCTTGGGTCTTTAGATGGTACATGACTTCGTGGTTTGAATTTTGGTGGGATGGGAGGCGGCCCCATTGGAGTTTTTGGGGGATGAAAAGACCGTGACATTGACATCGACGGCTGGACGCTTTTGGGTGGCGCCTGAGCTGGTGAGTCTACCAATGGATTGTTTGTAGGGAATGTAGATTTCACTTGGTCGGTGATAGGCTCCTGCGGCGTACTGCTTGTCCTCGAATTGACCTTTGTTGTGCTTAATTGTTGGAGTGGACGCCGGATAGAAGACAGCGATGCGCTATCCTCTGTCTTCTGTTCTGGCAGTAAACCGTCATCTGCGGTCGGTGATCGAAAGCAATTATTAGGTGGCTTTGGTGATAGCTGGTTGTCCGAGGTTTTCTGGTCATTTGACGAGGGCCTCCTGAGCCCTGCATTGGGAGCAGTGGTCTCATCTGAAGATGAGTTAATGGTCGCATCAACCAATTCATTAAATAGGTCGTCCGGGAGTGACTCTATTGTCTCAGGTTCATCTATATCGATATTGGAATGGTCCGGCGTTGGCCATCTTTCGACTGGCTCGTTGACGTCCGGAGGCGGAGGGACTTCTCCGATTACCCCTGTAGGGCTCGGACTACGAACCGGATCTGCACCCAAGTCTAGATTTGCATTTATAGGTACCAATACCGGTGGTGGTGGTGATGGTGCCGGCGACTCTGTCCTTTGCCTTTTCGGAGGTGGTTCGGGTTCGTTCTCATCGGATGACGAAACGCGATCATCGCGGTCATTACGGTCATCACCGTTATTTTTATTGACGGTAGCCGAGTTCACTACCGAGCTGTCTTGCTTTTTCCTGCCGCTGCCACGAACGAACCAGGCAATTGTATCCTGCGATGGGTGGACATCAACTAGAGGTAACCCTTTCTTCTTCTTTTCTGCGCGCTCTTTTTCTTCTTTCTCCCTTTTCCTATCTCGCGCAGCCTTGGCACGAGCCTGGTTTTTTTCTTTCTCGAACTCTTTCCGTATACGATCTTGCTCGAAGAGTTCCTGGCGTCGCTTTTCGGCTTTTGATAGCTTTGGACCTTTATTTGCTTTCTGATAAGATTTCTTGGCTTGTTTGGTGGTCATAGGCCTCGTATTAGGACGGGACTGTAAAGTGTCCGAATCGCCATTGATGGCGCCGGGCGCGTTCGGTATAATAGAGAAGGTGTTTTGACCAGGAGCCATTTTCCATTTTCATTTGGACCTTATCCGTACCCCACGGGATCGTTTCTGATCAACATCATACCGATGATGATAGAATTCGGATAGTTGCAGCAAAGAGGCGTCGACTATGAACAGGTGGGGGGATTAAAAGATTTGAATTATTTGGAATCGCGGCGCGTCTTTGCTGTAGTAACAGATTGGAACTAACTTCTTTGGGTACTTAGGTACGTAACTTCCACTTTACGCGTACAGTATGTGCACAGTAGCTTCAATAATTTAAACGGGGTGCATCTGTAAAATCCAACACTGTACGAAGTACCATGCACTTGCCATCTCACCATCGGAATAATAAAATGACATGTCAGATATCGGGCAGGAGAGCTGAATAAGCCGGCTTCGGGAAGTTGCAAGGTACTGAACATTGAAAGTCCTGAAAGTCCTACGAAAGCTAAACTGAACTTAATCTGGGAAATTCCAAGTTCCAAGTTGTCTTGTTCACAACCTTCATTTGTAACTTACTCTTAATCATATTGCTGTTCACAGAAGACACAGAACACATCGCTACTAGGTATAACATTATCGATACTAGGTACTTAGTATGAACTTGTATTCAACTAATATATATTCATTAATGTAGTAGCTATTTAACTACATCCGCTCGCTCTCAACTCTCAGGGGTATAAGAAGCTCGTAAAGAAAAATGACTAGCAATAGCCAGCAGGGCAGGCGACGGTAGTGCCGAGAACATCACCCGATACACCGGCAATCTGGAGAACGGCACCGACGACACCTCCGAGACCCTCGCCTGCAATGAAGCCAGCAGCGACAGCATAGCCGTATAGGTCGAAGCTCGACACCTTCCACTTTCTCCATATCCAAGCCACAATAGCACCAAACATGGCCGCCGTCGTGAACACCGGCTAAAGTAATGAGTCAGCAATTACAATCGCATTTCTAGTTTATACTTTAAAGGGGGAAAACTCACATTCGGAAGTACGAAACTCAACGCTATCGCACCCCAGTTAGGAAGATACTCGCGGTATTTCTCACGCTCGCCTACAAGGTAGAAGTGTCTGAAGACGACCTGCCCTATGCAGAAAACACCCATGACGATAGAGAATATTCCCGATGTCAAGGGAATGCTTACTGCTGGATCGGTGACGGCCTGTGCGACAGCTGCCCACGCTGCAACTGATGGCACAGCGAAAGCGCAATGCTTGGCCCCCGCGTCGAGAATGCATGGGTATGCCGACGTGAACAGAACGAACATCCCAGGGGCGAGAAAGATCGAGATCATCGTTCCAAGACCTTGTGCATACCATTGCTTGATAGGTGGTGTACCCAGCAAGAATCCAGTGCGGAAGTCAGCCGTAAGTGATGATGCTACGTCAGCACCTCCCGAAGCGAGACCGCCAGCAACCAAGTTAACTCTTTGTGCGTCCTTGATCGAGAACCCGCTATTCTTGGTAGCAGCACCGAAAATCAGCTGACTTGCCTTCGATGCAGCCGTCAGTGGAGTTTGGTCTGTGACGGCGCCAATTTGAATAGCTAAAAATGAGAACCTTGTGTCTTATGTTAGCATTTTATTCACCGTTTTCTCGAACCTATCGGAATGTTTAACTCACTATGAGAAGTTAGCAATGAACATACGAGAAGTTGGAAGATTATTCTATAAAAGGGGGTTTCAAATATACAAACGAGATGTTTTCGTACTTACCAAAAAGCCCAAAAGACAAGCCAAGATTGTCAGTCCAGGATGCATTCCCCATTGCAACGCGAAGATGACCATAGCGGCGGCGATCGTGACGATGAGGCCAGTGGCCCACATCCACAGCGATACCTGGTCTTGTGGTGCCGCTGGATCTTCGATGATGTTTTCGGCTGCTTTCACTTCTTTCGCAGCACGCGACGCGAAATAGTTGGAGGTCTTACCATACTTGACCAAAACGGTGTTGATGTTGGCGCAAGCCTTCTGCCAAATCACCTGGCCAGCGTACCCGATGACCTTATATTGCACAAAAAGTTCAGCCATCGATGTGCACACCATTATCATCACGCCAGGCCAAAGTAGCCAGTATCTTGGACTGGGAGTCGTATGTCCCAAGTTACTCAGAGAGGCGTAGGAGTACCAAGAAGCCCATTGCGGATCGTCGACCTGCTGCACGCCGACACATGTGCCGTAGTGTACGAGAACAGGCCCTATAATAGCCCAGGCGATAAAAGCGCCACCGAATAAAGAGAGGGCCGAGTTCATTCCGATGAGCATACCGCTGCCGATAAAGGCAGGTGTCCACTCAAACCACCAACCCCAACTTTCAATGGTCATTGCTGTAGTAGCGGTATAATCGGACCAGATGAAAATCCAAGTGAAAATGTGCCAGTCGTATAAGATTCCAACGGCGTAGTAAGATGCTACACGCTGGACGAGAGCAACCGTGAAGGCCAAGCTGAGAGCCTTCAGTTTGCTCAAAGCTTCCCTAGCACCGGCAGCGCCAGCGTGCATCGACCTGATGGTTAAGGCTACAGCCGTAGCAGTCGGGAAAAGTAGCTTCAATTCTCGGGCGACTTGGATGATAAAGAACTTTCTAAGGGGAGTAACGAAGAAGAGGCCGAAGAAGGAACAGACCAGGGTGATTGTGAGAATGGCACCGAAGTCGTCTTTAGGGTTGCCTTCTTCTGCATGGAGTTGATACATTGCAGGGATACCGGCTACGAAGATGCCAGAAATTCCACCCGCACCCGTCGCCGCGGCTTGAATAATCGAATTTTCTTGAGGTCCAAAAGAACCACCGATGATAGGCAGATTGGTCTTCGAGCATAGCTTGATTATGCCATATCCGAAAATGGCTCCGAACATAGAAGCCGCGAAGGTAAATCCAGTTTTCAAACCTAGGCATGTTTAGGGGAGAGCACAACCAACCAGAAGAAAATCGCAAATCAAGAAAACTCACCCAGGTACAGGTTAGATGCATTGACAAGACAGCCTAATATGATACCGACGATGACAGCGCGTATCGTGAGGGGATCGCGATGGTCGATGATGCTACCGTCCATCTTTAGTGGCACGTAGAGGTCAAGCTCAGGCTCGACGGTTTGGGAGTCGATATCGATAGCATCGACTTTCTCGTCAATCTCTTTCTCGAGTGTCGTCGTCTTGACGGTGGGGTCGGCGACGTGCGCCGGATGGGTCTCAGTCGAAGCCATGGCTGCTGTTGACAGACTCAAATGTGCAGCTATGTTGGTTGATTGATCGTTGGTAAGAGGAAAGGTTGGGAGTTCGAAATCTCAGGATGTGGCCCTTGGCTGATTGATATACACGTCCTTCCCTACGTATCTTGCTGTATGACTACAGCAAAGTAGTTGCTTGGATACACACCTTTGAGTTACGCTATGGTGGCTTTAGTCTGACTAAAGACAAAAGCCAAAGCGACCCGATAGATTGGGTGTATCAAAGTATGGGAGACAAATCGAGTCGCATCGCATCGCATCGCATCTGACGAAGGGGCGGTGCGCTTCTTTAATATGGCTGAACAAGGTTACCTCCCCAATATCTCACGTCGCATCGGGAGCACCGTGCAGCAGCCTGTCATTGCGATTTAAGGTACCTACTATTATGTAGGTATGCTCTAGGTTCCTATTAGGGTCGTTGGGGTGATGCACGACGGCGCCTTCCAGACTTCCTGCGTACAGATTTTAATAGTCCTATCCACCTCTAGAGATAAGCAGTGAAACGTTTACAGGGACTCTTGCGAACCCTAGACCAAGGCATGTGCCAGATCCACAGATACGAGTCTCGTTAGGACCACACGACGTGTTCCCCGGGGAATCTCGTCCAGTCGATAGAGAGCGAACACTAAGGATCTAGGAGCCATATCGGGAAGGTGAAGGTAGCAATCAACTTCGCTACTACTACTATGTACCTAGGTATGCATTTCCAGCTGGCTCGGAACGAAAAGCAACCGCAATCAGCCGTGTTTTCGCACCGATAAAGGCCCCAGAAGATCGACGGCTCATCTATTCCATATTCATTTTCATTTTTAATCATTTAAGTACCTAAGCTAACCACCAATCACGATTTCATTCCTATACTTTTACAAGCCCTCTGACTTAGACCTGCCGTGGCCCGTGGCCCTTTTACTATGTATGTATTAGGTTGACCAGCATCTCATCCTAGGAAATCTATTGATTGGTTCTCTACGAATAAATGCGTGCTTCGGAGATCAGGATTCAGACTAAGACGGCATGGGGTAAATTAGTCCAAGCCCAAAGATAACGACGCACGCTGAACGTTCAATAGGGTCAAGTCGCCTAACCCAGGCCATCCATGCCGCCATGGTCTTGCCGCTTATGTACGTACCAGCGTGCCCTCGCTATTGACTACCTGATGTGTTCTCAACCTAGACGCCGGGCACACACGCGACACCAGCTTTACCTATCTCCAGATCAACTATCACATCATCTATAACTATATTATTTATGCAAAGTGTCCGACCTCGCTGACGATAAAGTAAAGAAGTATTATATTGGTTCGACGATCAAACAATTTCTAGACATGAAGAGCTTGGACCTTGGGAGAAAGAGACCGGCATTACTCTCATTGGGTATTGCCCAGTACCTACAAGGCAGGCCAGTAGGCACCTGTGGGCACCTATGGGCACCTAGGACATGGGTAGGTAGTACCTATTACCCAGCTGCGCTACTTCATTACCTGCTAAAAGCCTACACGATCTTGTTACATCGTGCCGCCGTGAAAATGTTCTAGAAAGATGGTTAGCGGCGTAAAGTTACATTAGCTGCCTATTTAAGGTTCTCAAGGGCGAGATCTTAATGCATCTCATATTAGTGGTCAGCTAATACGGAATAGTTGTCCGACGCTTCAGCCAACGCCACTAATAAGCTGATGACCGAACCTACCTAGGTACCTAGGCGAGAAGGTTTATTCTATTTACTTACTAGGTATTCATATTCTTCGATCATTACCACTTGCCGCATGTTTGTCGATGCTTTACTATTCCACGACAGCGAATTGGTACAAGGCAAACATGATTTGACAGGGGACAAGCTCTTTGTTGGAAAGGATGTTACGAACCTTGATATCACTGATGCGGCGAGAAAACTACCTATTAACGATCGCTTTTATATGCCTTCCAGGTATCCATCCATCTCGCTTATCGCGACACGAGAACTTCCAAGATCTATGAATGCTTCCCTAGTGAGTAGCATTCTGCGAGCAGATTGCGACGTTGGTCAAAGATATGATGATTACCTAGTCTAACCATTAACAACCTCTTTCCACGTCTGCATGTTTGCATATGATAATGGCAAAATCATGAATTCATATGATTCGATTCCACCGAAGTGGAACGGACCCGCAAGATTTTAGCTCCTAATAATCCCTTTGAACAGATCTTCCAAACTCGGCTGGCGCCGGAGGTCACAGACAACGAGCTTCTAGATAAGCTCTAGTAGAACTGACAGCGGAGGATAGGTTAAATTAACCCCAGAAAGCTTTTTTTTCTCTTTCCCTTCCTTGGCATACCTACCTTGCCATTTTAGATTTACCTACTCAATTGGTTGAATTTGAGAGCTGAGATGTGGCTAGTTGAGTTTTCTCACCTACCTAGTATTGATCATGGATCAAGTTGTCTAAGCGACTCTGAACCCTTACTGTAACATCAACCCCACAGATTACCATAACTTCCTACCTTGTAGTCATCTAAACTATGTATGTATTCGCATGGGGGTTATCGATCTCAAGTGGCAGGCTATTACACCTTAGTTCGTTACGTAAGATCTGTGGCGGGAACCTTAGACATTGAACTGGTTCAAGGCTTGCTTTCAGACTGTATCCCGCGCTGACTCAAATTTCATGAAACTTACCTTGCAGGTATCAGCTGAAAAATCATTCACCTCGGCAGACAGAGCCAGAAGCACGCGGCTGCGACTTGGTATCATCGACGAGTACCTACCTAGGTAGGTATTATGTTGCCATAAATGTCGCCCAAGTACATTCGCGATGTTCTCATTTGGACTGTATAAGGTCTGCCCACTTAACCCGCACAAACTCCGGTCTGTAATATCTTCTGCGGCCATCCCGTGTTATACATCCTATACTCGTTTTTAACATACCGAGTAGTGGATAGAATTGTGAAATTACGACGGGGGCAATGAGATGGTGCTTAATACGACAAACGTGCCAAATCGATATCGAGCAGCCAGTTTAAGATGAAAATTAACCGGATGTTCTTCTACACAATGAGACTGACTTCTCTAGAATCTGTGTCCAAATTACTCTACCTACCTACCTACATAAGTAGGGTCCGAACTCGCCTTGTTCCGACTCGGTGAGAAAATAAGGGGCTCCGGTGAATGCTTAATTTATGTATCAACGACAACTTCCTGTGCCTCTGACACAATATCAATACCTACTTGTCTACCCCGGGGTTAGATCTACAAGAGAAAAAGAGTGTCTATTCGCTTGTGGTAATTATCACAATTCTCATAAACGTCAAGAGCTACAATCACGACCCCTACTTCTCTACAGCAGGGTTCGGTACAGTATGTCTTAATATCCCAATAATAACTTGTTTGGTGGTCTAAGTTTGGGTATCTCGATATAATACCTTTTTACCTACCTGTGTAAATACATCCGGAGGAATAGTAATCTAGTATGTGAAAAAAAAAAAAAGATGGGGAAGTATAAAACAATGGCCAATTACCCGATATCGCTCGCTGTATCCGTCCCTCTCACCTTACACCGTATAAAGTTCTCGTCCACCCGTAGAGATTCCATGCCTAAAATAGTAGAATTATGGTGTTTCATGGACCCTTTTTGGAGATGCTCCCCTCAATACGGATGATTTCGTCCGCATGGCTATAACAGTATGGGGAAACCCCCTGGGAAAAGGCAAGATCCCTATTCGTGCGGCTACAGGTATATATTAAAGCCTGGACGTCGCGAACAAGCTTTCAGCGCGTAATTTGCGATGGATGGAATATATCAAGAATTTATGTCTGGATTGGAAAGGATATATGTTTATGTTATCTGGTCGATAGATACCCCGTATGCTTTTTGAGACCACCGAAGAGGAGGCTACCGCGCAAATAGTAACTTCACATTAGTACAGGGGGCAACCGATATTAATATATTGACGGAAGAATTTACCAAGCTATGACAGTCTGGGCGATCCGGGTTTAGCTAACATTCGGTCGACCATCGCAAGAACCACCCCTATGAGAGGGTATACAAATCTGGCGGTCGTCCACCTGGACTTCCAGCCTTGAACCCTCAACGCTCAGTCTACTCCCACCAACTTACGCTCGCGATTAGAAGGCGCCACAATGAAACTTCTACCGAACAGCATCGCGCTCCTCGCGTCCGCAGCCATAGTCACAGCGCAGACATGCGAACTCCCCACGACATACAAATGGACATCGTCCGAAGCGCTAGCGACCCCGAAGTCTGGCTGGGTCTCGCTTAAAGACTTCACCAGCGTCATGTACAAGGACCAGCACCTCGTGTACGGGACGACGCACAACCAGGGATCGGGCTGGGGCTCGATGAACTTCGGGCTCTTCTCTAACTGGTCGGACATGGCGTCCGCGAGCCAGAACGCGATGAGCACAGGCGCCGTTGCTCCGACGCTATTCTACTTCGAGCCCAAGGACGTATGGGTGCTCGCGTACCAATGGGGCACGACCGCGTTCACCTACCGGACCTCGACCGATCCGACTGACCCGAACGCGTGGTCATCGCCGCAGCCGCTGTTCAGCGGGACCATATCGGGTTCCAGCACGGGATGCATCGACCAGACAGTCATCGGGGACGACACGGACATGTACCTCTTCTTCACGGGCGACAACGGCAAGGTGTACCGCGCCAGCATGTCCATCGACAAGTTCCCCGGCGATTTCGGCCGCACGTCAACCACCGTCCTAAGCGACACAACGAACAACCTGTTCGAAGCCGTCCAGGTGTACACCCTCCAAGGCCAGAAGAAGTACCTGATGATCGTGGAGGCGATCGGGTCGAACGGCCGGTTCTTCCGCTCCTTCACGGCGGACAGCCTAAGCGGCGAATGGAAACCCCAAGCCGCGACCGAAAGCGCGCCGTTTGCTGGGAAGATGAACAGCGGAGCGACGTGGACGAATGATATTAGCCATGGTGACCTGGTCCGCAGTAATCCCGACCAGACGATGACGGTCGATCCGTGTAAGCTGGAGTTGCTGTACCAGGGACGGGCGGCGGGAAGTGGTGGGAACTATGGGCTCTTGCCTTACCGCCCTGCTGTGCTGACGCTGCAGCGATAGTTGGGATTGGGTACCTAAAAAGCTGGGTATGGTTTGAGGTTACCTAGGTATATATAGTAAACACGGATTATATTGGTACATCTACGATATCTTCTTTCTTGACTCGAACATAGACATGAAAAGAAACCTGTTGCAAAAACGACAATTATACTATCCTCTACCTATGCGCTAATCGAGCGCTCAACAGATCAAGATATTGCTTTGTGATGAATTTCGATCCTCGTTCTAGGATTCTGTGTCAGCTCCAAGACGTTTCCCTCGAAAATATCTGGATTTGGTTCCGGCGCATCGGGACCGGATCTCTAACCGGTTAATGTAGAAAATTGTTTGATCCTCCGGAATGCCAAGGATAGTAGATGAATTTTGGCATCTGTAGCGCTCCAATAGGGGTAAATGGTCGGTCGCTTCGGGCTTCGGTAGAGAAGATGAGATACTGAGTTTGAAATATATCGATTTAAAAGTCGCGATAGTAGAGCTTAGATGTCTCCTTAAAATCCGGAAATAGAACGTTCCTGGGATATTATCAATTTCTTGTACGCATGCGCTGCGAATGAGCTGCTGATATTGTCACTGGAAGGCTGCGAAAATGTCCTTGGAAAGACTGATATTGGTGGGTATTCGTTAGTGAAGCTACAGTACCTTGATGTTGTATTGTTCTGAGTTTTTTAGAACTAGGCAGAAAAAAACAGAAAATGTTAGTATGCGTATACCCCTCACGGTGCGAGTCGTACCTCTCGTCTCTATATTTTGTATCTGAGATTTACAGAATTATGCAGGTGTAGCTTGATAGGCAGGTAAGTAATGACATCAGAGGCTGAGCCGGTACCTACGTAGTTTATTCCCCACAACTTTTGTAGGTACGTACCCTCGATTTAGTCTCGGGAGAAGGGATATGAAGCGGATATTTCACGCAAGTAACAGAATACCATAGTCGCACTTTTTGCTTTAGATGTGTTTATTGGAAACACTACGCGTTGCCTACTAGGTATATAGGTAGACAGGTAAGCTCTCCCATACCTTATGTATTAGGTGAGAGAAGAATGTGCGTAAGTCGGGCAATAAAACCATTCCTCTCATCTCAGATGCACCGTAAATCAACCGACCGACCGAACCATTCAGGTAGGACGAGACAACACCAGATGCAACCGAGCCAAGTCCATGATGATATGCCATAACCACGCGGGAAAGAGAAAAAGTCCAGGGGAATCATGCCTCCAACCAACATTTCCGATCATTTCCACCATCCCTAGACACAACGCCGTGCCATGCAAATATAAATTCTGGACATTTGTCGCGATATTGCGACCTAGTTTCAAATCGGGTATCCAGCCTCCCCGAATTTGACCCCAGCCAAGCTTAGTGAAACCTAAGGTGGAGAGATGACTATAATGAAAAAGGCGATCAAGGTGACATCACATGAATATGCCAACCCAGGCTGACTTGGCGCTAACGTCCGTTTCACAGTCATCGACGGCACAGAGCACATGGTTCTTAAGGCCGTTGGGGTCACGCCGGAATCCCACGGGGACGGGATTCTTGCCTACGGGTTTGCGGTTCTCGTAGCATGCTCGACAATAGACCTAGATATGGATATGTTAACATAAATAAATAGAAGGGGAATGATAGGTTGGTGACTTACGTGTCCGCAAGCCTTGACGGCCCAGAAATGATGTTCTGCCTTATCCTTCTTCGTACGAGCTTTCTTTGCTGGGGGTCCCTGATGAACGTCATCATCATCCGGGTCGTAAGCTAACTCGAGCTCGCAGCTTGGGCAGATGGCTACTACGTCCTCGCCCGTGTTTCGTGTAAAACCTTCTCTCGTCTCCTTCGGAGGTTCATGTGCGGGCTTAGCACCAAGGCCACCGGGCGCGAGTGGCGCATTCGCAAAAGGATGGACCCTAACATCTAGGTTGATGGGGGGAAGGTTCGGCACCGGCATAGCGTTAGGCGCGAGGTTGCGATGTCCCATGATGACAATATCCTCCTCGTCGCGACTTTGTGCCATGGGTGGGTTGTTAATCAACCGAAACAATGGTATGTTATTGAAAATCTGCTGAAGATCGCGGATCGAGTTATTGGGATGGGTGGGAAAACCGAAGGTTCGCCCTGGAAGTGGGAGATCTCGCGGTTCTGGATGCCGAATTTCTCGCAAAGGACCACGACGGGGAGGAGGGATGGGCCCATGTCTAGGGTTGGTGCTATGTTGCGGAGGATCCGACTCATCGGAATCCGAAACTAGATCAATGACATTGTGTGGTTCCATGTAGCTAGCATCGCTACGAGCTAGTCGTGGCAGGGCGTGTCGTTGCTGTGATCGTTGTCGTCGGGTGTTCTGAGAATGGTTCTGGGGCGCAGGTTGAGCAGGCTGCCTGGGGCTATCATTATCGCCCGTCAAGTCAATAACCTCTGGCTGCGCTTGAGGTTGCCGTTGTCGATGTCCTTGGTTGCCTCTGAGGTTTCCTGCCTGCATTACTTCTATTTCCACTAGCTCATCTAGATGTGCAGCGTTGTTGTTAGCTGCAGCTCTATTCTCCTCCAGTATACCAATGAACTCATTGTCGTCATAGGAATCATCTGAATGATCATCTACCCAAGCCTGCTCATCTATTTGTCTGGGTCCAGCATTTCTTTCCTCAATCAGATCAAGATCGTCGTTGTCATATTCGCCCGCGTTATAGTCATCATCGTCGCTCACAAAGAGGCTTTCCTCTTCTTCGGGATCAAATCGTTCGAAAATGGGATCGGAGCCGTCGTCAGCCGCTCTCATTAATCCGATAAGATTGCCATCGTTGAACGCCATGGGTGGGGGTGTAACTGCGGATGCAGGACTGGTATTGTTCCAAAATGATTCTCGGTGATGTAGGTGTTGATGTTGATGTTGATGAGCGCGTGTTTGTCGGTCGAGAGACTCAGATGTTAGAGAATGCAAGTCGCTGTTCGTGGATGGCGTAGAAATGGAAGAAATGGTAGGTTGTACGACAAATCGGCCTGGTCGGGGTGGTGTTGACGATAAAGGATCTGGTGAATCAGAGTTAGGAATTTCTGCCATATCAGAAATCCTGAAATATAGACCAGTCTAGATCGGTCGAGCTGACAAGCCGGCCAAGGTGACTACGACTACGACTACCAAGGTACCTCAGGTAACTGTGTACGTGGTTAGTGAGTAAGTGAATGGAAATAAATTAGGTAGGAAATGCAAATTCGAATTAATATCCGTGGACGTAATAAAGGGCTCGAGGATTGAACTGTGAACTGTGCAAACATGCGAACCACTAAAGGACGATTATGCAGGAACGTACCAACAGCCAGTGTCAAGACCGTAGAAATTGGACTGGGTATGAATGGATGATGGACGGTGGAGGCTAGTTAATTGTTAATGACCATTTTGTTGAACATGTATTCGATTTGATCATTTCTGCCTCATCGCGTCGCAGCCTTGAATCGGAAGATGTATTTGGTAATTCTTAACGTTGATGTGTGCTCGATGAGAAGATTAAGGTTGAAGGTTGATGTTTGATGTTGTGTCTGATAAGGTGACGATTGATTGCAACGCCTGGCGCGTTCAATTTCAAAGACGGATGTAGGAAACCAGTGAGTGAGCAACGTTGAGGCGAGTTTAAAAGTTAAGTATGGAGTGTATTAATGGAAAGTTTTTAAAGGTTTAAGGTTATGGTAATGGCGAAATTGTCATAATGCGAAGCCTTACAGTCGTTCTTGCCCGCTGCACGCAGCTGTTATTAGTAAGTTTTGGTTACATTTAGCAAGGAAGGCAAGGATGACGCCTCATTACATAAGTCTCATACCCGCTTATCTCCGGTACCTTAAAATTTCGTACATAAACGTAGGTACCTAGGTACAAAGTACATGGGCACTTCAATGACGGGATTTAATAGACATTCTAGATATTAGGTTCCCATCTAGTAGGCGTATAAAAAACTTCGAAGCCTTATTATTCTTATATCCAATGCTTCTTGCTCTTTAATAGAAGATGGAACTTATTTTCTACCAACATTTCGCACAGACGACACCAACAGCTGATTTATACACACCACCTAGCAGGTACTTAAATATTTGGGAAACCTCCAATCTGTGAAGTATCACGATTCATCATGTTGATGTTTTGCTTGTAATGTACATGGAAAGAGCTTGAATTACCAGCTGTGATCTTACTGCTGTAACAAACTCATTTTGTTTTGGTATCCGATCTTGATTCCCGTATCTCCTCATTGTACCCATAGCTCTCGAATATGAACGCCATTAGCCGGACCATTATTCCTTGGCAGCGAGAACACTAATTACTCCATCCCCGTTGATTGTCACCAGCTTGTTCGCGTTTGCGGTCCACTGAACATCGACTGCGCTGACAGCTGCCCGTAAAGGTTCAGACCAGGACTTGGCGGATTTGTTATAATTTTGTACTGTTACTCCGGAGGGACCTGCTGTTGCGAGGAACTGCTGTGATTCGTCCCACGCTAGACTCTGCACTGCGCTACCGGTATCAAGAACCTTAACCTGCGCAGCATCACCTGACTTGCGCAAGTCAAATATACTGACAGTTGTCTGTCCCTTGCCTGTGGCTGCAAACCAGTAGCCATTCTCGGAGAAGGTGATCGCCTGAACGGGGGCTCCGAGAGTGAACGAGGCGCCTTCAAGTCCTGTAGTGGTAAAGTAGGCTGTAATCTCACCAGAATTAGTGCCACAAACAAAGAGATGGCCATCAGGATGGAATGCGCAAGTAGTAAAGACTAAATGTACGGTCAGCAAATATTATCGGAAAGGTATATCGTACACATCGCCGAAAACGTACCAGAATTAGTGAACACGCGTCTAACACGGCGCAAGTTAACTAAATCGTAGAAGACAAAGCTTTTATCCGAACCAATGGATGCTAAAATTTCTTTGCTAGGATGAATCGAAAGGCCTGTAACAGGGCCAGCATGGTCGGAGAAAGACGCAATTTCACTGCCATTCTCAAAGACTTTGACAGAGCCCTTGGATGTAGCAAAATAGACCCTAGTGCCATCCCATATCGAACTTGTCACAGGCTCGTTAACTTGCAATGAACGTTCGACCGTATCCGAATCAATCGAGTAGATTGCTACATCGCCTTTTAATCCACCGATAGCAGCATATCCCTCCGAGACGCTAACCGTTGTAGCCTGGGGCACGGGGAGAGAATTTGTAGTGGTAACGGCGAACGAAGCAACATCATCTGCGGTTGCCCATCCTTGAGGGACAGCTCGCTTTTTCCGAGTTTTCGATAACCTATTAACATATTAGCTAGGTAAGAACCAATCATGAAAAACCATGGTACGAACCGAGCATGGAATTCGTCCACCTTAGCTGCTAGATCCTCAGGTAGAGTCTCCGGGTCAAGAGTCATAGCGTCACCATCGCCTGCGCTGCCTGCTGACACAGTCACCTTAGATAGCGCGTCCCGGGCCTCGTCACGCTCCTTCGTTAACCTTGCTATGACGCGAACGGCAGCATCATGTTGGTAAAGGGCTGTTGCCAGCTCCTCTCGCGTCCGCACCAGCTGTTCTCTAATATTGTAAGTTTCCAGCGCGAGTGCGTCCCACTCGTTTTGGAAGGTTGAAAGTAAGGAAGGTATAGAGGTAAGAGTGGGCGGTCGGGGTCGGACAACTCGAGATGATCGTACGGGAAGAAGGTCGTCGAGGGTTAGGTCTTCGCCGCTCACTGGATCCTTTCCATTCTCCTCGATGTATTTCTCAATCAAACGCTTCTCAAAGATGGCGCCTATAAACAGCATCAATATTAGTAACTAGGTAGATTACAAAAAGAAACAAATAATAGTCGTCCTTGTAGAATTGGACCTACCAGAAAGCTTAGAGACGACAGGCTCTTGGGGAGCTTCGCCAGAAACTATTTGATGTTAGATTTGTAATACCAATATCGACTAATTCTGTATGGAAGAACTTACGGGCACACAACATCATGAATAGCCTTGAATTTGTGTGATAGTCGTTTAAGTTTTGCTGGCGATGTTGGCGAGGCTGAACTCGATAAAATTTCCAAGGTTCATATGTTGCCTTGCATGCGCAAGTACATGTAGAAGCTTCACAAAATCAAGCGCGCTATGTTGACTTTAAATTGATTGGCTTAAATTTCCTCTGGTCTGCCGAGATTCAACCATTTACATTAATCGAAGATGCTCACAAAATGAACCGTCCTTTACCCGAAGATCTGGCTAGTGTCGGCTAAAGTGGGGCTCGATCACATGCATGGGCTAGCGTTTACATATACATGTATGTACCAATGTACCACAATCCCACATTAAACCCACCACAAATCAATAGCTCAAGTTGAACTCAAACCATTACATACAGCATTGAGGTTTCGCGCGGCACTCCGCGATGGATGATAAGCTCCAGAAAGACTCAACTACCTACTCCAAATGATACAAGTCAGATCCATGGATTCTTCTCAGATATTAGAGTAGTCCTGTCCCATGTGTAAACTACAGTAACCTTATAGAATCCAATACCGGTATCCACCCACCTACATACAATGGCGTCTCCAACAATTCTACCGCCTATCTCCTCGCTAACTACTGCCGATGAGGAAACCATCAAGTTCGCTCTCGATATTCTCTTCGAGCCATCCACAGATCTTCACGACCTAGCGATCCCGCCAATTCGTGATAGCCCTTCATTTACCTCGTACGTGTCTCTCATCAAGCATGTTGGGGCTATCATGTCACAGCTCGCACAATCTTCGAGCCTAGATACACGGAAGAGACTACACGGAATTCTTGGATCGCATCCACGATTAGGCGAAAAGAAAGTCGAGAGCGCCCAGAGTCGGGCTGAACAGGCACATCTCAACACGAACAATTCCAAGGAGAAAGAAGAAGAGGCCACAAAGCTGAAAGCCCTAAATGATGAATACGAATCCAAGTTTCCTGGGCTGCGGTACGTCGTGTTTGTGAATGGTCGGAGTCGAGTAGTTGTTATGCAAAATATGCGAGAACGTATCGACCGCGCGGATATTCGGGCCGAAGAACTAGAAGCTATTCAGGTAGGTTAAAGAATACCCGCCGAGGCATGATTGTAGGTGTGAAGAGTTCGTGTGCACTAACAGTTTCGGGCGTGACCCCTGGCCCAGGCGATGGTTGACATTGCTCTAGATCGAGCGAACAAATTGCAGGGCACTATCTAACGTACTGTCTGGCTCTATTGGGGGTTATATTTCTCCTAGATATCTGTTCTACTAAGGGTGGGTGAGATTCATAATTATTATCTCTGCATTTGGCAGGGAAATCAATCCATATATCGACCGGCTTGCAAAGACATAATAGGTACCAGTAGTGTGCTATATATCACCCCAAGGATTGGGCACAACCAAATCCATGGATATTCCCGAATTTGCTCGAGATGCTCCCATGTACCCTCCTTCCTTAGGACTTTGCGGGAAGGACAAACAACAGATCAGCCCTATGCCTGGGTATCTTTGGAAGCGTTGTCTTTCCCCGCAGCCTTTTACTCAAATATCGAATCATTGGAAGTTGCCGTGAGGCCGTAGCAGGTTTCTAGGTATTCCCACGCATGACGCATTTGGTATCCTTATTTTTCAAACCAATCTTGTTTCCATCGCCTAATAACCTTAGCACCCCTTTTTTTTTCTTACCTCCTTTCATTCGGGTTTGAGAACACCTAATCATCCGAAGGTTATCGTTAAGCCAGCATGCCGATAATCATATCCCAAATTCCATACTCCCTATGCTATCCACCGTATCCCATCTAGTTCGTCCAAGTATTCTTCATAGAAATGTTCTCCACTACTCGCTTCGTCACTTCCCCCACTACCCTCTGGTGATCGCGCCCCGGAACCAAATAGCACGCCGAAATCTGCGTATACATCGTCCATGTCATCGTCTGAGAGGTCTGCATATCGGGTCTCGAGATCTGGTGACGGGAATGAAACTTCATCTTCCTCATCATCCGCCTGTAACGGTAGGTAAGGGGGTCTTCCAAGGACATTCGACCGCGCCGATGAAGGGAGTGGGGGCGTCGTCGTCGGGCTGGGAGTTGTGTTCTCTGAGCTACTTGCGGAATCGCTCTGGTCTGTGGAAGTTAAGTTAGGAGGTGATGGGTGGAAGGCCGTCGTGTGTGGTCGCCACGCCGGCGGGATCGGGTGGTCGTATGGGTTAGGTGCGAGGCCGGGGAACCGTGCCCCCGTCGAACTATTTGAAGTAGTCACCAGCTGCAAGCCGTGACTCAGCAAATTTCCTCTAGCAGCCATCCCCGCGATTACCGTGTGACCCCTGAGCACGGCGGCATGGCGCACGCCGATGCGCACCCTATTAAGGATAGCAGCCTTACGCACGAGCGCACTCTGACGACCAGCCCTCTTCAATGCACCGACGGCTGCAAATTTAAGGAAGCGGCTGAGTACGGGCGTATCGTCACCGCTCTCGCGGTTCAATATGTGGGTCGCGGGCCAGCTGTACGGCTGCGAGAGCCGACTCGTTACCAAGTGGAGTCGCAGCCGCCGTTTCTTGCACGATAGTTCTCCCGTGCCGGGCCCGTCTACGTCAGTCGATGCCCGTCCCCGCTTTGCCGGCCGGAGGGCAAGAGCTGACGGTGTGGCGAATGCTTCGCGGGGAAAGTAGAAGGTCGGCGTTACCTTCGCTCCTTCCACCCGCGGTCTCGCATCCGGAGTAGCTGTCCTTAGGGAACGCGTAAAAGGCGATCCATCTACTCTAGTTGGAGATGACGGGTTGCTACCACCACGCTCTTCTCTCTCTTCGCTATCGATACTAGGCTGAGATTGAGACTGCAGAACTACGGGCGCCGAGTTTGCCTTTTTCGGCTTCGGCCGACAATCGGCCGGTGCCGTCGCCGTCGCCGATGGGGATGTCGGAGTTGATGTCGGGAGTTGACATGGCTGAAGCTCTATCTGTATCTTCGCTAAACGAGATCTAGAGCCAGCTATCCTGCAGCCCACATGGTTACGACCGCTATTGCTGCCGTCGCTACTTCCGCTATTACAGCCATTACCGGCTTTTAAAACTTGGTAGACATCTGGTGGTGAAGGGGGCGCCGACGCGCTGATTCTGAAGTAGCGCGGCTTGTTGCTGTTCACCAGACTCTGCTCGTCATCCGGATGATGTGCATGACAGGAGGTCCAAGGTATTCCGAAGGCTTCCAGGGACGTCTGGTGTGCATCTAGCTTGATGACCATAGTCGCCCTGTCTACCTGGTGCTAAAACCCCCTCTTTACCATATGAAAAGGGGCGATTATTGAATTAACGATCAACAATAGAAGCTGTCGAGGGTGAAGGGATTTGCTTCAGGTTGGAAAGTATGTCATGGTCGCGTAGCTAAGTCTCAAATACCTTCGATGACCTTGGATACGGTGATGCCCTCGACAATATTTCGCAAACTAATACCTATGCCACGCCCAGCTCGGAACAGTTTTATTAGTTTATGATTATCGTAGACGTCCTGTGAGTCGCGGAACTCCGGGGTTTGGAACCATGTATATCTCATCAAACTCGAAACGCCACCGACGCCAGATAGGTGTACCGGGACCAAACAAGAGGCTCTCTCTTCCGCGCGCGTATCGAATGAACGTGAGATTTATTAGGGTCTGTATGGCGTACAAGAATTATCGTCGCCGACTTTCAAGTCTCTTCGGGTTGAAGGTATACAAATGTATATATGTAGTTAACCAAAGGACGATGGGGAGGAGAAAGCCCCGAAACTGGTGAGATTGGCTGGGGTCGCTTAATAAGAGAGCAGAGGGACGGAAAGTGGAAGATCGTCGTTTGTCTACGTTAAACCCGGGGAAGGGAATCCTAGTAAATACTTAAGATGGAGGTGTTGGTGGATATTTTCGGGGGCGGGACGATCCCGACCGCTGTACCGTGTTGCTTCTCTCTTCTTCTTCTTTCCTCTCTTTCGTTTCTTGGTTCTTGTCTCGCTCTGCTGCTCGCCTCAAGCTACGAAATGCTACGTACGGATCAGGCTAGTTAGGCTAGTTAGGTAGGCTAGTTTAGGTATCCCAGGCCCCGGCTACGAAGTACCTACCTACCCTAGGCTATGCTAGGGGCATGCTGCAAGTGGCACGAGGCGCAGATCCGGCATGGGTTGAGAACGAGAGAGGATGGATGGGGATGTAGGTAGTTAGGGCGCCAAGGTACTTAGACGATTGGGTCTGTCAGCCTCTATGAGAACGCGATGGACAAGAGATCAGCTGTGTAACTTACGGCCCTAAGCAGATTAGCAATTGAGAAGGACCGAAGTCGTCGTCAGCGTCAGCGCGCGATGGGTTAGGTGTCGCGACGGCAGTCTGACGAACTGTTTTGGTAGCGAAAGGTTTCTTCTCCCGGTGGGAGAACCGTTAACAACGTATGTATTTGTGAGCGCTGAAAAGGCTTCTGACTGGCGCCAACCATACTAGGACAAGGTGGGAATGGGATAAGTATGTTCATTGGTGTAGGGGGTAGTCTGCCGGAAAGATGCCGGGGAGGAATAAGGAGGAGCCTCTTGTGCATCATACACATGAAGGCCGAATCATGTGGATGTAGATGTGGATATGGATGAAATCGGGGCGCAACGTAAGTCGCTGAAAATACAATAAGCGAAAGAATAAGAATAATATTTACGAGCCGGGTATCAAATGTGGGATAGGCAATGCGAAGAGTTGGAATCGTAAGATCGGAAATAGTATTCTAATCATTAATAAGAGACGAACGATCAAATTCAACAATAGTCCCGACGTTCCATATGGCTATTGGTGACACGTCTTTTTTTCCCTCTTTTTTTCCCTCTCCTCTCATGAACAAAGTCGGGGATATTTTCCCAAGTACGGACTGGTACATATGCAGGGACTGACAATAAAATAGGTACGGCAGGCAAGTCGTGAGGTCGCATCCGCCAGATAGACCGTACTAATACGTGCGGCCTTAAGAGGGCTCGCCAAAGCCGAGGTTGCTGTTGGACTCTTACAGTGTCAAGCTGTTCCTGGAAACCCTTGCTAACTCAAGTCTTGGGCTGAGAAAAAGATGACCGGCCAAGAAAGACCTGCAGCGAAATTGTTGGTAATGTCATGAGATGGTCTGCATTCCTTTCTTAACCAACTTCACCTATCACAGCTAGGAAACCGTATATATTTTTGCTGTCGCTGTCGTATCCATGGGCGTACACGAGAGGTTGAACGGTCAACGAATTTGTACTAGATTCACCGAAATCCAATCGCGTTTAATTCCTTGTAAGAACGGCACACGGCGCATGAATACAGCGATGTCAGCCAACGAATCCCCCCTGACAGACATAATATTTTTTTTTCTTTTCTTCCCCCCAGTTAACACCAACACCAATGAATGCACAGCAATTCTTTTCCCCTCATTAACATACATATGTACAGTACTTATGGAGAAGAAAACTCGCAGTGCAGTCTGACAGTCTGATTCCCCGGAGTTTTTGAAAGCGTTAGCTGGCTGAGGACGGGCTATCCTCCGCCTGGCAGCCCTGCCAGCGTTCCGTTCTTTTCTTTCCCCACATTCTACTTCACCAATCCCCGTTTTCGCGACGACACGAGGTTGCGACGTCGTATATATGTATGTACCACATACCTACATTGTACTGGTATCCTTCTCGGCTTAGGCAAACGACGGATGTCGTGATAAGTCATATTGCGCCTCAACATAGCAGCAGCCAGGATAAGTAATTACTCCCGTCTGCTTGGAGAGCAAGGGATTCTGCATAAAACCTTTGTATTGGTAGGTAGCATCCCATTGATGACAGGATCTTAAAACTGGAAATGATAGTTCAAGATGAGCTGACTGCTAATTAATCGTACACAGCAAGATGAGCGTGATTGACACCCCTACTTCTGAGTAAAGACGTGTATGATACTCTAACATGTCCAACTTACCGAACGATAGCACCCTGCGGAAATAGTTAGGAGCCACGATTCCTACAAGTGGAAATCGGCCAGATCTGGGGGAACGGGGATCACCGCCGAAAAGAGAAGAAAGCGGGGATATCATACTGATACTACCCAGCATGTAACAGCTATGTACAGTACTTTTACCAATTACTGTATGTTATATTGTCTCTTCGGCGTCGGTCACGATTTCTTTACCTCTCAACATCCAGGGCTCTTTACCCCAGACATTAACGAGACACGATGCATTTCCATCCTCCCCTTACATATTTCTCTACATTATCCAGAGGGGAATAAGGGAATTTCTCGGCCATCGTCACATAGATGTGTACCAACGCCATGTGATGAATACCAGTGATATGTGGACACATTCCTGGTACAGCCTATTAATATCTGCACATTCCGTCAATTGATGAAATGTCGCCGGTTTCACTTTGAAGGAGCCAATCGTCGGTGAGTCGATCGTCAGCATCACTTCTAACTGAGCAAAATTCGGAAGATCACGCGGTCGAAAAACTAGCACAAATAGTACGGGAAAACAAAGTATGGGAGGAAAATGGAAAAATATGAATGGCTGCTCAAATCCTAGTTGTCCAAAAGGGGAATGCTTCCATTCTCGCTTCCATCGACCTTCTTCCAATCAGACCCTGTCCATCTACATAAGATGCGAATCGAGTGTGACGGCTCACAGCCTAGAGAGGTCGTCTTGCAGCTTGCGCTGCAGTTGGCACATAGATGCACCTTTGTAACAAGAAAAATAAATAAAAAGAAGTTACGTATAACCACGTTTATTATATGTATACCTTCCACGTATTCGTACTGCCGGTTTAACGTAGCATCAGCTTTGAGGGGTACCATGGGACGCAACAGTTCGCCTAACATGCTTAATAACGTTGGATAGGTATAACTCTGTCTAGGTATTCTTGCTACGATACTCGGTTCACTTCATCTAGATCACTAGGATGTTACGAGCCTCAATAGGATAAGTCCGAATCGAAATCAGTTCTAAAGACTCTTCCGTCTTAAGAATTAGTTGAAGAGATAGCAACTGCCTCTCACCGCCGAATCGTGAGTCCAGGGAGCCAGCAATCTTGCCAAGTCTGGAGATCAAGATCCCCATGGGGAAAGGTCATGCGCATTTGCGATTGGGCACTGATATTCCCCAGCCACGATTTAACTGACATCGTGTTTAATAGGAGGGTGAGGCAATGTTTTAAGATTATACGCCGCCGGTCCGGGTCGCTCGAATATAAACCACCAGTCAAATAAATAACAGCACCAGGGAATAAGATGTGTGTGATACAGCATCCTAGCGCTTAATGAGCAAGCCCAACCAGCTGGCACGGCACGTGTGCGCGGGAATAACACAAAAGCTTGATCTTCGAGTCACGATTCTTAGCTAACCATACTTTAATTATTTCCTTTTGCTTTTGATTCCTATTCTCAAAGCCCTGCGGAGTACTCCGGTAGAAAGTAATAAGAATTTGGCAGCAGCCGCATTCATACCCAAGGTACCTAGGTAGGTAATCATGTGAGAACACCCCTCGAGAACTTTCTGACTGCATTGATTTATGGAAGGAGATGTTGGCAGTGATTATATGACTGGTCCTTTTCTTGTAGCGATGTTCGTCGCCAGTAGAAATCGGGGGCCACGCAAAATGGTTCATGAAATACCAGCGCTCCAAAAGTACCATTATCATGAATTTTGAGTACAACAATAAGTGAGAATAGTACAGTATAAGCACTAGTTAAGACCGACTGGAGTATGACAATTACTTGGCTTGATGCTGTCGACAGATGATAGATGAAGCGATAACAAATGATAGTTGTCTCTAGTAAGACAACATAGACATCTCAATCTAAGCGAACTGTTGAGTCATGAGATTATAAAATGAGTCTACACGGAAACCCCCCCAAGAAAAGTGATTGGGCGAACGATGTCTCTAACACATCGGCCTTGGCATGGTGTATATGTAGCTCAATGGCACTGCCATGGCGGGACGCGTAGCCCATTGCATCAAGTAACCAGATACAGGAACTCTGCTGTAACCCGTACAGATGGAGCAGTGTATATTCCAACGAGAGTATGTACTAAAGACTAAAATTTAGATTCATACCTACTTACCAAAGAAGATGTAAGCAATTTGTAAGACTATTAAATTTTTAGGAAATACCTGGGATGCTTTAAATGATTGTGTTCTAATTTGATTGAGCGGAGAAGGAGAAAGGCGTGGGAAATACAGTTCGGGAGACATCAAAGCTCAGTCCTACCCATACTTCGTAAAATGATATTACCTAGATAACTTTTACATCTAGTTAGAAATAATAACTTACTAGGTGTATTCTAGGGCTTTGAAACCGTAGCTTTATAACCTGAAGGGCGTAGTTGTTATCGACAACTCTTATTTGCGTAGGTACTACTAGGTAACTATCGGTATCTTGATAAAGGGGCTAGCTAGGTATTCAAGGAATTTCTGAGAATCAATTGGTCGGACGCATCGGCGCTCTTATACCCAGTTTTTCTAGAGTTCATATGTAGGTATTAGTGAATCTCTTGATCTATATCCAATATCTTATTTCATTATAAGTGTTGGTAATCTCCAATTTCCTGGCAGTTATGCCTCTGCCATTTCTGTGAAGGCCTCTCCACTCCCACGATCCTCACTTTGGATTTTGTTCTTCAATGAACGCGTATGAGAGAACCATAGCAGAACTGCGGTGATGACACTGAGACCTGCAAATGCTATCAATGCTTTGAATTCCAGGTCAAAGCCATCACCATATACCCGGCCGACCCTGATCAGCTGGTCAGGGGTTAGCACTTGGGCAGCTGATCCCGATGATGCGGAAATGGCTTGTATTTGTTGAGGCGTGAGGAATTTCGGAAGCTCCTTGTTAAGTTCCGACTGCAGCACAGATCCGCATATCGCCAATCCAATACAGCCTCCCAGAGTTCGCCCCATGTTCCCGACTCCCATAGCTCCAGCCATTTCTTTCTCGGGAACCTCAACCTTCAGGATATATAGCAATGTAGGTGTCATAAGTCCAAGACTCATCCCAATAATCACTTGGTACCCAAACTGGGCACCTGGCACAGCGCTGTCGACTGGTAATGTACTCATCAGGGTAATTCCAATAAGATTTAGGCAACCCCCTAGGATGGTTAGACCCGGGGCCCAGAGGCGGTGTCTTCCTACTAGAGAACCAGCTACCAAGGCTGTGGTTGGAGATACCAGTGTGAGTGGTAGGAGAAGAATGCCGGCCCGTGTTGCTGTCTCACCGTTCACGTATTGGAAACGTTGAGGTATTTGAATGACTGGAACGTAGAAGGTGAAGCCGAGTAACAATAGGTTCCTATGACAGAAGTTAGTTTCGTGCCCTATACTCACAATATTCTGGTAATACCCACAAAAACAATAATACAACCACAGATCGTTTCAACAGACCAACGGGGAATAGACTATCCGTGTTAGTGTAGCGGTATGTCCACCACTCCCACATAGCGAACACAAGTAACATTGCGATGCCGCTCACTAAAGTTCCGATAATGACACCACTGTTCCAATCGTAAGCCTTGCCGCCTTCCTGTAGTGCGAAGATGAGGAGAATGGCCCAAGCTAGGGACAAGAAGGCGCCAATGACATCCATAGTCTTCATCGATTTTCGAACTTGCTGGCTTGACTTTCCACTGTTCATGAATTTTCCGAGAATTACGAATGCAACGGCAACTCCAGGAACACTTTCAAGAAATTGTTAGTGATATGTTCTGTGCGTCGTGATACTCAGGCAACGGGACTTGCTTTAGCCAAAATATCCACTGTTAAGTTGTTAACACGACGTTAGCAGAGTTCCTCGCCCACACTGAAGATGCTGGCGACACTGTGACTTACCCGCCATGTACTCCTATCTGATATCACGCCTCCGAGAATTGGGCCTAGTAAACTTGCTAATGCAAAGACGGAACTGAGAATACCTGTACAGATACCAAGTTTGTCCATCGGGACCACTTGAGCCAAGATGACGAATGTAAGAGAATACATCCCAGAACCACCAATTCCCTGGAACGCTCTGAAAATAATCCTAGAAGAAACATCGCCTTAGTCTTTGATCTGGGAAGGTACCTAATGTTTGAATATGACTTACAATTGAACCATAGTCTTGGAAACGGCGCAAGCGATAGAAAAGATGCAAAATACAATATTGGCCGATAATAGAAGCCATTTCGTCCCGAATGTGTCGCTCAACTTGGACCATATGAGTATAAATGCTGGGATATGGTTACTAGATGCTTCATATTTTGAAGATAGAAACGTTAAGTCTATTTACCATTAAAAGTTAGAAGATATGCGACGACGATCCACCCAGCATTGCTTAAGTCTTGTAGGTCGTTTGCTATGTGGATGAGGGATGTGCTGACGATGGTTGTCTCGAGCGAGCATAGGAAGAGCGATAACCAGAGTCTGTAAGCGTGTTAATAAGAGAATTGTATTAAGTCTCCGAAGTTATAGAGTTACCCTAGGATGACGAGGATCAGTTGGGAGTTGTGCAAGACCTCTGGAGAATCAGGCGTGTAATTGGTAACGATTGTAGTTTCATTGGCTTGAGGCTCTTGGGGGGCCATCTTGGTCTCTGATTCACTCATGGCGAGAGTTTAATCTGGAATGATACTCTTTGCTATACCTAGAAAACAATCGACTTTGGTAATAGATTGCTTCTACTCACGAGAAAAGATGAGTGACGGGCCTTGTTTTTAGCGGCAGATTTCTACTAGATGGAAATGAGATGGCATGCTCCTCAACAGTTGGTTGGCTAAGACGTACGTATTGTGTACGTACTTGGACTGTTCTACCAAGCAGTCACTGAGAGGATTGAGTGCTCCTCCATCCAATAGGGATTTCGTTGTCCCGATTGTGGTTGTTCGACATTTTCTGATATATTTTGAAAATTCACAGTTGGTTGCAGACTCCACGTGGGCTAAGTGGATAAGTCTCTAGAGATGAGCTGAAGTTAGCTGCATTGAGGATGTCGAGGGATCATGATCCAGGCCTTTTGGAATAAACACGAATGCTTGGCTTACATGAGGCTTAAACCTATCGAACGATGCCAGACCACTAACCCCTGCCGATTTTTAACATAAGATCAAAGATCCTGTGCCGCACGTGGATATCGCCTAAGATTTTGCTTATGGTTGGAAATTAACTACAAGTCTTTGTACTTCGTAAGTACTTCGGGTCCTCTCGAGAAAATATGCTTACCTAGGACCTAGAACCTAGGACCTAGGTATGTATGGTTCACTATCACGATAACATACGATTATAGGGGGGGAGGGAACTCAGCTTTGAAGAGAGGATAACTTCTAAAAGCCGCAGAAAGCCACTAGAACTCGAGAATGCGTGCAAAAGTGTGCATCAGTACACTAACATTCATTCATACGAACAATCTTTATTCTAAAAGATAATGGCTCCAAAAAGCAGTGTTGATGACCTTGAGAAGCCAAAGTCCCTCCGAGTAGTAATTATCGGTGCGGGAATCGGGGGTCTCGTTCTCACCCAGCTCCTTCGAGGAGACCCCAAGTTTTCTGTCACTGTTTACGAGCGGGGAGGTAGAGATGAGGCAGCAAGTTCTTTGACTGGCTTCCGCATCCTCCTTTCCAAGGAAATGCTCGCCGCATTGAGGGCTCAGCTTCCAGCATCCGTCACGGAGTTATTGGAAAAGTCTGTCGGCGTTCAACCTCCTCGTGGTCAGCATATCGCATTGCTAGATCACAAATGTCGTGTGAAGTTAGGCATGACGCCGCCAGACTTCCGTGATGCCAGCTGTGTCTCGAGGTGGAAACTGAGGACGGCTTTACTTGAGGGGCTAGACGATGTGGTACACTGGAAGACCGAATTCGAAAGTTTCGAAGTTTTGGGGAATGACGCTGTAAAGGTTCACTTTACGGATGGAACTTCAACGGAATGCGATCTCCTCATTGGGGCGGACGGAGCAGGGAGCAACATCCGAAAGCAACTCATCCCTAGCTCAAAGAGGGATACACTTGGCAACACCGTCTTATATTTCAAGATGCCTCTAACTCCAGAGACAGAGAAGATGATGCCGTTCGGTTCAGGTTGTCTTGTAAGTATTGATACCTTGAACTACTGTCGCTTACTAACTAAAACCTGAAAAGATTATGGGTCCGCGAAGTTCAATGGTTGTCTCATACTATAAAGATAAACAAACTCCATATGGACCTTATGATCTCGAGACTCTCGACCCTGAGGGGTCATATTTGATGTGCGGACTGGGTTGCTACACAAATGAGTTCATCGACCAGAGCAAACATCCCGATGAAATGAGTCCGGAGGAATTGAAGACAGATTGGATGATCAGGACTAAAGACTGGCATCCCCTTCTCCGCTCATTAATAGCGATGGCTATTCCCAATTCTGTATACGTGGCTCACGTTAAGACCCAACACAAACTCAAGCCTTGGAGGTCTCGGAATGTGGCACTATTAGGAGACGCTGCACACAGTATGACTCCCTATCTCGGTAAAGGTGCTACTTCAGCCATCGCCGATGCGCTATCGCTAGCCGAGCACCTTAAGCGCCTAAATGCGCACAGTACTAAGACTCTTCCTGCTGTACTGGATGACTACACCGCGGGTATGTTGAAGGACGGGTTCCGAATGCAGAAGAAGAGTAAAATGGTTCACGATGTTGTTTTCATGGGTACCAACCCATTTTTGGGCCATTGCAGAAATGGCCTTCTTAGAATCTTGGGGTTATTCGTCGGAAGTAGTGATGATAGGGGCACAAGAACAGCTTAGGGGCTTGATGGGGCCATGTGTTACGACTGACTGTCAACTCTACTCACTCCGATACGGACGGAGTAATCCACGATGTATTCTAATTTTATTGTATTTTGGGCATCTACTTAATTCATTTCTTCTGTACCTATTACTATTTATATACATTATAATAAAAACGTTGTGGAAATTATATTCTTCGCAAGTTTACTTTGCCTATACCTCAGAGGTTGACTTGGGACCGCCTAAAATAACCCGTGGTTAGCACTACGATCCCCTAAAGCACACCTGCAATATTTATGTATTGTACCTAGTAGGGACCTAAGGCTTCACTTGGGTAACATGCATAGTGCTGTAGGCACCTAAATTATAGTACAACCCCCCCACCCCCTAAAAAAAATCCCCAAAGATCTTCTATCTCTCAATACTAGGTACCTAGTATATCATTGACCCTACTATGTACTATTGCTTTTAATATCCTTTTTAGACCCTTTTTTCATATCGCTTGTAGAGTAATGGAACGAGACATAAGTTGTTCTCTAGGACTGTAATTCAGGTAATAATGATACTAAGTTATACTGGGCTTAGCGTGTTTCCAGGGGCTTCTTTTAGGCGACCCAACATGATTCAAGAAATTTCGCGCACCGTATTTAGCTTACCTAGTACGAAAATTTAGGGTAAAAATTTAGATAATGCGATGCGGGCGCCGATGACCTAAAGCCGTGTAGATTAGAATGTTTTTTTTTACTGTCCAACGTTTTTATTCAGTGCCTAAGAAGGCATAAATTATAGCGGTTATCCACTAGAACTTAGCGGATCAGTCGCTATTAGGTCTTAGTTTTCACCTAGGCTTAATCTCGGGTAGCATGAAATAATCGCCCACTGCGACAATACCTAATCATTTTCGCAAGGTTTAACTTTTGACAATTCTCTTTTGCTATCTCAACAACTACTAGGTATACATTTGCTATGGAACTATTAACTACAGGCGCTTGAGACTCAATGGCCGCACATAGCTCGCTCTATGCCCTTCTGCACGGTCCTTGACATATCTTTTGTCACAGCTACCCCACGTGGAATGTCATGACCACTGTTATGGTCATATTCCAACCTGTTTCGTGGCTCGCACATGTCCTTCAAGTTTAGACTATCTTGATACGCAGGATCTTTACGACCGTAAATATGAACTGTAGGTATCTTTATTCTCTTGTTTTTTCCTTCGAGATCCTGTGGATTGATGCGACTCCATAAGCCATTACTCTCAGAGACGGATAGCGCGCTACTCCCGCAGATGAAGATCGCAAGACGAAAGGGTGGAGGTGAGAATGGATTCAAGGACTGATGAGCGAGTAAGAATGATCCAAGGAGGGATGCGCCTTGAGAGAAACCTATACATCCATCGAATGGACCGTCCTCGTCTACTATCTCACTTAGAAGTTCTATGGCTTTGCGATGCGTAGATGCTCCTAAACAAGGGTCGTACCACGCCTTGTAGATATCGCGTTCGAAGACTGAATGAATTCCTATGGTAGACCTCTTGGTAAATATATCGTCAAGCCATGATTGTTTGTATATTGGCAATGTGTATACCTGGTGCTGGCGGAACTTCGTGTTCTCCCTCATAGAATTCGAATTCGTGGTTCTTGCCAAGAGCTTGTCGAAGGGGTCCTACAGCTGTGTCAGTATCTGCGTTGGCGATTCGAATATCGGGTTCGTGTAGGCACCAACCAGTTTGAATTTCGAATATCTATCACGCCAGTGTCAATGATGAAGAAATCGAGATCTGCCATGATTAAAACTTACATCAGCACTCGTCCCCATACCATGCAAACAGATGAACCTCATTTTCAAGCTAATTATTACTATGTTGCCCTTCTCTACCTAGGTAGGTATTTTTCATGGAAGAATTTGATATTTCATCACTTGTAAAGGAGAGAAGACTGAAGATGACACAACATAGAATGAATTTCCTCGAAGCTATAGCTCAACTCATCGACAGATCACTTATTAAACTTGATATTACACGCATATCATACATGGACAGCCCCTGTAAATCCAGGACGTACTTTGTAAAGTTTGCCTAAAAGGGCAAGTGGGTCAGAATAAGGCTGAGCTAGCACGGAAGATCATCTTATCTATTGGTTACACGACAGCTATGCGGGTCATACAGATAATTTAGCCACGAACCTATTAAATCCGAGTGTGGCTTCAGAATCGTCCGACCGAGACAGTCTTTTTTCTTCTTTAAAAGTGGGCGGGTGTCGCCTAGGAACTTTCAACACAATCCTTCTCGCTTAGTTGTTATATTCTACTAAGATTTACGTGATGTTATACATCAACGCCACATGAGTGCAGATGTGATACCTATTTTAAGCTCGTGTGCGAAGCATGCCGACCATCTTCCAGCTTAGGTATCCCACAACTGCGGTCGAAGCTATTGCGAGACTTGTCAAATCCCAGTTCTGGGCCTTCCACGCAGACATCCTCGCATCGGCAGTCTGCAGATGCATCGGTCGACGCCTGTGACCACTTTCATCAGCTAAGCTGAAGAGGTGGTCATAGAGCACTTCCTCAATCAAATCGGCTCCGAATTCCTTCTTCCGACCCGAGATTTGAGCGATGTGGCCCATGCGGCGCACATCCTGCGCGATCGTACCATTCTCATCTTGCAGCAAAACACGCGACTTCTCCAAGATCTCATTTTCGGAGAAATCTGCCTTGTCAAGCGCCAGGCCTACCCCTGCTTCTTGAATACGTAATCCATTCAGTAGTTGGTCGAAGAAGAACCCTACGCTTAACATGGGGGTTTCGTGGAATGTAGCCTCGTTCACGCTGCTACCACCCCCATGCGTCACGAATAGGACGGTTTCATTGCGGGCCAGGACGGCCCGCTGAGGCGCAAAAGGTGTAAAGAACCATGAAGGATGGCGATTATCGAGAATATCTCCTATCTTGGACTTCCCGTAACGCAGGGTCTGATCACGAACGAAGAGTTTGCATTGGACGTCATTGGCTGCCCAGATGATGCCGTCGATGAGTCCCTCCTTGAGGAGTTCTGAGAATGCTGCGACAAATTTCTCGATATCGTGTGGGGCTACTTGGATATGGGTCCCGAAAGAAACGTACATCACACGACGATGATCTGCGAAGAACGCCTCAAGAGGGCCATTGAGGGGCTCGAATTCTTCGGGTAGAATAGGCCCAATAGGAGCAACAAGTGGGGGTAGGTCTTTTGGGGTTTCAAGGCCCCAAAAAGAATTAACAAGCACAAGATAGTCAGGCTTCTTCAGGATTGGCAAGGTGTAGTTGACACCAGCTTTCCGCCGCATTTCTCGTACGAACCTAAGATATGGAATGACGGCTGACAGTGCTCGTAGGGGTCGGCAAGCGGCGCGTATCCTCGTCCAAACAGAAGCATGCTCGCTTGTTAGCGCGTCGACCTGAAATCCTGGAAGCCCTGGGATGTACGAAGCGCCAACCATAGCGTACGGCATTTGAGGCCAAACGGTAGCAATTGGGATTCCGGTCTGGTGCTTGATATCCCGGACAGCAGAATCGACGAAGAAGTCAGCCACTATCACATCAGGTTTGAAGTCTTTGCAAATATCCTTGAGAAAGGAATAGTCCGAGGCCCAGAAAGCATCCACGTTGAATTTCGGGCGGAAATAATCACGGTAGTTCTTCCTGATGTCGGAATTCTGCATCTGGAGATAATGAGCAGACTCAGTTTCAGCATCCATAGGCGGCCCCATAGTGTAGACACCGGACAAGAAGCCGAACGAAGTGCCCTCGATCCACTTTTCCTGACCTTGGTGAGTTGCTAAAGCCACGCGATGACCACGAGCCGACAAGATGCGACCCAGCTCAAGGACAGGCGCTATCCGCCCAAAGAACAACGTGCTAGTTAGCGCGGGGTGTCTTAGGGGCTAGGAACGGGGAGAACAAACCCGCGTGCGTAAATCCTCCGGTCCCAACAACTAAAAGGATAGCTGTATTGGTCCTAGCTCCGTCACCTTGGCTATCGTCCGATGTAAAAGTCATAGCTGAAAGTTGATGCGAAATGACAGAATCCTTTGAGGAGTCGTTGTTGGTCTATCTACCAAGAGACTTGAAAATGTTCAAGGTAAGCGAATAGACTAATCTTTAAGGAAATATGGTATTTTTAAATATTCTACACGCCACTTCATGTACTTATCGAATGATTGGATGGTGGGAATCTGGTTAGTTGCTTAGATTTTAGTTCAGCTTCAAGTGAAAGTAAACGGTGGTACGATTTTAGGGGAAGGACTTGCCAAGCTTTTAAAGTCCTATGACACCCATTGAGGTGTCGTAAGATCTTTAATCAAGCAGGGGTGCCACGCGCCAACAGCCCTGATTTCTACGCAATGTAACATTAGGAAGAACATGGTTATCAGATCCTATCCAGCTTGAACTGTTCCCGGTCCTACATAGGCTATCATTGGCTGAGGGGGCACAGCTGAGGCTACCGATATGATTGGACATACCCCGGAAGTAATCATGACTCCTATCACTTCGAAGCCACGATATACTAACGACATCTGTATACTAGGACTCGAGTAATGTCAGTGGGGAAGAGGGAAGTCGTTTTGATCACGCTAGAAGCAATCCTCTAAACGAGTACCTTCGAAGTACCTGAGGAAAATGATACATTTGCGTAGGCGAATACCATATATCGAAGATGACGGAAAGCGGCGACGAAGAACGAGCAGAACATACGAGATTGAGTTGAGATAACCCCTGGGAAGTTGAAGTCGATATGGGTTACGACGAGATATGGAGACAAACCATATAATCGACGTCGTTCCTGATATCTTTGAAGGAGATGTGAACTTGCTAAGTATGCTTCTAATCTAATTAAACATCCCTATATCACTCAATTTCCCCCACTAGCCCACTCGGCCAACCATTGTATCAACACAATGTCATCTCAAAGAGGCGAGACGCTCAACGCCATCGGCCAAGATGGCCTTCCCCCTATTGCCATCGTTGGTATGGCGTGTAAATTCCCAGGCGGTGCCTCTAACCCGAGCAAGCTCTGGGATATGATTGCTAGGAAGCAGTCTGGACGATGCGAGATTCCTAAGACCCGCATGAACGTCGATGCTTTCTATCACCCAGACCCAGATAGAAATGGAACAGTAAGTCGAAGCAAATATCTTGATAGTTAGAAAGACCACTAAAATTTCTTTGTAGTTCAACATCCGGGCTGCCCATTTCTTGGAGGAAGATATCTCCGCCTTTGACGCGGCATTCTTCTCCATTTCCCCGGCTGAGGCTACCGGGATGGACCCTCAACAGCGGATGATGATGGAATCTGCTTACGAAGCGGTCGAAAATGCCGGTGTCCCAATGGAGGACCTATCCGGATCTAACACCGGCTGTTATGTCGGTTGTTTCTCTCGGGATTACAATGAGATGTTGACTCATGATCCTGAAACATCACCCGTATATGTCTCGACTGGAAACGGAGCTGCTATTCTCTCGAACCGTGTTAGCTACTTTTTCGACCTTAAGGGCCCCAGCCTAACAGTTGATACCGCCTGTAGCAGCAGTCTTGTTGCCCTTCATCTTGCGTGCCAAAGTCTCCGCAGTGGTGAAAGCAAGGCCGCTATCGTTGGAGGCACCAACCTTATATTCAACCCAGATGTTATGATAGCTATGTCTAATGTCCACTTTTTAGGGGCCGATGCCAAGTGTCATACATACGATGCTAGCGCAAATGGATATTCTCGTGGAGAGGGAATAGCTGCCATTTACATCAAACCTTTAGAGGATGCTATTAGGGACAATGATACTATTCGCGCAGTTATAAGAGGAACAGCCTGTAACCAGGTAAGTCAAGATGCTATTGATTACAAGAAGCCGCTTAAAGGTGGCCTGCCTTTTAATGCGCTATCAAGAAACATTTTGGATAAAGACTAGTGACTAACTTGTGGGTGCATGTAGGATGGGAGAACTGCCGGCATAATGCTTCCGTCTCGGGAAGCACAGGAGTCTTTAATTCGATCCGCTTATAAGAACGCCAAATGTGACCCAGCTACCGTTGGCTACTTTGAAGCCCATGGCACAGGCACACCTGCTGGCGACCCTCTTGAAGCTGGCGCTATCGGGTCGACATTAGGTCAGCATCGTGGTTTAGGAGACGAGAACCGTCTCTATGTCGGCAGCGTTAAGACCAATATCGGACATCTTGAAGGTGCTAGTGGATTAGCAGGCATTATCAAGACTGTTGTAGCCTTAGAAAAAGGCTTGATCCCACCAAATCTTTACTTCGAGAAAGGGAATGAGGCCATTGACTTCGAAGGCTGGCATATTCGCGTGCCTACGGAATTAACGCCATGGCCAACGCACGGCATAAGAAGGGCCAGTATTAATTCGTTTGGTTTCGGTGGAACGAATGCGCATGTCATCCTTGACGACGCTTACCATTACCTAAAGGCGCGAGCTTTGAGAGCGTCACACTGCACCTCGATCCTACCTCATCATCCGGAGCACTCGCCCCTTTCTGATCTTGATACACCGGGTTGGAGTTCCGGCTACGTGTCAGCTGAAAGTGACGAATTCTTCGACGCCGGCGCAGGGGGTAACCAATATAGAATCTTCGCATGGTCAACTCATGAAGAGGGTATCGCCAAGGACAGCGCCGCAGCTTATGCAACAGAGCTAAGGAATCGGAAAGACGTGATTGAGAGTCGGTTCCTTGCTGATCTTTCCTACACTTTGTGTCAAAGACGTTCTCGTATGGCGTTGAAGTTCTTCATTGTTGCAAATTCTCTTGATGACTTGGCTACCAAACTCGAGAATACCCGCCAGAAACCAATCCGTTCAAATGTGAGTTTATTCCTAATTCTTTTAACCGTGAAAGATGGTTTCTAATATGATATGAAATAGGCTCGTCAGGCACCTCGCGTAGCCTTCGTGTTCACTGGTCAAGGCGCGCAGTGGTGGGGCATGGGGCGGGAGCTTCTTCAGATGTACCCTGTGTACAAGAAGTCAATTTTATCTGCCGATGATGCTCTAAAGTCATTTGGATGCAAATGGTCTTTAGTGGAAGAGCTCTCGAAGGACAAGAACACATCCCGAATCAACGACCCCGAGATCAGCCAGCCTGTCTGCACAGCCGTCCAACTTTCCCTTGTTAATCTGTTAGCTGACTGGGACGTGCTGCCTCACAAAGTCATTGGCCATTCTAGTGGCGAGATTGCGGCAGCGTATGCAGCTGGCAAGCTCACCTTTAATTCAGCTTTGAAGGTAGCTTTCTTCAGGGGTCTCGTTTCAAGCCACGTACAACAAGATGGAGCTATGTTAGCATGCGGACTTTCCAAAGAAGATGCGGAAGAGCGGTTTGCACTTCTCGATCCTTCACTCGGGAGGATTGTCGTAGCTTGTGTCAACAGCCCATCCAATGTCACACTTTCTGGCGATGTGGCTTCTATTGAGCAAATGGAGCAAATACTCCAGGACGAGAAGATCTTCGCGAGAACGCTGAAAGTCAAGACAGCCTATCACTCCCATCACATGCTTGAGGTCGCCGACGAATATCTTCAACACCTCACAGATCTCAAAGCTCCTGAAGACAACACTCATTTCACTGGTGAGATGATCTCTACTGTCACTTGCACTCCAGTGACAGGCGCGGAACTTGACGCCAAATATTGGGTTGATAACATGCTTTCACCTGTTCTATTCTCGGAAGGCATGCAACTACTCTGCAGCCAGAAATCAAACACCAAAGGCCGATCGAAGAAACTTCGTACTACCGATTCTGTCAATATTCTCCTCGAAATCGGTCCACACTCTGCTCTCGCCGGGCCTATCAAGCAGATACTTGCCTCTGATGACCTCCAAAAAAGTTCCATCGCCTATCATTCTGCTCTCGTCCGAGATAGAGATGCTTGTCTGACAACCTTGGAGGCTACAGCATCTCTTTGGGCCCGTGGAGTGTCTGCCAAGCTAGAAAAGGCCAATCGACCTGTCCAGAGTGGTCCTCGCCCGCAGGTTTTGGTAGACTTGCCCTCATACCCTTGGAACCATAGCAAGCAGTTTTGGGCTGAATCACGTCTCAGCTCTAACTACCGCTTCCGCCCCACACCTCGAAACGATTTCATCGGTGCCCCTGTAGCCGACTGGAACCCCGCTGAGCCCCGATGGCGCAACTTCATTCGGGTATCCGAGCAACCGTGGGTGAAAGACCATCAAGTTCAAGGGTCTATCATTTACCCAGCTGCTGGATACATATCTATGGCGCTAGAGGCTGCGAAGCAAATGGTTCCTGCTTCGGATGTCGGAAGAGTTCTTGGATACACCATCACGGAGATGCTTATCACTAGGGCGTTGGTGGTGCCACAAACCGAACTTGGCGTCGAGGTGATTTTCCAAGCTAGACCCTTCAATTCTAGCAGTAAATCATCTTCAGATATCTGGAAAGAGTTCCGCGTTTTTTCTTACTCGTCTACTGGGCCAAACGAGCATTGCCGAGGTCTTCTATCAATTAATTATACTCAGCCGAGTAGCGAGGTGGACGCAGATAGGGAATCTAGAGAGGCTCTGTCCCGATACGACCATGAGTTTGAATACTCTAAGAACTTCTGCAAAACCTCTGCTACGCCAGACAAGGTATATGAAGACTTGTCCAAAGCAGGTCTTGAGTATGGCACAACATTCCGCAATTTAGTAGAGATCTCCTACGGGCCTGGAAAGGCATTGGGAAAGCTTGCGATACCCGACACCAAGTCCATTATGCCGTGCGAGTACGAGTACGATCACCTTGTTCACCCGGCTACCCTCGATACGTTCTTACAAATCTTGTTCCCGGCCCTGACTCACGCCGCGGCGAATGTTAAGGAACCCTACATGCCAACATTTATTCAAGAAATGCATGTTTCAAGCGATATCTCTAGTAATCCTGGCCATGAATTCGAGGTGATCTCCGAGGCAGCATTTGTTGGATTCCGAGAAGCTACTGCTAGCATTGTCGTCCGGGACCAGCAGGGAGAAACCCCCAAAGTTAGGATTCAAGGCGTCAAATGCACAGCACTAACATCCACCAATTCGGCAGATGGGGGCCAGAACGAAGAAGTAAAGCAGCTGTGTTTTGATGTTGAGTGGGAGCCAGATCTTGATCTTCTCTCTAAACCCGAGACTGAAGCCGTGCTTACAGCAACTGGAGTGGAAGATACGCCCTCTGAGTATATCGCGACCTTGGAAATGGTCGCATCATACTTCTATACTCAAGCCCTAGAAGAGGTTTCAGAAGAGCAAGTTGTTCATCCGCATCACCAGAAATTCTTCCGCTACATGCAGCACCATCGCGAACAAGTACTCGCGGGCGCAATTGAGCATCAGACTCCAGAATGGTTACAATTCAACTCTCCAGCTATGAAAGCGAAGATGGAGAAGCTCATTTCGAAGATCGAGGGGACCGACTACGAGGGTCAGCTTCTATGTCGCATGGGTAGAAGTTTATCTCGCATTTTGAAAAATGAGGTTGACCCTCTTGCGATGATGCTCGAGAATGAGCTCCTCTATAACTACTACGCTAACTCCCTTGGAATTGCGACTTCATATGCTCATCTACAGAAGTATATCTCGATGCTTTCGCATAAGGATCCCAGCCTTAAGTACCTCGAGATAGGCGCTGGGACAGGAGGCGCTACAGTACCGATCCTTAACGCATTAGGTGGTGGAAACGGCACATACCCTCGATTTGAGTCATACACATACACTGATATCTCATCCGGCTTTTTCGAAAAGGCAGAACAGAAATTCAGCGATTGGCATGGTCTTATTGATTATCGCAAGCTGAATATAGAGCAAGACCTTCCTGCCCAAGGTTTTAAAGAAGATGAGAAGTTTGATGTCATCATCGCGTTCAATGTTCTGCATGCGACGACAAACATGAACCAGACCATTTCCAACGTGCGAAAATTGTTAAAGACGGGCGGAAAGCTACTTCTTCTTGAAATTACCCATGTACTCAATCGAGTCTTCCTTCCCTTTGGCAATCTTCCCGGCTGGTGGATGTCTGAGGAATCATTCCGACAATGGGGTCCGACGATGACGGAAGACACATGGGTATCTATCTTGAAAGGCAACGGATTCGGCGAGCTAAAGTCGAGCACCCCGGATCACCAAAACCCACGGGACCAGACGGGAAGACTGATGGTTGCTGAGGCTATTGATTCTAATCTTCAACAAAATGCGCCCGCGGAAATTCTGCCTTCTATTATCATCGCGACATTGTACGGTGTTGGTGAAGACCGAGTAGTCGCTGATGCCTTGCAGGAAAGACTCCAGAGCATGAAAGTTCCGGTAACTACCAAGTCTTATACACAATTGACGACAGAAGACTTGGTAAACAATGCATGCATCTGTGTCGCAGAAATTGGACAACCTTTATTGAAGGACATCAGCCCTAATGACCTTGAAATCCTGAAGTCTATTCTGCACCAGGCCAAAGGTCTATTCTGGCTGACCCAAGGCGCAACTCAGAACTCGGCGCACCCAGAATACGCTCTGATTCACGGTCTTGCAAGAACGCTCCGAGCGGAGCATGAGGGCTTTCCGCTTGTAACATTCGACTTCGATGCCAAGCACCCACTTTCTTGGGAACAGCGCATCGATATATTCATGCCAGTCATACAGAGGACTTTCTCCGAAGAAACCTTGGGAGATTGCGAATATTCTGAGAGGGATGGTCTAGTTTATATCAAACGCTGTATCGCTGCCCCTGAGCTAAATGACAGAATCGCGGTAGTGGGGCAGACGGCCACATCTACCCGGGAATTGGAACCTTTCAACCAACCAGGAAGGCCGCTTACCTTGGCGATTGCCACACCCGGTCTTCTGGACACGCTATGTTTTGTTGATGACCCGGAGGCCTTAGCACCACTGTCATCTGACTATGTTAAGATCGATGTCCGCGCGACTGGACTGAACTTCCGCGACATCATGGTCTGTATGGGCCAACTGGTCGACGACTTCCTTGGATGCGAATGCAGCGGTATTGTCACCGAGGTCGGTGCAGAGGTATCGCATCTCAAAGTAGGTGATAGAGTATGCACATGGACTCTCGGAGCTTACTGCAGCTCCCTGAAAAATCCTGCCAAGCTTGTTCAGCCCATTCCTGACGATATGGACTTCACGGTCGCGGCCTCGTTGCCGATCGTTTATTGCACCGCATACTATGGCTTGGTTGACCAGGCAAGAATCCAGAAGGGAGAGAAGGTGCTCATACACGCAGCCGCCGGTGGTGTGGGTCAAGCCGCTGTTATGCTCTGCCAGCTATACGGGGCAGAAATCTTCATCACCGTTGGCACAAAGGAGAAAAAGGAGCATATGATGACAACGTACGGGATCCCTGAGGACCATATCTTTTCCAGTCGTAACCTCAATTTTGCCGACGGCATTAAGAGGTTTACGAAAGGCAAAGGCGTCGATATTATTCTCAACTGTCTCTCTGGAGAGGCCTTGAAAGCAAGTTGGTCGGTGATTGCGCCATTCGGACGATTCATCGAGATTGGTAAGAAGGACATCGAGGATAACACTCGTCTCGGAATGGCACCGTTTATCAAGAACGTCGCGTTTTCGTCTGTGGACTTGACTGTCATTTTTAGGCAGAGGAAGGATCTCGGCGCCCGCCTTCTTTCCGAGGTGATGGAACTTCTTAGACATGGAAGTATCGGCCAAGTCTCTCCCATCACGTTGTTCCCATTTTCCAAGATCGAAGAAGCTTTTAGATACATGCAGGCTGGAAAGCATATGGGCAAGATTGTCCTTACTCCTTGCGAGGATGATATTGTGCCGGTAAGTCACCCCGTTATCCTCAATTTTAATAAACATCAATTTCTAACAATTATTTACAGGTCGCAGCGAGGACGGGCTCCAAGTATAGAGTTGTGCCCGATGCTTCTTACTTGATTGTAGGAGGATTTGGTGGACTTGGACGAAGCCTTTCTCGTCGCTTGGTATCCCAAGGGGCTAAGAACCTAATCTTTGTGTCACGGTCTGGAGACGGAAGCCCAGAGGCGAAGTCCTTAGTAGATGAGCTCCAAAGCTCCGGTGTCACAGTGGAAGTTCTAGCTGTCGATATCACTAGTGGTGATAGGCTTAAAGCGAGCTTAGACGAAACATTGAAGACGATGCCGCCAATTCGCGGTATCATTCAAGCGGCAATGGTTCTAGAAGACCGCATTTTCGTCAACATGACTCACGAAACGTTTACCAAAGTTATTCGACCAAAGGTTCAAGGTTCATGGAATCTCCACGAGGCGACAATTGACCAACCTCTCGACTTCTTCATCATGCTTGCTAGTGCCGCCGGTATGGTCGGCGACACATCTCAAGGAAACTATGCCGCCGCAAACGCGTTCCAAGACTCCCTTGCGCACTATCGCGTCTCCCGCGGCCTACCCGCAACCGTCATCGACCTCGGCATGGTCAAATCAGTCGGGTACGTAGCCGAGAACGAGGGCGCAGCCGAACGCAACCTCGCGCGGTGGGGCTTCCTACAGATCGAAGAAGAGGAGTTCCTCGCAATGATCGACATCGCGATGGAAAGCGACAAAGAGCAGCGCAGGTGCCAGATCGTCACGGGTGTCGGCACGCAAGCCGACTTCGACCGCAGCCAAGGCGACGTACCCCACTGGTTCCGTGACCCCGTTTTCTCGCACCTGCACAACATGCGCGCGCGCCACATCGACACCACCGCCCAGTCCGGCCCCTCGCTCGCTCAGCAGTTGAAAGAAACGGTGTCGGTCTCCGCGGCTGCCGCCATCGTGCTCGACGCGCTCATGAAGAAGTTGTCGAAGTCGCTGATGATTGCGCTCGAGGACATCGATGCCGCGAGCCCGACTTCGGTGTACGGCGTCGACTCGCTGGTCGCGGTCGAGGTGCGCAATTGGCTGCTCAGAGAGGTCAAGGCCGATGTGCCTGTTTTCGAGATCTTGCAGGCTTCTTCGCTGCAGCTTCTTGGGTTCAAGATTGCGGAGAAGAGTAGTCTTGTGAGCGAAAACGCCGTGAAGGGGGATGAGTAATAGGTAATGGTCCACTTGGGTGGGTTTGTGTTGGGGCTTTTGTATTGTATGTGTATTAGTGTAGGTACCTGGGTAGGTTGGGACCTGTTGGAAAAGGGGTAGCGGTTATTTTCATTTCTCATTTGGTCATCACACGGTTATAGATAGCCACGCATTAGGGTTTCTACAACCTATTCTCTAATATATACTAGATTCCTAGTTAATCTATGTGTATGAAGATATTGTCCTTTTCTCTAGTAGGCAAGTAGATGCGTATACACTGGTACCAGGCTGACTGGTGGATCTCGCAAGTTACCTACCTACCTACCTTCTTCTCTTGGCTTTGTTCCCGGGGTCTTTTATCTGGTAGAGTAGGTACCTAGGTAGGTATCTAGGTAGGGAGGAGGTTGCGTTCATCGATAATATTCTTTATAATACCTAGCTAATGGCATGGTCCAGTGCCATGCCAAGGAATTTTGGTATTGACGTTCATTTTTGATCCTGTCCCGAAAGGATTTCATTTCCCTTGAGAGGTGTAATCTTTAGGTATGAAAGAAAAGGATAGTGTCATACTCTAATTATATTATCGTACCTAGGTGGGTATTCTTGAAAGAAATCGCCTACATGATTTCTTTATGTACAGGTCTCTCGACGGATGCAGATAGCTCCCATAATCGTTCTTTCATCGGTCACAATGTGTAGGTATTTGCGGTGTCATATCTAAGGTAGGTACCGAATAAAAGGATAGCTCAGATATAATTACGACAAGATAACTGATTGAACAAGTTATCTAATTATCACTTTCAAAAAATAAATCGTCAATTAGCACTTTCAAATTTCATTGTCACCATGATATCGTGTTCAAGGAACGGCAACAAACGCGAACATGGATGTCTAGGAGTCTTCCTCCCAAACGAGTACGGTAAAAATGCTGCCGAATCCAGAGCTCGCCAGGCCGAGCATACCATGGGTTCTGGCTTCTTGCTTATGAAAGTATTCAGTAAGCGGGTTTACGTTGTCCAGTCCCTTAAAGATAAAAGATTATATCTAGTTAAAAGGTTCGAGCACTCGGACAATCCTGTATTCCCTTGGCAATACTCCGGTGATCAGCCACCCGAATTCAGAATATCGACTGGAACTAGACATCAGTGTGAAGTCACATTGTCAGGCTCTTGCTTTAACAGTCTAGAAACACATTACACTTACGAGAATGTGCCAAATGAACGTGTCTATGAGTTGTATTTCGAGTAAGGTTTACCGAATACTTATGGCTTCTTAAATTGTAGGCTGCAGCTAATTATGGGTATAGGTATTTAAACGGGGGTAGCCTCGAGAGTTTAAGAGATAGATATTACGAGAGAGAGGCGAGAATTCCAGAGTCATTCATTTGGCATGTCGCTCGGACTCTATGCGAAGCCATTCGCAGGTTACGTACAACTCCAACACACGTCCCAGGTATACCAAGCCTTACCGCCCCTGCGCAGCGGCCTGTCGTTTACCATCGAAATATTAGTATGAAAAATATAATGCTCGATTACCGGAATTCTACCTATGGAGGGAATCCTTTTGTAGAACATAAATACAATGTGCTCCCCCGTGTAATTTTATGCGATTTTGGACAGGCGGCGGTTCAGGGAGACGACGAGACCAAATTACCAAAGTTCAATCTGTTCCCAGAGGAGCAGAGACTAAACTATTGGGAGGATAGTTATGCGATAGGCTGCGTCCTACGTAGCTTATGCATGACACATATTCCGTTTCCCCAGGATAGTCGCCAACCACCTATTCCTGGTCAAACGAAAGACGAAACTGAAAGATGGCAGCACCGCCCGGATAGTAGGCGTCTCGACGACGTCAATGCATACCCAGTTGGAACACCTTACTCAGATGATCTCATGAACATGCTGAAGAATTTCGAATGGGACGATCAAGAGAATCGTAACATCGCCGACCAAGGGTGTAGAAACGCATGCGCACCTGACCTAAACTTCATAATTAACACCCTGGAGCCTCGGGCGGTGGCGGCGGTGGATGCACTTCAATTCGAACACACTCCTCTGGGCAGATACTACGACCCACGCGACGTTTCTTGGACTAGGCCTTGGGCGCCGATGCCATTCATTTGTAACTTGTTCAATATGGATAGGTCTCACCGCCGTATTTATAAGTCGACTCGCAGAGAGGACTATAGAATATGTGGTTTGGATTATAGTCTGCCAGATTGGGACCGGATAGATCAAGAATTTCTAGGACCATCAACGCAGCCGCCACCTAGAGATGGCTACTAGGATAGTTAGATTTACTTCTCTTCGTTGTTTGTTGTATGAGATAGCAGTTTAGGTGGTTGATGACTTTTTAAGATTCCCAGTCTTGTATATAGCGAATGAACTAAGTATAAAACGATAACTAGGTAATAATGGTTGTCTTTCTTCGGTTTAGAAACTTGAAACTTCGTAGAGTGGTCTACTATGTAATACGTATTGAGCGGGGCGGGAACTCCATCTAATCTAATTGGTCACTTAATGACCCACAGTATGTACCTAGATATCGAGATTCTGGCCAATGGTCTTACACTATTAGGTGGATCCCTACTTCACCGCCCGGCATAAAAATAAATTCAATATCGAAGTTTTCTCTTCAATTGAATTTCGTCCCGCACCAAGTTCAAGCTACGACTCAGCTTAATATGGCTTCCAAGCGCAAGGTCGACGATTTCATCTACACCCTTTCCGACAATGAAGAGCTTCCTAATGAGGAAGAAGAGATACCCGAGCCGAACCCACCAAAAAAGAAGGCCAAGAAGAGTAAGAAATCTGCCCGCTTAGAAGAGGAAGAAAATGGTATATGGGGCAAGAAAGATGAGGACGATGGAGCTATCGACTCCGATTTCGAATTCGCCGAAAATGTCACTACCGATTTCAGAACAGAGGATTTCGAGGGCTGGGGTTTCGATGGCGCAAAAAAGGGCATGGACCGAAATACTCAAAAGAGAGTCGTCGACGTCGATGAGATCGTACGAAGACGGAGGGGTAATATAGATGATGGCGCGCAAGCGAATAATAAGAAAGAAGAGGCAGTCAATGGCGTTAGCGACGTTGATGGAGAAGAGGATGGGGATATCGAATTTGATGACGAGGATGACGAAGTCTTAGCTGCAGATGGTTTTGGTATGGGTGCTGCTTCGGATGAAGAGTCTGGTGATGATGCAGCGGAGGCTGAATCGGATCGGGACGAAGGCGATGAAGGAGATGAAGGCGATGCTTCCGATAACGATTCTGTCGCGACGCCAGTTGGTCATCCCGACGATGCTGTCGAATCGGACGATACGGACGACGAGGAAGATCCCGAGGAAGCTGCAAAGAGAGCTGCTTTCTTCGCCCCCGAAGAGAAAAAGTCGATAGGAAATCAGAAGGGAAAGTCATCTTTCCAAAATATGTCTCTCTCACGACCCATTCTGCGCGGCCTCAATTCCGTTGGCTTCAACGAACCCACCCCGATTCAAGCGAAAACAATACCACTCGCATTAGAGGGCAAAGATTTGGTCGGTGGCGCTGTCACAGGATCTGGAAAAACTGCCGCGTTCGTCGTCCCCATCCTAGAGCGGTTACTTTACAGGCCGAACAAAATCCCTACAAGTCGCGTTGTTATCTTGACCCCTACCCGAGAACTTGCTATCCAGTGTCACGCTGTCGCCACTAAGCTCGCGAGCCACACGGATATCAAGTTCTGTCTGGCAGTAGGTGGGTTGAGTTTGAAAGTCCAGGAGGCGGAGTTACGTCTAAGGCCCGATGTTGTTATCGCGACCCCGGGTCGATTTATCGATCACATGCGTAATTCGGCGAGTTTTTCGACGGATACAGTGGAAATTCTGGTTCTTGATGAGGCCGACCGAATGTTAGAGGACGGTTTTGCAGACGAGTTAAACGAAATCCTTACTACTTTGCCCAAGTCTCGACAGACGATGCTATTCTCGGCCACTATGACTTCCTCCGTCGACCGACTCATCCGCGCCGGTCTGAATAAACCGGTCAGAGTAATGGTGGACTCTCAGCGGAAAACAAACGACAAGCTCGAGCAAAAGTTCGTTAGGCTAAGACCAGGCCGAGAAGAGAAAAGGATGGGCTACCTCATCCACATTTGCAAAACGATGCACACTGAACGGGTCATCATATTCTTTAGACAAAAGAAAGAAGCGCATCGTGCTCGGATCATTTTTGCCTTGTTCAATCTATCTTGTGCCGAATTACACGGAAGTATGAACCAAGCTCAGGTCAGTCGCCTTAAAATGTAGCGGAGTGTCTAGTTTCTAACCGATTGCAGCGTATATCTAGTGTCGAGTCTTTCCGTGACGGCAAGGTCTCATTCTTGCTTGCTACGGACCTAGCTTCACGTGGTCTTGATATCAAGGGAGTAGATACCGTTATCAACTACGAGGGTCCCCAAACTGTCGAGATCTACGTTCACCGTGTGGGACGTACCGCTCGAGCGGGGCGGTCGGGTGTCGCCATCACGCTCGCCGCAGAACCTGATCGCAAAGTAGTCAAAGCAGCGGTGAAAGCAGGAAAGGCGCAAGGAGCTAAGATTAGTAGTTTGATTATCGATCCGGCCGACGGCGATAAATGGCAGGACAAGATCGATGAGATGGCAGATGAAATAGAGGCTATTGCCAAGGAAGAAAAAGAAGAGAAGCAATTGGCGCAGGTGGAGATGGAAATCAAGAAGGGCGAGAATATGGTTATTCACGAAGACGAGATCAAGTCACGGCCGAAGCGGACGTGGTTTGAAACTCAGCACGATAAGAAAAAGGCCAAGGATGCTGGTAGGACGGAGCTGAACGGACTAAAGGAATCGTTGAAGAGAAAAGGCAACGGCAAGCTTAGCAATAAGGATAAGAAGAAGCTAGACGCGAAGTCGGTTCGGACCGAAGGCATGTGGAAGAAGGGCTCTGCCGAGAGATCGGGTAAGGGTGCCGTTCTCAATTTCAAGAACGACAAGAAGAAAAAGTCCAAGAGTACCGGGAGGGTCAAGAAGAGACAGATCTGGTGATAATAGTAATGAACCGAAACTCGTCGTCGGTGACAAAACTTATAATCTCCCCAATATTAGGTACCTTGGCCAAAACAGGTCATCTGTGAAGCTGATATACTATCTCATGACTGGTGAGGATAAATGATGAATTGTCTCGAGAACAATATGAAGCTCCGAGCTGAACGACGATGTAGTATTAATTGGTAGTACGAAGTATTACGGTACAGAGTATTTATGCAGTACCCGGGTAGTACGGAGTGTTACCCCTGGATGTAAGGCAGGAACAGGGATCTGGCGGTCTAGATAGGCTGTAGAATTCAGAACACTGAATCCTTAGCTGATGTCACCAGTGCGCAGCCCCCACCAAAGTTGGCCTGAACCTGGACCTTCCACCTTCCCCAGATGAGACTTGACAGCACAAGCACCAACTTTTTTTTCAATCGCGATGGACACAACTAAGTCATCTGATAGAATCTTGTGTATCGCAAGTGCCTTCTTTAACCAGGACCCCTTAATTTTATATGCCATGTGTTAATTTTATTGGTCATTGCTCAATTCTCTCTTCTCACTCGTCTTCTCATCTTTTAAAGACATGAGCCACCTGGCTGAATTTCTATCACGTTGTGATCGTCATAAGCAGCGAGGCTGTAACCTCGTTTATATACCTGCTTAGGTACCCATCTATCTACCTACCTGCCTTACCACCTACCTACATTTATCTCAATCCTCTAAAGTGGCTCCTCCTCGTCGATTCCTACCACTTCGACCACATCCCCATCATAAGCGATCGCTCCTACAATACTTATTCCCGCATAGTCTACGCGAACGGTACCGCGAGCGCATCCTTGGCTTTCACCTCGATACACTTCCCTACTACAAGCACCGCATCCAGAGTCGCGTATATCGTTTTATCCTCGACAGCCAGCGCCGTCGCCGTGAGCAGTCGCGTCTCGTCGACCACGCGCGACGGCTGCTTCTGGGGTTACCGCCACCTGGCAATAAACGTGCGAAGGATGGATCTAGAACTACGACGGGTAAGATGAGTTACATGCCTGAAAATGGCGTGGGTAGCGGAAATTACGGTGTCGAAGGCGGACGCGAAAGGGGCGCGAGGAGAAAGAAGCTCGCGGCAATGGCGGGCAGCATGTATAGAGCTACCACAACAGCTGTGAATGAGATTAGGGAGTCATATAACCAGACAAGATCAAGAGAGTTCGATACGCCAAATATCACAATTCCCGGATCCTTCCCTGATGTGGCTTTCGTAACAAAGGGGAACGAGCAGATGGTTCTATTTCCGACGTATGCGAAGAGGCATGTCAAGACCCAACCGAGACAGTTTGAAAATCCAGGAGGACCACCCCCTACCTCGACTGTGGGCATGAATGAACAGGAATACTGGAGGAATGAGTGGTCACGACACGAGGACGAGAAGGCGATCGTAGACGTCGATGTTCGAGGCTGGATATACAACCCCCACAGAGGCCCAATGACGCGGACTAATAGATTATGGATCGGGTTGGCAAGACAATTGAGCGGTATACCAGTTCCAAGGGCTCAGCAGCCCGACCCATCACCTACTCCAGAGCCTTCGTTGGGAAGGTTGCACCAAAAGCACGAGGAGGAACGTGAGCAAGAGAGTATCGCACGAGAAGCAAGGGAAATCGAGCGCAGAGGTAAAGCTGAAGAAGAAGCTGCACAGAGAGGGAAGTACAGCGAACGTCCGAGGGATGAGAGTTCCGATGTCGAAGGAAGCAGACGGCGCCTACGCCAACAATCGCAAAATGGTAGTCGATCACCTCCATCAGCGCCAACGTCTCCTATTCTCAGAGGACGTACAAACACAACAGCAGGATCCGAGCTTACAGAAGCTGAACTCGCCGTTGCGAATGCGAACCTAATGGCTCGAATAGCTCCATTTTTGACAACGCCATTAGTTCAACTACCCATTACATTATTCTTCTACAATGAGTCGCAAGTTCAATCGCGCACTGTTACGACTAATGATGCGGGTCATTTCTCAACCAGAGTACCTCTCGACTTCGTACCAACGCACGTGCGCGTATTCGTGAACGAGGATATCTCCTGCGAAGAGCCTGTGCAGATCATCGAGCCGAAGGGCGTCAGCCTAATCAGTGATATCGATGACACGATCAAACAGTCCAATATCGCGCTGGGCACCAAGGAAGTTTTCCGGAACACATTTGCGCGTGAGTTGCGTGATCTAACTATCGATGGTGTTCGCGATTGGTATGGCGCGCTACATGACCTCGGCGTACGCGTTCATTACTGCTCAAATAGTCCATGGCAACTATACCCGGTTCTAGCCACATTCTTCAAATTAGCAGGCCTTCCGCCAGGGTCGCTACACCTCAAGCAGTACACCGGCGTACTTCAGGGAATCTTCGAGCCCGTAGCTGAGCGCAAGAAGGGCACGTTAGAAAGAATCATGAGGGATTTTCCGGAACGGAAGTTTCTGTTGGTCGGCGATAGCGGCGAGGCGGATCTCGAAGTATATACCGAGCTAGCAGTTGCAAATCCGGGGAGGATTGTTGCAATTTTTATTCGCGATGTTACAACGCCCGAACAGACAGGTTATTTTGACTCTGGGATCAATCGGAAGTTTTCCGAATTAAATATTGGCAAAAGCGATGACCCGCCCCGAAGACCCCCGTTGCCGCCCCGAATAACAACCACACCAAAACCCTCTAACGAGCCTGATACGGGCGACCTGATTGATCTTTCAGAAGACCCACCACTAGAACCGCTCCGTAAAGTCAAGTCGGACTCAAAGGTAGTGGCTAAGCCTGTAAAACCTACAGATCTGTTGGCGCGCAAGCCACCGCCACCAAAACCGGCGAAGCCGAGCTCACTGCAGAGCACGTCGGCTGTTCCTGTGCTTACGAACAGCAGTAATAGAGATGCGCTCAATAAGAAACCCCCGCCGCCAGCACCGCGGAAAACTAGCCAGCCAACAACCAGTAAATCAATGACGCCGAGCCCACTAGCGCAAATGCAGAGATCGGTTGATCAGACAAGCGCAAACGAGAAGATGGCATTAGTAAAGACCCGGACTAACGGCCAAACCACTAACAACTCCAACTCCAACTTAGGCTCGTCGAAAAACATCTTGCTCCCTCCCCCACCTCCACCCCCACCCCGGCGCAAAGCCACGTCGTCCGGTTCTACGACGGCTAGATCGAGCCCCAGCCCCCGTCTCGCGGCGGCCAATAACAGCTTCGGCCTGAACAGGAGGCGGACGGAAGGGTCCGATGCAGAATTCGAGGCGCTGCCGCTTGCCGCTAGCGGCACATTTTCTACCACTGGCGGCGGTAGTAGCAGTACTGGGAGCCTAACCCCTCCAGCCGCCGCGGTGAACAAGAAGTTGGATATGTGGCGCCGCAGGCTGCAGCGCGCGCAGGAGACGCTGGAGAGGCAGGGCGTTAAGCTTTATACGTGGCGCCGCGGGGAGGAGGTGGTGGATGAGGCAGTGGGGATTGTGAAGGGTTGTTTGAGGGAGATGGGTGCGAGGTAGGGATGGTGGGGGTTTGTATATTTACTTGTGTGTAAGTATCTAAGTAAGTATAAACGTGGCGGCATAAGGGACAGGGCTATAAATAAGACAGGTCGTCGGTCAAGAAAGATAGGTACATACAATATGGCGTATTACTGCGATTTAGCATAGATGGGATAGGGGTTTGCTGCTCCATCTTAGATTATATAGACGCCTTTTAGGTGTCTTGATGAATATGTACATCATTGAGATATTTTATGAATTTTATAAATTTTATGATATGTATTTAGATTAGGGATATGAGGTCATGTATCACCTTAGTTCGTGTTATTGATAAATTCGTAGATTCGGCATGTCCGTGTTGTCACCTACCTATCTGAAGATTGACAGCTGCTTCAACTGATAATTATTCATAAGGCACTTTTTACAAACAATTAGTACGTGTATTGTATGCCATAGTAGAATATTCCGGATATTCCGGAAGATATTGTAAGTTTACAGCCTCCCGGGATTTTTAACCATATCCGGTGAACATGATAGATGAAAACAATACATTTCAAGGTTGTCATTAGTAACTACCTAGGTAGGTGTATACTAATTGGAACATGAGCCCTGAATATTATAGGGCTGTGTTCTTAGAAGTAAAGTACATCAGGTCAAACATATCATTTATAGGTACTGAAATGTGCAACTATCTTCCCCCAAGGCACATATATAAGTTCGTACCCACTACATAGGTACCTACGGGATATTTGGAGTCTTTAGAGATGATTTAATCAGGTAAATAAAATTTCATGATGTATACATTTACTAACATTGGTCGTATCTTTCTTCCTTACCGAATTTTGCTTTTCGGGACCATCCAGGAGACCGGTGTAGCTAGTACACAGTGGTATTTATGATTTGTCATTATGAACAGGGGAGAGCGAACCTACGCTTCTATGCCGGTTGAAATGACTTACATATGTGTTTGTGGCGTTTTATCACGTAAAACTCGCTACATTCCTTAAAATAGGTACGCTGTTTAAAAAGCCGGTTACACGAAACGTTCGGACCTTTGGTTTGGTGGCAATGTAGATCATCAATGTACTTAACTTAGAGAGACTTGAGTACCTAGTATCTCTCAAAATGAAGAGTCTCGTCTCTTCACTTAACCGTGGTAAACTATTGTGTGTGCTTAGATGTCAGAGATGAAACAGGGTCCGTGTAGATTATATAACCAGGAGAGGGGAAACAGAAAGGGGCTGACCTCGTCCAACGGTACGCTAAAACAAACACTCACGAGCTAAGAACCGGTTACCGGAGTCGGTACCTAAGGATCTAGTAGATTCATTACTTGGGTCGGTTTATGGATTACCGGGTCTCGTTTCCTTACCGCCACGTGCCGTCCGCGATCAAGGTCTGTCCCTGAAATCTCATGCATGCAATGAGATGGAGGTACGGGTAGCTGCCTACATGCAGTCTGTTACCACCGATACGACGAAGGGCATACATGAGCCAGCTAGCCACGTGGAGGGTGTGTGAATAAAGGGACGATCTTGTGTGAGTACTTGGAAGTACTTCAAGGCCCGAATACCTGGGAACTAGTAAAACCCGTCTGGACGGGGGATGGAAGCCAACGTCCTCACTGCAAGTTTAAAGTTGACTGCATACAGATCCGATCTGGTGTACTACGGTTCCCGGATAGGTAGGTAGGTTGGTACCTTATATAAATAGACGTATGCTTACCCATCGTTGGGTAATCGCAGTTGACAAACCATTGACTAAGGTCAGATGCTGCCAAGACCTGACATCTGCAGCAAATGTCTTCTCGCAGCTACCTACCAACAACACACTTAGGTAAGCGACGTCAAGTAAAGCTATCCAAAATATAATTCGTGAATATTTATATAGTATAGTCTCCCCCGTAGAGATGATGATTTGTCTAATCTGTAGAAACGCTATCGACTATGGATTGTTGAGTTTAGACTAAGATGTGACCTTTGAGGGAGATGTTGGAGACGCATCGTCACCGATACGTATAAATAGAATAACTGAGGGGCTTTCCATGTTTCGAATATACACGTTAGCCGCTAATATATTAAATAGGTGAATCTAGAGTGGTTCGTGTATTATGTAATACAGGTAGAGGTCGGATTTCCGATGTCTCCATCGGCGAACCTCGGCGGAGGACACGGTCCACTCTTATGTAGAACATATGGAGTCTTCATTTTTTTAATGAAAAGCGTAGAACAATAAACGGCGAGAAGAAAGAATACTATTTTATTGTGTATCTGAAAGTTTGGCATATGAAGACTAAGCGTTGTTAAAACGCTGGCAAGAGACTAAGTTACGGAGTAATATTTGTCATTCATGTGATAGCTTCGTAACAAAGTTGCGAGGTAATAATGAACAAATCGTCAAGTGTCACAGAGAGAAATAAAAGCTGTTAATCGTCGTCAAAAATGCGGAGCAACATAAATTCTATGTCAATGAACATCACCCAACCAAGGGAACTCGTTACTAAAGTAACAAGCTTTCGATAATACCAAAATCATAATATGCAAGTGTTCCAGTAATTTGGCTTCAAAGAATGTTTATCATAGATTTTATTGAGCCGCTTATTTCTAACAACCTAGTTGGTACCTATACAAAAGAGAATTGCGGAAAGAATATGTCCCTGATGAATTATAAACCGGAACAACAATCCTCCCACCAGCAATCTACAACTAGTTACACACTAGCGCTTGCGCGCATAAAGTAAGGGAAAGGGGTAGCTATCTCTCTGTTCCCTTCAAACTTCACTCGATATTTAGTCACAATGAGTCTATTTGAGTGCCTTTCCGGCCTCCGGCATGGTAGCAATGAGACGCTGGCGGATGTGTTCGCCAACAATAGTCTCGACACCAGAGCCGTCGAGGGCCTCACACTTGAGCTTAAGCTGGCCGTTCAAGAACCAAGGGGTAGAGTAACGGTGAGTAGTTCCGGAGGTGATAACCCGGTGGCGGGCGCTGCGGTAGTAGCCAGCGGTCCACTTCTGCATCATGTCACCCATGTTGATAACATAGGTGTTCTCCTTAGGAGGAACGGGGATCCAGGTCTCGGTAGGAGGGTACCAGACCTCAAGACCCTTCGTGTTCATCTCCTGGAGCAGGATGGTGATACCACCGAAGTCGGTGTGGTCACCCACTGAGTCTCGTTAGTTTCAGATGCGAGATAATGATGAAGTGGACACTTACCGCCGAACTGTCGCTCGTCGAGGACCTCCTGGGGAGCATAGTGTAGAAGTCTCATGGGCATAGAGGGGTTGACGGCGAAATCGTCCATGACATCAGGGGGCTGGCCCCAGGCCTTGGGAAGACCACGGGCGAGGAGCTTCAGGAGAACCTTGGACAGCGCAAGCATAGTAGCTTGGTAGTCCATGATAGGAGTTCGGAACTCCTCATCCTTGAGGTTCTTAGGCCATAGGTTGGGGCCGGTCGAGAAGGTACCAGCCTCCGGGTCATCGGCGGGGACTTCATGGCCGATGATAAAGCACTAAATTGACATATTCATATTAGCCAAACAATTCTTGGAAGCCCCTTTTTGAGTGCGCAAGGTATCTTCTACTCACCTCCTTAATGTCAGGAAGAAGACCCTTTTGGTGAGTCTGAATTCCAGGGGGCTCATAGCCACGGAAAGACTTGCCCATGGACTTGCCAATCCAGACATCCATGCGGTCTTCCTGAGGAAGGTCGAAGAATCTCTTAGCGCAGTCCATGATACCCTCGCGCTTCTCCTGGCTCACACCGTGACCGGCGAGATAGAAGAAGCCATAGGTAGTGCAGGCATGTCGTACGGCATCGACTACTGCCTGCTTAGCGTCTTCTGAAGCATTGGGATCAGTGAAGGCGCTGATATCCACAGTTGGGATCGCATCGGGTGCAACTTCGGGGATCTTTTCGATGCTGCCCATTTTGTTCCCTATTTTGACTGATGTTCTATAACTTCTAAATAGATTCGTAATGTCGTTAGATCTTCTACTTACGCTGAAAACTCTGTGATCTTCTGCGACAAAAGGGATTTCATGAAGATAATTTGACTTATTCTTATTACAATCACGATCCGCTGACTAACATAGGAGTTGTCCGACGTAAGAGGAGGATTCTATCATAGAAAGCATGATACCAGCACAGTGGTTCGACACGTTACAAGAGAAACTCCAGGTACAACTGCGCCTTTAGCCACGGCTTCGTAAGATGGCCTTACTGCTTTACATAGTGTTCTAGAAACTCCAAGCCGACTTTCCTTATCAAGAGAAGGTGTGTTTACGTCTTACGAACTTGCTGTTGTGTACCCAGACATTACGGTAGCTAGAATTGAGAGAAGAGTGGGAATTCGTTACTCCGTGCTGACTAGTAAAGCAATACTTAGTTACACAGCGCTGTTATGTGTCAGCTATTTTGGCTGATAGGCAGAGAAACTCCGTACCGAGCCCACTAAATCACCATTGGTACGCAGCCCAAGGGTGCTTTTTTAACTATACCAAAATCATAATTCTTATCTCCGACCCAACATTCCACACCGAATGTGTCCCTCGGTGGGAATGTGGCGATGGGGTAGGAATTTACCTAGGTAAACATGGTTCGCCAGGAAAGGAGGTAAGATTCGTGTCATGGTGGTGCGACGGCAAGCTATATGCGAAAATGGAGTTAAGGACAGTGTGACACCATAAACACACTGATTCATATCAGATCGATCTCTTGATCGGCTATCTTGATGCCGAGTTGGAATAGTTGACGCGACGCGGAGTGCGGACAAAGGACTTAATCAGGCTATAACAGCCTATGGCTCAGTCCTTCGGGTAGAACACCCGGGAGACATCACATCGGCCTACGGAAAACACTCCGAGCCACGCATATCTTACAATTCTCCATTTCCACTGCTGAAACGGGGAAAGTACTAGCGACGATGAGCTTAAGTACGTAATAGAGGGTATGATGTCAACTATCTTTAGCAATATAGTACGGGCTGTTGCCCAGTTGAATCTTCTGTAATTCTAGAGTAAGCATCCCTTGGTAGAAGCCATTTCACGACACTCCCGATCAACGACTTAACAAACTAGAACTTAGGTATCTTATTGGTACCTAATTGTTTACATCTCCAAGGCGACGGAACTCACGATCCATACATCTCATAATCCCCTATTCTATAATACAAACAACAATACCTCAACCCTACCTCCATCATGTCGCAATTAAACGACTTCCTCGTCAGAATCCCTGACAGACCCGACGTCCTATCAACCCGTGTTAGCAACGTCCAAGCACACATGGCCGGCCTTAAGGGATTGGTTGAATCAGGAACTATCGTCATGTCGGGGCCGACCCTAGCAGAACACCCCAAAACCGCCGACGCGGGTCTAGCCATCAACGGTAGCGCGTGGTTAGTACGCGCGAACACGGAGGCAGATGTTCGCGCTATAGTCGCAAACGATATTTATGCTAAGATCGGTGTATGGGACCTTGAGAACGTTACCGTTACCCCGTTTAAGTGCGCTGTGAGGAAGCCTCTATAAGCGAGGATATCGTGTTGACATTCACCTGCGGGACTGGGTCGTATCTTGTTTGGGTTTAGGTTTTGTGGAATTAAGGGGGTTCTTATCTGTGGGTATTGGATTTATGGCTTTGGGTCTACCTGCATAGAGAAATGCGAGATGGTTTTAAGCGAGGGCCTCACGATGTGTAACCCACTTTAGGATTTGCTTCATCTACGCTACACAAACTTACATATAACATTATATACCTACATATGGCTAAAATTTGTATCTATCTCGGCGTCATTATGGATCTTGGCGTGGTGTGTGAATATCATGCTACGTTGCCGTTGAATTGAGTCGTTTGCAAATGCAGTGTAGTGCGATTTGTTATTATGCTCCCATGATACAAGAATAGCTTCACAGCTATCGCAGGAGCAGAGGATTCGAGCTTTGAACTCTAGGATAGCATTGAGGTTATGGTTAAAGGTTCGCATTAGTGGGGTATAATAATTAGATCGCTAATGGATATTGTAAAGTCTACTATGATGCAACGAATGTCTAGGTAAAGAAACGAAGTTTGCTATGCCTTATAACCATTTTCAATCTCAAATCGCCAGCTCCTCTCGTATGCAAGGCGCGTACGGCCGAAGCCTTCAAGCCTAACTAGAGCTCCAATCCCCAAATTTTTGCCTGATATCCTACGGTGCCCAAACTTATGTACCAATCGCGAGAATACCCGGCTCACTCTGCCTTCTATACAATGGTACCATGCAATTTTCCTTCAGTCTCGAAGAACCCTTGATTAGGTCCCGCATATGCAATGCGAATGTGTCGTTAGGGAGTAGCTTGTGCGATACGATTACGCCTTGATGTTCAATGCGAAGCCGGAACGGTACACCCTCAATGCCGAGTACAAAAAACCGGAGAGGGTAGCTACACCTCCACCGAATCCCCATAGACCATACCAGTTTAGCGGCTTCACGTTTCCGAGAATAGCACCAGCTATCGGGCCACCAGCCAGTAGACCTAGGGCAATGATACCGAAACCCATACCTATTCTAGTTCCGAGCTTCGACTTATCCTGAGTCAGGGGGAAGAAGCAGACCGGAGGCATAGCGATGAACACGCCGCTAAAGAAACCAACGAGGACCGCGATGGCAATCACCGCTCCCCTGGTGTGAGCTGCCATTAAGCAGAGCATCAGAATACCGGTGATGAGCGAGCAAGGCGCGACAACGTTGAACGGGCCAATCTTGTCGGACAAGGCATTGGGGAGAATTCGGCCGAAACAAGATGCGGCGTTGAAGATAGGGACCATGTAGAAGGAGAGCGCCTCGTCAGTAAGTCCTTGCTCCTGAGGATAAAAGGAGATGTAGAAAATGAGAATGCTCAGTCCCATGAATCCAATGAAAGTAGTGAGAGTAAAGAACATGTAAGGGACATCTCGGAACGCGGTCCAGTCGATCAGAGATCTGGCTTTCGGGGCCTTGAATCTCATCTTCATAATACTGATGGGGATGAGAAGGGTCGCTAAGGCAATGAAGCCCATGATACGGACCGACCAGGCGTACCCAACCTTGTCTAAGAGCTGGTACAAGACGATGGGGTAGATAACACCGCCGACGGAGGAACCTGCTGATGCCAGACCAACTGCCAGACCGAGCTTGGTGCTGAAGTAGGTAGGGAGAATGGAGACGCAAGGCACGAATAGCATACCGGCTCCCAGCCCAACACAAAGACCCTGAGCTAGAACCACCTCCCAATATTGTGTGCAAAGACTCAACATCATGTGTCCGAACACGATGCCGAAACTGCCAAGAATCAATAGATGTCTTAAGTATCCTCTGTCGTAGATAGGACCGGCGAAGACACCACCGAGCAGCACCATGAACGATTGGATAGATCCGATCCACGAGATATCCGAGGATGACCTCTCGAACATCGCGCCTCCCTCATAGTACGTCTGGAAGACACCGAAGGCGTTCAGAATACCCCAGGTGTTGAAGAATAGCATGAAGCCGCCGAGCACATGGAGCCAGGCGACGAGACCACCATTGGGTGGCGGTGGAGGACCCGTCCGGGGAGGCTCCGGGGCCGCGGGCGCTGCGGGGGATGCATTTGCATTTTCGACATCAACCTTCTCGCTCGTGGCTACGAAACTGCTATTGGAGATTGTGACGTCCTCCGAGTCACTCGCGGGCGGCTGTTGATGCTCTGGTTGGTGGACCATGGTGTCGGCCTTGTTGTTGATGTATGTTTGCGATACAGGTGCGATTGTCGGGATTTACCTGTGGATTGGTTGACAAGGGGCAAATAGGCAAGGAGGGAAGGTTGTAGGAAAATTAGATGCGTGTCTACCCAGCAACTATGTATTGGGCAGGCTCGGAGTTGCGAGTGTATGTCCGGTCGGATGAAGGTGTTTAGCTTCTATGATCGAGTTTCTTTTCTACTCCCTTTCTACTAGGGAGGGTGACCGGCGTGTATAAAGACGTCAATTATGCACTCAGCGTAACTGTTACTCGTGTTAAGTAACAAGATTCGACGAATGAGTCTACTCTTCTATATCGAAGGGATCATCATGCGTGTTGTCCGTAAAAGGTGCGGCAGAACGAATATATTATTGGAAATGGAAAAGTTGTGTGTGTAATCAGATGCAATATCAATGCTTAGGACTCCTCGCCAACCTTTACATTTTTACAGGGCTCTAGTGGTTCACCGTATGGATTACCTACATGAATGTTTTCGTCGGTATTCCGTTGGCATTCTTTGTCCCTGCCGTCGCGATCTAGGCGACGGTAGCGTAAGATCAAGCAGCCTGGGCGCCCCATAGCTGGAGGCAGGTTTGGAGGGATAACTGAAACGACTTCCAATTGTTAACTTGTGTACTTGATAAGAATTTTCATCTCTTGCCATTGTCATATTGAAAATTTGATCTTGGAAGTATTTTTGATCGAATTTGGTAAGTAAAACAGTTGAAGCTAGTTGGATAGGAAACTCCGAGCCGTACCTCGGACATCGAGAGTAATTACCAGGTAGTGAGACTAATGTACTGCTAGCCTCTGGTAACATTGGGAAATACACGTGCGCTCTAATGTGTTATCTAAGAACTTTATTATGTACGTAGGTACCTACTTTCTCTAGTAAAAGTTGAAGGGTCTAGCCGTAACTACCTAGTTTCTATGCGGATAGCTTGGGTGCCGTAACCCTTGATCCTTGAATGCGGGTCTTGGGCTTAGAATGAAACCTTATTTGCAGCCTTGGGTTACATTTTGGCTGTTCCAAGGTTTACGCAGCCGTTACGTCGGGTCTAACTCTATTGGATGGTTAGAGCTCGACGACTGGCCAATCAGATGTTAAGATTAACCTTATTCCGCGATATGCGAATCTCCGAGATCCGAAGTGACGAATTAGGATCCCGTTTAACCCCGCCGGCTCGGACATAAGAGTATGCATGCAAGTCCCTGCAGACAATCCATTGAACCAATCCACTCATCCACTAAGTCCACTGAATCCACTCATCCTATTCGATCTTCAATTACACAACATCTTAATGCCATTTTCATTTGATAGGAGCCGATTTCGTCCTGGCAATCTTTGGTCTTTGTGATCCTTCAGCCTAATTGAAGCCCTTTTGCTTCCCTAATTTCTGACTACCTATCTACTACCCAATTGTAGCGTTGTAGCGTAGGAGGACAAGGCAGGCACACAGCCTTGATGCGAGTGTACTCCGACCTCTAACTACGAGCCGTATGGAATTCGACCAATTCTAAGTATCGGCTTAATATCGCCGCCGCGCTTATGCGTGTTACATGTCTGTTTAGCTCGGCCGCGGAGGTATTCGTATAGAATACATCCCCATTCGTGTGCATTCGTTCTTCCGATTGTAGCGATCTCGTACATACGTCTTAGACCTTAGACAGTAATTCATCTATCACAAGAAAAACGAGCAAGGCAACCCAAGTCACAGCCAAACTGCAACAGACAGAAAGAAAACCACAAGTGACATCACCCATGTCTTTCACTCTCTCGCAAACATTCTTAAGACTTGGCGTCAGCCGCCATTTCAATCCAAGAATTCTCTCAGCATCCTCACTTCTCACCATCAACATCTACAACAACAACAATCTTGACATATATTCGTCTCGTTCGCCTTCTAAAAACTCTACACAACAACTAAGATACTTTACACAGACCAGAAGCAAGATGTCGGCCACCAACAACGCTGCCTGGATCAAAGCGGCTAAGAGCCACCCCTTTGTGGTCGAGCCCGCTCCCGTGTGGACTCCCGAGGCTAACGAGATTCTGGTCAAGAACCACGCCATCGCTATCAACCCCGTTGATGGCTCTCTTCAAGCTGCCGGGTGGTGGCCTCTAAATTACCCTACCATGCTTGGACAGGATTGTGCTGGTGTTGTCGCTGCTGTTGGTCCCGGTGTCACCTCTTTCAAGGTTGGCGACCGTGTCGTCGGTCATGCCGTCGGCATGGCCACCAAGCGTGACCAGGACAACGCTTTTCAAGAGTACACCATCGTGCAAACTAACATGGCTGCTCATCTTCCCGACCAAATTGCCTATGAGAAGGCCGCTGTTCTCCCTCTAGCCATGTCTACCGCTGCCTGCGCTCTGTACCAGGACACCCACCTCAAGCTTCAGCTCCCCACTGTTCCCCCACAGAAGCCTACTGGTAAGACCTTCATCGTCTGGGGTGGTGCGTCTGCCGTTGGTAGCAACGCCATTCAGCTCGCCGTCAACTCTGGCTATGAAGTCATCACCACCGCCTCCCCCAAGAACTTTGAGTACACCAAGAAGCTCGGTGCCAGCCAGGTTTTCGACTACGCTAGCCCCACCGTCCAGAACGACCTTATCAACGCCTTGAAGGGCAAGACTAGCGCTGGTGCCCTTGACTGCATTGGTGGCGCTCCCCAAGGAATCCTCCAGCAGGTTCTAGCCAAGTCCGAGGGTGTCAAGGCTGTTGCCTCAACCAAGCGGGGCTGGCCCGAACCCCCAGAGGGCGTCCAGATGTACTCCATCTTCGGCACCACTCTGAAGGATAACTTCGTCGGAAAAGCTATCTACAACGACTTCCTACCGGCGGCTCTGGCGGCTGGCACTTATACCCCCGCGCCCGAGCCCATCATCGTTGGCAAGGGTGTTGGGAAGATCCAGGAGGCCGTCGATCTTGTGAATAAGGGCGTCTCAGCTGCTAAGCTCGTTGTTACTGTGTAAATTGAGGTATACCCACGTTGGATGAAACTGTTGGTTGGTTTGGAATGTACGACGGAGTTGGAATTATGGGTTTCTAGTATACATATGCCACACGATCCACCATACCCCAGGCTACCGGGATGGAAGGCGTCAGTAGAGCTCTAGGGCCTTGTCATTAGACAAAAGTTTTGGTATATAGGAATTTAAATATTACAAAGCCTAATCCCGTTTCGCCCCATCCTTACGGGTTTCCCATGTCATGATTCCCTTGTGCGCAGCTCTCGATGACTCGTATGCCGTGCGACACGACAAGGCATACATGTGCCGAGAGCATCGCGAAACATCCCCGTTGTGACTGTGAAGCAATGCGCATTAGGGCTGCATGGCTGACGAAGCTCTTTATTGAGCGCCCTGGACGCCGATCCCCCACCCGTGCGCGACACGGTCCCAGATTACGATTCACATTGCGTCTTTGGAAGTTTCCTCAATCGATAGTGTAAACACATTCGAAGCTTTCTCGTACGGCTCAGGGGATAAGACGGTGGCAGCAGGGATTGCATGATGGTGCCATCATGCGATACGTTCGGCCGAGTACGGGAATGAGGCATATCTACATACCTAATTAACTAGGTGTGCATCATGTAGAGCATACCGTAGTAAGTAAGTGGTATCTCACGATGTCAATCATCGGCTCCGCAGACACTATGATACTATCTCCAACTCACTCCAAGTTTTCAGCGGGGTTAGATGATTTAGATGGACTTATATCGTGCTAGATTCGGAATAGGCTAGGAACCAGCCGTCCCAATTCGGCACGTTTGGGTCTTTTCAAACAGGATACATATGGCTAGCAGCTCCACAAAGATTGAACCTATGGGAACTTCCAGAACGTCCGTCCGTCCACCAAGGTCCAAGGTTGTTCGGAGACTCCCGCAAATCAACTAACATGCAACTAACAATTCGTAGGTAGGTACGCCTCAAACACTGTTTCTGATTTTTCTTTATCAGATTCATCAATCGACCGATTACATCCAACACATCGAGGTTCTAGGACGCGTTCTTGCATCGAGGATTGTAAGCACAATATAAACCGGAGGACGGGAGTGGTCGATTTAAGGCGGTGAGCGACAAGTCATATTCCGCTGCTGACCGGCTGGATCGTGCCGAGACTTTGGCGTTTTCTACGGACCGGATTCGTGCGCGACGATCCGATGAAAAAAAAAAAGTAAAAGGGGCGACATCTGGGGTTACGCAACAGAGGGTTCTGCGCGGTGCTCGTCTTGGCCATCGAATGACATGGTCACGGTCTGTGATCTATACGCCTCTTTGTTCATGAGGATGCCTTCGCTATGATCTGTTAGGTCGACCATCTGCAGCGCTCGGGTGACCGGGAGAGGCTTCCTAGCCGGCATCCAGCTTCGGGGAAGGTTTCTAGTGTCAGAATGCTGAAATAATCAAGGCAAGGCAAGGCAAAATCCGCCGCCATTGCCACTCGGAAGTCCATTATCTTAGCTCGCCCGAGCTATCACGGCGGAAACCGAGATGTCAGAACCGAGATGTGGTGGGATTTAACAGGCATATATACCCCAGGTAGTCGTCTAATCCTAATTCTGTCTGGGCACTCTTCATCGTATCAAGCTTCACTGGGTCCAAAGTGTTATGCTAGGACGGATTAATTGGTCGCTTGCCGGTGGGGGTGGGGAAAATGGTAAGAGTCGCGTTTTACTAATACACCCAGCATCAGATGGGTACGAATTGAGAATAAGGAGACTTTAGACTTCAAGAGCATATTTTCTTCTTCTTTTACTTCTTTTACTTCTACCCCCGGCGTTTCTCACATCGTGCCTGCACGTTCCGGCCCCACTCCACCGTTCTTCCCCTGGCCTAAAGCCCTGGTCACTTATCACCGTCTTACATAACTGCCAAAATCCGAGGAAAAATAAGCTTTCGGAGTCCCGAGCTCGACATAAGCTTATTATTTTACAAGGAGGCCTCGGCCAGGTAGTGATTCCCTTTTACACCTTTTCTTCTCTTTTCTTTCCCTCCTTTCCGAGATACATGCTAGTACCGTAAGGATTAGAGGTAGGGATCGTTAACCACTGCCGGAAAAGCCTCGTACGTCACGTCAATGACGGTAACACAGCATATAGGTATCTACAGATAATCAGAATCGTTAACAGATAACCCGAGGTCGCTGAGAGATGAATAATGCTAATATTTGACCAAATCTGATGAGCGTTTTCGTGCTTTTGGCATGACTGATGTGAGCCGTGAGCCGTGATTTGTGATCCCCAATTGATCAGTAAACGAATGCGATCGAATCCCTATGAATCTATGAATACGTTCCCTGCATCGCATGCTAGCCATGTTTCTAGAAGAGAATGAGAAGTGGAAAGGATGGTGTTCAATTTCGCAAAATAATATTTCCAATCACTCCTTCTCTGCCCGATTTCTAACAAACAAAGGGTCTCCTTCTGAATTGGAAGCAAGCAGGGTCTAGACCTTGGGATGGATCGTAACTTTGTTTTCGATGCGACCATGTAAAGGACGCTAAGCCATGTGCTCGAGCATGTCCATGCTAGCAGGGTGCAGGGTCGGAAGCTCGGGGGATCGCCATCAGCCTTGTAATTAAGTTCAGTAGTTTTGAGGTAGATCGAAGAAATACATAAGTGAAACGAACTTTCAATCCCAACGGACACGTTAATAGTATAGGTAGATTGCACAGTAATATCACAAAGGCACGGTTTGATTCAATCATGACCCATTACTTACCTGCCTACTGATCCACAGAGAACCGCAAAATCCGAGTGCTCATGGGAATCGTTTGTGGGGCGTTCTACAAGGCTAAAAATCCTATTCAAGTAACTTGTAACGAGCGTTCAGGGCATCCAGGTCTACTATGTACACATGCACATAATCTTAAACCAATCAAGCTTTCAGCTCGTGGTAGACCCCTTGCAAATCACGCGTGTATGTAATGAACCACGATACTACGGAACAATTCTATTCGAAGTCTATACTATACCGTGTAAAGCATGTATCTACATTGTTAAGTTACTAAGTACCAGGTAGGCTGGCAGGTAGGTACGGAAAATTAAAAGAATCAGGGGTATCCTCAACGGAAGGCGCGCGAGTTTTAGAGTCTGTTTAGATCGTCCGGCTAAGCAAGGCTGTTATCCTGTTAGTCATGAAAAAGTTCCTTGTTTTTATACTCTATAGTTAATAGCATGAGTATAGTACGCTTCAGTCGACGGTGCATTATTCGGCACCATCTATGAGAGATTTAAGCACCAAGGAACTCGCCTCGCTTAGTCAACTGCCGAGTACTTTTAAGCTCAACAATTAGCTAAACGCCCCCGTCCAATTAACGACAACGTGCCATCAACCCCAGACCATCTTCAGGCTGCGTGGATCCCAATGCCATGCGTTCGTCCTTACGTAATGACAATATTGATACCTTTCTATACCAAAATAGGTATCCCTCGCTTTTCTTTCATAACACTGAAACAGATGATGTATATTTTGATTCTCCTTTTCGACAAGATAGTGGATAACACTACCTAGGTATAGATATGATAAAACTAATGACGTATGCTCATTTATGTAAGCTGCTTTCACGAGACGATAACTGCCACATAACCAGGATTGAAATGCCTATGTAACTTGACTATTGTTTAGACTCGGGATTACTTAACAATTGGCCGTATCATCAAAGCTTATATTAAAAGTTATTTTCTACAATACCCCGGAAAATAGCGAGCTCCCTACCTACCTAGTGAGTTATTCGCGACGCTAATAAGTTCTGTTTACTAAGTCAATTCCTACGGCATTTTGAGTTCTTACATTGTCCGGGACAGGTCGGTGATAACATATCCATCAGATATGATGCATGGCCGAGTCACGGGTACGAGCTGACTGCGGGAGTGCGTAATTGCGCGTAGCTATGTAAGCAGATCCGAGGATGGCGCTGTTATCTTTCCTACCTTGATCCTGCTATGCGTATTCGCGACGCACTGTTCGGGTCCCACAAGATGTACCAGATATCCTAGGTTAGTTCACAGGTACTCATTATGTACTAGGTAGCGTATCCTATATCCTATTTGAACCTATCTGTGTCGGCCGGGGAGCAACGTGGCTGCGTGGCTAGAACGAATCCCCGACACCCGACGAACACAAGTGCCAGCAATTGTAATGAAAAGAGGATGTGAACCTGGTTACTCATCACTTTATACTTCTAACAGCGCCTCCCGGGAAGTGCGGCTAAGGCTCAGCTAGCTTAATAGGGCTTCGACTTTTGTGTGCGTGGAGATAGGTACCTATCCACATAGTAGTTTCGTAGCCATGGGCGATATGTATTTGGTTCGTATCCGTGTGGATGAATTATATAATAATATATTTAGTATAACGCTATATTCAATAAGGAAGGTCAACTTCTCTTAAGCTATAAACCCCTACAAATTAAGCTTTTCAATTGCATTAACGTGTCAGCGTGTACCTAGGTAGGTACTTAACGGATAAACGAAAAACCTAAAACTTCCAAGGTTATCAAGAAGATCAATTGACCCGACGATCTTTTCCCCTCCCTTTTTCTTTTCTTCCTCCCCAGGTTTGCCACGCAGCTACCATAACGTAACAGCCATAATAACTAAAGGATCGCATGGCTTTCTCCCATACCCCATTGATCACCACCGCCTCATTGTTCAGCCTCTAGCGGAGCCGGAAGAGAACGACTTATTGGATGCGTAACTGAATCTCATTTCGATGCCCCGTAATTGGGTCGTATATAAGACGTATAGCGTCATTCGAGCATCAGTCCTATCTACCTATCTACCTGCCTACCATGCAGATACCACGGTCTTTATCACGTATCGCGAATACCAAACGATGCAATGGGCTAAAGAGCCTCAACGACCTGTAAGGCCATTGGAACCCCCCACATGGATGGCACGAAATATGCAGCTGGGATTAGAAGAAGTCTCCGTTATCAAGTCGCATCCACACGTCTATCATACATGCCTACCTAGAGACCCCCTTAGACTAAGCGAGTACCTATAGGATCTACTGTATTCCTAACACGAGTAGATTCACTCTGATACTCACACACCCTAGGTATATCCATGCCCCTAACTCATGAGGTACCGTACGATACATTACAAGGGATGACCCAACCAATGGCGACCCATACGTTTTCTAGTATATTTCTGACGTTCCTATGCTGACTCACATTAGATACCTGGGATGCCTGGGATACCTAAGACGGCATCGAAATATGCCCGTCTTATATGTACATCCACCCAACTAGCCAATCCGATTGGAAGTTCGTCCCCTTCATCCATACCCAGTAAGTAGTTATCTACGGCAGCTGTAAACCACGTGATCGCTCGCCTAGGCGTGTCGACCTTAAGCTTCCATACCTACCTAGGTAGGTATTTACCATTCTCTCTCTCGTCCTCGTGGATAACACATGGTGTTGTAACATGGTATGAGACTTCGAAAATCAAGCTTATATTCCTCAAAGGTGCCTTGCATCTCCCATTTAGACCCTGGCCGAGTCCGGACTGGAAAGTTCCACGCTGCTACGTGGTAACCAGCTCGAACTGCATCTGAATCCCTCGGCGATCAATTCGTCTAGTGACAGATGCGCACCTTGGGTCAGGATTCGATCCTGCGAAGCTTAACCCAGCTTAATCCGTCAGCCACCCGTTACCTAGGTACCCTGCTCAAGTAAGACCCTTGGTCAGCAGCAGCAAGCCCCCTGAAACCACATGCCTAGAGTTAATCCAATCGGCATCGAATAGAGGCTCGACCAAGAGTATAGTCTTTAGGACTCGTGTAGGTAGGCTATGTACTCTGGGAACCGTTTCGCAGCTTAGCGAACAGCGGTTACGGGCCACAGGGCCTTCTGGACTTCTCGGCAACGTCTCAAAAAGACCGTCGACATATCTTCCTAGATATATTACCTGCTTCTCGCAACTGCTGTTTTCTTTCCTTGCCCAGGTTGATGTCAGCTGAGTGGAATCTTTATTACCGACCTCTATAAACATCCGTGCCCTCGAACTATTACTCGGAATCTATCAAGCCTAATCGATTAAGTGGCCACACAAAGCTCCATCCTAGATCGAGAAGATGCCTCAATCGGTAGATCTAAGCGTCAAGTCGTCGACGCCTCCAGCACGACAAAATCCGGGTGCAGGTATGTCGTAAGATTTTCTAGCTCACCGTTGATACGTAACGAAGCAATCTGTGTTGATGGCTTGCGCGCGGAATACCCCCTCGGAGCTCCTGTGTACATCGAGATTCATACCTAAGCAATGCCCACCAACGATAACAACGCCTTCCTTTGAGTCTTCTTACATCTTGCTTCTTCGAAGATCTTACTTCACTTATTTTTTACTAACGATATCCTACCCCATAGCTTGCGAAGAATGTCGTCGTCGCAAAGTCCGCTGTGACCGTCAGCAACCTTCATGTGGTCTCTGTCTCTCATCAGGTGTACCATGCCAAGTCACAACGCCTCGCCCACCTCGAGGTCCTAAACGAGGCTATCTAAAAGCATTACAAGCTCGCATTGGTATGTTATATCTTGTATGTCAAGCTAATAGCTTGGCTCCCGCGTAGAATTGATATGCGATGCACCAATAAATTCGATCAAATTCACCAGCCATCCCATGCTAACGCTATGACCATATTCAGCTACCCTTGAAGGAACTCTACTCCAACAGCAACAACAACAACAACAAAATCAAAATAACAACACTAATACGATCACCATCTCCCCGGAAGATACTACAATTGATGGTATCACATTTACAGATCACCCACCGTTGACATGGGATTTCCCGATTACGACTGACGACGACACAACTCTTCACGATTTATGCCAAGGAACAGCGCCCGGCACAGCATCTGGCGGATCTTCGTTAGACGGAGGCTCAGTCCACGCCTCGACGTCGCCCATACAAGGATTCGAAACTCCATCCGACGGAGTGGGTTTTTCGGATGTTGTTTTAGGCCGGAAGATGTCAGAACTTTCAGAAGGGCTAGACGGTATCAACATCTCAAACTTAATGCAGGCAGATTTGTTAGTACACCAAACTCAGCTCCTCCCTACTACCCTCTCTAACCTTAAACAGGGACCAGCTTTACTTCGACAGAGTTCATTCATTCTCGCCTGTTCTACATCAACGGCGGTATTTCACGTGGGCACGTAGCATGGCTAAGACGGAAGCGCAATCGTGTCTCCGGTATGCTATGTGGACCCTTGCCGCATCCGTATCGGCGCACTATCAAAATGTGGGAGATTCTCTATACCGTTATACTCGACGAGCTCTCGAGAATCTGGAGTCTAGATGCATGGGAATTGCGATGACTGAGATGGAGCAGGTTCAGGCCTGGCTCCTCCTAGCTATTCATGAATTCATGTGTGTTGATTTCAGCCGAGGCTGGGTAAGCGCTGGCCGCGCGTTCAGATTGATACAACTCAATTGGCTTCAATATTCTGACGGGACGGATGTTAACCTTACACAAACGGACTGGGTCGATGCCGAGCAGAAGCGGAGGACATTCTGGCTAGCCTACTGTCTAGATCGATTTGTTAGTGTTAGGAATAACTCGCCAATGACATTCAGCGAACAGGTGATGGTAAAGAAGCCTCCTCAGCTCCGTTCTAGTGCCGATTTAGTGCTGACCCATCATCCTTGTACCAGAACACAATCCGCTTGCCGGCACCGGAAATAGATTTTCAAAACGAGCAGCCCACTTTAACAGGTTTCCTCTCAGAGGCAATTGCTGCGAGAGATGCTATCGTCACATCGACCTTCACTGAAAACATCGTCGTGGCTACTGTCATCGGGCGTGCCTTATGTCACCGACAACAATCTATGGTGGATAATATCTATCTCAACGAATCACGGGATTTCTGGGACCGGCACGAATGGATTAACGCTATCCTTATCCAGCGGATGGAAGTGTTCTCGTTAAACTACCCCACCGCCGTGCAGGAGGCGGACCCGATGGTACTTTTTATCAGCATGATGTGGCGAACGACGGTTCTCTACATGTACCAACTCATGAAATCGGTGATCCACCCCACGGAGGAGAAGAGATCAATCTTGGCAGACTATACGAGGCAATCGACGATAGCCGCTAAAGAGATCGTGAATCTGACTAATAAATTATCTCAATTAAATTCCTTCAAGGTAAGTCCCACTAGGGCTAAACGGTCACCACCGTCCCCACCCCTCATATTAGCCACATGCTGACAGCTTCCCGCTAGGTGCATCCTCTTACACCGATACCATTATCTCTATGCGCGGATTTCTTCGTTTCTTATCACGAATTAGGAGACACATATACCAAACAGCTCCAAGAGATCACTGAAGCCATGCATGGTTTAATGAGTTTTAGTAATCTTAGTAATGTTGGGCCGGGGCTCGGAGCCTACTCCAGGTAGTGAGGCGATGTTTACGAGAAGAATATGTATTACACCATTTACGTTTTGTTGAGGCTGTAGGTATAATTGGGCATGGTAGTTGGGATGCGACATTGGGTATGTTCGCGGCACGTCATCGTCACCGAAACAAATTATTTGGGGAGTCAAACTTACAATAACCGCATTTGTTATATGCTCAGGCATTGGTGTTCATTGGTTGTGGCACAGTACTTACTGGGGGGAGGCGTCTAGGAATGGGCTATCACGAAATGCGGATATCACCGCTGCGCAGTACGACATAAGGGTTTGGATGGTTTGGATGGTTTGGATGATGACTACATATGAGGAATACAGCACAAACAACATGATAGAGTAAATACCTTCGTCACAAGACGATCAACAATTGGAACTTGAAGACAGTTGCAGATACTTTAGATACACGTTCATGCTCCCAACCCTGTATCCACGGCAAGATCGTTACATCGACGACGTTGGAGATACCAGGCTAGGCCGAGACTAAACTAGAGCGATGGAGAACCTGGTAAATCAGTTGTCGCAATAAGCTCTTTACCTTGCCTCGAAGTTCGAAGGGCATCTTTATTGTGGGTCATGGCTAAACCCAACCTGGCCTCATCGATCTCTGAAATTATTTTGGAATCCTGATTGTTACACTTACACATACGCGCACACGCATACACGCACCCACACTCGGGAATTTGCGAGATCAGTTTGTTTTGGCATCCAAATCAATGTCTTTCTGTCGACCCCAAGAATTGACGTACATAAGTCACATACATCACTAGGTAGGTTTCCCGGCATAGACATATGCGGAAGTGCCCAACATCAGATCATCGCAATAGCCCAGGTTTGTATGTGTATTCAGGGTATTATCACATAGAGGAATCATTCTGCGAAACCGAGCAGCGGTGACGATCCATCTCCAACTGTTCTTTACCTGCCTTACATATCTGCATACCTAGGTAGGTGGAGAGGTGTAGGCAGGTGTGTCTTCGAGCAGCAGAGCAATGCAAGCAGGAGAGGCAATGCGAGCAGGAGAGATAATGCGAGCAGAGAAATGAGGTAAGGTAAAACGGTCCAGGTTCAATTGCCGGGGAAAATTGTACGCTTGTTTCAGAACCGACATCCTGTGCCGTATTCCTTTCCGAACGTGAGCCACTTCCTCTCTTTAAGCTGTCCTACTGCTTACGGAAATTTCAATGTTCCTTACAACAACAACATGCACGTAGAAGGCGAGAGAGTAGAGTAGGAAATACCTCGGCTCCCTTATTCCTTCGAAGGAAGCGGTAGATGAGAAAGCCCTGGTTACGGTTTGGGCAAATTGTGGCAGTTCTTTTTTAGGGGACCCTTTGCCTACACGGGTGTATGTAAGACACTACGTAAGCTGCAAGCCGCCAGCGCACCTTTTAATTTATCTTTGCTTCTTTTTTTCTTTCGCGTATTGCAAAACAGATGGGAGGAGGGAATGAATGGTCAGCAAGATAGATTGGATCGGCAGTGTCGTTCTTATTGGTATCCACACCGTCGGGGCCAGAAGCAGATATCGGGGGTTGGCGGCGACGTTTAATGCGGTGCGACGGCGCTAGGTATTCCACTTTTTTTTCTTAATCTATTTGAATATTACCACGTAGGAAGTGCACTTCTTGAATCTCAGTCTAGGTCTTGCAATGAAGAATAGGCTTACCGCTAAGTTAGGTACCTACCAATGTAGTAAGTATTAAAGCATCTAAAGTAAAGTTTTGGCTACTGGCACGGGCCGTTGAGACATGTTTAACCTTAAACTTAATAAACTTCAAGGTTGGAACTAGGTAGACTAGCGAGCGGTTAAAGCGACGTCATTGAGTAAACAACCAATATCCCAACCGTCTGATGTTTTGCTTTTTTTCTGTTTAGTCATTAGTTCCTCGCTTCTTTTTTCTCGGGACCGTAAGGCGAAACTCTTCAATGTGCCAATGTGTCAATGTTTCACCACCATCCGCCCGTTTTTTACGTACGGAATGTACAGGAAGCAGGACGACCCACTTTGCACAATTAGGACGTGAAGAGGATCGATACTTACGGCTACTTACCTTACTTACGAGTCACGTAGATGATCCATAGGGACGTAGATGGCGCTGATACATCGACACATTAAGCCTCTATCCCCGATGGATACGGAGATTTGAAGCGGGGCCCCCACCGCGGGTTTAGTAAAGCTTGCGTATAAGCCTCAATCTCGCCATTTTCGAGAACTCCCACGCTTCCTGTGATCGATGTTTCGATTTAGCTCCCGTTCTCCAAGCCAAGACTTCTCGATTTGGCATCTTGCGTTTCTGGAACAAGCATCACCTACCTAATGCAACGATCATGACCTCCATTTACTCAACTACTTCAACAAGCCACCAATTCGCATACATAACTGCGACTCACTGTTCATGTATAATGAATGATGTGGTGTGACCTGTCGCAAGCTCGCAAGACATGTTTGTTTTCGATCAAAATGGTAAGTAATCGGCCCTAAGGATCATGCCGCACAGACATCCATCTCATTCGCCTGCACATGTCTCATATCATACATTATCTATATTACAGATTACAGGTTACAAATTGTGGATTACAGATCACATATACCGCAGCCATACACCGCTCTTCCTCCTATCTGTAGTTGAAAGGGGGATGAGAAGTGTCAATATGTAGGATGACTACTACTGACTGTGGCTTTAACACATATCGACCTCGGAATCAAATACATTGAAATTGTTTTGCGGCGCAGTCGCTGCTTAAGGTAGGTACATATTTACTAGGTATATTAAATGTCTTAAAATTTATTATCCGTATAGATGAGCCAAAAGTACAACTTTTGTGGAAAGAAAGTAGATACATCCATGCAGCTAACCTCCGCCATCTATATTGAACTACACAGCTACATGCCTCTCAGCGGCTACACCGAAGTTGTACCCATCCCGTGGACATGTGTGACCCGTCTCACCGGCCACAACAGATAGATGTACCTACCCTGCATATCAATCAAATCAGCATCTACATATGTACGTACGTACTGTAGCAGTGTAGGTACGTATATGTCACGCTATGCTGTGCCTCATAGGTGCATAGCCAGATCGGTTGACGTACACGATTGAACCTATGACGGAGCAGTTGGAGATAGGGCTGACCAGAACTAGCCAAGACTCGGATAACCTCCAATTCCCTTGTCTTGGGTTGGGTATGAGGAGAACTACGCGGGGAAACACGACCTCGGAGATCGTCTCAAATCAATACCGGGGTTTTTTTACTTTTTTTGTTCCGGGACTAGTTTCTAAGGTTATCGATTTTTTGGAGATGGTGTTGTATTAAATAGGTATGTTTACAGGTATTCGCTACGCTACGCTCTTTCTAATACAAACGCCAAGACACTTTGATTCAACTGCCGGATTTTTATCCCCCTTGAAATTCCAACCCTAGGTACGTTCATCATAACAGAAAAAAAAAACAGCAATGTATTGTTTTACAGGAAAAGTAGCAGGTACATGTGCCAGTATGCGATAGCTCGTATATTCAAGGTCATATCGAGTTGACTCATTCAGCCACCGCGTATGTGATGTAACTTGTGGCTTTTGTAGGGCTTCTCAGCTCGTATGCTGTAAGCCATTTATTGCTCGGCGGCGGCGATGATCTTGGGCAAAAGCTGAGCGGTGATGTTCCACAGCTGTGGGGAGCCGGTGACGAGAAGGGAACCGGTGTACCAGGTGTTACGGTAGCCTTGGTTGTTGTAGTAGTCGTTGTAGACACCGGCACGGATCGCATCGGCATCCGCGGTGGGGTGAAGTGGCGTGTGGCTGTTGTAGGCTACAAAGTTGGGCTCGGAATCTATGCTGGACCCGTTTACGTTCTTTTGTAGGAGCTTGAGCGTGTCGCGGGTCGCCGACTCGACTTCCTGCTGAGTCATGGCCTTCAGCGAGGTGTACCAGTAGTAGTAGGTACCCTCAACCTTGGTGGGGTTGAACATGACATTTCCGGGCAGACTAGCCGTGTTGGATTCAGTCGAAACGCCACGGTTCACGTAACTGTTGGTGTTGGGGAGGCCGAGGTTGTTGACGACACCAGTGTAGTAGAAACCACCGGCAAACTTGGAGAAGATGGCTTCTTCCTTCTGGTCCAAGCCAAAGGGCTTAAGGTTGTCCATGACGGGAGGGGCGGCGAAGATAAGTTGCTTGGCGACGATCTGCTTGTTACCCTCAGGGGTTGAGACACAGAGCTGGACGCCATCGGATGGCTTGCTACCGCGCGTACCGCTAGTGACGGTAGAGTTAAGGAGAACATCATCACCGAACTCGTTGAGGGCATTTCGGAAAGGCTCGGCGAGATCTCCGTTAGCGTTGGCGATAGTCTGGCCGTCAAGCTGCTCCTCAAGCATAACAGTGTTCAGGTTGTTAAACACATAGAGGGCAAGGGTCTTAGTCAGATCACCAGCCACAGCGGGGCGCGAGTAGGTAGAGAAGGCATCATCAGTAATATTGAACTTCACCATGTACTCGGACCAGGGTAGAAGAAGGTCCTCAGGCACCGGATTAGGGAGCTCGAGGCCATTCTCAAGGTAAGGGTATTTGTGAAGCTCAGTGATGTAGTCGTCCTTGATTTTGGGGATGGAGTAGTTCGTGAGATGTGTACCATCCGTGAAGTCGATGTACATAGGAGTCTTGCTCGCGGGGAATGTACCCTGGGCGACGGTGATGTTGAGGCGGTTGAAGAAGGAACGAGCATTCGGATTATCCCAGTAAACCTGGAGACCGTAGTTGATGGGAGTTTTCGTTGTAGGGTCGTAGTAGGTAGCAGTGTGGCCACCCAGGTAACCCTTACGCTCGACGATGACAAAAGATTTGCCTTCGTCCTTGAGGTTAACAGCCGCGTAGGTACCTGTCGCACCGCCGCCAATAATGGCAACATCACGAGTTATTACCTCAGCATTTTGGCATTGGGCATGGATTTTGAATGCCAAAGCCGAAACGGCAAGAGAGAGGCTGCTACTTAGCGTAATCGACTTCATTATGGGATATCTATGACTTGATATTGACTAGAAGTGATGATGATGAGTGTGCGGCTTGGCTGGGAGTGAAGAACAAGCTTGGTTCAACAACATGTTTAAAATTGAGCGGGCTTGGCATATATATATAGTTATATCTTCATTATGGCTATTGTCAAGGCTCTTACCAGTCATCGTGATCATGTACACTCGTCTCAGGGGCGCTGCTCGCCAGGAACAGGAAAAGCAACAGGGCAAAGCGAGCTATTCAGCGCCCCCTTCCAAATCGGGAGCAAAGCCATGTGGCATTCGAGGCCAGCTGATCCTTGCAACCATACGATGATTTTCGAGAGGAATCGCATTCCGTATGAGATTTAACGGCCGAGGGCAACCATATGAGAGAAACAAGATAATTTTGATTAGGGGACTGCAAATTCCATGCGTCGATGGTAGGTAACGGAGAAACTCGAAGGCGTTTACTATCCTAGGATAGGATTAAGCTCGAGAGTGGCGCTGCCGCTAAATCGTCCAGGTGGTGCTATGTGGGTAACTATCGCCCACGAAGCTGAAGGCTTCTTAGTCGAATTGATCGTTTATTTTCTCTTATGCTCCTAACAATTCCCTAGAAATCCTTGGATCGGTTATTCCGTAGTATGTTCGTCATGTACAAACTTAGACTAGGTCTTTTTGTGCGTTCTACCCCAGACTTCTAGATTCGTGAGGTCGTATTTAGCAATGTGAAAAAGTTCATCCGTTTCCGGCTTGGGCTTACATGCGTAAACGCAATCCTGTGCAATCTTACCTGTTGATGCTGAAATAAGTCCCTACCTACATTAGATAATTAAGCGAGTAAAGTCCCTGGCAGCTTGGGTAGGTACCTAGGTAGGTACTAGATAGCGCAGTGGCTTGTGTTATAGGTCACAGGTAACTTGTAGGCAACAATCTACAGCAGATTGATAGCAATTAGCTCACGGGGATCTATTCTGACCCACCTCGGCGTGTTTAGCGTGGCTGCGTGGTTCCCGTCGGCTGCAGGAGCTCGGATCCGAGGCGCTACGGGAGATCTAGCTGAATCCTTCGATTGTGCTATGCTATACCCTTACTATTCAATGCTGCGAAATTGAGAACAAAATGCCTTAGGTACCAGTGTAAAGTAATTAAGGAGAATGAATGGAGTTTCCTACACCTTCTCATGAGAGAAATTGAGTAAACTTGTGTCTAATTCAACCAACAAGCCACTAAATCGTATACGGCAGGATGTGCAGAACCATTGAGCGAATCATGGGGGCCAGATTAACAGTGCAGAAAAGCTTGGCGATTTGCCATGTTTTACCAGGGATTCCCTAGAATACATGCTTACCTCCTACCTATCAAGAGGTTGAAGATCAGCCTCTTCGTCAATAACCCAGGTATGATCTAGAAGCTTTCTAGCGAATCGATTTTAGGCTTCTCAAAAGCTGTCAGATTTCTAAATTAATCAGCTGTGCCCTACAAAGCCATTTCATACAATTGTTGGAGAAGATCGGCCTGTAGGCGACTCTAGTCTCGCATTTCTGCGGTTCATTGCATAGCCTCGTGACGCTGTTACTATTCTAAGAACGCTCGGGAGTCCAGGACCTGATCGACATAAAGATATCCTATGGTAGACAAGTGATACGATGAGTACCGTTCATTACACATGTAGCTGAAGGAGCTGGAGCAGCTCAGCCTCAGCTCTTCCAGGTAGCTTATTACTGTACTGGTTCCCCGGAGTCTTTGATATACCGTAGAATGCCTAACTTTAAACATCTTCATTAGGCAAGATCTCGGTTCCCTCCGAGAAGGTAAATGATAAATCCGAGCGAAAGCACGAGCCTACAGCTGGATTTCGTAAACATATTTACTTACCTCTCAAGTGCCAGATACCTAGGTACCTACCTAGGTATGTTCGTAAATTCCATTCGCAATCCACCAATCGCGATCCGAGCCCTATTAAGGTGAATGTACTATTTCAAGTCTCCGCCGACAAGTCACAGGGGGCCATTCCCGCAAAACCATCACGTAGCTTGTATAAGATCTATAGGGCCGGCGTTACCTTTACCAATTAGCCTTAGGTAATGTGTTAGTGCTTACTATGCACTTTACGCGCTTGACGTAGTGTAGCTTCTAACCTAAAAACATAGTCAACCCGACTTGCAGTAGATAGTTATCGTGCATTGCTTAACTAAACAAGTTAACGAACAAGCTCGAGGCATGAATTATAGATAAGTTAGTATTACACCATGAGAGCTTCGTAAGTCTCTGCGCCTAGTGAGGTAGGTAACACGAACAATAATAGAAAGGGAAACATAACCGAAAGTGGGAATCTGTCTTTTATATTAAAAAAACTTGGCATGTACCCCGGATAACCGCCTTGAGGATTTCAGGGGCTTGTGTAACAACATGCGGTATTGGCATTACATGTATACCACGTGCCTCCTCTGCGCTTCCCAGAAATGTACCTAATAATTCTGAATTCCAATTATATAGAAATAGCTTCAAGCGTGTGATTGGCTTTGATCATCAGTCTATTTACTCTACTCTATCCTAAAGTGGTGAAAAAGAAGCAAAAGTGTGACACGTCAGTTAATCCGATATTAAAATATGATACGTTCACATGGCATTTACCGATAGCTATATTCAAATGATAGCATAGGTAGAAAACAGGAAATTCTGAAGGTAGGTAGGTATTTACGATTTTCATTGAAGCTAATTTGCAATATGAATGCTAGGTATTGACTGAACAAAGATTCCAAACTGAGGTACCCAATAGGCGTTTACAATTTACCAAAAAAACACCTAATTCGCCACAACAGCGACATCAACCTTTACAACATCATCAATCTTCACAGTACCATTGGTCTTTCCATTCTTCACCCCCACCTTTGAAGGCTGCTTCTTCGCGTACTCCTCAATCGTCTTTTTCATCATAGTATCGTAATCGAAGTGCCAAATCTTGAGCGACCGGTCCTTGATCTCCTCGAAACACGTTTCGGCCTTAATCCACTTCTGTTCGTGTCCCCATTCCGGCTGGTGGTATAGATCACACACGCGACGGCTGCTGTTGACGAGCCATTGGCTGCGCGTACGTCTAATCCCGTCGTAAACCTCGAATGCAGAGTCCAATGCTTCCTTCTTCGTCGAACCCTCTCTTAGCGAGGCCTTGACCTGCTTAATCAAAGTGACGAGACATAAGGCATCCTCGATACCGCAGCACGCGCCGGCGCCGTGGTGCGGGCTAGAAGCGTGGGCAGCGTCGCCAGCGAGGCAGATAGCACCCTTGTTAAAAAAAGGGGCGGGAAAATCCCAGGTATCGTAAACGGCCCACTTCTCGAGTTTCTCCGGGAAGAATTGTATCAGGGCCGTGAGACAGGGGTTCCAGTCGGCAAAAGATTCTTCGAGGTCTTTGCGGAGACCCGGCATGACGGTGACCTTGTCATCCGGCCACTCGTTGGGATCGGAAATGAAAGCGGTCGCATTAATCATCGTCTGATTGGCGACGGGGTAGTGAATTAGGTGGGCGTTGGGTCCCACGTGGTTGTGCTGGTTTCTGGCCTTGTACTCGCCAAGAGCTTGGATCGCCTTCTCCATCGGTACTAAAGCGCGATATGCAACTTTGTGGGTATAATGCGGATAAGAAGCTGGGTTCTCACTCCCAAACATGAGTTCTCTAACCCGCGACTTGATACCATCACACCCAATAACTTAAGAGTTATAATCGTATTAGTATCATTAAGCGAATCTACCTGGATAGATAAACAATCGGACGAAAAAGTGGACGATAGGAACTTACCGGCATCGGCAACTGCCGTCGTCCCATCAGTAAAGTTGAGATGGACTCTTCCATCCGATCCCTTCTCTTCAACGGTATCCAAGCGCTTCTTGAGTTCAACAATCTCTTGGGGTATAACCTTCACTAACGCCTCTAAGAACTGATCACGACGAGTTCCCTCAAACCCCTTGTACCCAGCATCGATTTTATAGAGAACTGGTTGGAAGGAAGGATCGTCCTTTCGACGTTTGTTGTATCCGTCGGTCCATCGTAAATAATCATTCGGATCGTTCTTGTCCAGAGAGGTGGCGACGGAACCACCAGATCGAAGAGCGCTGACAATATCCGGGTTCATCAATCCCATGCATCGTATAGCGTTAGCCGTGAAGGCCATTCCGGCACCGATCTCTCGGAAGCTTTGGGCCTGCTCGTAGACTTTGACCTTGACATCTTGTTTGATAAGGCCAGCGGCGAGGCAGAGGCCAATGATTCCGCCGCCGACGATGGCTATCTCAACAGGAGTCTCTTCAAAAATTCCAGGCATGATGGGATAAGTTTGGTAATGTAATAATTTGAACTTGAGCTCTCGTAAGTGGCTGCGGGAAGAGTTAATACTGTGATAAAACAATCTAAGACATTAGATTTAAGTCTGTGACACAGTGGACTTTGGAACTCCGAACATACGACGGGGGCCGCCGGGAATACCGTACAATGAGACGAGCGTGAAGTCTTACAAACCCCTTAAAGAATATATGACATCAAGATAATCGACGGCAAAACATTCCCGACGGGACCGTGGGTAGCACGACGTCAAGCAGGGCTGAGTCATGGTAATGGTTAGGGCAGAGATGACCACCCACTATAGAAACCTGTTTCAAAGTAACAAGTAGGGATACTGGTAGCGGAATTTTGCGTTAGTAACAGAAGAATAGTGTAGAGGTTGAAGGTATTAGTGATACATTGTACGCTAAGTTTAGCTTACACTTGAAATTCGAGTCGGAGTTACTCGTCCCCCGGCGATTTTTACCGTCACCGAGGTATGCGTCAGCCACGGCATCACGGCCGAGTCGGTCAATCATAACTCTTTGTGGAACAGGGCGTAGTTACCAGGCTTGCGGCTGAAATTTCCGCTGGATTTCCTAAATCCGCATAGGTTAATCCCACCCTATAATCAACCATCGAGCACCACTGTCCGCGTATGCCAGCGCCATGTAACGGCATATATGGATTATATCATCGTATTATGAGTTGGACCGGTAGGCTAACCAGCTGCGGCAACGCCGTACACTAAATTAACTTCTCATCTCCTGAGACCCGATTAGGGCAGTTTTCTGGGGAAACTTGATACAACAGCAAAGGAGCCATGGCAAAGCAGATAACAGACCTTGGATATTCGAAAAAGGACCATAGAGTCTTCCTTAGAATCTGAAACGCCACCTAGGTATCACAGCGCGCAAAAATAGGCCCGCGATCCTTCTCTTTCGAGCAAGTGGCTTCTTCGGAGGATCGTCTGTCATGAACATCCAACTTCGAGATTTCTTGCTTACATCTGATCGGAGTTTTTATCGAGCACCTCATTGGATTCTAGAATCTGAGCTAAGTGCAGTAGCGTCAGAAGCACGCTTTGGCCCCATTGTTGTGAAGTCCATTGCCCTGATGGGATTCATTCGGTACAACTTTCGCACGTGTTTTCTCTTATCTTGCGTCGTTCGTGAGGTTCTGGACGGATGGATGAGCGGGTAGAGCAAGAGACTGAGCTTGGTTGGCTCGCGGTTTGCCTCCATCCACTTTAGCCTTTGGCGTGATCTTCAAGGGTCCCCTTCGGCTAGATAGTTGCTTATACCGACAACCCGTTGGCATGTACAGCCTTCTTGTGAAACACAGTGCTAGCGATAAGCCTAGCAGATAGATGCAACGTCTTGCCTTTCTCCAGAGCCGAAGGTAAGTTGATTACTCGCAAGGGGAATCTTCGTGTTCCATTTTGCCGTATCGACCAGATGTGATAATCATCTTAGTATATGTATTGCTCGAGTGTGGCTTCGAATCTTCTTGAAAACATCAATGGTTGAGCAGCTTCTTCTCCTTCTCACTTACCCCCTATAGATTTGGAACTTCCCGTGGTCTCACGATCGCGACTATTATTGACGTCGGGCGTCATTCTCTCGCTTATTACGATAACCTTCCTCTCAACATCTTCAACTCTTAGGCCATAGTATCGTATCATCTGACGTGCTATGGACAAGGCTGTCTCATAAACCACCCACACAAACGCGAATTTCAACACTCGATTCGATAGCCTTAACTCAACTTCCTTTTTAACAGCACCCAAATATATTCACGATGGTCGATATGGGAGGACGTCCAAGTGGCCCTTTGTCTGGGCCTACCGTCCTGCTCTTCGGCCCCCTTGCCTTATCTTTCGACGAGGCTGCCTTCGCCCAAGTTCGAAAGAACGTCGTTGAGAATGAGGACTCCCACTGGGTCATCGACACTGTTGCCGAATTCCCACAGATCTGGAAATCCCTTACGACTGCTATTCCGAGCCTGAAGACAGCATCAGGTCTTAAGCAATTGGAGGACTTGAGCGATGCCTTCCGAACGGGACGACCACTCGAGACCTCGTTTCCCCTCCCGAACAAGCTTCTCATCCCACTAGTGATTGTCTCTCACCTTAGTCAATATGCCACCTTCTTGCGTAATAGCACCGAGGGAGAACATATTGACCCGTTCACCACGTCTAAGATAGACAGAGAGACTCTTGGTCTTTGTACCGGACTCCTGAGTGCATTTGCTGTTTCTAGCTCTGGAAATAGTGAGCAGTTCAAGAAGTACGCTGCGGTCGCTGTGCGATTAGCTTTGCTAATCGGTACCGTCGTCGATGCCCAAGACGAAGCTACCGAGCCGTCCAAGTCTCTGAGTGCTGCATGGAACTCTGCTGGAAGTGGAGAGGAACTAAAGAGTATTGTGAAGAGCTTCCCTGATGTAAGAAACACCCGTCCTACATTACTGAAATAGCAAGTTCTAACTTGATGGTACAGACATATGTTTCCGTCAACTATGACGACAACCGTGCCACAATCACAACTAAGGCTTCAACTATCTCTAAGCTACTGTTACAGCTTAGAGGTGCTGGTCTCATCGCCTCAGAGGTCGGCCTCTATGGTCGCTTCCATGCTAGCATCAACCTCGAGAAGCTCGCACTTCTCCTTGAGTTTGTTAATGCACACGCCGAATTCCAATTCCCGAACGCCTCATCGGGATTGGCAGTGCCTACCCGTTCGAACCGGGGTGGTGATCTCATTACGCACGGGCCGCTGCACCAGCACGCGCTGCAGTCCATCCTTGCGGAACCGCCACAGTGGTTCCAAACTGTCTCCGTCGTACGTGATACAACCCTCAAGAGCAAAGATTCGTGTATCTTATCATTCGGTCCCGAGCGTGCCGTCCCGCCATCCCTTCTACGCGGCCTCAACCCGCAGGTTATCCACGTCGCCGACCTAGATAACACATCTTCCCGTTTCGAGTCTTTCTCTCAGAAGGACCTACGCACTTTCTCTGACAATGATGTCGCTGTCGTCGGCATGTCCATCAAGGTGGCTGGCGCCGAGACCTTGGATGACTTCTGGGATCTCCTTGTCGCTGCGAAGTCTCAGCACAAGGAAGTGCCCAAGGAGCGATTCACTTTCGAGACTGCCTTCCGCGATGTTGAGCCTAAGCGAAAGTGGTTCGGAAATTTCATCGAGAACTATGACAAGTTTGACCACAAGTTCTTCAAGAAGAGCCCCCGCGAGAGCTCCACGATGGACCCTCAGCAGCGCAATTTCCTCCAATGTGCTTACCAAGCTGTAGAGCAATCAGGCTACTTCCAAGCTAGCGAGCCTGACAACCGCATTGGCTGCTTCGTTGGTGTCTGCTCTCGTGATTATGACTGCAATATTGCTTGCCATGCTGCCAATGCTTTTAGCGCCACTGGTAACTTGCAGAGCTTTATCTCTGGCAAGGTTAGTCACTACTTCGGCTGGACCGGTCCTGGTTTGACAATCGACACTGCCTGTTCCTCCTCTGCTGTCGCCATCCACCAAGCTTGCCGAGCAATCATCACCGGCGAATGCACAGGTGCTCTTGCTGGTGGCACCAACGTTGTGACAAACCCTCTGTGGTTCCAGAATTTGGCGGGTGCCTCTTTCTTGAGCACCACTGGGCAATGCAAGCCATTTGATGCCAAGGCCGATGGCTACTGTAGGGGTGAAGGTGTTGCGGCAGTGTTTTTGAAGAAGCTGTCCGTTGCCGTGGCAGACGGTGACCAGATCCTCGGTGTTGTCGCTGCAACAGGTGTGCAACAGAATGAGAACTGCACTCCTATCTTCGTCCCTAATGCACCTTCTCTTTCCGACCTTTTCCGTGGTGTTACCAAGCAAGCCCGTCTTAAGCCTTCTCAGATTTCAGTTGTTGAGGCTCACGGCACCGGCACTGGGGTCGGAGACCCGGCTGAGTACAATGGTCTCCGACAAGTACTTGGTGGACAAGCCTCTGGGCGGGAGAAGAACCTCCTCCTTGGATCTGTCAAGGGTCTCGTCGGCCACACTGAGGCAACATCGGGTATTGTCTCGATGGTTAAAGTCATGCTCATGATTCAGAAGGGAATGGTCCCACCTCAGCCCAGCCACACCCAAATCAACCCTGCAATTGGGGCGACTCCTGCCGATAAGATGACTATCCCAACCAGCTTGCATACATGGGATGATGATTTCCGGGCTGCACTAATCAACAACTACGGCGCTTCAGGTTCCAATGCTTCAATGATCATTACGCAGGCGCCATTTGCTAAGGCGATCAAGGAAGCCTCCGAGGTCCCTGCTGGTGGAAAGTACCCCTTCTGGCTTGCAGGTCTCGATGACCAGAGTCTTCGCCGATATGCGAAGGTCTTCCGCAAGTTCCTTAACAACAAGAGCTATTCGGCTACTGACCTCTCTTTGCCTAATGTCTCCTTCAATCTAGCCCGCCAGAGCAACCGATCGCTTGAAAAGGCGGTCTTATTCAGCGCACGCTCAGTAGAGGAGCTTGACCAGAAACTAGCTTCTCTCGAGAAGGGTGATGCTAGCGTAGCGCCCATTGCTCGTCCTGAATCTAAGCCCGTTGTGCTATGCTTCGGTGGCCAAGTGTCTACCTTCGTAGGCCTAGATCAAGGTCTATATCAGAGGGTAGCTGTTCTGCGAAAGCACTTAAACAACGTCGATGCCGCTCTTCGTTCGTTTGGTGCTGAAAGTATCTTCCCTGGTATTTTCGAGAGCACGCCAGCTAAAGATACCGTTCATTTGCAGACCATGCTATTTGCTATCCAATATGCTACAGCGCGTAGCTGGATTGACTCTGGAATCAAGCCTGCAGCGGTTGTTGGTCACAGCTTTGGTGAATTAACCGCACTTGCTGTTTCGCAAGTTCTTTCATTGGAAGACGCCGTGAAGTTGGTAATCAACCGTGCGACTCTTGTCCGTGACGCCTGGGGCAGTGAGAAGGGCTCTATGATGGCCGTGGAGGCTGACTTGGCTGAGGTTGAGAAACTACTCGCTGAGTCGAACCGAAAGGTTCCAAATGAGAAGCCCGCTAGCATCGCATGCTACAACGGACCGCGCAGCTTCACCCTGGCTGGCTCCACCGCCGCAATTGATGCGGTCGCCGCCACCATCCCATCAACCCTCAGGTCTAAGAGACTGAATGTGACCAACTCATTCCACTGCGCCCTTGTTGATCCTCTTGTTGAGGCATTGGAGCTAGTCGGAAAAATGCTCACATTCCGCAAGCCTACTATTCCCATTGAGAGGGCATCGGAGTTCCCCACACAAGAGAGACATACCGCCAAGTTCATTGCCGAACACATGCGCTCTCCAGTTTACTTCAACCATGCCGTGCAGCGATTAGCTAAGCAGTACCCATCGGCTGTCTTCCTAGAAGCTGGCTCCAATTCCACTATCACCGTTATGGCCGGTCGTGCCCTAGGAAGCCCCAGTGGCTCTCACTTCCAGGCCATTAACATCACCAATACCGACAAGGCATGGGATAACCTCGTTGATGCTACAATCAACTTGTGGAAGGCTGGTACCGCCGTGCAGCACTGGGCCCACCAAGCTTCCCAGACCAAGGAGCATTCTCCCCTCCTCCTGCCTCCTTACCAATTCGAACTTGCTAGCCACTGGATTGACTTCAAGGTGCCTCCTAAGGTTGCAGCGCTTCCTCCGGCACAAAAGACTGAACCGGAAGCAGAGAGGATACCGGAGGGCCTCCTGACTTTCGTTGGCTACCAAGACAGTAAGAAGCATGTCGCTAAGTTCAGAATCAACACTATGATTCCTAAGTACGAGAAACTTATTGTGGGCCACGTCATCGCGCAAACCGCATCTATTTGCCCGGCAACGGTACAGCTCGACCTTGTTATTGAGGCTATTCGTGGTATCCGACCAGACCTCGCGGCTGCCAAGCTTGAGCCACAGGTACACGTCGTAGAGAATCAGTCGCCAATTTGTGTCAATCCGTCGCGAGGTGTCTGGATCGAGGTAACGGAAGATTCCACTGGAAAGACTCCCTCTTGGAACTTCCAGGTGTTCAGCACCGACATGCCTCAGGGGACTGCTAAGACCCTCCACACCACGGGCAAGGTTGTTTTCTGTTCGACCGAAGATTTGACAATGAAGCTCGAATTCGCCCGTCTTGAGCGACTCGTTGGCCACTCTCGCTGCGTCGAACTTCTGCAGAGCGGTGATGTTGACGAAATCCTCTCTAACAGGAACATTTATAAGATCTTCTCCGAGGTTGTAGACTATGGTGAGGATTACCGTGGTCTCAAGAAGCTTGTTGGCTGTGGAAACCAGTCTGCTGGTCACGTTGTAAAGAAATACAACCCCGACACTTGGCTCGATGCACACTTGGCTGACAGCTTCTGCCAAGTCGGTGGCATTTATGTCAACTGCATGACAGACCGATCCCCCTCTGACATGTACATCGCCAACGGTATTGAGCAGTGGATCCGTTCTCCTAAGCTCCGCCCTAGCGATGCTCGACCAGACAGCTTCCACGTGCTTGCGACACATCACCCATCAGACAAGCAATACCTCACCGACGTCTTCGTCTTCCACCCTGAGACTGGCGCCTTGCTAGAAGCCATCCTTGGAATTAGCTACGTCAAGATCCCCAAGGCGTCTATGAGCAAGTTGCTCACGCGTCTCACTGTCGGAGGTGCCACTATTGCTTCACCGTCTGAACCCGCGAAGGTCACCTTATTCGAGGCAGCTCCCACTCAGATTGTGCCACCGCAACCGGCCCATGTTAAAGAACAAAAAGCACCAAAAGCACCTAAGGCACCCAAGCAACCTAAGGCGGCCAAGCCTAAGTCGACCGTAGCTCCCAAGGTCAAGGAGATCCTAGTTGAACTTTCGGGCCTTGAATTGGACGAGATTAAGGACGACAGCATGTTAGCTGATCTCGGTATCGACTCCTTAATGGGCATGGAGATGGCTCACGAAATTGAGGCGGCGTTCAAGATCACACTGCCCGAGAGTGAACTCATGGAGGTCATTGACATGCCCACCCTGATGGCATGCGTGCAGAGAGCTGTAGGCGGAGATGCCACTAGTGCTGATGAGGTCAGCGAAGAGAGCGAGGTTGATATTTCGAGCGACAGCGATTCCAGATCGTATAGCCCCAGTGAATCTTCTTCAGGTCACCCAAGTGGTCTAACCACTCCTCTGGTCGACTACGAAAAGGACCCGTATGACGCACTTAGCGACTGCGACGAAGAGCTGAAGCTTCCTTTTGCTACTGTCATGGAGGCTTTCAACGAGACAAAGGCTCTTACAGATGACAAGATTCTCGAATATGGCCAGGAGAACTACTTCGAAACTGTCATGCCATTGCAGACGGATATGTGTGTTGCCCTCACCCTCGAAGCTTTCGAGGAGCTTGGACACCGATTCCGTGACGCAAGACCTGGTGACAAATTCTCCCGGATTTCTCACCCCAAAGAACACAGCCGCTTGGTAGATTACCTATACCAGATGCTCGAGAAAGAATCTCATATCATCAACGTCAACGGTGATACTATCACCCGTACAGCCGTAGCAGCCCCGACAAGATCAAGCAAGGAGATTCTTCAGGACTTACTAGCACGGTTCCCAGACCAGACCACAGCCGACAAACTTACCTTCTACACCGGATCTAACCTCGCTGAGGTCTTGAAGGGAACAACAGACGGAATCAAATTAATCTTCGGGACTCCCGAGGGACGTGAGCTCGTCTCTGGTTTATACGCCGAGTGGCCCATTAACCGACTCTTCTACAAGCAAATGGAGGACTTCCTCGCAAGACTCGTCTCTAAACTTGATATGAGTGAGGGCCCACTAAAGATCCTCGAGATGGGTGCTGGAACTGGAGGCACAACTAGGTGGCTCGTTCCCCTACTTGCCTCTCTGAACGTGCCGGTTGAGTACACCTTTACCGATCTTGCACCATCATTCGTGGCCCTTGCGCGCAAGAAGTTCAAGACGTACCCATTCATGAAGTTCAGGACCCACGATATCGAGAAGGCACCGGCTGATGAGTTAATTGGAACTCAACATATCGTTGTTGCTAGCAATGCCGTCCACGCCACGCACTCTCTGCGGGTATCTGGCTCGAACATTCGCAAGGCCCTACGCCCTGATGGATTCCTCATGATGCTTGAAATGACTGGTACACTGTACTGGGTCGACATGATTTTCGGATTGTTCGAGGGTTGGTGGTTCTTTGACGATGGACGTACTCACGCCGTCACACACGAGCTTAGATGGGAGAAGGAACTACAAGCAGTCGGCTACGGACACGTCAATTGGACAGACGGTGCCCGACCGGAGAACAAGTGCGAGAAGCTGATCATCGCGATGGCCTCGGGTGAGAGGTACGAACGACTCCAAATTCCCTCCTCCTCTCTACCTGTTAAGAGTCTATCCGCTGACCTCGAGGCACGACAAATAGTCGTCGATAAGTACGTCCGAAACCTGACCGAAGGCTTCTCCGCTGGCCTCGAAAACGCGTCACAATACGGCCTTCCAAATGCAAACCCGTATGGGAAAACAATCTTAGTCACTGGTGCCACCGGTAGCCTGGGATCGCACCTCATAGCCCAATTCGCAGAATTGCCGGACGTCACCCGTGTCGTATGCCTCAATAGACGTAGCCGAACCGACCCCAAGGAACGTCAGAACCAAGCTCTTACCAAGAAAGGCATTTTCTTGTCCGCAGAAGCAACCGAAAAACTAGATGTCTTCGAAACCGATATGTCGAAGGCCAACCTCGGCCTACCCGTCGAGGACTACGAAAACCTTGTTAATAACGTAACCCACATTGTCCACAACGCATGGCTTATGAACGCGAAGTGGCCGCTTCGCAATTTCGAATCACAATTCCAAATAATGAAAAATCTCCTTAATCTTTCTCGCGAAATTTCCATCCGACGTGCCCCGGGCACCAAGGTTACCTTCCAATTCATTTCATCTATCGCCACGGTGGGTCACCGGCCAATCTGGTCAGGCGAGCCGATAGTACCAGAGGAACGGATGACGATCGAGTCCGTCCTGCCTACCGGATACGGCGATGCTAAATATATCTGCGAGCTTATGCTCGACGAGACGCTACACAAGCACCCGGACCGTTTCCGTGCCATGGTCGTCCGTCCTGGACAAATAGCAGGTTCTAGCACCAGTGGGTACTGGAATCCTATGGAACACCTTTCCTTTTTAATTAAATCGTCTCAAACATTGAAGGCGTTGCCCGACTTTGACGGGCTTCTCTCTTGGACGCCGGTTGACGAGGTTGCCGGCACGCTTGTCGACCTCGTCTTCCTCTCCGAAGATAAGACACATTATCCTATTTACCACGTCGACAACCCGATTCGGCAGCCGTGGAAAGAGATGATCCCGGTATTAGCCGACGCGTTAGACATTTCGCCAGACGGCGTTATTCCATTCGAAGATTGGGTGCAACGTGTTCGGGATCACCCTAGACAGGTCGAGGGACCCGAGGGCGAGAACCCGGCTTTCTTGTTGATTGATTTCCTTGATGATAACTTCATTCGCATGTCGTGCGGCGGTCTTTTACTTGATACCATCAAGGTCCGAGAACACTCGAAGACCTTGGCAAATGCTGGTCCCGTAAATGAGAAGGTGACCAAGCAGTTTATCCAGAGTTGGAAAGATATGGGGTTCTTGAGTCGATGACATTGTCTCCGTCTCTTATGTTTGGCTTGGCTGGTTCTCTGCGGGGTTGGCACTGTACTTTGTTGTTATATAACCTTCATTTGCTTTTTTTATGATGTAAGATGGTTTCGGGTATATACTATATAGAAGTGTTCTAAGGCAATAAACTTTCATTTGATGTTCAAGTTTGATATATGCACAAAACCATGATATTCAGGTGATGTAGAAAGTGTGATGTAATTGTGGTGAATCTAGGTAGGTAGATGGTGAATTGTAAAGTGATTGTGTTGAAATGGAGACAACTCGGGGCTTTGAATTGAAACTAGACACTTAGTAAGCAGTGAAATCAAAGCACGTGATATCCTTCGTTCATTCCAAGCTGTCCAAGGTACAAGGGTACCTGATGTAATTAGATCCCTGGTAAATCTTCGGCGGGATTACCCACTCTAGGTAGCTTCGTTGATTGGGTGACGGGGATTTGCGATTTCTGATTGATTGAACGGCCAGGTGCTGATTAGGTGATGCGAACCAGAAAGAACATCGCCGTGGCAGCGACGTCAATTTCTATTTTCTTCCCCTAACCATAACAAACCTTTGGATCGTCGATCCATTTTATTTTTCCTTCCTTTCTTAACTAACGCGACATCCTCATCACTCTTTCAACCGCGAGATCGTCGAGCACCGTTCGCCGCATCTTTGAGCAACTGTTTTCGCGTTTTTCTCTTAATTATTTCACTCTATTAATTACTATACCCAAGCACCTGCAAACATGGGTGAATCTCGGTGAGTGCTCATGACCTCACCCCTCCAATTACCCCCGGACTGGGATTTGTAACTAACGTCTCGTCACCCATCCATAGACAAGAGCTGGTGCAATGGCTTAACAGCCTGCTCCAGCTTAACATGACCAAAGTCGAACAATGCGGTACCGGGTAAGACCATCCTTGCGATTAATACACGCCCCTCCCCCGCCGAGTAATTATCACGGAAGGGGATAAAGAACTAGCTATAACCCTGTCACGATGTGTCAGATATTATGCGTGCAAGATCTGAGCTAATCTTATGTTTCATCTCTATAGTGCCGCTCTCTGCCAGGTCTTCGATAGCATCTTTCTCGATGTACCGATGTCGCGTGTCAAGTTTAACGTCAACAGCGAGTATGCGTACATTCAGAACTTCAAGGTCTTGCAGAGTTCGTCACCCCATCCTTACCTTCAGCGTCGCCGACGTCTCACGCGAGACACGATTTATACTCTATATCTGTTACTTTCAGTATGTGCTAACCGTGGTATCTCGTATAGACACGTTCACCAAGCACCGTGTCGAGAAGCCTATCCCCGTCGAGGCGCTTTCCAAGTGCAAGATGCAGGACAATCTCGAGTTCCTGCAGTGGACTAAGCGATTCTGGGACCAGTACTACCCTGGTGGAGACTACGACGCTGTCGCTCGCCGAAAAGGCGCACCTGTCTCCGGCGGTGGCGGTGGTCCTGCCGCACGAGCCACCAGTGGTGCCGGATCGGCCGCAGCTAGACGAGGCGGCACGACGCCCACGACCGGTATTCGCGCAGCCAAGGTTGGCGGTGGTGGCGCCGCGTCTGCCGCTCTGCAGCAGGAGAATGCGACGCTTAAAGAGACGGTCGTTGGTCTCGAACGTGAACGAGACTTCTACTTCAGTAAGCTGCGAGACATAGAACTCTTGATCCAGCAGGCTGTCGAGGAAGATCCCGAGATCGAGAAGGCGGAAGATGGTCTCATCAAGCAGATCCAGGTAATACTGTACTCCACCGAGGAAGGCTTCGAGATCCCTGCCGAGGGAGAGGCACTGGACGACCAGGAGACATTCTAAGACAAGACGTTTACAAATAACGGACAACCTGGAACTAAATAATGAACAGCCATTCCCGGGAAGGCAGGCTGATAGCCCTGGAGTAATTTCGGTGTAGCTGTATGAGGAGCCGAAAGGACAGGATGATACGAGTGCTGGTGAAGAGAGATGCATAGGAGACGGTTGTCTTTGTCCAATATGCACCGTCATAGGGACCAGACCTGTGATGCGTTGGAAGACATAGTCTACTTTTAGGCTACCTAATACTCTCTCCTCGGCTCAAGGATATGATACCTAGAGTTTGACAATTGACTGATATCAACAAGGGCCTTCTCGGCTTTTTATACCAAATTCGTTGCGAGGTATTCGTCTATGTTGTTTGATTGATCCATGCTAACATCCCCTTAATCCCTTCTTTACGTATTCTAGGTTTCGACTTCCATCGTCCGTTCAAGGTTCTTACAATAAGGTTTAGGTACGTAGCTATATTTTGGCCGACCTCGAAAATGCAGTTGCCAAGGTCTGCGGGTTCTTGCTTCAGTGATAATCCATTTCCGAGAACGCAACTACTGTTAATTCATATTCGGGATTCCTCTCCGGACCTACTCTTTCCTCATGATAACCTTTGGCGATACTTTCGCCAATATCTTAGTATTGACGCAGGTCGACACCGTCGTAAATCGTCTTTCCCGTCAAACGCTCGCCCCCATCTAACCTTCACATGCATCCTTCACCGATAAACCTTAACACAGGAAACCATCACAGCTAACCTCCCCGCTTCAATGGCGCCCACTAAGATTTCTAAGCACCCTAAGGGTGCCGACAACCAGAAGCCGCCGGCGCTCGCCACTGTAGCCAAGGCTAAACGAGTTTTGCCCAAGTTTTCTCATTCCCAGAGAAGCTCTCTGCGCTTAGCTATCCAGGAGAGTCTTCGTGAATCAACAGCCGTCGCTACTACTACCCACCTTCCCAGCCCCATCCCGTCACCGTCGCAGCTATCGACACCCGCTTCGCCATCGGATGCTAGCATTACACCGCGACGCCGCTCTATGCGCCAAGCACTCAAGGAATCGCTGCGTGTCGACACTTCTACCGCCTCTGAAATCATTCATTCGGCTACCCCTTCCCCAACCTCATCACTAACATCTTACTCCACAGCGAGTTCGAGTTCGAGTTCAATTCCATCAACTCCTTCTACCGTTGCAACTACACCGCGAACGCCTGCCACACCCTTTCCCGCCCCGGTATTCACCACTGCTGCCTCAACACCGTCGCCTAGCGTGACACCATCCAAAGCCAGCAGAAAGTCAGCACGACTACTCCACAGAACCCAACACAAGGCCAACGCGGCCAATGACGATAGCGATTCGGACTCGGACCACAAGAAAAAGAGTGAGAGTGCGCAGTATGCGCGAGTTAACGATAAGGACCGACCTAATGTCAACGGAATCGCCACGCCCTTCAAAGGCTGGTATCGCATACGAACCATTCTCACCGAGACACGTAACCGAAGTGGTGAACTGATCTATCTTGTTGACTGGGAAGGCGTCGATCCGCGATCCGGTGTCAGTTGGCCTAGCTCTTGGGTATGTTACATCTTTCCCTTCCTTCTAACATATAGCTCCTTCTGCTTATCGCATTTCCTATTTCTCCACTTCTCCTATTTAGCCTGGCCAGGAAAGAAAGGAGGTAAAAGCAAATACTAACACTTTATGCGTATTTAGGTCGAGTCGAAGAATGTCTCCGTCGCCGCAATTCGCGCATGGGAGAACCTTAAATCACAAAACTTGAACATAATGGCCTGAGAGAAGCCGGGATGAGACGGGATGATGCATGCCTACCCAGTACCTACCTAGGTTTGCCTTGCTATTTATACGTCCCCTCGTCGGTAGTACGCCACGTGCCTTATCAGCTCACTACCTAATAAGTGGGAGCTAAAGACGAATTACGACCACGATTCGAGCTACGATCTTATTGGCTATAAACCACCGATTGATTCCCTCCCAAGATATCCTCGAAAATCAAATGAGTTCTCGCATAGAACTCGTGGCGTTATAAGTCATACGGGGTGGATAGGACACTTAGCTAGCATTGCATCAAAATCAAACTGATTTCACTTAAGGTTATGGATATGAATTTGTGCTTTGTTCTCGTATTATATTAGCCACGACATGTGGCAAGTACTTATCTCCCCTTCTCTAATTCATCCCATTGTGCCAAGTCATCAACCAACTTCCAACCCTCCTAACCTCTACTATAATATAGGTCCTAGATAAATCATGAGAATTCACCACAAAATCTAGGTTACTTCCAACCACGGGATCAGTAATCCCATAAATGGGGCAAGATCATGCATAAATCTATCCCATGAACTACCTACTTGAATAGCCCGTACGAATTTTAGTCAGCAAGACGTACCGATTAGGCTAATAGGGGAATAGCAATCGTATCGTGTTACACCGCTACCCCCAAGCCACATCAGTTGCTATATTAGATAATTTCAGCGCACTTCTAGCGGTAGCTACCTCCTATAGGCGTATAGTTGCGCTTCTTCCTTTACCTTCTTGTCCCCGTAGGCGCAACACATTCTTTCCAACTTTAAAATTAAATGTCAAGGACTACATAAGCACCTTCTTCATAGATAATTTTCAAGGTATTTTCCCCTAAGCTCTATGGCAGGTATATCTCGTCAAGCAAGTTCGGATGTCAAGTTCTTCGTGCAATATCACATTAATTATATAAGAATCTACTTCATACACTCATGTGCCTGGCGGAACTAAAGGGGGGGAAGAGGTTGTTGCTCAAGGAGTTCCAAACTTCTTTTGGGTCGCTAACAGCCGTAGAGGTCCACTGTAGCTATAGGGCTTGGCAGCGGAACCCACGTTCTGTAGCGACGGCGGCCTGTCAACGCCAAATTTCATTAAACACATCCCCTCCTAGAGAGCGCTTCGTCCCTAACTCCCCTAATAGATAGCGGATATCAAGATGGATTGTGACTCACACTAAGAGCGGTATTATACTGCCTATTTCTACTTGTTCAAATTCTAGTTCATTGAAACAAATCCAGCTTTTCAGTCTTCTAATCATTTCCGGCAGATAGCTAAGCTTCATACCTAGGCAAGTCTTCGGTATGAAGATAGAGGCTACTTCGAAGGTGAAAGCGATGAACACTGTAAGCGGGTCTCTGATGTCCTTATGAGGGCTTAGGCTGGACCCTGATGCGTGCATGCGTTAGGAGGGGAATTTCTTACACAACATCATTTTTCGAGTGCACTGTAGCTGTAATTTTAGGCCGCTCTGGAATCCATGTATAGCGCGGGGGAAGCCCGTGAGAAGCCTAGGAAGCGAGTTATGCGCTAAAAATGTACCCTTCAGCTGTTCTGTTCATACCTTAATATATCGCCCCGGGGGTAGGTCCAGGTAGTATGCGGACATAGGATAGTTTTCGATAGAAACTACCTACCTACCTAGGTAGGTATGTGATCATAAGGGGACTCGATTTCGGACAAAAGAATTGAAGACACATTAAGCTTTTGCCAACCTTTAAGAAGGATGAAGATGAGATTCTGTGAACGTGGATCGGTGGGGAAAGGTGGAAGAAATATCTGTATGAGAATAAGCAGAGGATTTGGTTTCAACGGAATTAGCAACATGAATGCCGGTAAACAGCGCCATCTCCGCTAGAAGCGGCACATTTCGCGTCACAATTGAGTAACTGATCTGACATCGCTCGTGCCATTTCCCATTCCTCTGCAAATCCTCGCCTTTTCCCGACTTAACCAGCAGGTGTTAAATAAAAGGAGATGGCGTATGATGTCAGCATTGATAGTTCAAGGATATCAAGTTCCAACACAAAATTTTAAGAGTCATTTTCTTGATTGAAGCTACCGATAAGGCATCAACTGACCTAAAAGATCATTTATATCTTGCCATGCAAATAACAAGACATGTCCAACCTTCCAATACCCACACTCGATCAGCCTTAAAAATGTGGATTGTTTTTTTTTAGTTGAAAGCCAAGAAGCGAATGCGAAAAGTACGAGTGTCCGAGAACAGGCAGGGTACCTACTAGGTAGGTAAGCAGCTTGGCTAGTGGGACAGCACGTCGATCTAACTAACAGCACCTATTCTATCCAATCGGGACTCTATAAAACCCCTAACATCCATGTGGGTGGTACCCAACAAGAGCCCCCCTAACCAACCTACCAATTGTCCATTTACCATTTCTAACAGGGACCTAATTAGTCATTCTAGATGTGGGTTCATGCTCCAAATAGAAATGCCTACCTAGTAGGTAGGTACGTAAAAATCGCGACTACGATGAAATTCGTACTTGGTTTCTGCTGTGCCTCAGGGGCTAGACTCTTATGGCTTTATGGTTAGAGAAAGGCAAAGGCACAAGCCGAAAGAGGTATACCAGGAAGTTGATAACTCGTGGCCCCCAAGGATACCTAGAATCTAGCGGCTAACTGCATAGCCACTTCGCTTGATTTGAAGCTGGAGCGTGTATATAAATGCCCGAATGTTGGCGTTTCTGCCTTGTAGTTGATATCCGAATAGGAACATCTTCAACACTAAATCTTCCATGATGCCAGGCTTATTACAACAAATCGGGGCCTCACTCAACGCATATGACATTCTACGTCTAACCGGCGCCGCTATCATTCTCAGTATTGTCTATTCATGTCTTCTTGCCATATATAATCTATACTTTCACCCACTGCGACATATTCCAGGTCCACCACTATGGATTGCGTTTCCAGTCACGCGAGTAGTTGGTATGGTGCGGGGAACGGCTGACTTTCAAGTGCGCGACGCTCACGAAAAGTACGGCGATGCTGTTCGAATCACACCTAACCAGATTTCTTTCATCAACGCCCAAGCCTGGAAAGATATCTACGGCCATGGCCATGCCGAATTCCCCAAGCATTACCCACCGGGAATCACCATGGACCCTAAAAAAATCATATCGTCTAACGCACAAGATCATTTCCGATACCGAAGGGCAATGTTGCCTGCTTTCTCCGATAAAGCTCTCGGACAACAAGAACCGCTGATTAAAGTCTATGTCGACATGCTAGTTGGGCGACTACGCGAAGTAGCCCAAACGGGCAATCCAACCAATATGGTTCAGTGGTACAATTTCACAACCTTCGACTTGATCGCAGACTTGGCATTCGGGACTCCTTTGCAAGGCTTGGCAGAGGGCAAGTCGAACGTTTGGATCGATAATATTTCGAAGTTGATGAAGTACTTGCCTATCCTAGTTTTGGTGGCCGTGTCTCCTGTGCTGGGCCTATTCTTCAAGCTTGCGGCTGGTTCTTCGGTTCGCAACTCACAAGCCAACCACCTCGCATATGTCGCCAAGATGGTCAACGATCGCATCTACCACCGGAAACAAGCTGATCGAGGCGACTTTATGGACTACATCATGCGCTCTCGCGGGCAAGCTCACGAATTGACCGATGCTGAGCTCATCACAAATAGCGATCTGCTAATGGTCGCCGGATCGGAAACCACTGCAACGCTCTTGAGTGGCGCAACATTCTGGATGCTGAAGAGCCCCCATGCGCTCAAGAGAGCTACGGAAGAGGTTCGCGCAGCATTCGAAACGGAGGATGCTATCACATTCAAGGAAGTTAGCGCTAAATTGCCATATATGATGGCTTGCTTGGACGAAGCTCTACGACTTTTCCCCCCTGTTCCCATTCCCCTGGCCCGCTCGGTGCCGGGCAATCTTCCCGTGCGCATTGCGGGGTATCAAATTCCGGTGAAGGTGAGTCAATCATTTATTTCATTACATACCTATGTAGGTACCTATATTTGTATGTTATCTAACATCTTTTCTTAGACGGTTGTTGGTATTCATCACCTCTCAGCTTACCATTCCGAGCGCAACTTTCACAAGGCGCGGGAATTCATTCCCGAGCGATGGCTTCCCGAGTCTACCACGGACCCCACTTCACCATTCTACATGGACCGCCGCGATGTCCACCGTCCGTTTAGCTTTGGCCCTCGCGACTGTATCGGAAGAAATTTGGCGTATCATGAGATGCGGTTAATCATGGCTAGAGTATTATGGAACTTCGACCTTGCTCTGGATGAGAAGTGCAGCAACTGGAATGAGCAGAGAATCTTTGGCCTTTGGGAGAAGCCGCCTCTAGAGGTGTTCATTAAGGAACGGAAGTCTGATTGAAAGACGACGTCCTAGATTATGTACCTATTACTTAGTTACAAGGAACACCCCTCTCACCCTCAACCCTCCGCGGGGTTGAATTGCTTGGGGTTAGGGTATAACCCTAACCCCAGCCCATCTTAGATCTACATACTACACTTAACTAGAATAAAGTACCTACCTCTTCAACTTACAATATAATTTCTAAAGTTTCTAACGAAACAAATCAAGTCCATGTATCCGAGCAACTAAATCACTTACTAGGTACCCAGTATTATTCTCTACATCACCGCTCTTACTAATATTAACCTCCCACCCGACTATTGTCCCACTTGGGTACCATATTTGGCTATGATATTTACAAGGGTTACTCCAGTCTTTTTTTTTTTCGATAGCTTCAAGGTTTACCAAGCCTACTACTCCCCCCTTGCCTTTGGTCCTAATTCTTAACATTCTTAACACTTTAGGTACCTAGTACGTACCTAAGCAAGTGATCATAGTCTAGCGTAAGAAGCTTCTTTCGACACCAAAAAAGAGCTAAAATTATATGATGATAAAGTACCCAATCTATACCTATATACCTAGTAGTTACCCCAGTTACGAACAAAACCATATATAAAGTGCCATACCTAAAACCTCCATAGTCTAAGAAATATAAACAACCCTAAACTAGATAGAACATCACCACCCCTCCTCTATCCTGCCGCTCAACTACTCAGGTATCATAGATCGCCAGTATCCTAGTACCGAGGAGGGTCGCGTGGGCCCACAGGCCTGTTGCCATTGCCACCAGTTTCCATCACTTCATAGGCACTGCTGTCGCTTGTGTCCAATGCGGTTTTCCTACCTTGGTTCTTGTATTCGAAATAAGATTCGAAAGCAACCCAGTGAGAGAGCAGACTGAGTTCCTCCCATTAGTATTTTTGTTTAGCCGTATAAATAAAAACAACTCACAATAGAGCAATTGACAATGCTGCCATGACCCAGCTAATAACGCAAGAAGTTCCAGTACACACTCTTGTAATGTTGGCTTGGAATAACAGGAACATCATCGCACCCCAGAATGGGCAGTCGATACAGTTAAGAATGAGGTTTGTCTTTTTGCTGGCCCACCTCGAAAACTTTTGGGTGTGTTCCGTGAGGAGTTGGTAGAGAATGAAGATAGACGATTTGACCCCCTTCACGACGATTTTCAAGTCAGCCCAAGGTAAAGCGGATATGACCTGGATCACAAGAACTTACAATAGCAATCCCCATGATATGTGCTCGTTGAGGCATTCCCATAGCAGCTCGGACGACGGATAAAATGATGACTATTGTAACCAGACATAGTTCAACAACATGAACTGGAAGTTTGTAACGGCTGTCGAAATAGATAGAGATCTTCGAGAGAAAGTTTGACAGACCCATTATCAATAAATTTAAAGTTCTAGAACTGGCGTTGCGAGAAGGTATCGTGATAGAGGATAGATTCGAATAGTACTGTTGAGATAAGTCGATTTGAGGTGGTGATTATTGATGTAAAGTGGTAGTCCTAGGAGTATCTTATACTACTAATACACGGGGAATATGCTCTCAGCCTTACCCGCACAGCCTTCGTCGTCGTAGGTCCAGGCCTGAAACTTGCACAAAAAGAAGAAGTTGCCGGGAGTCTCGGACAGAGATTCGTACAATTCACTGCTTGGCACATATCTACGTTAAAGGTAGGATAGGTCTTTTTACTTGTGGCTATGCATTTCTAGTGTAGGACTATAGAGATATCGGGGAATGCTTGACTGACAGGTATGAAACTGTTGTCAGGGTCTTGCCTGCGAATAGCATAGGGTGAGTAAGTGGAAACGAATATCTTGCAGTTATAAGGCTGTGACAACTCAGGGATCCAAAATCCACGAGTTTTTTAGTAGATGTCAACATCTGCTCTATGCTTCTGGCCAATAGGTATGATGCCATAATGTTCAGATCCCGACAAACTACGATGACGGAATGTTCCGAATTCACTAATTTGCACAGACACGACGATCTATTATCCAAAACACTAAATTAGAGAAATTAAGATTCGGATCTCGCACATCTCGGATAACTCGTACCAGCCACTACCTTAAAATCTAAAGCGTGGATCGGTAGTTGAGAATCCCTGTACTTTTCAGGGGTCAAGGTATGTATTGCAATGTAAAGTGTCGAGTGAATATGTATTCTTGCAGCCCGTCTTTTTGAAATAATAGACTGTCATATATATCAAGGCATCTAGTTAGTTGATTCGCCTAAATTTGTATGCTAATGAATATCGGGGTTGGGTTGGGGTTAGGGTTAGGGTTGGATTTAGCATAACTCAAATTTTGCAACAATCATTTCCTACAATTGAGTGTGGAAGTATTGTTTTTAGAATCTACTTCATGACCATGAGCTTAACTACTATATCTGATCATAAAAATAATTATATATGCCTCCTCTGAAAGCTTTGGCTATCACCAAAGATTACATGGTTGGGCTAAGGGGTAATTAGGTAATCTTTGATTATGTCAGCCCAAAGGGTCAGTTTAAGATATGCTCGAATGGTTTGTCGGCGATAGGAAATATATAATACCTATGCTGTTGCCTGATGCTAATTTTATTACCTGTGAAATTCTCCATCAAATTACCTACAAGTACGATTCCGAATATATCCACACATACTTTAGTTCGCAGGAACACCGCCTTAACATGGGGGTGGGGAGGACGGTAAGACCCGTGAAATGTAGTCTTGATTTCAATTTCTTCCACTACGATAGCGAGACCTCAACAAAGCTGTTATGGTGATCGACTTGTATTGAATCCTTCACCAACGACGCCCAAAAGTTCTCTAGCATGATTTAACTAGTGCATTTATTAGTATCTAGACTAAACTCACCCATCAATGGTTCGCAAGAATCGGCTTCGTATAAATAAAAGCTATTGATTAATAAGGATATTATTTACATCAGATATCCTTGGAAGCCTTCAAACATATAAATTTATGCTATGGATCTGGCTGCGGGTGACATCAACCCGTTTCTGAGCCGGTAGCTCAGCAAATAGGAGGCGCATAATGACCACGCACCCTTGGCAACAGCTAGTGTGTGAAAAAGGCTTGTTTCCTAGGTACAATATTGATATTGTAAGTCAAAATAATGGATTATGGTAGTTATCAAAGTCGGTAAATTAAGACGGTAGAAGCCCGGAATACATCAATGACCCGCATCACCGACCCCGGATTTGCGGTGGAGACAGCCCCTTTTTTTCCCCTCCCTGACTCGCCCGAACTACTAGGTGAACGGTCGGACTGCGCTGTATCTAAGCGTGCGCCTATCGTTACCTTCCAACCAATATGGATAGGTACCATTGAGGACTACAGAATTTTGGGTGTCTGTACCTTGCATGGTACAGTTAATGGTTGCCTAATTCACTATCGTCGTCAATGGCAACGGACCGACTGTGATTTTTGTTTTCGTGGTCAAGGCATCGTAAGTTGATAGCTTTTGACCGGAGGTGGGCTTTCCTTGACGGTATTGAGGATATCTCAATCTACCTAAACTTTGAAAAATAACTTGAGTGTGAAAGATAGGGGTTGCGAGTCAGTCTAGAATGATCCAGCCAATCTTGGTAGGATAATCAGCTTTGGCAGCTTCGGTTTTTTTCCTGACGCGTTTTAAAATGTGTTCGACGCGCGCGGTTCACCAAGCACGATCAGCTAATAGGGTTTTAATAATCATGCGATACTCGTTTCTAGATCTTGAAAAAAGTTGAATAATTGACCGCATGAATACGTGGCTAAGATGGCTAAGTGGGTAGGTGGGTTTGGAGTTTGGAACTATCTCGTACTTCGTACATTGTACGAATACGAGTCATGAAGTACGAGTGGGATCGTCGTATCTCGTAGGTTGGCATAAGGCTTAGACCTACGCGACTCGTAATCGCCACGCTGTTCCGAGATCCTACTTCAACAACACCTTTTACCTCAATTTATTTCGTCTTAGGTAATTGTACGTTGCCCATACAAGCCATGGCATCTCCAAGTCAGAAACCCACCCGAAGACCTCATGCGAAAACTCGGACCGGTTGCCGAGTCTGCAAATCCAGAAAAGTAAAGGTGGGTTTAATCTCAAAAAAATCAATACTCTAACACTTCCTCCGTCTAACCATTGTCTTCAGTGTGATGAGACGCGGCCTTCTTGTCGAAATTGTTTAAGGTAGGCCGTAGATCGACCTCTTGGCCGCCTCCGATATATCATCGGGATGCTGATTGGATGATAGACGCGGGATTGAATGCGATTTTGCTGCTTCCGCTGGAGTAGACCCCGGAAATGGGGTTAAAGGCAGCAGTAGCGGTCACACTCCTAATGTGAACCAGATCCCATCCCCGGCAGCCACATCGGTCAACCACTCACCTCCGGTCGACTGGTTTAGCGTCCTTGACCTTGAGCTCCTACATCATTATACCACATCGACATGCTTCACCTTCTCGACCGAACCGATGGTCCGTAATTTTTGGCGTGTCAATGTTCCACGAATGGGGTTCTCTTATCAATACGTCCTGAAAGGTGTTCTTTCACTCTCTGCCTTGCATCTTGCCAGATTCAAGCCCCAGCGAAAAGATATGCTTATCGAACGGGCAATGATACACCAAAATGCGTCATCATCTCTAGCATTGCCTGTACTTGATGACCTCCATGGCGATAATTCAGTTCCAATCCTCTTCTTCAGCATGCTCACAACCTTCATTGCTTTTGCTAGCCCTAAGGAGTCGAGTGACCTACTCGTAACTTCTAACGGAGCTATGCCCCAGTGGCTGCATCTTTTCAGGGGTATGCGCAGTGTGGTGGAATTCAACGGCGAAGCTATGACCTCATTCTTGTCTCTAGGCTTTATATTCGACTCTGGAAGGCAGATGAACCAGATCTGGAGGTCCATGGTACCGCCTGAACATGAAGGTCTCAAGGAGCTAGAGGCATCAATCCGGTTTTACGTCAAAGATGCACAAAAGCTGGAAGACCTAACCCATGCGATAGATGAGTTGAAACGAGCCTTTGCCTTCTGTAACAGCGCCAACATCATGGATGAACAACGAGTTAGGGGGGTGTTTATGTGGCTCTTTGGTATTCGCGACGGATTCACGCAACTGACCAAGGAACACGATAACGAGGCCTTGAGCGTCTTGGCGTTCTTTTGCGTCCTTCTTAAACGTCTAGATTATATATGGTGGATTGAAGGTTGGGGGGTTCACTTAGTTAGGAGGATATACAACGTACTGGATGAAGGATATCAATTATGGATTCAATGGCCCATAGAAGAAATCGGATGGGTCCCGTAGACAGGTAACTGCTTAATACGTCAATATATCAATGGTAAATCTTATTCTTCATGTTCACCACGGCCTACCCATATACAGAGCTACCCCTAACAACTGGAAACTGGCATACCTACCTTGTTGGTAAACAAGCTCACTGTGCATCATCAACTTGATACATAAATTGGCGTATAGTGACGCGCAATATTGCTTTTCTATATTGTTCATAATCTTGACACCTGAATAAGAACAGTTTGGTGTTTGATGTTGCCATTCCTGTCTATATATATGTAGTTAAAAGTCTCTTTCTTAGCTTATTGTTTTCCAGACCCCAACCACTTAACTACCTCCACACCAAAACTATTTCTTTCACGACTTCACAAAGGAACTCAAAAGAAAATACTTCGTAGATTTCAATACCTACTAGGTACCTACATTTGACAGTGCAAATATGGCTACCAATCAAATGTCAAACGAAGCCATGGGAAACCGTACTCCCGAAGGGGGATATGTGAACTCCGTTGGACTGGAATCTTATCTCTCTAAGTTAACTCTCAAGGACATGTACGAGTTGAGCGCACAGAGGATTCTGGATATGCCATTAAGGTGGGTTTTGCAGAACTACAAGAACTTCAGTCCCCTGGCTCAGCTTCAACTCAAGTCGTATGGTACTCTGTACTACTTCGTAACTGAAACTGTTCAGTCAACTGGTGAATTTCATCAGCCTACTCCGAAGTCTCCGAAAGCTTCGTTCATTGATATGCCCGAACAGCTTGAGAAGAACGAACGTCCTGGTCAATGAGATCGAGATTGAGAGTTGATACAGACTTAGGAAAGGTATCTTATCCGCACTTACTAAAATCTCACGAAGTATAGATAAGTACCTGCTTAAAACGTCTGTGATTTGAATCCTGTTAATATCTCATAGTTTAAATGAAAATCCATACTTACTCAGTCGAGTTTCCATTCGTTGAATACATCCTATGTGCTAATTCCACAGTGTCGTGCTTTAACTTGAACCATTCCCTATGTCACACAACCGGCGTTCTTCGCCTACCGAATGATGAATCAGTTACCTATAACATGGGTGAAACAGGAGATACTTGTGCGCCCACGGCGACGCAGCGACCGGTTTTCGGGGACCGACCCGGGTCCCACCTGCCCTGAGCTTGGATGTGCTGCTTGCCGTTCTTGCCAGCTTAGACAGATGACCTCTTTGGCACGAGCGCGCGCTGGATTTCGAATAATCGAAGCAGTAGTAGCATAGCTCATAATGTTAATGTCCTGAGCTAGCAGCTGCCTCTCCATCTAACTCTCAAAATCACAAACGATGTGTCCAATGACCTAGCTACGCTCGTCGCGCACGAATCCGTTCCCCTGTCGTCGGAAACTTGGCACGGGAAAGCCGGCGGCCCGTATCGGCATGTTCTAGCTGACCGCAGATACGACGGCGGTTATGATGTAAGTAGGCGACAAGGTCAATTGAGCGAGAGACATGGGTTGGCGTGGCCCAAAGAAGAACGTAACTGGTATGACACGCGACCAGTTCAATTGTTCTAGAACGTCGCCGACGATTAGGAGAATGAAAAATAAATCAGTTGGGTTCCTGAATTGATCTGAGACTTCAGCGGCGGGGATGGCCGGATCGAAGAAACGTTACACGAAGCGTAGCATAGCGCGCATGGTTCTTAGGATTGTTTTGATGGCTTGCTGTAGGCCATAGGACTTCGTCGATACGATACGAAATGAGTGATAATTGATTCCTAGCTAGATTAGGTGAATTCCTCGCATGATTTGAGAAGTTTTCTTTTGGTGGCAGCTGACGACATCACCGGACATACCTATGTAGTAATAGCTGGGGAACCGACCGCTCAGCTCTCAGCCTCAGAGCCGTAATATTGGCTGACTTGCAGCGTCATTCTCCCCGGAATCCCGGTATATATTCGCCGCATATGCACGTTTTTAGGTCTTCGGGGTGGTTGGGGAACAGGGGGCATACGCCAATTGAGCAAACTGTCTCTCTTTAATTAAAAATTCTTCTATTTTGCCCTTTCCATCATACTTTTCTAACAATAGTTTTGTTGCAATTAAATTTCAATGCTGACGCTTTTTCTGATAAAACCGAGCATGAATACTTTGTAGAATATACCTATGGAATTGTTCCGTACTCGTGTATCCACAGAGGATTAAGCTTAACTCAACTTAAAGTGGGTCTGATACTTGCGGTCCGTTCCGTAACTCAGACTCAAACTTTGAGACTTGAAAGTAGGTATTTTTGGAAGGAAGTTTTGGACCCTAAAAAGGAAGCTGAGATAGGTAAATTCAATTAGTACAACCTTGAATTTATTACTTTGACTTTTTGACTTATCCCAGAGGTTTAACTCATTCATGTATGTTCCATACCGATGATACGTGAGGTATCAGAAAGGGCATCTGGCGTCGTTATACGATTTTATGGTACTGTGGCACCACGCTTGCAGCAACCTGCAGGTACGAGAGGAAATGATTCGTATGTCTCACATAGTCCATGAAGTCTCAACCGTGTGAAAAATATGTGATTATATTCTTATTACAATAATTATGTTCTTATGTTCGTCTCCGTGGCATGTCGCCATTATATGTGTAAGTCTATGATAGCATTATATCATAATGTCATGATCGTATCCCAGTTACCCAACCCAATCCCCTTCATTACAACACCATCATAGCCAAACCTATCAAAAAATCGAAAAACACTTTAAGCCACGGCAGTCATCTGGTAAGGCTTCAACGGGATGGTCACCGGCGTGCACTTGACCTCCCGGTCCGAGTAGATCTGGCCCAGAGTCCAGTTGGGGTTGATGTGAGTCTCGTCGGTGCAAGCCAGAGTAAGGTTGGCAGCGCCATAGGCATGAATCGTAGTGCTATCGAAATTGTTAGGTTATACTTCATTGATCGAGTGCAAGTGTTGCAACTTACGGGTATTGTGGGTCTTCGTCGCTGCAGGTCCACGTTTGGTTGACATTCAAGGCTCCGCTCGGCCGGCTGAAGTCGAATGTGGTCTTTGTGGTGGAGCCGTCCGGAACGGTGCAGTTGTAAGCCATTGTGCCGTAGAAGAAGTCGCTTAACTGGTTGCTTGTGGCACTGCAAACGGCCTTGTACTCGAGAGCGGGGTTGGTTAAGTTGAAGTTGACATATCCCCACGAGTTTTGGTGCGCAGGTGTCGTGAAGATGTAGCTTGCGTGGTAATCGAAGTTCTCAACCTGCCATGCGAAGTTGCCGAAAGAAGCTGCTTGGCAACCGGGATTGCTGTCTCGGGTTGAAAGGCCTACTGGCGCCGCAATTGCCAGAGGTAGAAGAGTGACGAGTGTTGAGATGAAGTTGAACATTGTCGTTTGTTTATTATGGGTATTAGATTAGATGATATGAGTGTAAAAGTGTAATAAGGTTGCAGTCGTAAGGTTGGTTGATTAAAAGTTGTATGTAATGTTGTGTTGATATGTATTAGTTGATGATGTTCTTAAAATCCATATACAATGTGGGAAACCAAAAGCATTTATATAAAATAGTATATACAATTGAGTATTCTGAATTATGGCCGGCTTGTCTCGTGTAGGTTAAGATCTGGTGATGGCTTTTGGTTCTAGAAAACGAAAACGGACTATGTGTGACGTCTGCGGGCGATCTTGGTATGCTTTTGGTCGCCAAGATCTCGTATTCTGGTGAGGGGGCTGTGGAAGTAACAGCGAGTCATAGTGCTAGAAGAGGCTGGAAAAGGAAAAGACGGTCGCGCATATGCCGATGGTCGCCTTACTACTAGTGAGCTTTTAAGTGGATCTCCTAGGGTCCTACTCAATGATTCTTCTGTTTTGATTGGTTCGTATCGGAAGGTTTAGCTAAAACTATGGGTAAGTGGCTGTTCGGCACTGAGCGATTTCCAATTTTCGTGTTCCCGTAGTGCCTATTTTTATTCTCGCTTAAGCATGGTAATCGTGTAATCGTACCGGCACTCTGGAAAGAGGCGGACCGTTTAACCTTGAGTAACTCAAAACTTTATTCGCCGTCCCTAGATCCCTCAAATCCCCATCCTTAGAACATGGGAATTCTGCGCTTGTACTGCACGTATTAATGGTTCGTACTTTTCGTGCGTCCAGCTGGGTTGCTTACACCTTATTGCGCTCTACGATTGGATCACTCCTTCGTTACTATTGAGGCTGCGCAAGTAAGGGAATACGACAGCAACGTTACCGCACAGAGAGTTTACTACACGTGGAAAACATTGATTCAATAAGCGTTACATCTATGGACACGATGCTGTCTCTTCTACAATTAATTAGAGATATTATAAACAAGTAACTGAGCCTGGGCCTAACTACACTCGTTTTGCTGGCTCTATAAACGATCAATGTTAGCCGAGGCAGCCGGGGTAGCCTGAATCATGTCTCAGTATCTCTTGTCCATCATACGATATAAAAATCCAAACCCTTTGAACAAGCAATTATCTACTCTCGGCGGTTCTATTTATCATGTTGTCATTCTTTCATTGTTGTCACCTTTGGTCTCAAAGCTATGATGAAGATCCCGAACTATTCACTAGATCAACGTGACATCATATTTCTCTTGGTACCCGTCGTTAGTTCATGTTCGAAGGCTAACTAGTATAGAGTACCGAGGCCGCGAGGTAAAGAACCAATGAATTACTTGGTTGATGCGACGGAATAATTGAAGGGAGATCTACTTGACCCGAGTCAGTGAACAAATTGGTTTACTACCTACTAAACAGCCGATCGCCCACAATGTCCGGGTGTACCTATCTGATGATACTATCGAGATTATCGAAGTTTTATGTATTAGACCCAGGGGCCCCCACCATTATTGGGAACTATGACTTAATTTAAATCGGGATCTTCAGAAACGTCCTTGGTACACCTGTCCTAAATCTGGGGAAGATCCGTGTCCTAAGTTTATTAGGGTCGCTGTCTATTTTGCTCCCGCTGCTCCTTTGATAGAATCCGTTGAATCTGATCACGGTGAGCGGCGCCTCAACTCACCGTCCATGACGATACCACAGATAAATTCATATGTTGGTAGGGTTTGAAAACCTGATATGGCAGTATGATCAGCTTATTTACCTTAACCCTTACTTCTTAAGCTTCCGAGGATTCCGAGGCAAGAGATTGGTTGGCTTTGCGTTACGAAAACACGTCATCTTGGATAGATAGTCGTTGGGATACATTGAATACGTGTGGCTTTATGGTTGTATGGTATGATCAAGGTACCTATCAATTGTCAACTTCGCCAAGTCAACGTCTGTAGGAATTTTAATTAGACCTCCTTGCCAAGCTAAAATATCACTATGGGTTTTCTTCGCTGCCCTAGGTGATTATCATTTGAAATCCATTTTTCAATAAGAACCATCTCACCAATTAATTTTGATTTCTCATTTTCAATTCATGATTAGCTAATTTGGCTTGCTTTTCATGGTCAAACTCATGAATAAGACAATTCCCTGAAGAAGTAGTGGTTAGCAATATACGAATCGACAAGTCTTTCATAATAAACATCACTCATATTCAACGAAAAAATATGAAGGGAGAAGTAATAGTCACATTCTTATTGACCGCTTATAGGATGATGAGACGATGTTCAATTTTAAAGATTGAGATCGTCTTCCTGAGGCTGGAACGCGGTGAAGCAACGATTACATAACCTTACATAATCATGCACCAAAGGATAACATTATGTACGTATACAATACTTATGTAATAGACATGCGATTATCAAACTTTAAAAGCCCCATATTTGACCCGACAACGCCGAGTCTCATGCGCCGAGTCTCGTGCTCAACCCTTTCCAGCTGCCTATTCGCGATTCGTCATTCGTCATTTCATCTTCCATTCCCATTTCCATCCCCAATCATCAGCAACTGTACAATATTCTCCCCCAGCAACGTCAATCCCCAAGACTAAAAGCACATTCGATAGATATCACCACTCATTGGAAAATATAACTCTTATTACTTAATTCTCATTAAATCATATCGATATCCGCGTCAAGTCTAGGGGTATGGCACCACCCGCCGAGATAACCATTCCGACAACATCGCAATACCCACCGGCCGACAATTCGAAGCCGTACACGCTCTACAACATCACATTGCGCCTCCCTCTACGGACCTTCGTCGTACAAAAACGATACTCAGACTTCGCTACGTTACACCAAACGCTCACATCCCTAGTCGGCGTTCCACCGCCCGCCCCCTTACCAGGCAAATCATGGTTTAAATCAACCATATCCTCCCCCGAATTAACCGAAGACCGCCGACGCGGTCTGGAGTCTTACCTCAGAGCTATTGCAGAGTCCCCCGACCGACGATGGCGCGACACGCCGGCGTGGCGCACCTTCCTCAATCTCCCGAGCATGAGCAGCACCGGTAACAGTGCAGCGAGCATAAGGGCAGGCTACGGCATCCCGAACAAAGACGCAGCAAACGCGGCTGCCGCGCAGGACCCGGGGACGTGGCTGGATCTACATGGTGAGATGAAGCGGGATTTCCAAGAAGCGCGACGGTGTTTGGCGAAACGAGATAGCGCGACGGATAATTCAGCTGCGCTGGAAGCTGGTTCTGCAGCCAAGAAGGCGCTGGTTAAGGCTGGCGGCTTGTTGGCTGTACTCGGCGACGGGCTGAGGGCGATGCAGGACGCGAAACGGTTGGGCGAGGGTGAGATTCGACGGCGCAAGGATCTGCTTGCTGCGGCTCGGGTCGAAAGGGAGGACCTAGATAAGCTAAGCACGACGGTATCCGCGGCCGCGAAAGCGTCGCAGAAGAGTATGCCGTCAGCAGCGGATAAGGCGGCGTTGATCGGGAACGGGCCGAAGGCGGGGAGGAGGGTCCTAGGGGCTCCGCTCCCGGAAACCGAGCGCACGCGCGAATTGGATAATCAGGGCGTGGTGCATTTGCAGAAGCAGATGATGAAGGAGCAGGACCAGGATGTGGAGGAGCTTACTAAGATTATTCGGAGGCAGCGTGAGATGGCTGAGGCGATCCACCGCGAGGTCGAGGAGCAGACGGAGATGCTGGACCATGTGAATAACCAGGCGGATATCCTGAGCAGCAAGGTTAATGTTGCGAAGAACCGTACCAAGAAGATTTCGTGACTCGACTTCGTTACCGGGATGGCCGTTCAAGGTCTCGTACTCTGTGTCGAGATCATAATCTGGGTCACATGGTTAGGGCAGACCACGCTCGAGTGGACGGTTTGGTGCGTCGAATCTTTGCTCCAGCTGACGCAGGTGGATTGAGCTCGTCGAATACATGTTATATCATCGTCATAGCATTTGCACGTTGGGCCTTTTTTGGATTAATGAGGGGGCAACAGAACCATGAGTATACGGTTACTTCTGTCACATTCCGTTTGGGTGGTTTATGCATGGGACGAGCATGGTTTGGTTTGGTGGAGAGCAACTGTACTTTTGTAAACTGTTATCGGTTATGGCATAAGATACCATTAGAATCAAGAGATTGTATACTTGTAAATTCGTATTGGGCGTTCTCTCATCGATGTGGTACGTTTCATGTGATCTAGTCACTTGGGGTAATGGTGGTATTACGAGAATCTTGGAATCGTACGGTGACGAACCACTCAAACTGTTGAAGCTGAAATTTCCCCTAGTCACATAACGAGATCACATGCCTTCTTATTCACTTGTTTTACTTGTTGACACACGACAAAATATTGCACTCTTGAAAGATGAAGCAAAAGTGCATTCTACTGAGTCAACAAGTCGCTGACTCATTTTCTTCTTAGTCATGATATGTTTTCATGACTAAGCAAGTTTCCCTTTCAAATGCTTATGTAAGTCACTTCATCCTGTCTTGAACTCTACAGAGTATCTGTTACTTTATAATATGAGTATTGAAGGGTTTTCTCGATTCAATTATACTCAATTAACGTACTAAACTATATTTCAGGCGTTTAGAGATCAGTAGAGCGCAACGTTGAAGTAGATCATCCTAAAATTCGAGGGTATGTGCTTAAGTAATCAACCCCTATTTCGAAATCACATTTTCTGCTTAGTAATGGCTTAGTAAGTTTGCTTGAACTTGCTATAAAACCAGTTGGAGATGATTGATGGAGATGGGTAAACGATTCTGTGAGTCTTTGGCCGAAGCTTGTAAGTGAGTAAGAGAATAATTTGCATACTGACGGTATGAATCTAATATAAAGTCATGGTGGAAGTGGATATAACTATCTATAATCGACGGACTGCTACCCATCCATCATCTCCTTCCTTCATATATAGAAACCCTTCAACTTCAACATATCATATCCTACGGCTAATTGTTCAGTCGTTGGTTTTATCTTTGATCTACCTCAGTGAAAGAATAAAGACGAACAAGTTGGTGTCATTACGACCAATATAACAGGATATATCGAAAGTATGATTAGTAAAGCTTCGAGCCGGTATGCGAGGATTCCTGAACGACCACCTTAGGCAGCAGGCAAAAAGTGAACAATATTGTTCGACTGTCCAACCTTATTAGCGATTTCGTACGTGATTATTGGCTCAATTATTGTCAGTAACGGAACTATGGCCAACATAACCTGCTCTACACTGAGTCACCTTGCTCTGATCTCTAGGGAGACATTTTCGTACACCGCCCGCTGCTGGCAGAATAAGTGTTCTAGTTCTAAGCCTCCGATTCCTTTTTCTATTTAACTCCGTCTCCTAATTTCTCTCCGAACCTTTTTCCTTTCTTCCACGAACACCATCCGAGCTACCTACCTGTCAGATCACTCAACCCCAAATACTGACTATATCGGACTGCACGTTGTTATTTCTTCGCGTGTAGCTACCAGCCTCAGTTACTTTTATTTCGGCTATTCTTTGCGGACGCTATCTTCCTTTCCAATCAATCTATCGTCCGACCGTACTGGTGTGACCTTGATTCCGTCTTCCGATCTTGACATACTGGTAAATCTAACCATTCACATTCACATTTCTGGTAATTCTTTCCTTTTTGGAGAGTCTGTCATCTACTTCAAGACTAACTTGCCAATTCAGCGTATCATACTCGCACCAAGATCTCGTTTTATTTTCGAGCGCTCTCACCATTAAAGTCAGTTGATAGTATTTAATCCGCCTCCCCTCCAAGCTTTACTAATATGTTATGTAGGATATAATGGAATTGAGAAGTGGCAAGGTTTGCGAAGCGGCCAAGGCCATGGCTACCGACCGCCGAGCGAAAAAGCTGAAGAATCGGCAGATTCGCCGCTGGGTCATCGACAGGTACGAGTCGAACCCAGCGGACGATTGCTGTCAATCCGAAGTCGACGGCTCGGATGTCGATAGCTCTGCCGAGAAACCGGCGCCGCCAACGCAACCCCGACGCGCAAATAAGCGCGGAGTCTGGTCGAAGAAGGCGTCTTTGGGTGGAAAGCCTGGGCCCCGTGGGGTCACCCTCCGGGGGATGCTGGGAGCCGCGAAGAGTGTATACTCTTACGCGGGCCTTGATCTAGACAAGATGAGCTTATATGACCATATAAGCTACATCTTGTCTCAGATCAAGGATGACGAAACCCCACTGCCCAAGACAATCGTGTCAAGGGAGGTGGTGGTGATGGCCCAGCATCAGCAGCACTTCGCGAGGGAGAACCTCGGTGCTTGCTTGGCCATGCTAGCTATCGGGGCCAATGTCACCTTGCTGGATTTAAACGATCGGGTCAAGATATGCGAGAACTGTTTCTCGAGGTTCCGCTACCCTGTCCCTCGTTTCGTCCCAGAGAAGGCAGCTAGCATCCTTCAGCGTCCTTGCGAGTACCATCCAGGTTCGTAATACCCTTAGATTTGATAATTCTACACTGAGCGACAAGCTGACAAACTGATTTTATAGGGCAATTGCGCTCGTTCAACGACGCCCTGGATGAGAGCGACAAGACACGCAAGCTGGGAGGCGGATTCTTGAGCCAGGGTCAAGTCAAGCTGGAGGAGTTCAAGCTGTGGATCAGTACCTGTTACTGGGACTGCTGCGGCGGAAAACTCCTAGAGGTCGATCCCGCGTCGTTAAAGCGAAGCCAGAGGAAGAAGAGGGACCCTCCCAAAGCTTGGGAGATACCTAACCCGCACGATGGGAAGGTGGGATGTGTCAAGAAACACGAGCATATCCCAATCCTGGTGTGATATCTCACCTTCCCTTCGTCCCTTGGCTTGGCCTCTCCGACCCGTCATATCGGAGAGGAACGACTTTTCGCCTACGACCTCTACCAGCTTGACCTACAACCCCCTCATGAATCCTTATAATGATACTAGTTTCAGTGGGGCGGGGACATTGGGGTCAGGGTTATTTTACTGAGGAACTATTATGATATTGATGTTGGCGGATAGGAAGGCCTGCGAGGAGGCGTTTTGCTTTTGGCGTTTAAAGATACCAAATGAACCTTTCCCATTTCTTGCCGCACAAGTTCTATGATTATCCCCTTGATTATGCCGGCAGGTGATATGAAAACCCTGAGATCACTCTTACGGCTATTGCAGAGTAACTCTAGAGGAACAGATGTATTAACCCCTTTGCCTTCACAGGGTGGCCAAAGCATTCTCTACTATGACCAAACTTCACCCCCAATCAGATCAGTAACTACTTGCATAAGCCTTCAATACCATATATAGCAAGGCCAATCTCACCGCTAGCTCTATACTTCTCCCCAAGAACCCCGCCAGGTTCACCTCTCTCCTTCTTATCCAACCAGTACTCACCATCGCGATACTTCGCCGCACCCCACCGACTCCTAAGATCAAAGATATCCTCCGGTTCTATCCTCGAGTACCGCACGATGTTTCCCCAAGAATCAAGAAACAGCACCCGTAGCTTCCTCGTTTCAAACGCCTCAGCGTCCGCGAGAAGGAGATACGTCTCCACAGCCACAACCTGTAGCCCTGTCCCAGCATGTCCATGCTCAACCTCCTCCCCCTTATCCTCCGCACGAGCAACAGCGTCCCTGAGTCTCTGACGTAAAGAAGGCAGATAATCACCCGAATACCCACTCCCAAACCCCCGAGAATACCCCTGCTGAGGCCCCGCAAGCTCAGGCAGAACATCAAACACCCTTTCCCAGCTCTCCCCGAAATCCAATATCTCAGGATCGTCGAGTTTCGTCCAGAAAGCAGAGCCCTCATCGAACGCTGGGTCGTAGTCTTCGTCGATGTCGCGCCACTCGGCGAATTTATCGTCGCCGTGGGCGTAGTGGGTACGCAGCCAGATTGCCTCGTCGTCACGGCTTTTCCATATGGTCAAGGCGGCCTGACGCCAGCGGAGGGGACGCCAGGGAGCGAGGATCTCGCGGATTTCGTCGGCGGTTGGGATGCGTTCCATGGTGCGTGTGGAGTGGCTTTGGCGGCCTGTGGTGTCCCATTCTTTTGGGATGGTTTCTAAATTCATGAAGGCGCGGACTAAGTCACGTCTTTGATCTGATGGGGATGTGGAAGACGATGGGTTCCAGTGCCGCTGTGAGAATGGGGTTAGTCAATGATGGTTGGAAAAGGGGGCGGGGTAGGGTGGACCATAAGCCCGTATCCGCCAACCCGCCAATTCAATTAATGTATTGAAATGTACACAGTATGAATAAGCAGTATATATGGGACTTACACTGTGCTTTATAGTTTACAAAGCGTTATTAATGTTTAATGATAATATTTTTAATACTTAAGTAAATATATATTTATTATAAATAAGAATATTTTTTATTTTATAAAGTTTTTAATTTAATAAGTTAAAACGGGAAAACGACGTTAATTTTTATTATTAAATTTTACGGCTTATTAATAAAGGAAAAAATAAAATAAAAATTATATAAGTAAATATTTATTAAACTTAAAAAAAAACATAACTTATTTTTATTTTTTATTAAATATATATTATATATTATTTATTTTTTATTTTATTTTTTAATTTTACGTTAATATTTAAATTTTATAATTTACTTATTTAATTAATTTTTTTATTTTAACGTTATATTTAAGTAATTATTTAAAGCTTAACGCAAATTAACGTTAATAAAATTAATTATTTTATTATAAAAAAAATTATAAGTTTTTAAAAAAAAAGTAAATTATTTAATTATTTATATTTAAATTCTTTTTTTTTTTAAATAAATATAATTAAATATTAAAATTATAAAACTTTTTATTTTAAACATTTAATTTTTAAAAAGTAATTAAAAAAAATTAATATTTATTATATTAAATTTTTAACTTATTTTAAAGTAAATATATTTTATTTTAATAATAAATTTTATTTAAATATAAAATACGATAATATTTAAAAAAACTTATAAATATAATAATATTTAAATAAAAATTAAACGACTTTTATTAATTATTATTTATATTTTTACTTATTATTTAAATTTTTAATATTATTTTTTTTATAATTAATATTTAATTCTTAAAAAAAGTTACTTATTAATTTAATATATTTAATTTAATTTTTTCCTTTTATTAAATAAAATAATAATAATAATAATAATTAATATTAACGTTAAAAAATTATTATTTATATAAATAATTATTTTAAAACTTTATTAAAAATATATTAAACGTGTTAAATTAAGTTTTACATTTTATACTTAAATATAAAATCTTTATAATTTATTTAATAACTTATATTTTTAAACGTATACCGTAACGGTTTATATTATATTTTTTTTATTAAAAAACGAAAAAAAAAAAACGTAAAAAAAACGATATTATTAATAAAATTAAGTACGTATTTATTTAGTAAAAATTACGTTAAATATAAATTTAATTACTTTAAAATATTATTATTAATATATAATATTATTTTTTAAGTTTATTAAAAATATTATCTTTTATATTTTTATAACTTTTTCGTAATAATAATAATAACGATAATAAAAATTATAATAATTAACTTTATTATAAAACGGAATTAAAAAATTAAGAAATAATAACGTTATTACGTAAAAAACTTTTAACTACTTTTTTTATAAAAAATACGGTATATATATAAATAAAGTTTTTTATTTATTTTATTTTTAAAATTAATTATAAATAAAACTTTTATAAGGATTTTATAAATTTAATTTTAATTTTATAAACTTTTAATTATTAACTTGGAAAAAAACCGATATTTAATAAACTTTTTTTACGCTTAAAATTTTATTTTTAAATAATAATTTAAATTTACGTTTTTTTAACTTTAAATATTCTTTAATAAAATAAATAACTTTTAAATATATAATTATTTAATAAATAAATTATTATAAATAAATATTATAACTTATTTTTTTAAAAAATAATTATTTATTACTAAATATTAAAACTATATATATACATTTATTTAATAAATAAACCGAACTTAATATAAATATTAAAAAACTAATTATATTAAAAGTATACGTATTATTATTTATTTTATTTTATATTATTTAAGTTACGAAATAAAATTAAAAAATTTAAAAATAATAACGTTATTATGCGAGGAGTTTTTAATTATTTTTATTATAAAAAATACGATATATATATAAATAAAGCTTTTTATTTATTTTATCCTTAAAATTAAAAATTAACGAAACTTTTATAAATTTAACGAGAATTTTATAAGTTAAATTTTAATTTTATAAATACTTAATTATTAATTTTTTTCTCGATTAAACGTAAAATAATTTTTATAAATAAAAATATAATAAAAAAAGTAGTAAAGTAAATAAATATTTAATAAGTATGTAACTTTTATAACCGTGCTTAATAATATAAAACTATAATATTTTTTTAATTAATTAAAATTAAACTTTTATAAAAACTTTATTATTTTAATAATGTAATTTAAATTCGAATATATGTTTTTTAATTAATCGAAATATTTATTAATAAACTTTCGTACTTTCGAAATTATATAAGTTTAAATAATTAAGTATATAAATATTACTTACGTTATATAAAACCGGAAAAACGCCGGTAAAACGTATATATATTATTTTATATATATTAAATAAAAAATTAAATACCGTAATTTAAGCTTTTAAACTTAATTTTAAAATTTATATTTTTTTATAATATTAAATTTTTAATTAATTATTTTACATTTAAAATACTTTTAAAAGTTTAATAATTAAAATAATTTAATTATTTTTATAACACGTTTTTAAATAAATTTAATTATATTAAAATTAATAAAAAATTAAATTAAAATTTTATAATTGAAATTAAATTAAGTTAAAATTAATTTAAATTAATCGAAATAATAATTAGTTTTTAATTTTAAATATTATAATTAAATGAAAATTTAAAAATTAAAAAAAGAAATAACATATAATTTAAATTAAGCGTTTTTAATTAAATTAAATTAAAAAAATTAAAACGTTAAATAAATTAAACTATAAATAATTAAAGTTAATTAAATATATAATAAAATTTTAATATAATTTAAAACGCGTTCGAATTAACGTTAAGCTTTTTTTCGATATAACGCGCGTATTAATTAAAATTATATAACGTAAATAATATTAATTATAAATGTTTTAATATTTAATTATTTATTTCTTTTAATTTTTAATAAATATATAAAATTTACATTATTTTTAAAAAAAAAAAAAAAAACCTTACATTATACGAGATAATTTATTTAATTTAATTTAATTTAATTTATAATAATATATTTTATTACATTATTATTAATTTATAACGTTATTTATAATATTTAAAATAAAAATTAAAAATGTTTATATAATAATTATAATTATATATATAACTTTAAACTTAATTTAATTTAATTTTAAACGGTATAACTTTTATTTATATAAAATTTTCTTTATTATATATATATTAAAAAGTTTTAACCTAAATATTTAAAAATTTATTTAATAATAATTTTTAAAACTATTTTTATTATAAAAATATTATTTATATAATAATTATTTTAAATTTATATATACTTTATATATTTTTTTAAATATATTAATAATATTAAACTTAAGTTATTTTTTTATAAGTTAAAAATATAAAAATAAATATTTAAATATAATTAATATAATATAACGTGTAAAATCCTCATTATTTATTTTTATAAAAATATTTTTTTAAATAATTTTTTTTAAAACTTTATTTACTTAAATTATTAATTTAAATATTATTTTTTTAAATTCTTACTTTATATTTATTATATATATTATGGAATTAAAACTTTAACTCGATTTTTTAATTATAACGGAATATATATTTTAAATTATAAATGAATTATCGTTATATAATAACTTATTTATAATTAACCATAATTAATAAATCGTAACTATTTTTTAAAAAATAAAAATAAATATTAATATTATTAAAAGTAATATTTACACGTTTAATATTAATTATTATATTTAAAATTAACGTAGTAAAACTTAAAATTAACGTTATATTTTTAAAAGTTAATATCGTAACTTTAAAAAAAAATATTACCATTTTTAAGGTAAATATTACCGCTTTTAAAATAAATATTACCACTTTTAAAGAAAATATTATTATTTTTAAAGTTAATATTATTACGCTTAAAATAAATATTACTACGTTTAAAATAAATGTTATTAATATTAATACCCGGTTTAATAATTTTAAGTTTTATTTTATCGTTTCGTAAATTTTTCTTTTTAATTATTATTTTTATATATTAAAATATTAATTATACGTTTATTATAAAAATAAAAACATAATTTCACGCTTCGTTAATAATAATATTAATAATTATATAATTACGTTATAACTTTTTAAAAATTTAAATAATATAATTATTAATAAACTTAAAACCACGGTTAATAAAATTAAAAATATATTAAATAAAAGTTTATATATTAATTTATAATTAATATTAATTATTTTCTTAAGCTATAAGTTAAATATAATTTTCCGTAAATTAAATATAAATAATAATAAAACTTATAATAATAAATTATAAAAACTTTTATATATATATAATATTATTACGTTACGTAATTAATACTTTAATAAAATTTAATAAAAAATAAGTTTCGAATTTAATAAAAAATAAGTTTCGAGTTTAATAAAAAATAAGTTTTAAGTTCGATAATTTTTAAGTATTTAAATAAGTTATAATTAAATATATTAATTAAATATTATTTTTTTTTTCTTATATATTTAAATAATATAAAATAATTAATTTATAAAATTAAAAATTATTCTTTTAAAATATAATAATAATTTAATTATAAAAGTTATTTTATTATAATAATTAATTAAAATTTATAATAAGTGTTTTATTATATAAGTTAATTAATTACGAAAATAAAACGAGACTTTTATATAATACTTTATTTTTTAATAAATTAACTTTATTAATATATTTATTTTAATTTTTTCTTATTTAAATAATATCTTTTTAAAACATAATATATTTATAAAATTATTTTATAATTAAAACTTTTAATTTTACGATTTTAAATATTTAATTTTTAAATTATTATAAGTTTTAAAAAAATAAATAAAGAGTTGAAAAAATTTTAACTTGTAAAATATATATA